CGATAAAACCTTTTCTCCTTTGGATGTTGTATTCTCAGCGTCGCACTCGCTTCCGGACCGTCTGTCCCACCATCACCATCAGCCAGTCTCAAGCCCCGTTATCTCCCCCGTCCCTTGGAGTGATCTACGCTACAGGCTACTGCGGGTCCCACGGGTATGTATGGGTCTTGGTCCTGGGGTGGATGATGGTACCTGATTTCTCTCTTCTGCCGCTGGATTGCACACTTTCAGTGAGCCAGCACTAATACCCAGGTTAGATAGCCGGAGCGACGATCTTCGTGAAACCTTGGATCACCAACTACTTGCCCATCTTGCGGTTCGCTGTATCCTTTGGCCTGTCACGAACAGCGAAGGCATCGATCGCACCCACACGTAGGCATAGGAGCCGCGGCATACCAGAATATCGGTACAATAATGATGAATTACAGTACGCCACAGAAGTCATAATTTGAACCGCCAATGGGAGCTAGGGAGTGTGCTGGAGAGGAGAAGCTGCAACGATCAGGCCAGATACCCCAATAGCGCAGGGCTCTATAGGGACGGAATGAGTCGAGGGGCCCGCCGGCCAGGCCACTTGTTGTGTCCTTCTATGCCTTGCAATATGCCCGCGAATACATTACCTAATCCAATGTTGAGACGTTTAGGGATACACACGACGTTTGAATCTCCATCGTGAGAAGTTGACTGGACAAGTCACGTGCTGGACGATCCTGTGCTCCTTGCAAGGCGCGATTCGATTCCCATCTACCGATCCTCCAAGTTCTGCTCCAAGGTTTGCTTCCATGCTGAATCGTTCTGCCCCCATTGGCCTTGATGTAGTCGCTTAGCGAACGACCCTGCCAGTAGCGAATCAACTATACAGACCCGGTTATGCCGATGGGCTTCTAGGCTTGGAGGTTGGAGAAAGAGCGTAATTCCCTCCCGCCCTCTCCCCTCTCTGTCGTTCTCGTTACTCCAACGCCCCAATACCAGTCCTCGATCAACGGGCAGCTGCCGCCGCGGCGACGGCGGATTGTTACGCCTGCGTACATTCAGGCATGCATTCATATCTACGGTACTCTGCGATTACATTGCCTATATGCTTGCATGCAGGACGAGTAGGTATGATGACACGACATGTGATATTCTGTGATCCTGTCCTGGACTTTCCCATACAGACTACCACACTACACCAACTTCTCAGCTACTAACACGATCGACCGTGCGCAACGCGTGTGATAGGATAGACTGAAGTCACATTTCTCTAACTGGACAATATGCGTACTTACTTACTCACCCATTGGCGGCCTGAGAAGCAAAGCAAGTCCTACGTTTTCTTTTCTTGGCACGGACGGGTACACTGCAGCCAGGCACTCGCTCAACGGGCGCGCAGACTCCAGAGTGAGTATTCCGCGCAACGGCATGCGTGTGATGGATACGACCGTGGTCTGCTCCTCTATCGTCGGCCTCTGATTCAGCACGCACGAATGAGCAATATACAGCGCAGCACAAGACGTTGACGAGACCTAGAAATGTTGGGGTATCTTGACTACAGCCAGCGACTCCGCCAGTCAGTTATGTATCCACTAGATTTGTATGGTACTGTATGCCCCTCTACGAGCTGCTGCTACGGGCTAGATTTGATACCTGCTGCCATGAAACAGTACACACGCGGCACGGCAGAAAGCGACAAGGAGATACGCATCTGCACACAGCCGTCACGGTTCAAGAGCTAGATGGAGAGTCCAGAGCCAAGGCAGAGAACACTAATCTACCTAGCAAGGTGTTATTGGGTGCTTTTGTGTGCCTGTGCTCGTTAAGGTAATACTCGCGCGGGAGCCTGGTCCTTCACAGAACCGCTTGCCAAGGAAGTCATGATTTGAGCCAAAAAATGCCTCTCCAGCTCGCTAGTCTTTTTCCCATCTTCTCATTGCTCTTGCCCCGTAGCTGCGGGGGACTTCTCAACGGCGGGGTAGTGAAGGGTTGTGATGTGCTGCTAGAGTCGGTGAGCTATGAGAGGCAGTCGTGTAGGTGCCCAACAGCACCGAGGCGACGGGGCCGATGTTGTGCATGTATAACCAGCATATTGGTCTCCGTTCGGCACAGTCGTATGAGCGATTCCACACAAGCAGAGTGAGCTTTGCCGGGACTTGCAGTGGAGATAGGTACATTGGCAGGTATCACTCCCTAACTGGCGGCATTGAGGGCTGCGTCAAGATTCATGCAAGCAATGCAGCATAACGATGAAACACCGTTGCGCCTCAATGCTACTGCCACCCGTGACTCTGCGCGGAGAGTAGTCAACGGCAGAGCATCCCTTTTGAGAAATAACAAAAATAAAGCGTCCGCACTAACTTACCTTGCTAGACCATGGTTGATTCAATGCCGCCTGTCCGTGCTCTGGAAAACATGCATACCGCCGTTTGTGCGTTAATCCCGACTCCCGTTACGGACGGGAGAAAACCCGACGGAAGTTTACGGCTGTTGCGCTTCACGATGTCATCGCTTACCGTCGGACTAGCTTCCCGGGTTCGTGTCGCCCAGTGCCGTGCCATGACGCGATAATACTACTGCTGCTACCACTAATAGTATACAATTTGTCTATATTAACGTGATTGTGCGAACATCCAAGGCCGGCTCTTCCTCTCGTCATACCCTCAAATCTCCCTTTTAGGGTCAATATGGTGCCTTTTTTATTTTTGTCATTGGTCCCCACGCTCCCGCCCAGGACCCGGAACTTACATTACGAGCTAGTGAAACCCCACCTTGAACCAGCCAGTTGTACAGACTGGGGACAGTGCTACCCTCGCCCACAGATAGACCGCGTCAGATGATCATGTGCCAGCGAAGGAGCAGAAGAGATCCGGAGGTAAGACATGTGATTAGTATCATCAAAGCGGGCACCGTGAGATCGACGGGGATGAGTGGTGGGGTCGCCGTCTTCCGAAGGTAAGACGTAGGAGGGATGCCGGTCTTTGGGATTTCGTGACAATAACAACGGAGGGCAAGGTAGTTGGGTCTATAGGACTGGGATTCAACTCAGCTTGCGTCATGCTAGTTCTGGATTTTAATGTGCGGACGTAGTTTGAGGTGTATTGTCTCGCTGGGGGATCGAACAGCAACAAGCTGCGAGCAAACACGTCTCATGCTGTGCTCACCGCTCATCTCACGTAGGTCACCAGGCGCTATCTTCAAAATATCGTACCACGACAAGTTCATAAGGCCATTTTACTAGCCGCTTTAACATGGCATCGGATTGTCGTCGCGGGATAGGCATGTCATGGTAGTAGCATTGCTGAGAGATGAGACGCGAACGCAAAGTTGACGTGTCAGGGGCTTTCTGCAGTTCCTCCCTCCTGAAGGTATAGCAGTAAGCACTCAAATGAGACATGCCTTATTCAGTGACTCTAGGCTTAAGCGAGACTCCTGGCACCGCATTTCGAGAGTTTCGGTCATAGTAGTATAGTGAGCGCCTGGCCAACTAATCGTTTCCAAGTGTGCTAGGGGTATACCCAGTCCGACGCCTTTACAACGGTAAGTGGCACGAAAGAATGCAGTTTGGGTTATCCCATGTATTGAATGAAGTCTTTCTCGATTGTCCAAGAAAGACTCATACCTAGCCGCCAGCATCCTGACGATATCTTCTGGATCATACAACTCGAGATAACAGACTGGACGCGTAATACAGGGACTAACCTATATCCCCCTGTGTCTCCCCATGTTGGTGAGTTGGCATGTTCAACGTTTCGTACCCCATCTCACCCGGCTGGTGGAGATCATTATCATGTGGTATAAGTCATACACTATATTTCATCGAAGGCTATATGACATCAGTCACATCCATCAGGTTTCTTATGGCGCTGCTGAATGAACCAGCCCCAGTTACGCTTATCCATGCCGGAACCGTTGGTTTACATGTATGCTTCTTAGCTGTCTACGACGACATGGTGTAAGGAACACAGCGATGTCTGACGTGTTCCTAGACTTACGTGGAGGGTCTCATCCTCATATCTATCTATTGTCATAGGTAATTTTTAGATGATAGTATTGCGAATTTCTCATACAAGTTCAAGTACTATACATTAAAAACCTTTTGACGTGACTGCGTTACCTACCTTCTGTTGAGTATACTCACACATCGCTAGAAGCACGTGCGCCAGAGATCAACCCTCCGACGTGTCCCAGTCCTTTCATTTGTTACGAATGAGTTTCTGAACGGGGCTCACTGAGCTAAGTATCTCATTAATCGTTCAGCTTGAGCTAAGACGGACGCCTTTAGGAAAACCAATTGGTTATATCTGAACAGAATCACGTTCCTCAAATAAACTTCCAAGAATAGGCCGATAGCTTGGAGTCTTATCTCGGCTTGAAGCCTTACGTCCCAACAATAGCAGCAGTAATCATCAGTGGTATGTAATTCTCACCCTTTACCGCTCTATTTTACCTCCGTTAAGCTTACAGAAACAATAGGGCAACTAATGTTGTTTCCCTTTCTTAAACATATCAGATTTTAGGCAGAAAACTCGTCGTTGCGAATCGTAAGAGAAATTTTTATAGTCCTCGATGGAATTGAGGCCTTGCCCTTTTAGCTTCATAATTTTATCTTCGACATTAATCGATGATCATGATAGATTACGTATACATACATACCATGTCCATTTGCCTTGATTACCAATCCTCACGAATCAGCAATCGAAGATCCCACTTACACCTATGCACAAAGGGTTCAAGCTTAGTCAACTACATGGGGCTCAACATGGGCCAATGGCAGCGTCATCAACGATCTGATAAAGTGAATCACTTTAGCGGATTTCATTTCGGCAATAGCGGAGGTGGAAGATCTGTACTCGAGAGTCGCGACGGGCCATGACTAGTAAGCATCGGTACCCCGAAGCTACCTGAGCCAAATAATGCTCCGAGACGGCAACCGACGATGGCGCTCGGCTTTAAGCCTGTCAAGCTTATCAGATCCGAGTCGCGATACCATAAATAACGGTTACCTACGTAGTGAAATGTATGAATATTCTTCGCGTAGAATGTTTTACTCAAGAATAATATACAGCTTTCTAAGGAAGTGGTCGTATATTTTGTAGACATTGCTGCTTCCTCTGCTAATCAAAATTGATCGAAATCGGTCAGAATACAAGAGACGAATAGAAGATGGCTGCTAGCTTTAGAAACATTATTGTTGTTGGGGGATCTTATGTCGGCGTGGTCAGTCGGTCTCATTCCAGATCCATTCCTATCGAACATTCGCAATAAATTATGTATATCTACTAACCTTTCTTCTTCTTCTTCAAGGCCACCACACAAGGTCTTGCCAATCTCTTACCATCAACCCATCGTGTAAGTGACAGGCGATTACCATTAAACCCCGTATTTAAACAAAGCCTTATTAACGAAGATTACAGGTTCTCTTAATTGAGCCGCATAGTCATTTCCATCATCTATTCGCTTTTGTGAGTCTAATAGTGCACACAATACCATCTACATCACAAAAGCATTCGTATATGTGGTCTGACTAACCCGCCAATGAATGAGAATAGCCACGATTCGCCATCGTCCCTGCATACGAACACAAGGCCTTTATTCCTTACTCCGGTACCTTTGCCGAGGCGCCCAACCCATACCGACATCATGTTGTCCAGGCACGAGTCTCTCAGTTACACAAAGACCGCGTCGTCCTCGACCGGGATTGGCAGGGTCTGCGCGAGATCCCCTACGACTATCTAGTCATGGCCACTGGCACAAGGTTGCGGGCACCTGGTACCATGCAAAACGATGAGAAGCCTCTGTCGGTGAAATACCTACAGGGCTACCAGCAGCGCATCAAGGATGCGAAGTCGGTCGCTATCGTTGGTGGCGGCGCCGTCGGAGTACAGAGTAAGTGGTGAAGTTCGGGGTTGTATCTTTGTCTGAGAGATTTCAAGAGACAATGTCTTCTTTGGGCTGAAATTATGAGATACCGATTGGCCTTCGAAGTCTCGGAACATGTCCAGATTGTACTAGTGACGACTAATTCTCAGTATCACAGTGGCGACGGACCTCAAGGAAATATATCCGGAGAAGGAGATCATGCTAGTACATTCACGAGAGCAGCTAATGCCAGTATATCACAGCAAGCTGAGCGATATAATCAAAGCACGATGTCACGAACTAGGCGTCAAGTGAGTACCACTCATGACCAATCCCCCCACACCCCATATCTAATCCATTTAAACCAGACTTATCCTCGGGTCTCGCGTGAATATCCCAGCAGATGACTTCCAACAGACCGCATCCCCAGGCAAGCCCATAACAATATCTCTCGAGAACGGCACCACGCTCTCCGCAGACGTCGTCATCCCCGCGACAGGACAAACGCCCAACACGCAATTCCTCCACACGCTCCCACCCTCATCGCCAAACTCGCTCATCAACCCGGCCAACGGCTTCGTCCGCGTCCGTCCGACACTGCAGCTCCAGGACCCGGGGTACCCGCACGTATTCGCGGTCGGCGACGTCGCCGACAGCGGCGCGCACAAAGCGGCTCGGCCGGGCGCGGCACAAGCACAAGTCGTAGCCAAGAACATCCTCGCCCTAGTCGAGGGGCGCGAGGCCGTTGACACGATAGAAGTGAGCCCCGCGGCGATCCATTTGACGCTCGGTCTGGTAAGTTGCAAAGCAAGCCGCTATAGCGTATAATTGCGTCAACCCCTTTCTCTTCTCTACGGTGTGTAGTTAGTTACTAACACATGACGATAAGACGAAGAACCTGATCTTCCGCAATCCGGATCCATCGAAGGGGGAGACTGAGCCTACGATAGTGCCTAGAGAGGAGTAAGTTTGTCCTTCGCACCCCTTCCCCATCCCTTACCCCAGTATGATGAATTCTTCGTTGTTGTTGTTTTTTCGGAGCCAAGAGATGACAGGAGGGCATTAACTAACGCATCGAGCAGCGGGAAGCGCGATATGGGGATACACGGAGTCTGGACTCGACGCGGAGTCAAAGTCCAGGGGGAGGCCGACTATCATCTATAGGCAAGTACCTAATTAGTTCAGCCCGACCGAATACGTCAAAAGTTGAGAATTTCAAGTTCTTCTATTTAAACAGATAGAACGTCACAGAATCGCGCGTACACCGCCTTTGAAATTACGGGGACACCGTCGTGACTTTCACGACGTGGATAAGGATACTCGAGCGAGGTTTGAGGTTAACCGAGTTGTGTACCAGGGGTGGGTAGACATGCGTGTTTTTGGCATTGAAAATGTTGAATGGAAAGAGGAAATGGCGATGGCGAATTAGACTAGATATGGCAGAAAGGTAATCAACGGAATGATTCCACAGTGAGAAATACCTAGCGAAATGGAGGAAAGATGAGAATTCACCAATCTCTTCGCTTCTAAGATCAGCCATTCAATAATTGCGCCTCGATTCTTCGGATCATTCGCGAGGGACAAGACTTCTACTGATTGACTAACGTGTTTCGAACAAGTTAAGAAAGAAAGTCTGATACCGGGCGTCACAATATAGGTCATAAAGACGATCATTTAAATAAATGGTATTTGGAAACTCAACTACCCAGCGCCTCTCTCATACAAATGTCCCCTACACACACCATGCATTTCACTGCATTGATCTCATCCCAAAGCCTCATAATTTCCAACCTCCAAACGTAAAATTCATCCGCAATTCAGAAAGATATGAAAAAAAAAAAGTAAAAAAAGTCCGTGGCGAAGGCCAACAATTGTTTTGGTAGAAAATCGGGTGTGTCAAAAGCCAACAAAATCCCTCACAAAAATGTGTGAGTGTACGATGTATCTTTCGTTTTTTTTCTTCCGGCGCCGTGGAGTGTTTGTTTTCCTCTTTCAAATTTCGCAAGTCAACCTCGAAATCATCCTCGGCCGGCGAGTAATCTCAACAACAGGGTATCTCAACAACGCGGAGGCACATGAAAGGGTATGAAAAAGGCGTAAAAAGGGGGAAAAGTGCCTCCGGTCGCCTTTGTCACGGCGTTCAATCATGAACGATGAGACAAGGGCTAGGTGGAAAAAAAGAGTGGTCTTAAGAATTGAAACTAAAGGCCAGCCAGTAACACGAATCAATTCGTGAGTGGTACCCTAGACCAGGCGCAACTTCAGCAGGCAACGATTGGTAGAGGGCGCAGTAAGGTGAAAACCAGTCCCAGAGGGTATTTTGGCAGTAGTGGATTCATCAAGACGGGTTAAGTTGAGAGCCACAGCTGAGCGGATGGCTGTCGCAGGTGTCCGATCTCAGGAACGTGAAACGTATGTGTTGCTGGTTCATTGAAACATTAACGGTGAATTTGGATAACACCAAACACGCTCAACACTGCTCGAAAAAAAAGGCTTGAAAAGTAAGGTTGTTGAGACCGACAAATGGTGATTATTCGGACCATGAGCGAATGCTCACAGCTTGCAGAAGTGAAAAGAGGAATCTTTGAAGTTTAGCGTGGATTCGTTGCCGTAATTCGGGTATATATCGTGGGATCGTCCGTCTTGTCGCGTGTAATTGTAACCTGACAGCGCTGAAGGCGGGGAACGTTGGTTTTTGACAAAAGAAAAGAATGAATTGATGTTCGCATCGAACGAGTTCGGGATCGACAGTAATCCTTGTCCTGAGGCCCTTCCAATCCGGCGGTCCGCTTCCTGCAACGAACAGCCCACACCAGGTAACGCGTAACGCCATCTTTACATCAAGGCCGCCACGACCATACCAACCACACCGGCAAAGCCGAAGGCGCTCAAAGAACCAGCGCCGCTGTTGTTGGTGTCGGAGGTCGGTGTAGAGGTAGGCGAGGAGCTAGTAGGAGACACAGAGCCTTGGTGGGCACTCGTGGTGGTGGGGAGAATGGTAGAATAGCCGGTACCGATGGGGTTGTGGAAGGAGGAAGTAGTCGCGTTCGCATAGACGCTCGAGGTGGCGACCCTAGCGATGGTGACATACTTGGTCATGGTCATGGTCGATGTCAAGGTGGAAGTATCGTCGGCGACGGCCAACAAGGGCAGAAGCGCGGTTGCGACAAGAGTCTTGAGCTGCATTGCGACGAATGGTTCTCGGAGAAGTTGTTATATCGTGACGCAACTTTCTTTTTCCTAGGTTTTCTTCAGGGAGTCGGTAGACAGATGGTATGCGATGCGACTTGAGCGCTTCGTAAATATACGACGATTGGAATTGGAGTGTGTGTGGCGTGTATACACGTGTAATGCGATGCGATGCGATCGGGGCGGTGTTGTTGCGATAATGGCAGACAGAGAGAGAGCGTGGGTGTGAATAGTCGATATTCAAGTTGGAATTGGGAATTGTCGTGTGTGGTATTCGTAGAAGTCGTAAGAGAACTGAACTTTGCCAACGAAGTCCGGTCTGTTTCAGAAACGAATGTCTGGGGTGTGGGTGGGAGAGAAAGATTCAAGGGAGAAGACGACGAGGGAGTGATATTGTCGCGTAACGAAGTAAATGAGAGAGGGTTTGTCAAAAAAGCGGGAAGAGAAGAGGGGGGGGGGGGTCAGCACGGACGGGTACCTGACAGACAGCCCACGATCGGGCTTGGACAGGCTCGACAGGGTCTGGACAGGGCACTTTCTGGGGGTCGCCTTTGGCTGCCTTTGGTTGCCTTTGGTTGCCCTTTGCTGTGCCCTGCAGCGCGAAATTAGCAATGCCGGGGGCCACTAAGACGCTACCAAGACGCCACTAAGGACGGCAAACAAGGGCTCTGATAGGTCACAAAGAGGCCCCAAGCCTGTTCAAAGGCCACCCGACCTCCACCCGGACCCCGGTCTGTCCCCACCATCGCGAAGTCAGCTAACCACAGATGCCATCTTCATTTGCTTGACTCTACTTGACTTTGTTCCGCTCTCCATTTACCATTTACCGTTGCCCTTTGAGACGGGCAAGACGGGATACCCATTGGCCCCATAGACCCCCAGCGCTTTATTCCAGTTGGCTCGATTGACGGCCTAAAAGAAATGTCTTTGAGTCTATCATTGTTATTCTTATTACTATCACTTCAACGTGACAATCATCATCACGATCCTCTCTCGGGACAAGTCACTATCTACCTTAAGTAAGTTAAGCATACCTAGCTGTCTGCACACTTATACACACGTGTACGGTGTCTGTAATACGCACGTGGATATGATGATGCCCGAGGAGGACCTAAAAACCTTGGTACAAGATGCTGTGTTGTTCAACCTGACTTGAAAGTGCAGTACAGCCTACCTTGCTCATCTTCTTGATTCTACGCATAGGTAGCTATGTGGTACATGTGCTGCCTGCGTGTAAGATCACACTTCAGCTGACCGACTCTATACAGTCACTTAAATGTGTCTCAAATGTAGGCAGATGGCAAAGACTTCAACCAATTAAGGGCAAAAGTACCACTCTACAGTACTTACACTCCCTAGCTCGCTCTGGCCGGCGCGTGCTTCCCCAGCATCGCTCTATCACTACGCCATTTTACGACAACTCAGTACCAGTTGTAGACGAGTATAGAGACTTAAGATCTTTACTAATATGAGGTATTTTACGGCATAAATAGTAAGACATCAGTACATCGCTTCTAGCCTTCCGGCATGTAGAGTTGACGGCACTAGTGACAAAGAGCATGGGCCATCGGAGATTACACACCCTACCCTGACCCATCTCTAACTTCAAATCATCGTCTTCTCTCCGCTTCCATTGCGCTGCCAGCGGTAAGTAAATAGTGTGTACCTACCTACGGTACTTACTCTACAGGCCACAAGATAAGCTCTGCTACAAAGGGGCATCGATGTTTGCTGAATCCTGGGTTGATGCTCCTTTCCCCATACAAGCCTTTTGATGTACTTACATACCTAGTAGAGCGTTTATACTTAGTACTGATTACCCCATGATATGATGGCAGGATCAAACCAACACGGCACAGCATCTATGTATTCCTACAGTACAGCGCTGACAAGACAGACCAGAAAGACGCCTCCATCTTCCATTATGCCTTACCTGAGAGTTGTTCGCTCGCTAGTGGTCCTCAGCTTCCCATCAGCTTAGGCTGTTTGTGTAAGTAGTACACTAGATTGTACCCGAGACCGCTACTCATGAGAGATTAGTCTGACCCAGTTTCATAGATCATCGTATGTATATGACTTGGATCATATAGGTAGAGAAGCGAATAATTGGTTGGCGATGTGTCATTCGCACCTTTTTTGTTCCTGGCTAATGTAGGCGTGCCTACACTAATGCCAGGGCAAGGCATCGCCAATGGTTCGTTCGTTCCCCTTTTAGTTTGTCTCATTTCGTCCGAGCAACAAAACACGCTTTGCACTAAATGGCGATCAGCTCTTTTTCTTTCATCATTCTTTGCGGAGAAGGCCAATTCTGGAAATGGACATCCCATTCCCCGTTCCTATCTGATGTAACCCTAGCCATATTTGAGAAATGGGCTCGTTCTCCTCGCTCTCCGAGAAATACTTGGGTATATCGTCTGTCGCCAATGGCAATACGACTGACTCCAATGACCACCCAGCATCATCTCTGTACCTGCATAGAGCTGGCATCCCGTGGGGTCTCAGCTGGGGAATTGGGGAGAAATGCTGACCAGCCAGATCGGATGAGGCGATGTCCACGTTGCAGCGATTTTTTTTTTAATTGTTTCTTCCCTACTTATCCTTCCCCACCCTATCCTTCGTGTTACCATTCACTGTTCACCACGTCTTCTACATTAGTGCTGAGTTGGTCGGTGAGAGAGCCCTACCTACTTACTTACATTTATCTTTTTATGAGTCAGCGTTTGTGCAGCGCGGGGCTACTCTTCCTCGAAAACTCATGCACTCGCAAAAACATCATCATTCAAGGGTATCAGAACTGAAAATACCCAAGAAAACGGTTTACGGGTAAAGACTATAGGATAGAGTAGGTACCTAGTCTCTATTGTCCAGGGCAGTGCAGATGGTCTGATAGGGGCCGTGATAGGATATATTCATCTGTACCTAGCTTTCGTTATGAAGGGGTAATATATTACCACTCTCCCTAATCGCGTACCGGATCCCTTGTGAAGTAGTCTACATAGTAGTCTAGATTACCTACTGTATGCACACTGAAGAATTCCCTTACTGTTCACAACCCATTTTACTCATATCACTGATGTCCTAACCGCCGTGGATGAAGTTTTTCCTAACCGCTGGTTTAGTTAGGACTTTCGTATTTCACGATATTTTAGCTCGTTTCATCCCGACCGAACGCAGTGACCGGTTCTTTCATCGCACGTGTGGCTGGGATGTGCACCGGGATCAAGGCTGTATACTAGACAAGCTATAGATCGTGTGGTGTCTCACCTCTTTTACCTGAGACTGTGGTGGTTTCCGACCAGGGCGCCTCATTTGACCCCAAGGGTAACTAACAGCCACCATGTCACACTCAACATGTTACCCCAGGCTCTCTCTTGCTCCATTTCCGTTTCTCGACAAAATACCCACGATGAGAAGAGAAGAACGCGCATCCTCTTCTTCTCTTTCACCCGCATTTTCCTAGTTATTTCTATCTACAAAGAAATATTACAAGGTTATCTGAAAATGCCGGGGTGACGTAGGTGGCTGTCGGTAATGATCCGATCGCGTTCAGCTAGGACCATCTCCTCAAATAGGTATGCGATCTCATTTACACTAGAGTACAAGTGCGCTACGGACCTACCTAGGCTAAGTAATGTAAGTAAGCAATGTCTCAAACTACGCGCGCGCATTTTTCTCATCTTTTCAGCTCTTCTTTTTCGTAAGCGGCTAACAAAGCCTTTTTACAAGGAGATTCCATGCTTCTTCTATGCTCTCGTGACCGTTCACTTTCCACGACGCTGTAATCCGCATCACAGGATAATCACTGTTTCGACCTGGTCTCTATCGCTCTGGCATGGGATTTATTTCTTGGAGTAGAGTAGTGACTAGTCGGAACTGAGAATCCATACTATCTTGAGCCTCTAGGTAGCAACGCTTGATTTCAATTGCGAGTCTCAGGTACACCATGCAGGTATGATGAAAGCGACATTCTTCACAAGGTCGTGTTGCCGTGGCGTTGCACTCGGCTTAAACACGAGAAAATACGTCATGTCTATCTCGCAAGCCGCTTCAGACTCAAGTCATACGCGCGGCAATTCTTCTCATATCGATGTCTAGCTTTCACATGCCTTGACAAACTCCAAAACACGGGTTGAGTAGTAGCTAGAACGAACGTCAAGTCATCTACCACATTCGGATCCAGCTTGGCGATCACATGTAGCGAAGACCTATGCTATTTTATCTCTCAATTGCATCTGTACCCATCATGTCTTTCAGACCTTGTTAATCGTATCCAGGTGGCTTTTCGCAAACCGTAACTACCATGACAACTTAACCGCTCGCCTGCTCACTCTCTTCCTCTTCATGTAAGATCGAGATGTGTTACATGAGCACACCAATCTTCAAAAGTCAAAAGTTACATACTAGACGCAGCCTCAAGCACTCTCCTCCGGCCCAGCATTCACAAAGCCCACAAGCGTGACGTCCTCGCCCTCATGTCCCGCTCTCCTGGACTTCACAGTCCAAGCCTTGAACTTCTTAAACCCAGATTTCTCCATGACCCTCGTGCTGCCGATATTCCCCTCCTCCACAATAGCGCCCAGCATCTCCCTCACCCTCCCCCCCTCTCCCACAACATCCTTCAAAAGAGAATCCCCATCAACAACCACCTCCCCCTCCTCTCTCGGCAGGCCCCACCAATCCTTCACATACGCCCTCAGAAACTCCGTCGCATACCCCTTGCCCCAGTGCTCCTTGCGGATCATATATCCGACCTCAGGCCATCCCAGCACCTCCGACGTCGGCCGGAAGACGCCCCCGAGCCCGATCAGCTCCCCCGTGGACGCGAGGCAGATCCCCGGGTTATACGTGTCCGCGTCGCCGGGGGCCAGGAACGGGTCCAGCTTCGCCTGCGTCTCGGACACGTCCGCGTCGACCCTGCCTAGCGCCGTGCACGCCATTACTTCGGGCTGCGTGCGCAGCGCGTGGAGCGCCGGGAGGTCGTCTTGCGTTAGGGCCCGGATGATGAGGCGTTCTGTTCTGATCGGGGCGCGCGCCGCGTTGGGCGGGAACGGGTGGCGCGGGAGGGTTGTTTGGACCTTGATTTTGGATGCGGGGTTTTCTGATGACATTTTTTATTTTATTTTTGAGATCTTTTTTTTTTTTTTTTTTCTTGTTGGTTTGGTGCTTGGTGGGTTTGATTGGGACGTTGAACTGAACAAATCAGTTGATCGAAATAGTGAGTGAAGTGTAAGGAATTTGTTTTTTTTTTTTAAATGGGCGTTTGATTGATGTTGTATCAGCGTACCTGAGCCCCTTTTCTGAAAAGATATGATGATAATAGAGAGGGCGAGAGACAGCAAATTGTTTGCTTAACTGGTTCCAATTGCTGAATTCCTCTCCCCAAGCGCGGGTTCTTAAATATGTAAATCATAAGTTGCTTCAATCTCAACTCCACTCCGCCCGGGTTTGGCTCGGCTCGGCTGCGGCATGAGTGGATGCAGGCGGTGAATAGATGGTCCATCAATGCGGAGAGGCAAGTGAGATCCGGCGATGACTCACCTCGTATCTCCCATCCCCCTTGTCTCTTAAAATCATACATTCTTAATCAGTACGTGAAGATTATACGAGGTCGTGCATTTCAATTCTATAGGAACCAACGTTCGTAGTACGCTAACCTCACAAGGTGTATATCTTGCGAACGCACAAAAATTATTGCAGCGTGCCTCGTATGAAGGTCTAATTGGTCTTCCTATCTCTTTGTATTTTGAACTCTATCAAATGCGTGTTGAAACAAGGCTTGACGCATAACCCTATGATTAGCCAATTTCCTTCGCTCAGTTAAGGGAGCCGAAGTCACCTAGTTGAATTACTCGGGGAAAAAATTCCATGTCATGTTGAACCATACTCCACACTGTAAATATGAGCCTTGAGGGGCTGGAAACCGGCGCACGACCCAGAACGCCGTTTTCCATGATGTTGAACCTTGGGTATGTTTTGAAAATACCTATACAGCCATACCATAACCAAAACGATGAACGTTACGCTTAAGCAGAAGTCGTGTCCTCAACTGGAGGGCATGTACAGAACAAATTGAGATCACCGTAAGCTGAGAAGAAGAGTTAGTTCACCAGGCTGTATATGAAATCAACATGATGCAAGGACTCACTATCGTCAATTCGAGCAACACTCGGCCAGAATTTCTTTTCCTTGAGCCAAGGAAGCGGGTATACCGCCTTCTCTCGAGAGTAGCTTCGCTCCCATTTGCCATCTCCATCCCCCTGGATGAGGTCCTGCATGGGGTGGGGTGCATTCTTGAGCACATTTCCCTCTCGAGGTACCTTGCCCTCTTCAACCTCGCGAATTTCCCCACGGATACTTATGAGAGCGTCAATGAAGCGGTCAAGCTCCTCCTTGCTCTCACTCTCCGTTGGCTCAATCATCAAGGTGTTCGCAACTGGCCAGCTCATGGTGGGTGCATGGAACCCATAATCCTGAAGGCGCTTGGCAATATCGATGGCTTCAATGCCAGCGGATTTGCTAAAAGGTCGAGTATCGAGAATGAATTCGTGGGCGCATCTTTCATTCTCATTGACATAAAGTATGGGATAGTGAGGCTTCAGGCGGGAAAGGATGTAGTTAGCGTTGAGTAGTGTCATCTTAGTGGCGTGCGTAAGCCCATCGCCACCTAGTGTAAAGTTAGCAAGTGTATTTCGAAGAGACCTGTGGTGTAACTAGCAGCAGTCAGTGGAAGAAAAGGAATCTTACCCATCAGAGTGTTATAGGCCCAGCTGATGACGTTAATACTTGCACTGCCATACTCGGAACTGCTTACGGCTCTTGAGTCGGTGTTGGTCTCAAGAGAAGTGTCGAGGAAGCGGTTCCTGGGGGGTTTGGGGTTTGGGTCTCCTGGTAAAAATTCCGCTAGGTGGCTCTTGACACAAATCGGTCCTACACCTGGCCCGCCTCCACCATGAGGTATACAGAAAGTCTTGTGTAAGTTGAGGTGGCACACGTCGGCGCCAATTTCTCCCGGAGAGCACAGCCCGATTTGAGCGTTCATATTAGCACCATCCATATAAACCTGGCCCCCGTGCTCATGCACGATTTGGCAGACCTTTTTTATCTCAGGTTCGAAAACACCAAAGGTGCTAGGATAGGTAACCATGATAGCTCCAAGCTTATCTTGGTATTGCTTGCATTTTGCTTCGAGATCTGCTATGTCGAGATTGCCGGTTTCAGAATTGCACTTGATTGGGACTACGCGCATACCTGCCATGGCAGCGGACGCGGGGTTTGTACCATGGGCAGATACTGGGATAAGGCAGATATCACGCTCCGTTTCCTCTTTACCAAGCCTTTTGTTCGCCTTGTGATACCCTCTAATTGCGCGTAACCCGGCAAATTCTCCTTGGGCTCCAGAGTTTGGTTGCAAAGAAGTCTTATCCATGCCCGTAATCTGCGCCAATTGTCTAGAGAGTTGTTCCAGCATTTCGATATAGCCACGCACGTCCTCAGGGGGGGCATATGGATGTACGTTGGAGAATTTGAGAACTGAGATGAGGGACATTTCAGTTGTTCCGTTAAGTTTCATAGTGCAAGAGCCAAGTGGAATCATAGAATGAACGAGAGATAGATCTTTTGACTGAAGGTGGTGAATATACCGTAGCATTTCCGTTTCCGAGTGATGCGTGTTGAAAACCGGATGTGTCATAAACGAGGAAGTTCGGCGGAAAGGTTCGGGAATATCCAGTGGACCGGCGTTTCTTGACAGAGTTCGTTTCAGATATTCACTGTCAACTAAACGCAAGCCACGTTCGTCTTTCCTTTCACGAAGGTTCCGAAATGCTGCAATAACAAGTGCTAGATGGCCGTGTGTGGTCGCTTCGTCGACAGAGATGCCGATTTTTGTCGGACCAATACGGCGAACAAGGCAGCCTGCGCTCTTGACCAAGAAAATATATTGCTGTTGCAGTGGGTTTGTTCTAAGATCGACCACCACCGTGTCGAATAACACACGACCAAGCTTGTCCCACTTATTCTTCATAACTTGGAACCCATGTGCTTCGGCTCCAGCCTGGACAGCTCGAGCACCACGGATACTCCTCTCTGCAATAGCCTTTAAGCCTTCAGGCCCATGGTAGATAGCATAGAAAGCGCTCATGTTAGCCAACAACGCCTGCGAGGTGCAAACGTTACTAGTGGCCTTTTCTCGGCGAATGTGCTGTTCCCTGGTCTGCAACGCTAATCTGTACGCGTTGCGGCCCATGCGGTCCTTCGATAGACCAACCAATCTGCCAGGAATTTTTCGCTTATGCTTCTCTGTCACAGAGAAAAATGCGGCGTGAGGCCCACCAAAACCGAGAGGAATACCGAACCGTTGGGCGCTACCGAATGCAATGTCCGCTCCCCACTCTCCAGGTGGCTTCAACACGGCCAAAGCCAACAGGTCAGTCGCGACGCTGAGGAGAGCGCCTTGCTTGTGCACAACTTCAGCCAAAGCGCTGTGGTCATCCACACCGCCAAAAGTGTCAGGATACTGGACCATGACACCAACAAGATCGTCGCCCAAAGCCTCAATCTCGGCATGGCTTTCCTCCTGTGACAGGTCTAGTGATAGAATAGTAATGCCAAACCCTTCGGCGCGGCCGCGCATCACTGCAATAGTCTGAGGATGCATTGTTGTCGAGACCACATACGTCTTACCTGGTCGCTTGGCCCGTGATGGCGGTAGAACATTCATCGAGAGCGTCATTGCTTCAGCAGCAGCGGTTCCTTCATCGAGCAAGCTAGCGTTGGCAATGGGAAGCGCAGTGAGATCCGAGACCATTGTCTGAAAGTTGAGCAAGGATTCTAGGCGCCCTTGGCTGATTTCAGGTTGATAAGGGGTATAACTTGTATACCAGGCAGGGTTTTCTAGCACATTCCGCTGGATAACAGAAGGCGTAAGAGCTTGATAATAGCCCTGTCCTATGAAAGTCTTTCTCACAAAGTCCCCCGCCACCAAATATCTGGCCTTATACATGAGGTACGACTCGGATGGCTCCGTAGCCCCTTTGAAACTCAACGCTGTCTGAGCTCTGATATCCGGGGGCAGAACTTGGGAGACAAAATCATCTAGGTCTTGAACAGGTGGTGAAAGGGCCTTGAGCATCTCGGTAGTTTCGGCGTCATCCGGTCCAATGTGGCGACGGACAAAGGTATCCAGCTGTGCGAACCCGCCCGCCCTATCCTCTAAAGATGGGGGAGAATTGATATGTTGACCAGTCTTGGGGATGGGAGTCTCGGAATAATTCCTCCGTCCCACGCCTGCGCGGCCAATCCGTGGAGAAAGGCATGTGCGGGTATGTGCCGAGCTCAGGCGAGGACGAAGACAGAGAGCTCGTGATTGGACAGAGAGCTGGCCCAGGGGCTGGGGAACAGCACGCGCGAGGGACGACGCCATGGTCAGTATTGGAGGTAGACAGGCCCCTTACCAGGCTGGCGTAGGTTGAGGTCTGACAAAATTGGTCGAACTGATAGCTATGACGCCGGCGCGCCGTCGCGGCGACCCAACTCGAGGATATACGAAATAACCAATATTCTCAAGAGGTAAGTGTTGTAGGATAAAGAGAGCAAGCAGGTAGGTATGCCTCGGCCTTGCTGCGAATCCTGTAAACTAGGTATCGCCAATACCACCTTGATCCGCCAGGGACAAGTGAGACAGACAATGGGCCCTATCTATTGACAAAGACGCCGTGCTCGTAGCAACCCGGTGCTCAGGCCCTCAATGCAGTCAGAGCAAGTCCGCCCACAATCGATATCGCCGATAAGTTCGTTCTTCTGTATCGAGAGGAAGAGGTAAAGAGTGAAAAATTGCTGGGGCGATTCAAGTCTGTACTCAGGTACACCGCATCAGAAGCCGATGGCGGCTCGGATGGTCGACCGAGAGCCAAAGATAAGTCTGATAAGGAGATAAGCCAAGAGGAACATGGGCAGCGGGTAGATTCGGATGACTACCTACTTCGTACTGGTCTGTACTGGCTTTCTCTCAGTCATAGTAAACCTTCCAAGGTTGTTTATTTGGTGAGATGAAGTGGTCCAAGAATTTCTATCTCTTAGCAATATTGTGCATCTCTACCGAGCAGACCCCACCTTTTTCTGCTGAGTTTTACTATCTCGACTCCCTAACCCAGGTACCTACAAGTAGGTAGTATTGTTCTTGAGATGTTGCTACCAGCAACTTTGTTACGAGGCTCGACGCTACTCTGGTTGCAGATGTCTAATCTATCAGGTAAATTGATTATGTAGGTACACACTGAGAAGCTACCTAGGTAGATAGGTATAACATTATTTTGCAGAATGCAGTGGTACAGTTACACAGTCTGGGAGTAGCACACGCGAACGCCACAGCTCTACCGCCACATTAAAACATGGAGGGAAGGAACCCTCCTGCAGGGCCAATGCCCAATCACATAGCACTGCTCTCTCAGGCCAGACTCCGGCCCTGTCAATGGACCTAAAAAAAATCGAGATGGGGATTTGGAGATAATAGATGACATCGTCAGTACCAAAAGACTACTGCTATTGTGCATTATACATCGCGAATTCTATATTGGCGATAACCACGACTCACCGATACTCCTGACGGCTTCACAACGAACCGCGACATTCCCCCTAGTTGTTAAGAACAACGAGTCCTTCGCCGTCTAGTCAATACTATCAATATGTTCGGTGGATGTGAGTCTCTATTGTTTCTGGCCCCATTGCTTCGGGGCAATGCGATCGCTTCGTCTTTTTTTTTTTTTTTGGTACCGAAGCTTCAGCACACCTACTAACACCAACTTAGTCGCACCCCCACAGCTCTCTGCCGAGGAGATGCGACAGCTTGAAGGCGAGGCCAACTTTACTGTCAAGTCGTTCTTCGCGACCGCTCTCGTCCTATATATCTGTACGTCATCCTCCCAGTCTACACTACGCCGTCTGGTCCATTACCGAAGCCGTTGGTCTCGAAACGTCCACTAACCGACATATCTTCAAGCTCCCTTCGTCGTCGACGCTGTCTCTGGCTTCTTGTAGACGACACCCGTGATACTAGATAGACTCGACGCATAAGAGCATACATAGCCTGTCAATTGCTGTCCGGGACCCGCCGATCAGAGAAGAGGATACAACGCCGCAGCCGAGCCACTATCATGCTTTTCAAAAGCTGTAACAATAGGAATGTACAATATTTTACACGTGGGCAAGGCTGTGGCGACACTACATTGGAACAAATAATGGGCATAGATGGCTAGAGAGCGATATTGTACCGCTCACAGTCAACACATTCGATCCCATTCCACCCCTCTATGGCACCCGGGAGCATGTGAACAGACCTTCACTGTATAGAACTATTTTATCAAACCCAAATCTCAAGATATATTAGCACCTCCACATGCCCGGTACAGGAATCAATGCAGCTGATTATGAGCGCCTCAAACGCCATGGCTTATGCACTTTCCTATGGCCAGCTCTGCGTAATAATACAAGCACAATTGTCTCCAGAAACTTAAATTCGCTGGCATTACCCGATGTCGAGTGCTCTATGGGAGTTTATTGTACCTTAATTTTCGAGACTAAGGCCTCGCGCTGGCTCTCGTCTCAGTTTGCCACTCATCGAAGTCCTTCTTAATGGATTCGACCTGGGCCTTCAAAGTCTGAAGCTGTTTATCATAATCCTCCAAAATCTAAATAAAGTCAGCAAATCATAGATCTATAGCAAAGACTTGGTGGGGGTTTCAATAGCCGTTACCTTTTTCGCTTTCGCTTCTGCTTCTTCTCCCAGTCCTTCTTGGGTTTCGGGACCCCGCCGCTCGATCTCTTTCCGCAGAGTATCGGCATAACCTCTAAGTACCAACAGCCGACTCCATAGTTCCTCAGTTCGTGCACTCACGGCGGGATCCATCAAGCCTTGGTCCAGCGTTTCCAACTTCGACTTGAGTTCGTCTTCATCCTTATCTAGGGAATATCCCCTGTTCCTCAAGACCTGAACTCTCGTTGCTAAAGCAAGGCATCGCTGCCTTAGTATCGCGTGCTTCCTACGCGCGGTTAAAGCTCGCACACTTGTCTGTAAGTCTTGATGTGAGAGAATCGCATCTAGACAGGCATTTATAGAATGCAAGGTTTGTCGATACTGAGCCAGTGCCTTCTCCTGCATCTTCAGTCTCTCGCCTATTGCAGCGAACCCAGTGGCCAGCACAGGCACATATCCGGCATCGGGTTTATCGTGTGCAGCCTGTTCCCATTCCCGAGGATCTTCGCCCGGGCCGGGCTGGAAAAACGGCACACGTGCCTGGCCAACATTGTTGTAGAAATAATGTTTAAAGACCGTGTTGGGATTATTTGCGGACCACTTTCCTACAATGGTTTCCATCTGTTCCGTCACTGGTTTGTGGCCTGTAACAAGATCATTAGCAAACAATAATAAAGAGGGACAAGAAAGCCCATACTGATTGATTCGCGGCCTGGCTCCCATATTAAACTCTTATTTTGCAATGCGGCCTGGCTTGCACCCAGGAATGATGAAGCAACAGGTTGCTGCTGCTGTTGAGGCTGTTGCTGCGGCGCTGGTTGCCCTAATAAACTCGTTCCGAACGCGCTACTCTGTGGTTGTGTTTGAGCCTGGGGTTGGTTCATAGTCTGGCCAAAGAGGCTGGTGGTAGGAGCAGGTTGCCCGGCGCTCGTCCCAAAGGCTGGCGCAGCAGGCCGGCCGAAGAGAGACATCGCGTGAAGGTGTTTAGGTAGTTAAAGGAGAACCAATTATAGCCACGGGGATGAGTGGGATCTAACGCGTTTCGCGCGCAGAATGATCGTCGGAAACCTGTGAAATGATGCGGAAGGCGTCTCAATTCAAGGGATGATGCGAGCGAGTGGTCCTGGGATGAAGCGATGGCGTATTGTTCGGTTTTTGAAGACTGTCAAAGGCGTCCTTTGTGGATAGATCACGAACTCTTCGGAGTACAGATATAACAGATCTAACTTCTATGGCACTCGTTCTGGTATATTGCTGGGGTTCAGTTGCTGTTGATGTCTGAAGCCATGCGAGCTGGCTGCAGGCACATCGCGAAAACAAAAAACAGCCGCCAAGCCTCTCCAGCTGTAGGTGCCCACTGTATCTTAGCTGAGGAAGCTCTCCCTTGCGGGCTTGTGCCTGGATGCCTACTGAGGTAAGTATGTAGGTATCCACCCCAGGTGGAAAGGCTCGAAAGGAAAGCCGTAGATAGGTATACTACTGCCTCAGCCCTGTTGTGGCTAGCCCCGAACTCCTTGTGGCTGGAGCCAATCAGCAGCTTCGATTTCCCAATCTCAACTCGCTGAGTGCTCCATTTCCGAGCATCATCATAGACGACCTCACTCTGCATACCTCGACGACAACGCAAATATGGCGTCCCGGAAGCCTGTGTATGTTTTTCCTACTTTATATATCATCTTGCGTTGTCAATTGGCCATGTACCGGCCGAACGCATCCCATACGGCTCTCATGTGCGGTGTTCAATGCTGACGTTCTCATAGCTTCAACCAGCAGGTGTTGTATGACACCACTCCTCTTCCGGATTCGATCCCCGCCGTCAAAGAGGTCGGTGCAACATCTGCGCCTCTCCTCTCCGCCTCCTTCTTCATTGGTGCTCGATGCCGTCCCTACAACGATGATTACATGCAATGCAAGACCGAGAACCCGGGGAAGGGCGAGTTCGAATGTTTGAAGGAAGGTCGCCGCGTTACGAGATGCGCTGCTACTGTGTATGTCAACGACCTTCTATCTTGATCCTTCGATGCCTCCTGGGTGTCCACGAACATTTTGTCTCTGCATGACACGGCTTGGGGAGCGGATAACGATATAGATACTGATATCACCGGGGTCAATACAGCGTCGAAGACATCAACAAACACTGCTTGGAAGAGTTCCGCAAGCACTGGCAATGCCTTGATAACAATAACCACCAGCTTTGGCAGTGCCGGAAGGCTGAATGGAAACTCAACCAATGCGTATTCGATAACTTGGTTAGTTACTGGACAATTTTCGTCACTGCCCCCGCATACTAATCCGCAAACTAGAAACTTGAAAAGACAATTCCCGATGCCCCCAAGGACCAAATTCCCGTTCACCTCCGAACAAAACAGATCTATGCTCATTACCCTATTTTGAGAGACCGTGGCCAGCCATCCCTAGGAAAGTCTATCGATCCTCCATCTGCCCAGGCGCAGGCGCAGACACCTACGTCGTGATCCCTTGTGCACGACGTTTCCTACAGGTCTTAGAGAGCCCCCTTCAGAAAAGCGGCGGCTATATGTACATAAATTCAGCAGGGATGTCAAGAAGAGCCATTTGTTCCAGACTTCATACTTTGAAAACCGAGTGAGCTTAACGGTAATTCGGCCAGTGAGTAGGCCAGCACAATGGCCCGTGATTCGTTCTGGATATAAGACGTTCATAGAACTCAAGGTGGCTAGTTATGCCTCCTTTATTCAACAAGAAAACATGCAATGATCGTATTCTATGTCCAACGCGTGAAGATGTCACCGTGTTTGACGCTTTCCTCTAGAGTATAGGAACCAAGCGCTCTCAGCATCTCAAATAATCTTCATGCTCATCACCTCTTAGCCTAAAAGGTGTATTCTTGTTCTATATCGACCCCGGGGATACTTGATAAAACAGAGCGCGGGCCCTATATACTCCAATTACTCAATCGGTTGAACCCTAGCGGTTTTCCCCTCTTGAAAGCTCTAGCTAGGAATCTAGCACAAACGATTTATACGCTTTCCTAGCCCAGAACAGCAAGTCAAAATCAACCATCAAGCTAGTGACATATTCAAGATTAGTCCCATTATCTTCGAGTGTAGGTAACCCACGGTTCAAATAGGATGATATGTTAACTTCAGCAGACACTTATCAAACTACGCAAGCTCCTTTCTTCCCCGGAAGGGACATAAATGTCATAGATCAACCGCCCTTTCTTTACCGTGAATACCAGTAAGCTAGACACTAACTCACAAGCCAGTATTACGATCATGTGATATTCTAGCACCGGTCATAGCACCGCAGCCGTGCCTCGGGGCTCGCTCGCTGAAAATACGGACAGAAACGAGAGTCAATGAACGGGTCGCTGCTCTGCGTATGTAGTGCACCATCGGCATCGCATGCGGGGTAAAATACGGGAAAGAGCGAAGGGAGCACAGGGTCGGAAGTTGGCATATCACCGGTCTACTCTGCTGTACCACTGATGACAGCTTAGAAGGGGGGACCTTCGGCTAGCATCTGAATGAGACGTACGACCCCAGCATTACACAATACGTAACTCCAGATGTGAAAACGATCACCCGCGAAACAAACATCTGGAGATAACATGACATAAACCCGCGCATAGAAGGCCGGATCGGTGTTGCCGCATTAACGCGCCACCGCATTACGCCCAAGGCTCTGAGAAATATCAAACAGCAAAGTCGAAACAGCGTATCCAAGACAATGTGTTCTCTCCACGATCTAAGTCCCGACTAATCTGGCCTGACCCGATCCCATCCGAAAGGGCCCTCAAAGAAACCAGCGCACATGTTTGTTTGTACGTGAGACCTTTCGCGTCACACACATCTCGCCACGCATTCCCAACCCCACGGGATCGCAGCTAAATCGTAAAATTATCATGACATCCTAGTAGATAAGATAGATAGAAATTTACCTCCTGATCTCCAGGTAACACTACGTCGGAACGCAATTCATCTATCTATACCCGTCTGCGGTCAGTTTGCCGCCCTCCGCAATGAAATGGGCCAGAGACCCCCATCAAAGTGCAGGCAAACTATTTCAGACGATTAAAAAAAAACGAAGGTCAGCTTATTTTGATTTGATAGATCACGTTTACTTTCGTAACACAGTTTGAAAGGCGTTTGGGAGCGAGACATGGGGCTCGCGATGCCCGAGGTTTCTCAAGAGCATTGGTATAAGGAGGTTATACACTAGTTGGGGGCAAGACAACATGAGGGGCAGATAAATCGCATAGTACACAGGCGGTAATTATTTATCTGAGTACCCGTGGTATGGCTGGAACTTCTGGCCAGCCATGATTGAAGACTTTGATAAATACTACCTAGGCTCATGAAGTAATGAAATGTCTGTTCACATTACTTCCCGGAGCGAGGTTGGTTTCGATCAAGGTAAGGCTAGTAATTAGTTTATTGGGATTTCGGAGTATACATGTCTTGCTTTCAAAGGGATGTGTTAGATAGATATTACCACGTTATTGTCTCAGACAGACAGACAATAGATGATATACTATGAAATCCGGCGACAAATCTGATGTTTCAAGCACTTCAACAAGGGCAAAGCTATCAGCTCGTGTCTTAGACATAACCTGGGGAGACCTTGGTGCCTCCAACGCACAAGTCCGGTAGGATAAAGCGTTTTGATAGACCACGGTACGAAGCGCGGATGATCGAACTTGAGAGATTGCAATCCTTGAACTATCAAACGAGTGTTCGGTCCTATGCAGCGAAGATATTTCGGCGGATGTCGTTGATGTATCCCACCAATAACGTCTAATGTTGATTGCCAATATGCATTGAAAGCTTCAGAAGGCGAGAAGAGTTTATAAACTGGTCAAACATGTTGTTGAAGGCAGTACGACCAGGACCCCGGATTTGGGAAGACTGGGATTATGCGGGCAATCTCCGGCTGGGCCCTGCGCTTGCCAGGTCAGACTGCTTACACCCCTTGATGCATCTTTATTTGGGCATATTTTGCTAGTTGTGTAGTGTGGTGTGGTTGGTGTCTGGATGTCTCTTGTTTTGGTGAAGCCGCTACTTCTTGGGTTGAATCATTGACGTGGCGAGGTCAACAAGAAGGATCAATGCTTCCAATTGTCAAATACATCTGACGGGCCATGAGACGACGCAATAAGCCAGTTTACGACTGCGCATACTTAAAGCAAGCGGACACATTTGAACCCAAGAATTGCTGAAACAACCCCCTGGATGCTCACATCACATTTAAATTTCCGCATGAGCCGTTACCACTAGGCATATACACTATAAGAAGGTAGATGTCCAGTGGGATGAGAATCCGACGCAGGAACATGATCTGTCGCACTGGCGCAGCGGTCCCTTGGCTAATATAAAAAATCAACAAGCGATTGAGGCACAGCAGACTCGGAAAAGAACCATAGTCGTGTCATCGGGAATCACACAGCTGAATTGATACTAGTATAGTACATACCTGTGCACGGCGAGGGCGGCGGCGCGCACCTCGCTGGTCATCTATCATTCGTTCGCTAGGATGCTCCGAGGACGCTTGGCTAGCTTCTCCCGAGTCCTACCTCGCGGGTCGTCAGTTCATATTATACGGTAGCGTTGTTTTATATGAGGCTCATTTATGATGGCGTAGAAAAGTCGTGTAGTGTAGGAGTGCTGAAAACTAGTGGAGATGATTGGGGGTGTCCGTTGAAAGTTACCTTAACCTTGGGATCAGTAGGGAGTACAGGTGTAGATACCTACCTACCCTCAACACTTTCATGGTTATGAGCAATTGAGCAAAAAAATCGGGATGATAGAACGATCTAGACTGAGATCGATCTTCCCCAGGGTAAAGATACATGAATGGCTGGGCTGAAGCATGGATACCGACGGCTTGCAGACCTTGCACTTGTACGTCAACCTAAACCCACTTGTTTAGATATCTAGACCTACAATAAGTTAGGGGAGAGTTGGTAGCCCTTCCTCGCCCTTCTTACTGGCTGTGGTTTGGTCATGATTTTCACGGAGGCTGTAACTTGTTACACTGGCTTCGTTCGTACATGAAAACGTGTAGATCTGTGCTGAGACCAGGCAAAAGAGTGGCTAATACAGGGTTGCAGGTGAAATCTGTTCGTCCATTGTGGCCGGTCAGAGGGCCGGTGTGGTGACCGGCGTGGCTGTCGCGGCGGGAAGCACGTTGACGCCGTTGGCTCGATGAGTTCCAGTTACCTAAGGCGAGCTCTGGGCGAGGACAGAGAGCAGAGAGCAGAGAGCAGACAGAGAACAGACCGGCACCTTCCATCAATAGTCAAACCCCGCAAGGGGTAGCCGCGGCCGAAATTATGGTCGTTTCAAGAAAAGCCTACTTCCGCCACATCTTTGCTGTCCCCACTTCTCTTTTTCCTCTTAGTAGTACTTAGGTATCTACTATAAGTAGATCCTTTTTGACCCTTTTCTACAGCAAGTACATGTATGTGTGAAGTACCATTTCCTGAATCATTGAACCAGCATCTAGACGCTGCGTAGTACATAGGCAGTATACTAAGCATGTATGCAATGATCATCTGTTCACATCTACTTAACTACTATCTATCTCTTCGCAGAACCAAATGTACTTTGGCTGGAGTCAAGTAGTGCAGACTTTCTAAGATTGCGTGCATTGAAATACACTTAAAAATAAAGTATTGCCCTGGAAAGGGGTTGTCATGGTTCTTCCTTCTGTCTTGGTATTCTACTACAGGTACTGTACCTTACCTGCAGAGTACCCGCTAACGGCACTGCCTTCAGCAGGTGGATAGAGGCAAAGCTACAGCCTATCACGAGCACAGGTTTTGCTCTGTAGCCCCGCGCTTGTGGGCGTGGATCGGGTACCTACTTACAGGACTGGGTGACAGATGAGCAGAGGGAAACAAATCTGCAAGGTACCATGGCGCTAGCAGGGGCTGAAACACACTAATCCTGCCGAGATCGACCTTCCTTAAATCCACGGTCTGGCTGCAAAGACAGGCACAGGACGGACAGAAAACAGGGTCAGACAATGCGGGAAGGGGTCAGGAATTGACTGATTGACATGAGAAAAGATCAGACGAACGCCGCCTACTGTACTTAAAAGTTCTCGGAAGATAAGTGCTTATCACCCACACATCTATATTTGTGTATATATATGTACGGAATACTTGTGTAGACTTGTTATGGCGCGCGCCCATCAGATGGATCTACCTGCTACTACCCGTCATTAGGATGCAAGGGAAATCTTTTCATCATGGGCATGTTATGATCGGTTATGATCGACCATTACGTTGGATTTTTCAAGCAACGCTTGCGCACGTGTACGCAGCAGATACGCAGGTACATACCGTAGTAGGTAGTCGGGTAGTAAATGTTCAATGTCATGGTTCCAAGCTCCAAACTGGAACGTGCATTTATCCAACTACACTAACAGACAGTACTTAGGTTGCGATGATGATGTTATCGAACAAGTTTACCAATCTATGGCGCCAGTGTAGACCCTCATTTAGAACCAACCGTGATCTTGGTACGGAACTGAGTGATCTGCATACATAGGGAAAAGCAACTCCTGGCCGTGTCCAGCTAGTTGTCACGCCCGCCCCGTGATGTCATTCCTCTCTTTTTCACCGGCTCTAATCATAATTCTGCCTGAGACACCTACCAGATGAGTTGCTCAGTGCGTAGCTGACTTTAAACTGCCTAGGTAAGCGGGTAGCGACTCGAGAGGCGCAGAGTTGTAATCACGCCTGGTATCCGGTACCTATCTGTTTGTCTGCACCTATGTAAGTAAGTACCTAAGTAAGCTGTCAAGGTCACCAACCTATGTCACGATGGATGCCGTCAAGTGTCACTCGGCCGCCTCGTATTTAGATTACTGTGCTTCATTGGTATGGTACCAAGTCACGCAGTATAGAAGGTGCTTCTTTCTGATACGGATATCTCTATCCAACCTGTTGGTTTAGATGTCACTTGAAACCAGATCTCATTCTTGGGAATACAAGATACAGTACTATATCGAATGCTGTGGCATCGGGACATGCAATTGTCAAGTGCCTACATCATCTCCTCTGTCCAAGCCAGGAGCCAAGCACCTAGCACAGAATACATACCTACCTAGGCCGTATCTGGCCGTCCACAAAAACCTGGTCATGAATGAATCGTGGAGGTGTGACGCTGGTGTGGGCGGTCAGGAGGAGTTGGTGCCGCACAACACACATCAGGGAATTACTTAATTGACCGTGTCGGACCGTGGCTGACCGTGCTTTTAGTCGCACATCTCTGTAATTACCACCAAGTGGCTGCTTGGCTGAATGGTGGGTTGTCAGGGATACCCCGGCGCATACCCACTGTGCCCGTCAAGTCAAGTCAGCATCTTCAGGCGCCATCTGGCCCGGCCCTCGAAACGAATTCATGTTTGTCACCACTAACAGCAACGGTCCTTCCCCTTACGATTCATTTGATCGCTCGCCGGGTCACTCACTCAGTCACTCAGGTCACTCATTCAAGCCACCTGGGGCAGTCAGACCCAGTGTAGCCGCTCTTTCAGCGGGTCGTGTAGTAATGTACTCTCCCGGTATCATGTACCTAGGTAGCCAGGTACCTCCCTACCGCCTTTGATTGCTTGAACTACTTCCACTGGCAAACATCACGGCAGCTGGGGTACATCGTGTGTTTCCACACCACACTCGCTTTACTACTTCAACTCCTTCTATTTCCACCTTCTTTCCCCTCTGCTTCTCTTCCCCATCCCTTACCTCAGGTTTGGTCGATATATCAGAGCGCTTGTTCGTCAGATCCGTCAGTCCTTTCCGGCTTACCACCACACTCTTTCTTGTCTGCCTCCGGCGCATTTACACTCCTTTTCTGACTCCGGTCTCGAACTTCGCCCTCTTCGACCAGCCCATCTCGTTGTGGCCGTCCGACGCAATTGATTTGGGTCGACACTCTTTCCCTCCTTGTAACATTCATCATTGCCATTATCTTCACTACCGGACGCCAGTCGTTCTTGACCCAGCTGCTTCATCATCGAAACTCGCTCTAGTCAGCGTTCCGAATTTGTCTCACCTCACCAACCAGTCGTCTCGGTCTTCTGTTTCAATACGGGCAATTAGGTTCCTGTAAACTACTTACTTGCCTTTGTACTTGTCAATCTCTGTATTCTTGAATTTCAAGTCAACTTCAAACAAAGGTTAGTAAAACATGACACCCGAGGTGGTCTGGTCCCTTAATCTTAGCTATTGTCCCTTCTCCCCTTGTACTCCGAAGCAGACAAGGTTGGCTCCCTTGACCTCGGTAAACCAAGCAGTCGAATAAAGACTCGCATTATCTTTCAATTTCAAGTCGAGATTTTGTACAGGAATTTTGCCCCACGATATGTACAATGGGCTCCAGAGCTACAAGTCGTTCTTCATCCCATATCGATATCGCCCACGAGTAGTGTTTACTTGTAAACATCAGATGGCATAGAACAACCAATATGCGATAACCCAGCACGTTCATTACAATTCAATTCTCATGATCATTCATATATTAAATATATTTTGGACCATTTTATCTAATTAGTTTCACAGTTCATTACGAAATTTTGTCAAGTCGGAAATATGAAGTCCTCAATCTTCCTTGCAACTGCTGGTGCGGCACTGGCTTTGGCCAACCCGCTTGACAAGCGCGTGCTAGAGACCGAGGTCGTTGTGGAATACTACACTGTCACCGTTACCGGAAATGCTCCTGAGCCCACGAACCATCACAAGTACCGGCCTCATCCTCACCCCACCAAAGAAGAGACACCCGTTGAGGAGCCTGAAACTACTGTCGTTGAGACGACGAAGGCTGAGCCCACCACCACCTCAGTGCCTGTTGTTTATGTTACTGTAACTCCTGAAGAGACCAAGGAGCCAGAGCCGACTACCACTGCCAAGCCTTCAACTGTCGTCGATACCCCGGCCCAAGCCAGTGACTCGGGTTCAACGGAGGGCGACTCGTTTGAATCCGTGGCGGTCTACCACCACAACATCCACCGATCTAACCACTCTTCTCCTGAGGTTACCTGGAACGCAGAGATTGCCGGATATGCTGCCAACACTGCTGCGACTTGCAAATTCGCTCATGATATGTACGTTGGACCGATCATCTCTGTCAGGTATGACTTGCTAATAATGTGTGAATAGGAGCCAAGGTGGCGGTGGCTATGGTCAGAACATTGCCTTGTGGGGTGTGAGCTCTGGCGCCGAAGAGCTGGGCGCTGCTGGTGCCGTCAAGATGGCCACCACCAACATGTGGTACGATGGTGAATTTAACAGCTTCCTACCCTCCTACTACGGACAGCCCACTCCCGACATGACCAACTTCGAGGCTTGGGGTCACTTGAGCCAAGTCGTTTGGGCTGGTACCACCAGCGTCGGCTGCCATGCTCAGTTCTGCCCTCGTGGTACGGCTTACAGCAACTTGGACTCCTGGTTCACAGTCTGCAACTACTCTCCCCCAGGTATGTTTGTATCACGTTGCACGTCGATCTTATTGCTAACACGTCTCAAGGCAACATTGGTGGTGCTTATGGCAAGAACATCAACAAGCCCAAGGGTGATGCTTCAGTTGTCGTCTAAGTCGACAGTTCGCACCGAGATGGCGCTTTGCTTTGCACGCAAAGGCCCGTCTATCATGCATGGCATGTGTATATGAGGACCGAACTCGAGGGTTTATTCTAGGCGATGGCTGTAACATGTGCATCGTGTTTATGCAAATAAGTATAGATGCTAGACCACGTCAATGGCTCACGATGACGATTCTACGCTTGCGATGAAACCAGCATCTAGCGTGTTTGGTACCGAACCGACCAAGCATGCCAGCATATATATTTTTCACTTCGTCGCCAGACTTAGCAATACCATCTGCATCACTTCTGGCACTTGGGTCAAACTTCTTGAAGTACCACCTCCCGTTAAGGTTGCGGTGCATCTATTAAGTCTGGCTCCTGCTTTGGGGTTAAAGACAATCAATTTTGGACTTTCCACTTCCTGTATCTAAGCTCGTTCTATTCTCCATGACAAGGCGTTGTGTCATTCATATGGTAGTGTATACCGTGTTATCTCTGCATTATGCAAATCGAGGAGATTTGACCGCCCTTTGACGTTTCCAATTGTGACGATCGAGAATGTGACCTGCGCTTTATGACAATTGTTCTTGACTAAATGAATTATTCATGGATACTAATCAATTAAGCATAATGAGACTATAAACAACAAAGAAAACTCGTGAGTGGAACTCGTATACCACCCTTGTCAATGAAGATCTGAGTCTGGTGCTACGATTCGATCGCAGTAGACTTGCTCTTATCACATAATATTGGGCTTCGATTTTCTTTCCTAGTAGGTATGCATTTAGTCTAACTACCTAGATAGCTTGTGGGATATACTACCTATCTACTGCTTCACCCTACGCGCAGGACGCTTTTGGGTATTTAGGTTCTATCAAGGAACAAAGGGTGCGCGGACATAGTATTTTGTGATTCGCTGAATGGGTTGGATATAAGTAGGTATGTGTATTATTATATAAGTAGTACAGCGGATTGCTCTTTGTTCGGCGTGGGTATGGTATTTCTTTGTTGGGATGTCTGGTTGTTACTTGGGTACTGTATGATGGGACTGGTGCTCTTTACTATACGCTGGCGGTGGTTAGTTAGGTGATTGATTGGTTCATGGTGGGTAATTCGGGGCTTTTGGTAGTTGGGGGGAGGATTGATTATTAGATTTCATGTAGTTATATGCCGTGTGTTAATTGGCGTTATGGATGTCTTCGATGTTACGATTCGGCTTCTTTTTTTTCAATTTTTTTTATGAATCCTATTGATAGTACCTATACATATTCAAGATAGGGGCGAGCGACTACCATCACTCTCTCCCACCAGGCTCCCACCTTACTTACAGTAGACATGCTGGGTAGGGTGGATGGATTTTGCCTTGGAACATCACGCTTATTCGAGGTAAGCGTGCCTGTCTCATGATTATCATCTACCCACCTGGTCGTATTTTGTCCTGGCGATCACGAAACTAGGTCTTACTCAGGAAGGAGAGTAGTGTATGCCCTTCGCGGCGTACCATTCGTCCTTGAGGCAGGACCCTATCTAGGTATGTATGTAGACAGACACGGTCTCGTATTCATCTGTGCAAATCCCTATTTGCTGCGACATGGGAGTTCTAAAGTCTGGTCGTTGGGTCGAGTTCAATGTAGTGGGGGGTTTGTGAATATGTGAATGACTGAATGAATGAATGATGTGATGATGTATGTAGCTTATCAACTTATGTATATCTGTAACATCATGTAAGCGGGATCATCACGTCTTAACTTATCGTAGAAGGAGACTATATTTTTCTGTGACAGTGGCTTGAATGGATAGTCCTAAGGATATGAATTGGGATCGAAATCCTTATTTGGCGTCATCTAAGAGGGATGGCTACTCCCTTGTAAAGTCGCAATGTCCAGCTCTGTGTAGGCGTCAGCGCCTTGCCTGATCAGCTGCAATAAAACACCTCAGCATTAACTGTCTTTCCGAACGTCTTCCTCTCTCTACGTCTATTAGCTGAAATTCCATCTTTTAACCTAAACCTCTAACGTGGTTGTTTCTTTCCCAAAAAAAAAACAAAAAAAAACGGTTCGTTCTTCTTGAACCGTGATACTAAATTTAGGGCTGGTGGCTAAGCCAATAGGAGCCAGGCTGTGCTTCGAATCCAGACTGAGGGAGCATATTGTATGTAGTATCGGGAATACCTACCTACGTGTAAATGCCCACTTGCTGTTGCGGGCCTACATTATACATAGTGTGTTGGAGTCGTGACATTCGATGGTGCGTTTTAGGTGTAGGATAGATATATTAATTCCCAGTGTTTATCGAAGGAGTAAACGATGGCGACACATCACCGGCTGCTGTGGCATGCTGGCCAGGAAGGACTCTGAAACGGAATACCGAGGACGAGTCCTACGGCATTTGTCTCGAGCTGAGGTGTGGGCTGGCGTAAGCTACCTATACTTAGGACAGGGAGACATGGCAACATCATATCAGAGAGGCATGCGTGCGATAACTTTAGGAACCGCTTTGTTTGTAAGTATGGCATATCGGCGCAAAAGAGCGCGAGATGCCGGCGCAATATGCAATGGGGCTGCGAACGATTTAAGCTGCTACCATGCCATATATTTCATACATACTATAATGCATATGCTCGGTATCGCGAATTGCAGAACATCAAGGGTTGATATTTATCAGTACTCATCAGAATACGAGAAGGTCAGATATGTCTTGAAGTGGTTGCGCACAGCAGGGTTCTCGGTTCTTCAAGGGAGCCCATCAAGGGAGCCCATCACGGGCCGTCGTGTTGTGCCCATTACCAAGACGCTGGTAACCGCCGGAAGAGAACATCCAGGGATCAGAGGGCCACGGCTATGACGTTGTGTTGCGGGTTCTGCGCAACCTGCCACCTCATCTCATCCACTCTCTGCATTTGCATTGGCGACACAGCCAACGGCACGAGCGTCGGCTCGAGACAAACAGACTTGGCGAATGTCGATGAACATCGGAAGTCGGCACATTGTTACGAAGTAAGTAAAGAAAGAAGATGTAGACTTGCAGCACATCACCTGTCGCCTAACTGCAGTCAGGCAGTCAGTCTGGCAGTCCTGCGGTCTTGGCATTTATGCCTGCCTGTCAATGTCAGGCCAAACCCAACAAGAACAACCTTCTTTTTCTTTTGTCTTTGTATGCGAGACATGTAAAGAATTATGGCCATCGCATGCTGTGCTTTTTTCAAAGAGTCTGCAACGTTCGTGGTCTCTACTCAAGTCTTTTAGCCATGTACTACCTATAGTAAGTATGTAGTACAGATTCAGGGTAGTACGAAGTACCTAGGTTTGATAGTACAATGGAACGGTTGACTGCACTCGCTGTAAGGCGCCGGGACTATCTACATAGTAGGTACCTCATCCAGTATCTGATCCAGTATCTGATCCAGTATCTGGCTAGGTATTCTTGATAGCACGCACCCAAGCACTGGATCCGGGGAACCGCGAGCAGCCCATAGTCCGAGGTAGCGTCCCGTTAACCTCCCCTGATTATTAGACCTGCCGACGGCGCCGTCTAGTATTTATTGTATTTATTACTACTATGTAGAGTACACGTCCTCTCTCGACTCCGTACATTGCCAGCGTGCTTAGCTCATCATCATCATCATCATCATCATCATCTTCATCTTCATCTTCTTCCTCCTCCTCAACTCGGCATTCTCCTGGCATTCTCCTGGAACATCCTGGCCTACATACCCTCGACGACATTCAACAGCCTCAAGGTTCTCTTTTTCTCTCCTCTCCTCTGTCCCAACCAAGACTGTCGACTGTCTACTTACTACCCTCCCCCCCTGTTCTTATCTCGCGCTACAGCCTAGCCATTCTTCCTTTAGCACTCGAAGGAGCGGCGTGGTGGACATGACCTTGCCGATCTACCTCCAGCGAAGCCCACTGGCACCCCACTGCATGGCCGACACCTCCAATTGAACCCGCCGAAACACTCGCCTCTTCGTCTTGGCGATGCTTGGCAGCTTCCGGTCTGCCTCAGCCCGGAACGCACTAGGACGCCTAGGATGCCCAGGAGCGAAAGGGGGACTGCCTATTTACCGTCGCCTGTCCATTCTTCTTTTCTTCATCTTCACCTGCTGTCGTTCGTTAATTCCACCGTTGCTTATTGTCCTCGCGATAGGCGACGCCTTTTGCGCTTTTCTCTTCTCCAATTCACCCGCAGTCATTCCTTTATATACACCTTAGTTGTACAATCAGCGCATACGTAATCCTTGTTCCATATTCGTCACCATCCTCGAACCCTTTAGAACCAGTATCAGTACCTATATCTTAGTATCGCACTGTTGGCAAGATGGACAAGTTACCCGCGTTTCCCACCTCGTTTCCGAGGCAGTTACAGGAGACGACCACGAACATCATGTCCGTAGTCATGGCAAGGAAGCGACTTCTCGTGTTTCTATTTGTGCCACTAGTACTTATCGGTAAGTTCGGCGCTTTCGCTTCCATTGTCACCCGCGATGATGTCGTTGACGCCACGGAACAGGGCTGTTTTTCACCGGCACCGTTAGCGATAGCGAATGGTCTCAGTCAATAGGAAATGGATTCAAAAACGGCGTTAGCTATGTGACGGGCGATGGGCACTCAGGTGGCCAGTTCGGTGGCGGTGGTATCATATATGTATCGAGTAACAGCTCCAACACATCGATCGGCCACGGTACCACAAAGTACTGGAAGAGCAAGCCTTTCAAACGCCCTGGCTACGAGCTACCCTTGGCTGACGGCATGCCGCTGCGTATCATGGCCCTGGGTGCCTCGACTACCCGCGGTGATAGCCCCGAAAAGGGCATCGACAACAACGGCTTCCGTCGGCCTCTGCGAGAGAAACTCGTCAAGATCGGTAACCCTGTCAACTTTGTAGGGTCCCAGCGCCTCGGCAACATGACCGACAACGATATTGAAGCGTATCCCGGTGTGCCCACCCACAGAATCCACGCCCATGCCAAAGAGGCTGTGCCCTCGAGGAAACCCAACTTGTTCCTACTCAATGCTGGCTCAAACGACTGCTTCCAACACATAGACATCGACAACTTTTACAAGCGATACGATGCTTTAGTCCAATACTGTTTATCAGCCTCTCCACGCTCCACCATCATCATGTCTACAATTCTTCCTACTTGGGACAAGCGCTTCAATGGCAGAGAAGAAGTCTGGAAGGTCAACCCTCAAATTCGAAGGCTCGCCAAGATCTATCAAGCGGAAGGCAAACCCGTTGTTCTGGCCGAGCTTCAAGGTCCCGACGGTGTTCAGGACGGGAATATTGCCGAGGATGGCATGCACCCTGGTACAGCTGGTTATGAGATGATGGCTACCAAGATGTTCGAGGCGATCGTCGAGGCTGATGCTAGGGGCTTTCTACAGTCCCCCGAGCCGGTTATGGGCATCCTCGACGATGGTGATGAGGAACGCAAGGACGACGCCTACTTTGCTCACTTTGAACAAATGCAAGCCATGGACAACGCCACCATGTCAGCAGAGCAGGCCGAGATGGATAGAATGAAGGCAGAGCTCGCTGCGATGCATGTACAAGAGGCCGAGAAGCAAAAAGAGGACAAGAAGCAGTCGAGGCACGTACGCCGAAACAGGGAGCACAGATTCCCCCAGCTGCAAGTTGTATAAAAGGTGTGAGTAAGGATTGTATACAGCAAAGAAGAGGACAACCGGCATTTTGTGTGCAAAACGGTACCTATAAACGACTTATCTACGATGTCACGGCTTCAATCTGGTTTTAAGGGAGAGTACCATGCGACCTACATACTTAGAGAGTACTATAATATTTGGTGATTGGAGGAAGAGAGGGCGTCGGACTTGGAAAGGATATACCATGACATAAAACTGATTTACAAACATCCCACAATAGACCTCCACCTCCTTACCTACCCTGTTGTTTATATCATTAGAGTAATCAAGGAAACTCATCTATTATCGGGAACTTCGCGGCGAGAATTAATCACAGTATGCGACATAACTTGTATCAACAAATGGTGAGCAAGCGGATAATAATTATTAGCACATTGATGTAAACCATTATCAGAAGGTGTATTTTCAAGTTGGTCCCACGCCTCCAGCCTACATAATACTCGCCAATCGATCTAGATCTGTACTACCAACCTTTTCTCCAACATGGTATAGTCTTGTTGCATGGCAGTATGGTAGGCAGTAAGGCAGTGGCCAATTGATGCAAGTCTTCGTCAGAAATATGACAGAATGTCGTTGTCGAATGAATGTGGTGTGCGACCCCCGTGACATGGCCTTGGTAACAAGCGCTGCTATCCCTTGCCGCAAGCTACTTAATTTCTGTGCTCCTCCCTTGCTCCATGGACTTGACCGCTAGACAGGTCAACAAATCAACAAACGTGAATAACGAACCAGGCTATACAAAAGGGAAGCGCACATTTTCTCAATTGGATGGCGCGAAGTACGATATGATATATAAATACTTGAAGCTGCGACAGACCCCGAGCACTCAGCTAAATCATGGCGCTCCAGTTATAGCCGCTCGCGACGCGCTTGATCCGACCACTTAGACTACCCACTGCAGCTGTCAACATACTTCTTCTTCGCTGCCGCTGCTACTTCTGCTGTCGATTGAGGAATGGCTTCGCAGGCCAGCGTTGCGAGCAGTCAGCCAGACCCGCGCCACTTACGAATCATCGCTGCATCAGCTCAAGCCAACGAAGCCCGAGTTCGAGACATCCTTGCCGAAGAGCCCTCATGGGTTTCGTCTACCGACCTCGATGCGCTACGCCAGGCACTGCAGAAAGTTGCTGCTCGCGGCAAGCTCTCCATTGTCCGCCTGCTTATCGAACATGGCGCCGATGTGAATCCCAAGCAAGACACTGAGGTCCCTGCGCTCGTGAAAGCCGCCGAAACTGGCAACGTCAACGTCGTCTCCGAACTCCTTGCCCACCATGCCGACCCAAACGCCCGTAACCGGTCAGGCCAGACGGCATTGTTCATTGCTGCGATCAAGGGCCATAATAAGGTTGTAGAGACTTTAGCCGGCGGTCGCGCCGACGTTAACGCAAAAGACAAGGAGGGCAGATCTCCTCTCCTATACCTTGCGTCTGAGAAGAAACCCAAGGCTAAATGGACAATCGAGACCTTGCGGCTGCTACTCCGACTCGGTGCCGATTTGGAGGTCCGCGATCACATCGGTCGGACGCCGCTGTTGTGGGCCGCCACGAATAGTAACATTGAGCTGGCGAGGTTTCTGCTAGAGAATAAGGCGAACGTTTCAGCGGCGAACAATCGCGGGCGCACCGCGCTACACCTGTCAGCTGAGAGCAACGACGACGAGAACCGTGACGAGATGGTGAAGTTACTGCTTCAGCACAACGCTAACCCTGAAGCTACGAGCGATGGAGGTTGGACGCCTCTCCATAACGCCGCTCAGAGCGGACATCTATCCGTTGTCGCTTTATTACTCCAAACTACAGCCAGAGTGAATGCTGAGCTATCTAATGGAATGACACCACTCCAGTATGTCCATGTCCAGCTATGCCTCTAATCTCCGCATGTTGTTTCGTGTTGCTGATCTTATATCGCTAGTTGGGCTGCATTCAACGGGTCTGAAGATATTGTCAAACTTCTCCTGACACGACCTGATGTAAATACTGGCAAGAAAGATGGATTTGACCGTACGCCAATGTTGTGCGCTGCTGAGAAGCATCACTCTGGGATTGTCCAGCTCCTGTCACCTGCCCGGACAGCGAACCGGCTGTCTGCTCTTGAAGAAAGCGCTTGCAGGGCTTTCGAGGCGACAGTCGTGGACTTTGGGCAGTTCGAGAAGAAACAGCTTGTATCTAAGTACTCCGTTTATGACTTGTTGTACGGCTGGAACGACGAACTGGATAAGCCGCGGGTCTCCACATTGACCAAGAATCTACACTACAAACCTGACTTTAGATGGATTCATCTCCCTGCTAATAATGTATATTGTGATCCCTTCTTATTATTTAAAGTAGGCGTTGGCTAACCTCTGCTCATAGATTGCGTGGGTTGAAGTAAGTTGGCCCCCCTGGGCCTTCGTGAATCGTGTGTTCTAACGCATTGTCAGACTCTTTTGGCCAAATCTTTTATAGAAGCTGGACATCGAGATATTGAATCCTTTAAGGCACTAGAAAAGTGTTTTGACCAGGAGCATAGAGTATGTAATACTTTGGTTGTTTCCTTCCATATCTTCAGTATCTACATTTGTTTAACTGCTGGCTTAATTTCCAGCCTCGATATGTTTCACAACTGTGCTGCATTCGAAGCACTAAAAGCCTACTCTCAGATAGACGGTTACTAACCTGGATTGTTGTTGCAAGGGACCTTTCGCGCATGCTCACTTCATGCGCCCTTTTTGCCATCGAATACCATCTCCACGAAGAGATGTGCCGGACAAGAAGGAGGAGAAATCATTAACTACTCTGACTGAAGATCCATCGGAAATTAGTATCAAGTCATCGCAAGATGGAACACCCCTCATATCCAGGAATTCATCAGACACCCAAGACGATTCTGTACTGAAATCCGATGCCAAAAAGAAAAGTAAATCTGAGCAGATCGCTGAGCGTCACCCGAAGAAACACAAGCGAGCCAAAGGACCACCTGGAAATCCTCCTCAGAGGCAGGACAGCTTGGCGAGCAACGGAAGTGGGAAGCTTTCGTTGTCCCTCCCTTGGGATACTCCAGTGCGTTCTATCAGCCCATGTTAACGAAGGATTTAACCTCAACACATCTGCTTCCCCTTTGAACCTCTATTTTCGCGATCATCCTTTCGATTGGTGGGCGGTAATTTCTAACTGGTAGCTTTTTGTAGCGTCATGCGGCCTCACATGGAAAAATAGTACTCTTTGTAAGTTGTCTGCCGGATCATTAACAAAACATACTAATTTCATGTAGATGCCCTTTTTACACTATGAAACAGACAAGAGGCGCCGAGAGATGAGCGACGCTATAAATCGCGTACACGACAAGAAACCATGCCCCGACTCTCCTAACAAAGATAGTTTACTTATTGAGGCATACTTGAATCATACTCCCCCTTTACATCCGCGCAGAACTCTTGATCAATTTTTTTATCATGGAATTGATACTTCGGCTCGAGATACAGATCAGTATGTGGCCATATCCTATCCTTCAGATGTTAACTCCAGAGCTATTCCCAGGCACATTCCTGAGACTAGTTTTGGGCCTCGTCATAGCAATCACTAACAATCAGATCCTTATAGAGTTGTGTATCGCTTTTGTAATAGATATGGAATCGAGGCGAAAGTGTTCATGGTCGATCAACTATGGCTCTGGGTTCTTGGGAAAGGTATTGAGTTGCACCCGCCATTTTCTGTAATTACCGTCAACTTACAATCCTTAGATCTCGTCATTACGTGTTTCCCCCAGCGTTGGGAGCAGCCTAAAAACGACCCATTGAACGTATTAGATGGGATTATTGAGGAAACGAATGCGAAAACTCGACCGCCAATTCAATCCGTCTTCGACCTCGCCATGTTGATTACTAGTCGATGCTCTGGGATGTTTGACCGTAGCCGCCTTGATGACCAGAATTATCAGTTTCTGGACATGTTCGAAAACTCCATAGGAGTAGTTACGGACCGCGAAAGCCGGCTTTTTAGTCGCTTCAATCGCGCCTCGGAGCAGTCAGCGCAATGGTTACGGCACCATACGAGCCGATCGGCTCTTAACATTGGCTACGAGCATCTGGGAAAAGATAGCGCGGATCAGTTTCTCGACGCATTGCTCGACATTGGTGTCGAAACCTCTCTGCTCGCCGAGATCAAGGATATCCGTGATGAGCTTAATATTATTATGGGTATCCTTGAGTCGCAATTACAGACTATTACCGACCTCGAAAGGTTTGTGACGGATGAAGTGCGCGGTGAGGGCTCACGCCGCACAACCGATGCCGTGGTGTCGGATATCAAACGTCGCACTGGTGAGCAAAAGCGAGGCCTTGAGGCAAAACAGAAAGATGTCAGCCGTATGGACAGACAGGCTTGGTCATTGTATGACGGCCTTACCGACCTGCTCGACTTGAAGCAGAAACATAGCAATGCGCTCGAGGCGAGATTCGCTGGCGACCAAGCGGTCATCGCAGCCAAACAGGGTCAAACTATCATGGTATTCACAATCGTGACAATTATATTCCTCCCGCTATCATTTATCGCATCTTTCTTCGCGATCAACTTTGTAGAATGGGAGAACAATATACACCTTTCCATTCCATATGTCAGCAAATACTTGTTCGGCATAGGATTTGCCATCAGCATACCCCTCGTGGCACTCGCATTCACGGTTCAGGGGATATCTAATACGGTCATTAAACTCTTCTCACGAACTAAAGCGAAGTTTGGGGAGAAGTACGGCTTCGCGAGTCTCGGGAGAAACCGCACACGGCATCGTCACGACGAAGACATACAGCATGCACATACGAACGCGGACCTATTAACGCTTAGGACAAATTTTACACGCGAAAAAGCTGAAATACCGAAGCCGTCTTTCTCATCACGCCGCGAGGACTACTACCAGCCCCCTACAAGTAGTCCAGGGGGCTGGAACAGCAACCAATACGATTCTTCTAATAAGGCATGGATGAGACCGAGCTTCCACAGCCGCGAGCGAAGCGACGAGCATCATCGCCGTCGCCTATCCCCTGTCTCTGCCGCCGCCGAACGTCGCAGAAGAGCGGGCTCGGGGAGTGCGACAGGTAATAATATTACGTGGGCAGCTCCTGAGCACGGCGTGCCTCCCTCTGGGACGAGACCTAGGGGCTTGAGCCAGGATCTGGAGAGTGGGCGGTTTTAATAGAAGACCATGGACAGGCAGAGGTACTCGGCCTTGAGAGATTAGCTTGATAGCGTGATAATAGAGGTATATAATAATAAAATTAAGTTTTCGTGCACTTGCCTTTATGTTTCGATGTTTTGTTTTATCTGAGGTGAGAAATGTGTGATACGCAATATCAACTGTTTCAAGACAACTACTCACTATGAGACGGCCTCCATCTACCTAGCCAAGTTGACTTTCCTTTCTCGTTCAGGGTGATGACTTATGATAAGACCGTCGTGGCCATGATGAGAAAGAAGATGAAGAGAATGTATTGACTGGCTGACTATTCCATTGAGACGTTGACGTATGCTGCACGACCGTTTTAGTGTCACATATATGGTGTCCTATCACCTCGTACCTGGAGGATCTGGTCCTTTTCAGCTTACATATGTACACATACATGTATTACCTCAGACATGTGTTCATATGAGAGTATATGAAGAATTCATGCAGGAGTTCTGTCCAGCACTCTCTTTTCCCAATGACTTGGATGATATCATGAATCGCAGCGCAGATCTGCTCATGGCCTGGGAACATTCGGGCATGATTCAGCCTTAGTGCCGGGGTCGTAGAGAGTCCTAATACCGAGATGTCATCATCGTGCTACCTACTCGCCGCACCATTTGCCCTGGGCTTCGACGAAGAACAAAATATCGCAATGCGAGATCCTGAGATAATATTAACACAGGCATATCATATCTGTAAAAAAAAATCAGAGGATTTCTATAGTACTTCCATGCCGAATATCCCAGGCTTGTTTCCTGAGTTGCGTATGAGCTTTAACGGGCAGCAAACAGCCCCCTCCCCCTTTTTCTCTTATTTGCGTATCACACTAACCGTGTAACAGCCCAACTGAGTCGCAGTCAGAAATTCAATGAAATAACAGACTGAGATGAAGGATCAAAGATATGCATCTCCTTCCGAGCTCAGCTGATTCACCGATCGGCGGGATCACGGGTGGTGGGTGTGACGGATATAAAACGATCATGTAGGAAAGCTTAGGGCAACGAATACCCCAACTTAGACAGGACATGGTTATCGGGACGGTGTAGAGCACTCCTTGGTGGGAACGTAATTTACTGGTATTTACGGTTGATTTTCTTGAGGGATGGGTAGACTGGACCTGGATGAATGGCGCATTTGCGGTTATTGTTGGGTATCGGGCATGTACATAATGTCTCCGATCAAGCTAGTAATTGGAATAGGCGAGTGTGAGACTCAGACGGTGGATTCACGTATTTCAATTATCATCGGCATGAAACATACCTGGATATTGTTTGATGATTGAGCCAATGGTCGTACGTAACTTCAAACTTACTCATATCGTATGTATCATGGGAGCTTGCCGTTGAATTGATATCTGACTGATTCACAATTTGGATTACTGGGATATTGATTTGATTCACGGCAAAGAGATGTGACAACGGTAGCATCGCGTTGATTCATATGATATTGGCCGGATATAAGTAGCAAGACAGACCATCGGTATCCTGTAATGTTCAGAGTTGTCGCTATCGTTCATTGTGGTCCAGTGTAAACCGGTCACTCGCTATATCCGTCCCTATTAGGGGACCTTTATAATTCATTCGTTTTTGCATACCTTTCTGTTGTTACATTCAACGCTTGTTGGTGACCATGTATGGGTTATTACCGCCTGGACTGAAAAGCTGGTGCTTAATTTGGCTCCTCGCCTTCTCTGTTGGTGTGACGGCTCAGTGTAGCGGAGTTGATACCAGGTATGTCTTCTGACTTGAATTCTTTTCTGAGCTATGTGTATGGTGTGTCGCTGACGTCTTGTCTTCGTCCAAGCTGTTACAATGCCTTGTTCCCATGTGAAAATACCACCGCCCTGGAAAAAGCTATCGGATACTGCTCGACTGTAGGCGCATACGGAGCCACAAATTACCCGGCACAGGCCACGACGGCATGCGGCACCAATAAGTCGGCTTATATGGCGGCCTGCCGGTGTGCCGTGGACTGCCCGTCGCCTACGGTTGCTTCGGCTTCGGAGTCAGATTGTTCATCTTCCCCGTCTTACGTAGGGGTATCGTCGTATCCCGAATATACTCTCACCTCCCCGAGCAGCAGCTTTACGACGTTGATGAACTCCTCTGGCGGATCTCAGTCGTGGCCTACGTCTTCCAACTCCAATGCTGGATCTACGGTCAGCAGTACTGGCATGCTATCTAATATCTCAACACCTATTACTACTATTTCAGGTAGCAGCACGGTCCTAGTCAGCCCAACTTCGATCGTGTTTGTGACAAGTACTCTTCAAAACGTTTCTTTGTCGTCTGGTACGCCTTCATGGAGAGATTCAACCACGACACTGGGTACGACTCCAGCAACTCCTTCAGTGACTAGTGGCAATACATCTACAGTGGTATCGTCGGGCCTGTCAGGCTCTGGCATACCTACCATAAGCGGATCGGGTGGTCCCTCTTCAGATGGATCGTCTAATATGATTATGACCTCGACTGCCCTAAGCTGGACGGTACCAGGCACTTCAACTTCCATCATATCTAGTACTTTCTCGTGGTCTTTAGGAAGTGAGACCAGGTCAGCAGTATCGACGCTGACTGGGGCATCTAGCAGTGGAAGTGATACCTGGTCTAACTCAACCACTCCGACTGGTAGCAGCACTGTCCCTATGATCTCAAGCACCGCGAGTACTTTTAGTACTGGTGGTTCGTCAGGCAGTGCCGGTACAGAAACCACAGAGACCTTGTCTACTACCATGCCCCAAGGGGGTCGTCCAGGTCCGAGCGGAAGTACTACAATGAGCACAGAACCAGCAAGTGGGACTGATACGTCTTCAAACTCGTGGACTTTCAGAACCGTGACTAGTACGGACACAAACAGGCCTACTGTAACTTCCACGATAACTATGATTTCTAGCTCAGTTAATGGAAGCGCCACAAGCAGCGATATGTCGCTGACAAGCGGCGGCACAGTGAGTTCAACGAGCTTATGGAACTCAAGCACCGTGACTGCAACATCCAGCGGGACACCAGGTACTCCTTGGAACACAACTACGATGAACACGGCATCGCCTATTACCGGCAGTTCATCGACTGTAATATCTAGTTCTAATTTAGAGTCCGGAACAGTCACTACTTCCAGAGATTCATCATGGAGGGAGACAAGTATCCCTTCGTCAAGCCTTGGATCTGCTTCTGTTTCTGCTTCAAGCGCCCCAACGCCAATAAGCTGGCAACCAAGCTCGGGTATAGGAACAGCGATGCCTTCTACCGGTGGTTCAGTATCATCAGGCGTGAGCACCGCATCGATATCAACCATGACTAGTTCTAACAGCACATCTACCGGGGTTATCTCTAGTTGGACAAGCTCTGCCTCTGAAACGGGAACGAATATCACTTCGAGCACAACGCAAACTAACTTGTCATGGACGACGTTTCCCAATTCTACTACGACGCTGAGTTCGATGGCCAGTTGGGTGGTGACGGGCAGCGGATCATCATCGTGGTCGGCTACCATAACTGGCTCAGCTCCATCACCGTCAAACTCAAAATCAGACGGAAGCGGGACAGAGACGAGCAGCAGTAGCGGCAGTAATGGTACAAGTAGCACAGCATCTTCATCACCACCATTGACTTCCTCCTCATCATCAGTATTCCCCTCATCCACAGGTCCAGGAGCAAACAGCCACTCCCCCCCGCCAGAATCCACACCCACCCCGATCCCATGGACGACCACCCCATCACCAAACAACACGATGCCGACATCCACATCCCCAACGGACTTGACAAGCGTCGGCTATCCGACCCTAGGCCCATCATGCACTTCGACGCCCGTAGACACAGGGATCCTCGACAACGGAGACTTCGAGACGGGCTTATCGCCGTGGAGTCTAGACCTAGTCGACCTCTTCAGCACAGACTACGCCCTGATATCCTCCTCCTCTTTCCCCCCAGGCCGCACCTCCTCCTCCGGCGGCGCCAACGGGTCCTGCACGGCCTTCGAAGTCCGCATGGCCGCGAACCCACAGACCCAAGACCTCCGCGAGAACCTCCGTCTGCGGTCCGACCTCGTCTTCAGCCGTCCGGGCGCCGTGCTCCGGATCGGGTTCTACGTGCGTTTCGCGGAGCGCAACGCCGCGCGCCTGGTCCTCTCCGCGAACGACCGGCTCCTCCTCGTCGTCAGCGCGCTGAACTACGGGCCCGGCGGCGACGCGACGAACATCACTACGAATTCCACCTCTCTTTCCATCCCCACGCCGACTCCTCTTCCAGGAAGCGGGGGAGTCAGGAAGGGCGTGACGGTAACCCCGTCCGCGGACGGGGGATGGACCCATGTCCTCGTGGACTACGAGGCGGGCGATCGCCTCCTGCAGCTCATGTTCAGCTACGAGCTCGGGAGCGCGCCCGGGAACACCGTCGGGCTCGACCAGGTCGCCATCGACCCGTCTGCCGTCGTCCACCCGCCTCTATCGCTGCCGCCGGTACCACCTCCTGCGACAACGTTTGCGACGACGACGACGACTATGCGGAAGCGGGGCTGATATTCGCTTCTTCTTCTTTCCATCCATCCATCCCTCTGTATCTCGCGCGTTCTACGAATGAGGAAGGGTCGTTGTATTCCAATGTCCCGCCGACACCCCTCCCCCCATTCATGTAAAACCGTCCAAGTAACTTTCGTCACGTCAACACTCGTTTGCACACTTCTTTTTTCTCATCTTTTCTTTTCCCCTTGTTATTCCAATCTTGTATCTTGAAAAACAAATACCTTCAGATATGTATTAGTATTAGTATATCTTGCTTGAACTTTGAAATCTTTTCCGCCGTCTACCCGCCTTTTCTCGGCTTCTCAGGTCGAGATTAGTCATACGTGCTAGTATTATTGAAAAACAAAAAAACAAAAACCCAAATATGTTTGAAAGAATTGACACTCTCAGTTCCTTATATCACAAAGGAAACAAATGAGAGCCGCAAAGACTAATATCCAAGATGTCACCGCCCTTAGTGATGATCCCATGTTTAGATATTCGAAGTAGAAGTTTAATAGTGTATTTCAACCGACATGCTAGATGATTGATGTCATTTGTTCTAATGCGCGGAAGCGAGAGTACATGCCACATTCCGTTCTCCCTTATTTCTATCCCTATCCATTAGTCATGCCCGAAATTAGATGTGATATGCCTCCCAATCGGATGTTAATACACGTTCTAATGCCACTGCCTAATTTATATATCTCAAGAATCTCAATAAGTAGAGCTTGCGGATGGCGGGATAGCATCGCCGGGCCTAGTAGCAACTATTTTCACAGTTGTGGCTGGCTTCTGGGTCCATGGTGTATCGTTGGCATTGATTTTCCGATACGCGTTCGGGGTTTCACTATCTTGTGTATAGATTCCTGTTTCTTGTAACTTTAGGCTTGGATCTCGCGATCCGAGCCAAGAACCGGTATTTTGCGGGTTGTGATACCGCAGCGTTGATAGTGCTGCTCGAGGGGCTTTATGGAAGAGTGAGTTGGCTGTGTTGTCTTCGCCCACAGAGACCCAGTGTCGGCCTCCTAATCGCCACGGTATGATACCACAAAGCAAGCCCGGGAACAGATTCGGGTGCTCCAAGATCTCCACGCTGAAAGCATTGACACTTGCCTTTGCTAGGTAAGTATACTTTTTATCGTTTAGCAAAGCTCCAAGTCTGAATAGATTGGACACAGAGACCGAATTTACAGAAGGTTGCGAACCGTCTATACCCTCTTTCACTCGAAGGATCGTGTGGGGTGCACCGTGAGCAGTTGAGTAGAAGCCCCCACATCTCACATGTGTATTTGTCGATGTTGATGGCGCGTCATCGTAAAATTGGGCTATCTGCGCTGATTGTAGTTCATCAGCCCATTCGAGCCAGGACTCATTTGCTGTGACCTCGTACAGCTCAAGGAGTCCTTCAATCAGGTAAGCATAATCTTCCGCAAAACCACGGGTGCCTAAATGGCCATCGCAGTATACCCGACGGAGTGTCCTTTGACTACTATTCCACATATTTGTTTTGATAAAGCGGGCTGCGTTTTCCGCAGCTGTCAGATATTTAGTGGCACTCTCAGGATCATGGTCGCGTAAAACAGTACTAGCTCGGGCTAAAGCGACAATAGCCATGCCGTTGTAAGATGTTACAATTTTTGTATCGACGACTGGGCGGGCACGCTCTTTTTCGCGGTGTGCTCTTAGTTTCTCTCGAGCAGATGCGATGCGCCGCTTCACTTCATCGACTGACACACCTATCTGCTTGCTGAGCCTTGCATGTGTCTTAGCAATCCGCAAAACGTTTTGATTAAGAAATTCATCTAGAGGGTCGTGCACTGGATCGACGTTTCCGTCGGATTGAACGTCCCAGTATGCCGCAGCAATCTCAGCCTCGATGTCGTCGCCTACGGCTGTATCAAATTCCTTTCTTGTCCACAGGTAGAAGGCACCGTTACGCATAGCCGCATCTCCTCTCTTATTAGAAGAGCCAGCCGATTCACTTGTAAAAAAGCCGCCTCCAGGTGCCATCATGGTTTTGCCTGTGATGTAATCGGCCAATTCTTTCGCTGTTTGGGCGAGTTCTTCGTCGGGATCTCCACCCGACAGAGACAGAAGCCATGCGTCCAAGAACACACCCAAGAGAAGGGCATTGTCGATGAGCATTTTCTCAAAGGTCGGTAAGGACCAATCTCTCGTGACTGAGTGACGGTGAAAGCCCCCACCAACATGGTCATGTACAGCACCATGGACGATGCGGCGCAATGTATGAAGAGCCGAGTCACTAATAAAAGTGCAGTCTTTTGGACCAGCCACATCTTGCACCTCGGCTGGAAAATGGGTGGCTCTAAGCATAAGCGATAGTTTTGACGGCGTAAGAAATTTGTCCTGCTGGCCGAACCCGCCAAACGGGTAATCGAAAGTTCGAGTGATCCGGGCGAAAGCCTCCTCGATTTGTTCTAAATCAAGCTCGCCTTCTAAATCCTGGGTGTAATCAGCAACAGAAGTGTCCCTCTGTGCCGACCCGATATCTGATAGATGGTCAAACATTCCTTCACTCAAAACCTGTGCTAGGTCGACACAGTTCCGCTTAGCCTCTTCACGAACGCGCTGCTCCTCATCCTTCCAAGATGAATGCACTTTTCTAACGACGGTAAGCCAATCCAACGGCCTACTTGCCCCCTCGGTCTCGTCCGAGCTGGACGCACTATTGCCTGTGGCACCGGGTGGCGCCCAGTACGTGCCACTGAAGACTGGCTCAAGGTCTGGGGTAAGGAATACATTCAAAGGCCAACCTCCAACACTATTGAGTGACTCATTGTAGTTCATATATATGTAGTCATAGTTGGGGTGCTCTTCGCGGTCGATGAGGACTGGTATGAACTCCTCATTGAGAAGTGCAGCAAGAGTAGAGTCGGAAAAGGATTCGAGATGAGCTAGATGACAGTCTGGAAAGCTAGTGTCAGTAAAGACATCTGTTTTTTCAAGGCTGAGAAGAGTAGAATTCGTAGGCAACTTACGATGAGATGCAAGGAAACCTATGCTGAGAAAGATGAGCTTGTTCTCTGACTTGGCACGGTTCACGGCTTCATCATCCAGAAGCTGCCAGGCTACTGGACTGCTTGCTCGGGCCCGTACGTAAGGGCTTATACTTTGTGCGGCGCGGTTGACTAGGGGCGCAATAGTTGTGCCTCTTGACGAGCCATGCGACTCGGGAACAGCCGAAGCCTGAGGGTCGGCGGTGGGTGGTGTCGGATTAGATGGGTGCTGTAGCTGTGCAGACATCATCTCGGTGGTGTTGTCCTTGTCTCACTATGGACGGTTTCGCTCATGACAAGGATGAAAAACAATATGATATGAATGGGAAATACGCGCGGACAAGGAAAGCCGGGAGAAGACGTCTTGTAGCCGTCTTATAGTGGTCTTATAGCGATGGTTGCATCTGTCAGTCAGATTCGAGTCAGATTCGAGTCGGAGTTTGCAAAGCGTGCGAGTAAGGACCACGCGAGCAAGCAATCAAAAGCAAGGCAGCAAGGCAAGGGAGTACGCTACCGAAAAGGCGGTCATGAAATACAGCTCAGCCTACATAGTACGAGGGAAGTGGTGTACGACAAGACAAGCATGTATTGCTGCAGGTTTGTTCGTCCTGGACAGATCCTGGATGACCTACCCCGCGATAATCGTCGCCCCAACCCACCCACATCATCATCCCTGCCCAGGCCCTGCCCTACCTACATAACATCCCCACTACCAGTCCCCACAGTCTTCGGCATCCCTGGAACGGCCATCATGGCTAACTACATACCGTACATGGACTTGGCCAAGTGACTAAGAGATATGTAGGCGAGACGACATGTTATTATTTGCATGTAGTATGGTAGAGTAACGAGGACAAGAAGATAGGTATGCTACTACAGCTATCAGGGGGACAAGCACCGAAAAGTACGAGACGGGATACTCGCTTCTTCACTTATGTAGCCATTGGAACATATATATCTCACTTTAAACCGATTGGGGGGGTATCTAATTCCACACTCTTGGACATAATACAGGGCTTCTTAGACAATCCTCGCAAAGAAAAAAAAAAAAAAGACTCCAAAATGCCAGAGAATATGCTGCATCACGTGTAGTGCTATTGGTCTTCAATCCTCTTCTACTTGTGCAGAATTGCCAGGTACCGTCCGAGACTATGTTGATGATACAGACGAAATAGGGGCATTGGAGAGGCACCTTATATTTCCTGGTCCACACAAGTCTCTGCGTCCTTTGCGAGATCCTTGAACTAGGCTGATATAGGGCCTGTCTCCAGGGGCTGGACAGCATGTTGTCGAGATTGCGTCGCCTTGGCACTACTGTTTAATCGGCCGCCTGTTCTAAGCATAAGCGCATGTTACGTTTGGCCGAGCGGCCCGCCCGAAGCTGGTTTCCTGTTCATCAGATTGCCGAAGAATTTTGCCAATGTATCCGTATCCACCTGCGGCGCCGGTTCAGCCTCTGCTTCGTCGTCAAAAGCAAGTGGCTCAGGTGACTGTCCATAGGCTTGTCGGTCCTAAAACTAAATCAGCACCCCAACCAGACTTTCGAGAAACAGTTATGCTCCGAGCAATGCTTACCTTGAGTCTTTGCACCATGTCGTCAGCATCAACCTGGATGCCACCCATGTTGAACTGCACTGGCCCAATGTGATCACTAATTATATCATCCGTAGCAACTTGCGCAAACGAGTTCTCCTTGGTTGTCTTCTCGTCCTCTTTCTTCTGTTGCTCTAGCCGTGAAAGTTGGTTGCTAAGGAATGCTTGTGTGTCGACAGATGGGACCTCAAGCTTGTTTGTGTCCTGGTTTCCTTGTGCTAGTTGCAATGCGTCAAGGCTCGTGTCTTGCACTTGTTCCTCGTACATAGCAACCGCAGAGCCTTCAGGCTCAGGCATGTCATTACCTAGAAACGACGAACTTTCCCCGTTGCCATTAATTGCTTGGGGCCTATTTGCAGAAGAGGGCTGGTTGATATCTATAGACCAGCCTTCACTGACATTTTCCACGTCAAATCCATCACGCAATACTCGAATTTTCCCCCATGAGTCCCAGTTGGGTGGGACAACTATCTTGTCTCGGTCAATGACGTTGTGTTTCAAGGGCGCTCGCTTGAGTAGTGAACGTATGCCCAGGCTTGCATGAACAAGACTCTGTAGCGGCGTCGTCATCGTTGGCGCAGTATATATCAGAGACGCACCGTCTACGCCGAGGTTAGCAGAATGAATTAGAAGTTGAGATGGCTACTTACGCCGCAGAAGAGCAGTTCTTAGATATTGAAGGACCAAGTCGAATTTTTCCTCCTTCCAACCCTGAGTTTTTTCAAGATAGTCTATTTTTTCGGACTAGAATCGAACGTTAGTACAGCAGCGTCAAGGCGAGATAGTTTGTGCCTCACGTTTTGACAAACCACACAAAGGGGCAGGCCAAGTGCATCCTCCCATTCCCCCGGCCCCAGAGGCAAAGAGACATCACCTTCGGTGGCAACCGCACCTGTGCCATCTAGATTCACAGATCCCCCGGTTCGTCCTCGCTCACGCCAGCCATTTATGACTTCCTCCATCGTTTCCCTGCATTCGGGACTGAGGGACACGATGACGTTCCGTAGCAACATAAGCCACTCGCGCAACTGGCGCATCCATGACCACGGTTGTGACCAGTCCAACAGTATTACTATTAGGGTATTCGGTATTGACTGAGGGGTTAATAGCGGTTTAATAAGAGATGCGAAAGAGGGGGCCGAGCTGCTGAGGAGGTACAGCGAGACACGGGCCAGAATATCTTTGACTAAGTCAGCGCGGCTGTGGCCGAAAAGAGTCTGGTTGACTGACCTTCTTGGTCAGCGTCCAGCACGTCGTAGTATGTGTACCCTAGAGCGAAGCTGTTGGCTATCGGCGGTAAGTTGTTTTGGCGGTCGAGGTTCCTCCTTTGGCCATTATTCGATAGGGCCTCGAGAAATTCGCGTTGGGAATCGACCGAGCCACCTGTTCTCGTTCGTCAACCCTAATTGAGAGAAAGCCATACTGAGGCAGGGGAGGGTCTGCGCACCCAATACTAGCATGTTCTTTTCGGGTAACCTCTTGCCGCTGGCGACAGAGTCGAGCATAGAGCTCCACATGTCCTTCTTCTGATCATCCTTCTTTCCTTCAGACCCGGTGCCGACCGAAGTACTCGTGTAAGTAGAAAAGCGATTCGAGTTGGCCGTCATTCTCGATATGGGCCGAAGAGGAGCATCTGAAGATGATTTATGATTGTCACTAGCAGACGGCGGTAGTTGCAGGCTCGGAAGAGGTAGGCAGACGTTTCTGCAGGACTCAGAACGCGTACAAGCGACCTGTAAGGGAGGCGCGCATCAAGGTGAGGAGGAGAGTGGGATTCGTGATGCTAGGGGGTACTATTCATATTATTGAAAGAAGACAGCTCTGGACGGGCGCACTTGCGAGATAGATACAGAGAAGAGAGCAGCAATGTGGATTGGTTAGTAAGTTATTGAATGGGAATGTTTGAATGTGACATGTGTCTGGGGATTATCACAAGTAGTATACCCAGCAGCTCATGCTATGGACTTCATGTTACATTAAATTAAAGAAAGATTTAAGACAACTCAAATGTACTACTTGCAGCCATCCCTTGGTGGAATCACCGGATTGGCCCGAAAGGGAACCTTGAGGGTACTTCTGTTTTGGCCCCTGCAGCAGTCAACTCAGCGATCCGGCGTTTCGCCGGGGCATTTGTAAGGCTTGCACGCCTCTACATTCACTGGCGCTTTCGCTCTAGCGTACTTGTTCGTAGTACCTTCATGTACTCTACGGTAGCTACCTAACCTCAATGCGCTAGGTAGCACATTTTAAGTTGAATACTTGGCCAGGGGAATGCACCCTTGTAGACTAACTAGGTACGGTAGCTCAATGGACATAGTGCCCCTAGCTGCCGGATGTACTTGTACACTCAGCTGGTAAAGCTCCATATATGTATAGATCGGTACAGCCGCGAATCGCACGTATTTCAGAAGCTATCTCGACGTCGCCTCAAACTCTCCAATAAGTTTTTTTTTCGGGAGAGGGATTTTCACGGATTTGAGTTAACAGGCTTGCCCTTGTGATAGCCAGCATGAATCAGATTCGCGCCATCCAGGCGCTCAACAAACGCGAGATTGAGAATGGCGTGTAAGGACAAGTGCTTCCAGTTTGCCCCAAATTCCGCTGACATCATTTCCCACGACAGACCCCCCGAAGCATCATGGCACACAGATTACCGCGACACCGCCTTCATAAACTTCGGCGGCTTGCCCTACGAGCTGACCGAGGGTGACATCATCACCATCTTCTCACAATACGGCGAGCCTGTCTTCCTCAAGCTCGCAAGGGATAAGGAATCAGGCAAAAGCAAGGGATTCGGGTGGCTGAAGTACGAGGACCAGCGGAGCTGTGATCTCGCCGTCGACAATCTAGGTGGTGCCGAGATCGCGGGACGGCTAGTTCGTGTAGATCACGCGCGCTACAAGGCCCGGGATGACGAGGATCCAGAGGAGTTCGCCGTCGGCTGGGCAGACATGGTGCGGAAAGAGAAGGCCGCGAAAGGCGAGGCTGCTGAAACCGAAGACGAGGACGATGAAGAGGAAGACGAGCCTAGAAGACCACTGATAAAGGAAGAGGTGGAACTGCGAAAGTTGATCGAGGAGCACGATGATGACGATCCCATGAAAGGATTTTTGATCGAGGAGAAGAAGCGAGAGGTCAGCGAAGCGCTCCAGAAAGAAAAGGAGAAGAAAGATAGGAAGCATCGCCATCACCATAGGTCCCATCGCCGGTCACGCAGGGACGAAAGCGGCGACCGCCGGGATGGAAGATCGAGGCGTGATAGGACGCCCGCAACAGGAGAAAGAGAAAGGGGAAAGCGTGAGCGAGATGTCACACCTCAGAGGAGAGACCGCTCAATAGAGCAAGATCGCGATTCAAGAAGGCATAATAAGGATTACGAAAGGCATCACAATGGGGAACGCCATAGGGACCGCGAAGGAAGGGACCGAGACCGTCGGAGGGATGAAGATCCAGCTACTAGACGGACAAAGCGCCACGAGGACGAAAGTCGGGATAGGGACGCGGATGCACATCACAGAAAAAGGCGACGAAGCCGCTCACGATCTCCGCGGCGATAACAGGTTGAGAAGGGTTGGTTTTCGTAACGCCTGACTCAGGCTATGCGACTAAATTCAATAATGATTGAGCACTGGTCCAACCTCAGTCCTTCACTACGTCGATTCTTCATGCACTCTGTCAGAATATGATGAGTGTTGGTTTATATCACGCAGTAGTTTGCTCCAGTCCGTGTCCCTAAACGCCCCTCTTTCCTTGTTACCATACTCCTCGCCAACGTCAATTGTAAACAACCGTTGCCGCCACATAGCCGACATATGCAGTTTTGAATATCATCCCGAAGCCACAACCACGGCATAAGCGTAAATTTACCGTGTTCATTCTGTTAGATACCCTTTCCATCCTTCTCGGATCAACACGTAACGGCCATCCTCGCCTTGTCGTAGGATGAATTTCTCCCATCGTGCATCTTGCCCGGCGCCTACGACTATAAGGCTGTTCTCGTCGATCCATCCAATGACCCCCTTCACTGGACGCGTTGTCCCCAAGACAGCATTGTCACTCAGGCGACGCATATTCTGATTATTCAACAAAGGCTCACTTCCCGTCTCGAAAGGGCAGGAGACAAATGAATAGACGTCTGAGAAGGGCCCAAATGGAATGTTGCTCAGAATTCCCCATTTATTAGTTGCATCTGCACTGGGATTTGTGCCTGTAGAGAGGCTAGAAGCACCGGATGGTGGGACGGGGGGCGCCGGGCGGGCTGTAGAGGACGAAGGTCTACGTAGTTTAGGTACGTCGAAGATGTGTAGATTGCCTTTGTCCGATGTGCAGGCTAGCATATTCCCCGACGGACTAAAGCGTAATGAAAATATCGTGGCGTTTTCACTGCCTCGCCTTCTCTCTGCCAATTTTGCCCCACTACTGGTCGCGAAGATGCGTATAATTGTCCCCTGAAGTAAACCGAGAAGTCAATATCGAGAGGGTTACAAGGGGAGGTGGCAGTCGATATTACCTTTTCGCTCGCTGTTGCAAGTAAGTCGCCGTCTGCGCTGAGCTGAAGAGCCCTGAGGGCCGATGAGTGGGCTGGCAAAATGCTCACACTGTCCGTGGCTAATTGTACAACCTGAACATGGCCCGCGGTTCTCCCAGGAAAGACGAGGTATTTATCAGTTAGACAACACAGACCTAGTAAGTTGTCCGTGGTCTCATATTTGGCCAGTGGCTTTGGAGGTTTCTCAAAAGCATAGAGGCGCACACTGTTTTGCTGGACCACTACAACACGAGTTTTCGTGATCTGAACGCCACGAACAGCTGTCAAGGAGGCGATCTCAAAAGCCACTTTTCCTTTACTGTCGTCCCAGATAATGACTTTGTTCTGGGGAAATTTGGGAGAACGACCACCCCCTACTAGAGCAAGGAAGTTGGCATTACCCATCATATGAACGAGGCCGAGGCCAGCGTTGAAGACTACAGGGGGAGATTAGTGAGTCGAATGCTTAGTGGTACAAAAGTGAGCTCACCTCTGGCCGTTTGCAACTGGCATTTACTTGCTTGGAATACTATGGCAATGTAAGTGGAAAGGGTACGGGGAAGTGGTATAAGACGCAAGAAAGGTGAGTGAAATGCAAGCGTACTGCAAAAACCAGAATCCAGGCCGACAGCGAAGCGACTCGAGTCGTCGTTAAAGGCGACGGAGAGGGCGGGCTGTTCTTTGGAGGACTCTATGACCGGGCGAGTGTTCATTGTTGCGATTTGTGACTCGCAGTGTAGGCGGTAGTTAGTTGATGAGAGAGATGAGCTGCGGGATGAGCAGAGAGAAGCTGGCGGTGACGTAACAGGCACAGATGCAGAGCATTAGAGATTAGCTGGCAATTTGTCATTGAAAATTGCAGGCACTAATTATTTCTAACCATAGCGAGCCCTGGAGAGAGATATCCAAGGGCCAGTCGTGTTGAACGCTACTATGATGAGATGGTCGCCTCTGGCACCGAGATTGTAGAGAGTTGGCTAAATGCGGGCACGACTGAGAATACACCAGAGGCGGCTGACAATTTGATGTTACCGCGGTAGCCAAGGTCCTGGAATACATATAGAAAGGAAGCAGGCTATAGATCAAGGGACTGAGTCGTAGACATGTCGAAAGAGAACTCAGTAACGCCCGGCGACCTTGGGTGCGTCGATCTGGAGATGGTGTTTGAGATGTTGTTCTGGCATATGTACGTACGCAAGTGAAACCTTCGAGATCATGAGAAGAACATCCCAGACAAGGCGGCCGGTTGAGCTCAGTTTAGTGTAGCTGTAATAGGTGGTTGATAGGTGGTTATAGATTGGCTATTAAAGTCTCAGGACACTCTGAGCTAGGGGCCGGCTGTACTTGTAAGTAACTTAGCGGGGGCAGAAGGGGAGGTGCGGGAGGGTACCTACAGTATGAAACGAGATCTCAGGTAAGTACCTACCGTACCTAGGTAATGTGCAGACCAGCCTGGACTCTTTGCTAATTATGGAGCTTGCTGCACCTTGGCTTAATATAACAAGAGGCAAGAAGCATCATAATACTTACTTACCAATGAAGGGGTATTGTCTTGATGGAAATAGAGTGCATACCGCGTACTTACGTGGACGTCCTGGACTCTTTGAATGAGTACGTACATGTAGGCAATACTTGCATGTGTGTAAGTACTTACTGAGGTGTACCTACTATAGCTTAGCAGGTACGCGTAGGTAGACTTAATAAGTGGGGCTGTCAGCCATTCCGAGCTTGGGAAGCTCTTTCACTTACCTACCTTGGACTTAGGCAATCTATTCAACACGAGAAAGAGGATGAGGGAGAGAGAGAGAGAAGACTACTTACTTACTCTCTAGCACTTACCTGGAAATTCTTCTCTATTATACCACCCTTGACTTATCATCTGATATCACGAGGTAATGGTTTATGTATCTAGCAGTGTACCTACCTACCTACATACCTATGTATGTGGAAAGGGCACAACGATAATGTGTTCCTAGAAGTACCCCCTAGCTATGGCTGGGATCCATTGGTCCCTATTGCCGCTCTCCCCATACTGCAGCTGTGTCTACATACATAGTACTATACTACCTTATGCATTGGCAGCTAGTTATTGCGGTTTTTTCTTCGCATTTTGCATTTCTTTATCGTGCAGCTACATGTACCTATGTCATGGCATGGTAATGCACTGGGAGCAAGCAGCACTTACCTCCTCAACTTGAGTTGAGTATCTGATGTAACTGCTGTATCACACTACATATACAAGTATATTCATGTGTCGAGGTACATCTATGGCCACACTGCCAACCGGTTGAGCGTGAGTACTCCTTTGTTTCAGGGTACTTCAAGGATGGAGAAAAGTTGCTTGCTTGTTTGATTGATTTCTTTGTAAGTACTACGAAGTACGACTGACCGACCTGTAACTTCCCCTAAGCCCAAAAGCACCAGCACCACACAGGCTAGCGGCTCCCGCAACTCCACCCCAAACGCGCCCATCTCGGGTCCCTTCCCCCCTGACTACAAAGATAGTACCTATAGGCTCCCCTCGGCTCCCACTCGCCCATAGGCAGAGCAGAGCAGAGCTACAAGCATCCCCTACGATTCACGAAGTAGTGCAGGTCTACGGGTCTCCCCCCCTGCTCCGCCAGAACTGATTTTGTGGTCTTGAAATTAGCAACCTGCATCGAGACATCAATCAACCCAACTAAATCATCCCCCCGTTACTCGCTCCCCCAATCCTTCTCTCGGCCTTTTACCAAGAGACAGGTACCTGCCTGCCAGCCAGACGGACACATCGCCATCGCCATCGCCATCGCCTTCGCCTTTCAAGGTTGTTTCTTATCAGACCACAACTCTTCGACTTCGACATCCTCAAGATAGATACCCCCAATTCGCGTCGGCATCTCGTCCTCGCCTCGTCACTCTTCTCCGTGCTCCCTCTGCCGATCAGTCTGTCCCAGTCCGTCTCATCAATCTATTTGTCCCCGGCCTCAATTTCCTCTCTGTGAAGCCCCAACACTAGCCTAATATGTCGTCCCCAGCCGTGAGTAAATCCCCTATCCAGCCTGACCTCCAATTTTGTCACGAGCCCTTCTTGACCGCCTCGCGGGAAAGACCACACCCCATAGCAGTCAGCCGTCTGCCCATCCCCACGAGTGCTCCGACTTGCTGCTACCTTTTGCTGTTCTTCGCTGTCCGCTATACCTGCCTCTGCTAACTAGTCGCCGTGATGCGTTCCCAGAAGATGATGCGTCGGAAGAAGAATGTGAAGAAGGGCATCCAGTTTTGCTTGATGGTTTGTGGTGCTTCAGGCACAGGTACGACTCTCACCAGCAGCCGCCGCATCTGAACCTCGACCCCTATTGCTTCTCCAATCACTCGAAACGAAGCTTTTTGGCTATAAAGTGACGCCTATATCGCTAACCATACCGCGCAGGCCGAACCACCTTTGTCAACACTCTCTGCAGCAAGAGCGTTCTGAACCATAAGGACTCTGATGATCCTAGTGCCGCCCACGTCGAAGAGGGTGTCAAGATTAAGCCCATCACCGTCGGTATGTACTCATATGCTCTATTTCATCCTCAGGTCTAATTGCCCTTCGTTTAGAGCTTGAGCTGGACGAAGAAGGAACCCGTATCTCATTGACCATCGTCGATACTCCCGGCTTTGGCGACCAAATCGACAATGAGGCAAGGTAAGCTGAATTCAAATCAATGTTTGTCTGGCTTACGCTAATTCCGCTACAAGCTTCTCGGAGATTGTGGGATATCTCGAGAGACAATATGACGACATCTTGGCCGAGGAGTCGCGTATCAAGCGTAACCCCAGATTCAGGGACAACCGTGTACATGCTATGCTGTACTTCATTGCCCCTACAGGTCATGGGTATGCAGATTGCACCGAAAAGATGTCGAAGATGATTTGCTCACTATTTCTTTAGTCTTCGGGAACTCGATATCGAGCTTATGAAGCGCCTCGCTCCTCGTGTCAACGTTATCCCAGTCATTGGCCGAGCTGATTCCCTTACACCACACGAACTTGCCGAATCGAAGAAGCTTGTTATGGAGGATATTGAACACTATCGTATTCCCGTCTATAACTTCCCTTACGACATCGAAGAGGATGACGAAGATACTGTTGAAGAAAATGCCGAGCTTAGAGGACTGATGCCATTCGCTATTGTGGGTTCAGAAGAAGTAATCGAAATTGGTGGTCGCAAAGTTCGTGCTCGACAATATCCCTGGGGTGTCGTTGAGGTAGACAACCCTCGCCATTCCGACTTCCTGGCTATTCGATCCGCACTGCTTCACAGTCATCTTGCCGACCTCAAAGAAATCACCCATGATTTCCTTTACGAGAATTACCGTACCGAGAAACTCAGCAAGAGTGTCGAAGGCGGTGCTGGAGTGTATGTAGTCCTTGTGGCATTTCCCTATGATTCCGTATGTGGGACATTACTAACTGGTCGAAGTGATTCATCGATGAACCCCGAGGACTTGGCATCTCAGTCTGTCCGTCTAAAGGAGGAACAGCTCCGTCGCGAAGAGGAGAAGCTCCGCGAAATCGAGATCAAGGTTCAGCGCGAGATCAACGAGAAGAGACAAGAACTGTTGGCTCGCGAGTCTCAGCTTCGCGAGATCGAAGCCAGGATGCACCGGGAGGCTGCGGCTGCTGCCGGTGGACCTGTCGAGGCCAACGGCGAGGCCGACGGCAACTAATTATTCTCTATATGCTTGTTATCCGAGTCAGCTCTGGTGTGCCAACAGAGGCAGATCGGTGGCGTTGGGTGTTTGATACCATCATATCCCCGGCGAACGCGTGTCCAGCAAGACACATGATATGAAAACTTGATACCGTTTAATGGGCTTTTTTACGCATGCATGGTCGATGGCTTGATGGATTTGTCAGGAATACAAAACCGAAATCGCGTCCGAGATTCCTTAAAGAAACAACATAATATTTCGATGAGTTGTCAAGTATAAGCGACAAACTTGTCATAGGGCTTAATTATTTCTGAGACCTATTGACACAACATAATTCGACTGATGAGATTTCGTGATGGCACGAAGGGAGGGAGTGAACCAATGGCTGTCTATCTTAGTCCTGCAAAAAATGAGATCTCTTTCCTCCAAGCCTGTTCTATGGGCATTTTAGCTTTGATGTATTGTCTCCTACTACTAGTCCGCTAATGCAAAGATCAAATCCAATGGTTATTTGATCTCATGAAAGGAAATACGATCATAGCTGTGCAACGCGTGATTCAAGTGAACTAAGCCGTAAGATGGTGGCTAAGTCTGTCTGTCAGAAAGGGAAATAGATCATTTCATTTGAAGGAAAGTAATTGTACACTGCTATTCAGGGGCCAGCATGCATTCTGGCATAAACAGACTGACACGGTAATGCTAAGGCTTAGCATATGCTAGTTTCATGATTAACCTGAAGACTAGAACGAGACTTGCCAACGAGCGCAAGAAAGCATCGTCTAGTCGCTAAAGACTACTATCACCCGCCCATCCACCCTCATAAACGCCCTGATACGCCACGAATCAAATAATTTCCCCCCCCCCCCCCGTGTTGTTCCAAAATACCAGTTAAGCCCCTATCACCTTCGTACTGCGACTGTGCGAATCTTCGCAAGACAGACCCTAGTTGTTGCTCTGGCTGTTGAGGATTCGCAGGATGGCGAGGAACAAGTTGATAATGTCCAGATAGAGGCTAATGGCAGCGGCGATCTCCTCTTCCACGTGGTGCTTGCGCAAGACAAGTTGGGTGTCGACAAGGATATACCCAGAGAAGATGAGAGCAGAGAGACCGCCGTAGATGAGCTCGCCGGTGCTGCTGTAGGGCAGGAAGGCGGCCATGAAGCCGAAAAGCAGCAGGCCCCAGAGGGCGCCGAAGAGGTAGGGCATCCACGACGTGAAGTCATACTTGGTCTGGCAGGCGAACAAGGTGAGGAAGACGAAGATGCCGCCGGTCAGGATGACGGCGTTCAGGACGATCTGGGTCTGGTAGAAGGAGACGATGACGGAGATGGTGTATGCCTCGAGAAGGGTGAAGCCGGAGAGGAAGAGAAGGTTCGTCGGGTAGGATAGACGTTTCCAGTATGTCAGGATCAGGAAGGCGATGGAGCCGAAGAGCTGGAGAGAGCGGGTTAGCTATCTTGTCTAAAGCAGGGACATAGATTAAGAGGGGGGGGGGGGGAGGGCATCTTCAAAATGAGGAGACTGTCCTGCGATGCCCCTGCCCTCGTAATGGAAACGTGGGGTCTCTTGTTGCTTACCGAAACCCAGACCAGTGCCGGATGCGACTGGATCCAAGCCTTGTAGTCCTTACTCCAGAAGCTGAGACCGCTGACGATAGCAGTCGTGATTAGCTGCGCAGTCAAGATAGTGTAAACTGCGATACACGATAAATGTTAGTGGTTTGAATCGCTCATTCAACGTAGCCGAAGGCAAAATGCGAATACGGCAACACGCGGGGGAGTGCGACTTGTGCGTGACTAGGTTACTCACCTTTGCGAATGAACTGGTTGCGGATGTCGACAGTGGCCTCGGCGACGGAGCCGCCGAACTTGAAGTCATCGGGAACATTGTCCTCGCTGCTGCGTGGCGCGCCGCCGAAGATGCCGGCGGATGACGATGCGGCCTCGTCGTGCTGGTATGATGGAGGCGCCTGGGACCAGGTGCCCTCGTCGGGGTCCTGGGTCGGCGCTGCCGTGTACTTGGTATTGGCGGCCATTATATCTCGTCGACGGTAACTTTGTCGGATGAATTACTTTTTATTAACCCTTGTGACTTGATCGTTTGAATTATCGTTGGGCTATTCGTGATGCGGATGGGTCGTTGTAAGAGTCAAGTTGAATACCTAGGTGTATGTCAGTAGGTGAGTTGGTTAGGTAGGGAGGGTCACGGAAAGCTGACTGGGGCCGTTGAGAGCTAACTAGCTGGGTTGGTGGCGTCACGGTGCTGATTGCTGCCTGTGTCAGCCCCGCCCGTTCACACTGTGTCTGTCACTGGTCCACTACCTCACCTCAGGTATTGTTTGTGAGTTGCATTGCGCAGCAAGCTCCCTCTCGATATCAGAGCTTCAACCATCAGAGCAGCACTACGTCGTAGGACATTATTGCTGATGTCGAAGGAACGCTATCAATCGACTTGAAACATGCAAAATCCTGCACCGCCTACGCTGACCGTGAACAATCAAATCCCCAAACTTTGGCCAGGGCTTAGAGTAACACAAACACTGACATCTAAGCTTCGATTGGTAACTTTCCTATCCGTTTTATTTGAGTAGGGTGTGTACAATTTAGCCATATGATTGATTATACATGCGATTTATACCCTCTAGTCGTTGCTCTGATACTGGCGACGGCCAGACCTTAGACACAGACTCAAAGTATCGTACTACATCACTTGTTGTAGTAGAGTCCAGGAACATCCAGTCATGTTTATTATACATACGCATTCAGGACAATAAGTATCAGTTATATTGCTATAACGAGATCCCTTACATGAAGGTAGACTTACCACCTGTAGAAGGTATGTAGGTCAGAGCTTCCTTGTGTAGACTATTGAGGTATCTGAGGCAGCTTGTGTTGGCGTTACTCTTATTTTGCGCAGGTAGTCTCAAATGTGGGATCACTTGCGCTCGGCTCTTGGTAATACGCTTTATGAGGTCTGTGGTAGGATCACATAGGATGAAGATAGCAGCTCTCGTGATTCTGTTTGATGTTTTATAAGCCAACAGGTAAGCCACCGCCATTCCACAACCTGACAAGACATTGTGAGAGTCCTATAGTCGCTATCGCCAAATGAGATGCCGTGAAGATTGGCTTGAGGAATCCACAGAAGCCTTTTCCTTTGGAAGCTTTATGCTATACTAGAATCATCCCTTCTTCACCACCTCCCAGAAGAGGGACCTCATCTTGAATCCGGCACGATTGCCCATTTCTATACAGGCTGGCGAGATAGGTGTGTCCGTCATTTACAGCCAGACGAGGACAGATCTTGAGAACGCGATAGAGAGCAGTCTGCTGCTTTGACATACTTGGTTCGTCCTAGCTAGGCGTTCTAATATCAAATCAATAGCCGGTGCCCTACGTCCTCGTCGCTTTTGTAGTGAGAAGTCACCTTAGACGTCCATCATTTACGAATCTCCACAGTATACATATACGGAAATTCAATGGTTGCGATGACCACTATCTGGTGCCTATGGACATTACATACGAAGTACAGTAAGTATGTAGGTAACACTGGTATAGACTAAAGGGAGTGAGGGACAAGATAGTCAATTGAGAACTCTCTCTGCTACCTACTTTCTCACAAGCATATACCTGTAAAGCTCGGGACTGAGCCTACCTAGTTTGTCGATCCAAGACATCGGATCGAAGCCACCCCGTCCCACCCAAACAATCCCACGTTTATGGAATACTTGGCCTTGTACACGGAGTACATATGGCTAAATGTACAATGTGGGTCGCAGGCTAACAGTCAAAGAGTATGTGTAAGATGCAATCAAACACAATTGTCATCTGAAGTAATTGTCATATCTTGTCTTGTCACCGCGAGTCATCTATCTAAGATGCTCACCCACGCGCGACGTGATGAACAAACTACTGAGGCGACCGGCTCGCCTATTCATCATCGTATCCGCCATTTTGGTATGCTACTCCGTCTTCCATCTTCTTCCAGCACGTGATTCGACTGCGGGAACAAAGACCAGCACAGTCCGGCTTGAATACGTCAAAAGCAGCTTCGACTGGTCTACGGTGGCAGAGAAGAACCCAGTTCCGGCTTCCTCGCGGAGGTCTCTTCCTAAGGGCACTCCTAAGAAGCTGCCCGGAGTCCAGCATCGGTTCCGGGCGGACAAGACCTCGGCCGGGAAAGCGCGCCGTCAGATCCTCGCAGATCGGCGGGATGAAGTCAGAAATGCATTCATCAAGAGCTGGAAAAGCTATCGACTCTACGCGTGGATGTCGGACGAGGTAGCGCCCGTTTCGGGCGCCAGGAAGGACCCGTTTGGTGGATGGGCAGCGACCTTAGTCGACTCCCTGGATAGTCTCTGGATCATGGATCTAAAGGATGAATTCTACGAGGCCGTCGCAGCAACAGCCCGCATCGACTGGTCCGAGACAAAAGAGACGGCCTGCAACTGGTTCGAGACGACGATCCGCCACTTGGGCGGGCTGCTGAGCGGCTATGATCTCAGCCGTGAGCCGGCGCTGCTCCGAAAGGCCGTCGAGCTCGGGGACATGCTCTACACGGCGTTCGATACGCCGACGCGGATGCCTCCATTCTGGCTCGACTTTGAACTGGCGAAAGCGGGTCAGCTGCGCGCCGGCACCCACGACCCAGCTGCCTCTACCACGTCCTCCACGCTCGAGTTCACGAGGCTGGCCCAGCTGACGGGCGAAAACAAGTACTATGATGCTGTGGACCGTGTCACGGAGATGCTCGACCGGACGCAGAACGCGTCGAGGGTGCCGGGCATGTGGCCGACGTTTCTAGATCTACGGCGGTTTGAATTCGCTCGTGAGGACGGCTTTACCCTCGGCGCCCTTGCCGATTCCATGTATGAGATGTTTCCCAAGGCATATGCTTTGCTAGGCGGGCTGGAACCCGTTTATGAGAAATTGTATAATGATGCTATGGAGGCTGTGATTGCGCATGTGCTCTTTCGGCCGATGCTTCCTGATGAGACAGATGTGTTGATTCCGGGTAATGTGTGGGTGCGAGGCAGCGGCAAAATCGAGTTGCAACCCGAAGCGCAACACTTGGCTTGTTTTGTCGGAGGTAGGCAATATTGCGTTGTAGTATTCTTAAGCGTATCTCGTTGACCCGACCGTTGTACTGATGCCTCGTTTTCACAGGCATGTTTGGGTTAGGTGGTAAGCTGTTCAACCAGCCGGATCATGTTGAGATCGGGGAGAAGATCACGCGTGGCTGCGTGTGGGCATACGACGCTATGCCGTCCGGGATGATGCCCGAGATCTGCAGTTTCGTGCCTTGTTCCCCCGGCGAGACATGTTCGTGGAAGGGCGATGCCTTTCTCGGAGATCGAGGTCAGCCGCTTCCGAAGGGATTCGAACAGGCCCGGGACCCTCGCTACATTCTACGGCCCGAGGCTATTGAGAGCGTCTTCTACATGTACCGCATCACGGGAAAAGAGGAGTACCAGGTGTGTCCCGACTGGAGGTCCATTCCTTCTTTCCCCAGAATTATCATCCCTGGTCCTAGCAGCTGACGTGGATTAGGAGATGGCCTGGCGCATGTTTCAGTCGATCAGAAAGGCGACTGAGACAGAGCTGGCGTTTTCGGCCATCGCGGATGTCACGGTAGACGCTTCGGAGACGGAGAAGACTGATTCCATGGAGGTGTGTAATGGCGTGGCGAAAGACCCTGATGGCGGCAAGTGTTGTTCGCTGACTTGTTGATGGCAGAGCTTCTGGTTGGCTGAGACGCTAAAATACTTCTACCTCATCTTCTCACCGCCGGACCTCATCAGTCTCGATGAATACGTTTTCAATACTGAGGCTCACCCTTTTAGACGCCCTTGAGAATAACACGGCTATAATTCGGAAATTTGACGTGAATAAACCAACGTACATAGGCAGGAGCGCAGGACTCCGAAGGCGGCAGTTTTCACTTCGCTTGCGGGCAGAAAAGACGCCGTTATTGAGTTGATATTGTCGCTATGTTGACTCGTGACTTTACAGCTCTATCCGTCGATGCGACAGTCAGCCGGTAATGGACTTAACTTGACGTCGAGCTTATGTTGCAGTTTGCTCAAGTACCAGGGTTACTTTTGCTCTAATTCAATGCTGTCATCCGATACCTTCAGACCACCTATATTGTGGAAGACTACCTAGGTATACAGAACCAGCTTCAGAGTTTGAACTACGACACCCAGAAGGCAAAGATTATCTGGCATCAAGTTGTGAGCTACATATATAGCAATGGCTTAGCTATACTAGGTAGTGCAATCATTAGGTATAGCTAATGAACTTGTTAGAACAAGATTCACCCAACAATGATGAAGACTCCAGAGAAGAAACAGCCAACAACTATAAATAAGTACTAGCAATAGAGTCTACTGACGTTGGGAAACTGAATGCCCCGATGATCCAATGTGGTGAACCTCACGTTGCCAATACCACCCGGTATGACTGACACCTACTACGAGGGTTCGTGTGATCAAGATTTAATTCCCATCCCTCACCGGACTCGAACATGGCCTAAAATATGTGACACAGGAGTGGCATAAACTCGGACGTCCCAACAATTCTATCCGATTGCTACGATATCTCCCTTCTGGTGAATGCGGCTACCCGTTGGCGTCTCGTCGCTCATCCGAACTACCCGACCGTGGAACTCGAGCGCCGACTCGATCCCGTCACATATTTAATCTGGATGAGGAGAACGGCAAGGGGCTTTGTTCACAGTACCTAGCAGCCCGCCACGTTCGAGGCAGCGTGGACGGATTCGGAGACATCATTGGCTTGGACACCCCTCATTCCCTCACTTTGGCATTGCTTGGTACCTGTCACCTTGTGCGGTGCGGTGCGGTGCTGTTGGTGGGGTTGTTCGTGGCTGTAAGGTAGGTAGGTTTTGCATGCTGGTCTGTGACTACCTACTTTCGGCTTCTAGAGTTGCGGGGTATTGTACCTCGAAGCTGAAAATATGTTGAGCTTGTGATACCTACTGCGAGTTTAGTTCATTTATTTTCCGTCCAAGGTAGAGAGAGTGCCGTTGGGCAATTCTTATATTTATAACCTCTACTGGGTAGTGCTTCAAGTATGTAGAATAGCGGTAAGTATCCAAGCCATTGTTCACATAAATGGAATGCACCAATCTGTACTACCAACCTACACAGTAGGGAGGTAGAGTTGAAGCTTTCAAGGGTAGGTAGCAGGTGGTCCGACGCAGCGTCGTATCAATTACATGTACTTAGGAATGGCGATGTCTAGCCCACCTTCTGCTAGGATATCACATGTACATTGGTATCTATCTACTTAGATATCCACGCGACTCCGCAGGTAGTGTAGAGTGTTTGGTGGATGCCGCCAAAGGCGCTCATATGTCCTAGAATTCAGAGAATTCCGAGTTAGGACAACTTCAGTTATGACGATCGCCTCATCGAGCCCAGCAATAGTACCTACTTGGGTTACCGAGTTACCTACCTACATGTAAAGAAGGAATAGGTAGGTTACAGTAGGCACGAGCAATGGTTAGCCCCTCTTGCCGAAAAAAAGCAAAAGCTCGAAGCTACAACAGTCTCTGAAAGGTACTTGCGATTTCACTGTTGCGATGTAGATTTTTAGTACTTCCCGACAGGGGGTTCCATCTCCCCTTCACTACCTAGGTAGGTATCGCCAACCTTCTTTTCACCGCCCTCGCGCCATGCCCGTCCGTTCGATTGCCAAGTGTGCCACTGGATCGCGAGCTTGCAAAAGTTATCAACTCGCTTCTGCCGTTACCGACCCGTTGTTGACCCGTTGCAGGCCCCATCGACCACCGTGCCCGCCAATCACAGCCGCCCAGACAGCGCCGAGAGGCAAGGTCCGAGGCCTGGTCCGAGGCCTGTCTGGCCTGGCGCCGCGGGGCCCACATCCCAGCTCTCAACATATTGCCATCTTCAAAATTCCCGTTACCTGCCGTTACCCACTCAGTGCTAGGGTCAGGTCTCAGGTACAGCACCCCCATCTTCACAGACTTTGCGGCGACCAACACAGATACGTAGCACGACCGCCCACGCACATCGTCGTCGTCGTCGTCGTCGTCCTTGTTGTTGTCGTCGTTGTCTTTGGGGTTGTGTGCTGTGTCGAAAGCGTTGCCTCCCGATCCCTCGCCTTCCTCTTCCCGTACTATCTCTCATCGACCGCCAGAGAGACCAAACCCGCATTGCCGCCCATCACCATCTCGAAATCCTCGCAGCGCAGATTTGACCTTCTCTCTATCTTCCCCCCCAAGGCGATATCCCAACAAGCACACGACATTACACCTAGCCCTCGTCGCTAGCAATTGCTTACGGCTGTTGCGCAACACCACATATTCGTAGTTAGCAGAAACTACCCTGGCACAACGCCTACGAGCATTCCTCGAATCGAATTTCCACCCTCACCAGCATCGCATCTTTAATACGTGTCTGCCTGAGCTCCGTTATTGACTGGCCACTTGCCAATTGGCACCTCTGCCTCCCACGATCGCCCGCAGTAGCGCTTGCAAGTCGCAATTGGTGGGTGAAGATGGCCGATACGTCGCCGGCGTCGACGCCATCACCGCCGCTGCCACCAGACGATGCCATCGACACAGGCTCTCACCTAACCATAGAGACCAAGGTTATTCCAAGGGAGCTTAAGCTCGAGAGGCTCAAGACGCCCACTACTCCAAACACTAGGAGATCATCTCTTCAGTCACATACCTCCATGAACGGGCCGCTCTATATGCAGACCAGCAACAATAAAGTATTAATTCGGAGAGTAAAGAGGAAAGGTGATGGGACCATCAAGAGCCTGACCCGTTGGCTTTTAGATAACCAAATAGGTAGGTGTAAAGCTGACAGTCCTAAATTTGTTTCTCCTCTTTCATTATTATTTAAGTCAAGTGGCGCTTGTACCCCCCTCCCTAAAAGATGGTCTTGCTTATTTTTCTTCTGCTAGGATTGTCTTTCAACCTCATAGCTCTGATCTTCCTCACACATTTATTTATCCCTAAAGCACGCCCTCACACGCTCAAATTCTTCACCCTATCCTATAAGAACCCGCAATCTGGGAGTTATGCGATCGGTGGTGATGACTATCATTTTATTGCTTTCTGCATCGTGCTTTTCACTGGGCTCCGGGCTGGCCTTATGGAACATGTCTTCGCTCCACTGGCCAAACATTGGGGCTTGCAAAAAAGGAAAGACATGACCAGGTTCTCTGAACAGGCCTGGCTACTGGTTTACTACTCTTTCTTCTGGCCCTTGGGCGTGGTACGTTGGCAATTGGCTCACTTGCATGGGGGTTGTTATCATGACGACCTCCACATTCCTAACCCTGGTTACTGATAGCTGAGCAGTACTTATACTACAACTCGCCGTCCTTCATGAACATGAGGGAGTTATGGACTGACTGGCCGAATCGGGAAGTGACTGGGCTGGTCAAGGCTTACTTCTTGGGACAATGGGCCTTTTGGCTACAGCAAGTCATTGTTATTCACATCGAAGAACGTCGTAAAGATCACTGGCAAATGCTCACTCACCACTTCATCACCATCGCGTTAATGACAGCCTCGTACTACTATCACCACACCCGAGTTGGTATACTGATTCTTGTGCTGATGGATATCGTTGATATATTCCTTCCAGTAAGTTCTGGCATATGTACCCGAATCACTTCTAGCCCCTATTCCTGACCAACTTGTAGCTCGCGAAATGTCTCAAGTACTTAGGCTATTCGACCTTGTGCGATATCATGTTCGGAATGTTCATGTTGTCATGGTTCGTTGCTCGGCATGTTTTTTATATGATGGTGTGTTGGAGCATCTGGAGGGATGCCATTCATGTCATGCCCATAGGTTGCTTTTATGGGTCCAACGACAGTCTAAAAGGGCCACTTCCCATACCCGACGGATGGAGTCACTGGCTTGAGCCATTCCGAAACCCCGAAGGAGCACTCTGCTTCTCTCAGACGGTCGTGTATGGTTTCTTATACACTCTACTCGGCCTCCAGGCTATTACCATATTCTGGTTCTTCATGATCCTTAGGGTGGCTGTGAGAGTCCTGAGAGGAGGTTCGGCTGATGACCCCCGTAGCGATGATGAGGTAGAGAGTGAAGCGGAGTATGAATATGAAGAGGCCCAGCCACTCGAGGAAGAAGTAGGGGTGGAGTCTATCGACTTGAAAGGATGGGAACGTCGAACGGGTGTGAAACGAGCGGCCTCTTCTTCGGGTGTCAGTCTCCCAGGGCACAGTGACAGGAAAGAATTGCTCGGGCGCATTGGCTGTGAGAAGCAGGTTGAATGAGGTGCGCACTAGCCTGATTACGAGAATATAGCTTGCAGCATATTAGGCAATCGATGGCGAAGACGCAAGCAGGTGACTCGCTATGTAAAGCCGTCCAACATCTGCAACGGATGACGGACCGTTGTCAAGCAGGCACGAACTTATCATGATGCGTATTCTCTACGAGCTCCTCAAGGTTACATATTGCTTTGATGCCGTGCTAGGAGATTTGTCCGCGATATATAGAGTTTTGAAATTTCAATATTATACCCATTTAGTAACTATCTGTTACTATCTATGAAAAGAAGGAAGTAAGAATGGCAAATCAAAATTGCCTATGGAGAACCGGAACAGAAATAATGGGTCGTGGGCCAAAAGTTCGAAACATCTAACCTATTGGACTACCGGTATGAAAATCGAGGTAATGGTGTCTTTGGAGGGTGAAATTATCAAACTTTCAGGCGACACTGGAGAATCTAATGTGAGTCGAATGCCTAAAATCAGCTTTGTCATGTTGTATATGGAGTTAGAACCTATGCACGTCGCTGCTTAGGAAAGTAGAGGACCCGATCTCAAGGTTCTCGTTCAAGGGGCTCGTGGATCAGTGAGGCAGCCTTTACATGCGCCTATATGGTCGACGTGTCTGCTTTTACCTATAACCTGTTATCAGTGGTATCTTGACTTCCCTGCTCTAGGATCGCCATTAGGCTTTGAAAATTTAATGTAACAAGAAAGTAGGTGAGAGAGTTATGGTTTGGAAGGAGTGCCAAGCCAGATTTCTTTCCTTCCTTTCGATTCAATGTGCCTCCGCACCTACTAAAATATCAAGATCACCTCAACTTTGAAGGTGCGAACAAGAAATTTAGTTTTGAGAGTCAGGCATATACATAATACCGCTTGCTCTCCTTTTCTCTCCAGTTTCCCACGTTCCAATCTCTACTTTTACCCACTCCGTTCCCACGTTGTTTTACCACCGCAACAACATAAGCCTTATTCTCGTCATTCAGAATATCTTCTCGCACATCCATTTCTCAAGACTCTCTTCTATAACTTAGCAAAAGTTACCTGAAGTGACATCAGCCATGAGGCCGGGTAGATACGCCATTCACTCTCACAGTGGCCCTGCCACTATCCCCTACATCCCTCCACAGAGGGACCAAACCAGTAGCATCCCTCACGGCGACGATAGTGCAGACGATGGCTCAGACATGGAACAGTCTGGCAGTTGCCGCGGCGGAAATCAGGGTTCCAGTAGCCCTGGTTGGAATTTTGGCGAAGGCTCCTCCCGAAATGGATCTCAACAGAATCCCTATCGACAGAGCCCTCATCAGCAAAGTCCCTATCAACAGAGTCCTCGCCAATGGGGCCCTCATCAGCAGGGTTCTAATGACGGTTATTATCGCTCCTTACTAGAGCTATGTGAAACGGCCAAGGATACTATCATGACTAGGTATAGACAAGGACAGGCACATATACAATGCCTCAATCAAGATCTGTTGCTAGGGGCAGAGCATTTCCACAAGGTGGAGGATGAGGCCAACTACTGGAAGCAGAAATGCTATGAAAAAGAACGCGAGATCAACCAAGTGAGGGAGAAATGGCGTCAAACAGCTATTTTCGCGCAGACAATGTCAACGTGGGCGCCAGGTCGCCATCATGCCCTAGAAAAAATATCAAACGACCTAGAGGAAACTTATAAACGTCTCAAGAACTCAGTCGATGCTATCATGGCACACTGCGAAGTTGATATCCTTGGCAAGGATACGACAGGGCAAAACTCTGGCAAGCTCACGAACGATTTGCACCAACTCTACCTGTTATGTGACCAGATGATGACCGAAACCGGACATTATCGCGCGCTCGAAAAGTGGTTACGAGAACCACCTTGGCTGAGAGGAGACATATAGTTCTTTCTTCAGCATCGACAAAGCTAGCGAATCTTGTGAGGAGATGTTGGCTAGTGTAATTGTCTAGTGGGTATACTTTGTTTGTAATCCTAGGTGAGGGAATGGGCGCAACAAGCTACGAGGAATTAATTCCTAAATAGACAGGACCAATGGTGGCCGAGGGCTAGGATGCAGGGTAGAGAGGGTCGAAGGAGGATCCATGCACATGACTTGAGGAGGGAGTCGGTTGTGACGACATCGAGCCCTTGTCTGGGGTTGCACTCATCTCCATTCTAGGTCGAAAGACGGATTTTGAGTCCAACACCATAGCGTTAGTCCAGATAGCGAATTGCCAAAAGCGAAAATTATTGATAATACGCAAATGTATACTGTATTGTGTGTTTCATGTGCTAAACAGCCCATATTGCCGACCCCAACGGGCCTCTTGGAGCAGGTCTTAGAGACTATCCGGCTCTCGCCAACATAAGACATCAGCAGGCCTTAGAGGTTGGTGACACATGATATAGCTATATACTTCTTAGGTGATACCTAGATTAGTCCTGTAATTGAAGGGGATCCGAGCAGGGGGCTTTACGGATCTTAGTAATCACAAGACATGGTTTGGTGTAACATGAATGACTTAAGCTACGAGAAGCAGAAAGTATAACAGGGGCAAAATATCTTTCCAGCACATAAACCTTCCACCGTAAAATTTCCATTGTCCGTAACCCAGAAAGATAACTTCATGCATAGGCAATCTTATTTATCCCTCATGAGTATCATCAAACCCGGCTTCTGTGAGTAGTGAAATTTAATCTTAGTATAATGTTATTATTGTAGCTTTGACGGTTCTAAGTCTCGGTTTAAACTGTGTTTGTATCTGGATCATTGCGTCCCGAAGGTACAAAATGATCTAAACGTTGAGACTATTCGCGGATGTGGTTAACACTGACGGTTCACATACTAATGATTTGGAGTTAAAGCTCCCTTCCCAAAGACGAATCGACCTATTTGGAATGAATTGCTCTTCTACGGCTGAAGCTATCAAGGACCGACGCCACGGTACTGTTGTTGAACAAATTAAACTTGAGCCAACTGAACAAAAGCAGATAATATGTCCAATTTCTGTTAGTACATTGATTTCGTCACTCATGGTACTCTACCAGAGTTTCTGGAACATTACCTGTGTAAATACTAGGCTAAATTATCAAGTAGCAGCTCATTCTTCTGAGAATCGTGCTAACCCCTAGAGTCTGTGCCGTCATTATCCGTGAAACACAATCTCCGCTCCCATTCGTTCCATGTTTAATACCGTGGTCCAACTAGATCAACCCTAAAAGTAAGGGATTCCAGGGCGGTGAGGAAAAAAAAAAAACAAAAAAAAAACAAGTATAGTAGATTAGCTCAAGGTCTATAAAGGACTTTGCTGTGGCATATCAGGTCTAGACAACGTTCAGGGATTAGTCATTCTCGGAGACAGATTGAAAATTTCCTCGTTCCGAGAGGTGGTTCGGGGTAAACTGTCTATATAGTGTGTGCCACGTAGTATCAAAGAAACGCCATCATGTGGCACCATAAGCGGTTGTCGGCTCATGATATAGCTCAGGTGATCTGTATCTGTGCAGTTTTGTAACCGGGTTGGTCGTCGAGTACAGAACTCTCTCTCCTTTGCTTATGAATCAAGTATGCCCCCAAAAATTCTATCTCGCCCAGTTCCTATTGCGGCCATGCAGCTAATCATCATTAGATATTGTGCGTCTTTGTATGTCAAGATGTAGTGGCATGTGAATTAGGTCACGAGGTAAAGATATATTGGTGGTTCCTAAGTTATTTGTAGTCCGCGTCGCTCTTAATATGTGTCAATATTACCTATTAGTATAACCCAAATAACAGTCGGCATGGTGGTATTGGTGTTGATGCCTGACCCTAGTTGCTGAATGCGTTTTTCGCTCATGAGAGCCACTCATCATGCTCATCTGGCAAGTCTCTATCGGGAGACCAGTCGTGAAATCCCGGTTTATGATGAAACCCTGGCCAGTTATTGATGAGTGGCTCTTAGAAAAGGTTATGGCTTTGGGAGCTTGTTCACACGGTCACCAAGTCAGGATAACACACTTAATGAACGGTTTACGCAACAGCAGTGGAGATGCAGTCGGCCTCTAATACACTACACCGCCAAGCAAGAACGAGAATGAAGAATGAAAGAAGCCCATAAATAGTGATACATACGAGCGCATTTCGCAAATAGCGAGAACAAATACTACACCAGCCGCGGCCGTGGTTGCGCAAAGAGGCGGCTTATGAATTGCGCCGATGCGGTCGGTCGCATCGATCCTACGTGCGTACCGAACGTGCGTTCTGTCTGCATGCATGCACAACAATGCAGATCTTCTCGTAAAAACCCAGAGAGCCAAGGATCTCCCAAGGCGGTGTCAACTGGAACTTCCGGGCGTCCCACAACGTGCGCTGGGATTACCTAGATCTGTACACACTGCACACTACACGTGTATCATGACTCGAAAGAAAAGGGAAGCGCAAGACAAGCACCAGGAAACACACCGACCCGGTGGAAAGCAGGATCCCTTCTCTGCGTCACTGTGGCGTTGTGGCCTCCCCGGGCCGGCAGACATCTCCCCGTGGGCGTTGCCATCTCGTGTTTGACTGACTCTACTCCGGAATAGGTAGGTTCATTCGAAGGGGAAGCAAGGGGGCGGCAAACAGAACAATAAACGCGGAGCTTCATACGAGGAAGCACGGACTCTGGCGGGAGCCAGCGGGTAGAAAGCGGGTTAAACTGATGGCCCTGCCGACTTATACCAATTGGATCATGGCAAACTGCATTTCGTGTCGGAAAGGGCGGGGTTCAGAATCTCCATCATACGTAGTAGAATACTACGCATCGTCAGACCCGGCCCTTCGAGAAGGTATATACATATAAAAGGTCGTCTATGCCGTTGACATTTATTTAAGTTCAGTCCACCGAAACTCAGACAAGCATCAGCATCAGACCATCAGACTAGACCGAACACCAATCTCATCTTAATTCCAGACGACAGACTAGATCACTCCAATCCATCTCCTCCCCTCCCATAAATTAGCTAATATTTTGGGGAACCCATCTCATCTCTATCTTCATCTTTATCTCCCGTCCCTTGCGTAAGCTTCAAACCATAAACTTCAAGATGCAGTTCACCACTCTCATCGTCGCCGCTGCCAGCTTGGCTCTCGGCACCAACGCAGCCGCCCTCCGCCGCGACGGCGCCCGTCTTGCTCAGTTCCGCATCTTTGGCGCCGAGGGCTGCAAGGCGCTCAACTATGGCTTCTACACGGTTGACTATACCGACATTGGCGTCTGCAACGCCATAACTGCGGACGTCGAGTCAGTCAACCTCGAGGTCCAAACTGCCGATGCCGCCGGCTGCACTCGTAAGTCTTCATTCAACTCCTCTCCTCGCAAACTGCGATATCAAATTGACTGACATTCCCTGCTAGTTTTCATCTACTCGGACGCCAACTGCTCGGCTGGAGAGACTGCTACTTCTGTCAATGTCTGCAGCGATGTTCCGGAGGAAACCGAGTCCTGGGGCTCGTACCAAATCCTATGCTAGGCGTATTGTGGCCTACTTAAGGAATCCTGGAGGAGTAGAGAGAGAGGGGGGGTAATATGGGGCAGGAGGCGATAAGAGAGGTGGTTGACGAAAACGAAGATGTTACAAAGCGATTCATTGCCATTCGACTAGCATCGCCCGCACGCACATGGGCAACGGCGTTAGGAGCAACAAACATAATAACTTTTTCACTCCTTTTATGAACACGGCGGAACGAAGAGCATGATTACACACACTCTTTAACAAGAACTTGATAATAATATACTTCATAGGACGATGAGTTATATCAACCTTAAACCATGTCCATCAACTTAATGCTGAGTGCCTCGGTCGAGATGTCATGTCCGTTTAAGCTTAAATATTTTAACTTCTCTGCTATAGTGCGCATGCATCAGTTAGGGTGCCATGACTAGAGGGGGCATATAGTAGGTTAGGTTCGATTCCTTTCAGCGTTATATGGTTATTTCGCTTTTGGCTCATCTGCATCATCCACAAGCATACCCGGAATATCTATCAAATAAGCCAAAAACGAATAACCATATAGCGCTGAAAGGAATCGAACCTAACCTACTATATGCCCCCTCTAGTCATGGCACCCTAACTACTCTATCTATCTACCAGAGAGCACTCCCGTGGTCAGGGAGCTGATCAACCAACCTCTCTTCCGGATACCCAGCAAGCAAGCGATCCAGATTCGCCTGGACACTAAGCCGAATATACGGCGTCCCCATTTTCTCCCGTGCGAACCCTCCACCCTGGCCCCTGATATCTGAGACTGACGCTCCTCCTCCCGTTTCGTACCGATGGCTGATGAGCGGTGGTTGCACAGTGAGACAGATAAGACTCTCCCGGTCTTTCCTTCCTTGTTCCATGCCTCTGGATTGCTCTTCGTCTTCGCCGGAACAGTAATCTCTCAGCATCAGATCCCACTGCGCAACGAAACCGTCCTCGCTGAAACGCCGCAGGAGCTTGCGCGCGCCCCTCTGACTCACCGCATACGCGAGACTACACACGTTCCCGCGGGAGGCGTGCACGACGCGAGTGTGCGCGGGATATGCGTCTGCGAGGGCGTCGAGAAGTGCGAAGGGGTGTGGCTGGAGATGTTTTGGCGCTGGGACCGTGGTGTCGTTGGCGATGGTTATCTTGAGTGCTGAAGACGACGAAGAAAAAGAATCAGGGGTGCGCGATCGCGCCTCTCGCTGTGCAGTCGGAAGATCCGCGCCGCAGTGGCCGAGCCATAGGACATCCCAGTTATCGCCGTAAGGGCTTGCGCTACGAGCACGAGAGCCACCATCAATCAAGGGGACGTGTGGCGGAAGCGCAATTGCGTCTCCTTCGACATCCGTCTTTATAGCTCCTCTTATGTTGGAAACTGAGGATAAAAGCGGTCCAGCCTTCGGCCGTTTGCGTTGCTCGATGGCCAGCCACGTCCGCGACGCTCTGGCGAAGGTCCGCATCTGCGCCTTCAACCGCACGTCCCAGTCAACATCATCTTCGAGCACCAGAGCACTGCCTAATTTGAGATCGACGATGCTCTGTAGAGCGCTCAAATGTGAACCCCACGATCCTCTAGCCCCTGTCGATGCAGAATGCGAGAAGTCTGTTGCGGTGCGATCTTCTGCAGCATTCCCCAGGGCCAGGGGCGCGGGTAGTACCGCATTCTCTCCCGTTAACGCTCTTATGAATGTGAAGTTTAAGTTACTTTAAGGTTCGTACGTCAGTACTCTAATCGCCTTCGACAGGGAGAATAAGCCATTAGGAGATGACTAAGTAAATATATAGAAGACCCAAGCATGTAAAAGGGTATGTAAAGTCAGGTAAACCAAACCCTTGAGGGCAGCCTCGTTCAAAATCGAGCACAACACTCCTAGCCAACTTCGAAAAGAAAATTCAAATGATTCAAATAAACCAACCAACCTTACGACACCAGCCAGAGCCATAGAATCCCGCCGATCCCGTCGCGAAGGAAGATTAATCACGAAAACCTTCTCAAACTAGACATAAATCACATCAGCCCATCCAGTCCATAAGCGACGGTTCTTATCCCTCCTTCCCAGCCTCCTCCCTCCCTCCCTCACCCACTCACCCACATCTGACACGCCGGAAAATAAAACGGTGAAAAGAAACCTCAACTCACCCCAAGCGTACCATTCATCGCCTCCCCATCCCCATTCCGATCCCCACGAACCCACACCGGGACACCGTATCCAGACCCAACAGAGCAGAACCGATAGACAGAAACAAGAAGCAGCGCCGCAAGGACGACGACAGCCGTCCGCCGATGGAGCAGCATTTCCGTCCCCGAGCGATCACTCCAACCATGTATCGAGCGCCGACCTAGCAATCAAGTCGTATCACATAAACCATGTTTTCCAGCTAGTACCTTGGGCTCGCTCGCTCGGTTGGTAATTTTGACCGTCGAGGCTTAGATAGGCGTGTTAAATCGCATGTAGCGTACTGTATGTATGTATATGTCTTGAAGAAGTAGTTGTAGGAATACATACATTGTCGGTATTCGGGGGCTCCTACCTGTCCACAACAACGTCGTAGACCTGGTGAGTGCGGGTAAAGTGTCCGGATAAATTTGCGAGTAAAGTACGTAGAATGCTGCGCACCGAGGGTCATGGATGCTATGATTCCAAGAGGAGATAATGTGATGATGAACAAAGCAAATCACTGCACTCATATCATCTTCTTTCCAGACAACCATGCGTTACTGAACATCTCATTTATTCATTTGAAATTTCAAGTTCCAGGCAAATACACCTCATCTCGCTATTCTAGGAGCTGATGTAACGCTGGTAAGTGTTGTCTAGCATGGAAGAAAAAAATAACCCAATTCCAAAAACCATTATCAGTTAAGCGATTGACTATGGTTATCGCTCTGATTCCCTTCTATTTGAACGCCGTGAAGAAACCCTCTAATGCATCTATGATGATCATTCAAAGCATACCCCATTTTGTGCATCGTCTATCCGGCAAGAACCCTGGCACATAAGCGCAAGTCCATGAACAACACCCCTCGTTTCCATTTTGGGACCACCATTCAATGCATCATTAAATCGATCTATAGTCTACTCATCATCGTCCGTATCAGGAGGATGAGGTGTGCCCTTAGGAGTATTGAGCCATTCAATATGGCGCAGTCTTCGTCGGACTTCTTGATCTTTAAGCTCCTTCTTGGTCTTCTTCTTCTTCTTCTTGGCCTTGAATTTCAGGGGTGTATTGTCTTCCGCTCCGCTGTTGACTGCGCTCGTAACGGCACTGTTTACAGCACTGCTGGCCGCAGTACTAGCGATGTTACTATTCACCCCACTGCCCGGCCTGCTATCTTCAAAGCGGTCCATCGAGATAGCAGCATTACCCTTCATCGTCATGCGGCCATCGTTAATATGCCATTGCTCACTGGCGAGAGCCCCGACGAACTCTTCGTTATGGGAAATCATAACTACACCACCTTTGAAGTCGCGGATAGCTACAGCAAGCCCACCAAGGGAGTCGCGGTCCAAGAAGTTGGTAGGTTCGTCTAGGACAAGCAAATGAGGGTTGTTCCACATGGCACCCGCAAGGACAACTTTGACCTTTTGGCCACCCGAGAGACTCCCAATCTCATTGTGGTTGGCAATCTCTGGGTCGAGGCCCAGGTCCTCGAAATGTTTCGAGATAACAGTGGGCTGGAGTTCACGATAGCCTAGACCTTCTCGAGAGGCTTCATGATCATCGAATTCTTGTACGAGTTTATCGAACCCCCACTCTGACAGAGTTTCACGGGATACCTGCGAATTGAATTTGGGAAGCCAGCCTATCCATTTCCTACCAATTATTAGTTCAGATCATGCATTAAGTTGACGATTTGGACTTACACTTCATATTGGAAGGTCTTCTTGTATTTTTGTCGGCCCACAAGAGCTTCCAGTTGTCTCCCGCCTTTCCCATCGCCAAGGTCAATCTTCTTCTCCATTTGCTCCCGATCTTTGTCTGACAGAATACGAGTTTGTTTCAAGAACACCTCTCGATCATCGCCATTAGCGTACCGCCACTGGAGGTACTGATTTGGGGTCTTCTCAAGATGCATCTCTACGTGCTCTAGGGCATGCTGTTTAATATACCCAATACGCAGATTAGGATGTTTCTCGACCCGGCCAGAAGAGGGAATAAGCTCGCCAGTGAGCAGTTTGATCAGAGTGGACTTGCCCGCACCGTTGGGACCAATGACAGCAACTCTGGAGGAAAGACTGAGCTGGCAGCTTGCATCACCGAGTGATGGCTTGGGTGCCTTCGGGTACTGGTACGAGACATTGGTCATACGTATGATAGCTCGAGTTTGGGATTTGACACCCGACAGGATACCAGGCGGTGGGAACTTGAATTGAACGTTGGAAGCCGATAGGGTGTAGTAGGCCTTTGCTTCTGGGCGAACTTCCACGAACGCGGCTAGATTTCCCTTAAAGTGGCCGAGTTTCTTGCCTGGTTCGTAATGATAGATATCAGTTGTAACATTATCTAAAAATCCAGAGTCGTGGGACACGATCAAACTGGTTATATCGGTATGGGTCTTCAGATAATTCTCCAACCACGCGATATTAGCAACGTCTAGGTGATTGGTAGGTTCGTCCAGAAGTAAAACATCGGCTTTCTGAAGCATAGCCCGAGCTAAAGCCAACTTCATCTTCCAACCTCCAGACAAGGAGCCAACCTTTTGTGATTGGCGCCCCTCTGGGCCTGCTGTAAACCCGAATTCGGCCAAGACCTCTGAGATTCTTTCTCGGCCCTCGGAGGCGATGGTCGGGTCCTTGACCATGAATTCAAGAATACTGATATCAGCGTCCTCGCCTTGATTGTGCTCAACATAGCAGGTACGAAGGACATCTTGAGGAGGAAAGCCTTCTAGCTTGCCCCCAGCAATGCTTTTCATAAGTGTCGACTTGCCAGCTCCATTTCGGCCACAAAGACCGTAACGATGACCTTTCAGGAGACGTAAATTGGTATGAGACAACAGAAGCATACCACCATAGGCAAGAGAGAAGTCAGCATTGACAATCTCAGTCTCGCCGTCATCCTCCTTTTCTGGAACTCCGTACCTACGCTCATCCTCGGCAACGTAGTACTGGTGAATAGCAGATGCAACCGCCTCGGTTGCGTCTGGCTGTTGCATAAGGTCCCTCAGGTAAGGGCTAACTCTACCAGGAATTCTGCTAACTTGGCGATAGTTGGAATCATCAGCAACCATCTCACAAATGTAGGGGCGAGCTAGCTTGTAGAAGTCCAGATCATCAGATAGACCTCCGTGTTTCTTGATCTCGGAGTCTAGAAGCTTGGCGACATCGTCAATAGGAGTACGTTCCACCGCTGCTGCATCATTGTTCATTGCTTTATCCATGACATTTAGAGCCCTTGTGGCCAGCTCACGAACCTCAGGAAGAGGAGCCCTATCCGCTACAGCCTTCACACCAGGCTGAAGCTTCGGAAGGAAAGTTCTTGCCTCGATGGGGTCGTGCACCAACTTGGTGAGATTTTCAGTGATGACGGTAGACTGTCGCAGTACTTCTTGGGTGGTGCTAGGGTTATTCAGTGTCCGCTCAAGGAAAGGAGTCAAGAGCGCGAGGACTGGCGAGGTAACAACAGCGACGAATGTAGTCTGCGAGAGTGCATGGATCGCCTTCTGGAGAGTTTGGGTTGATGGGTGATGTAAGGTCTCAATAAGCAAAGGAATTCGAGGAGCGACATCGTCATTGGACAACAACGTTGTGAGAGATTGCATAGTGAGAACAGCCTGCTTCTCGACTTCAGCCTTGAGATCGTGCATGTTATTCTCGACGATGGGGATCAAGGTAGCGAGCTTCGAGCCCATGGAGTCTCTCAAAAGATCCTTTTCGTGGGCTTGCTCCTTGGTGCAGCCAATCTCCATCTGTGACTTGTTGGCCATCCGTTGCATCAACTTGAGAGCTCCGATAGTGCCTTGCCATTTACCAGTCTTCTTGGAGAGATAGGATACAAGTGCTGGCAGGAGACCAGCAACAAGTGCTTCAGGACTGAGGTGACCGAACAAGGCATCCAAGCCATATTGGGCGGCATCACGAACGACGGTACCTTTGTCAGCCAGGGCGTCGAGTGCGCAGGCAACCAAACCTCCATCTTGGAGGAGGAAGACTACCTCGCTGAGGGGCTGTCGAGAAGGGAATTTCTCGAACAAAGCGCCGAGAAGGTTCTGAGCGCTTTCACGTCGCAACCCGCTCTTCTTATCAGCAGCGGCCTTCTTGACCTCGGCGCAGACACCATAGTACTGAAGACCACGAAAGCCGACGGTGTTTAGCAAGAGTTCGCAAAGCGCATAGGCGGCATCGATGGAAGCGGCGGAGGACGTGGCAGTGAAGACGGTATTGAGGATAGCGGCTACATCTTCGGGCGAGGGTGGCGGCGCAGCGCCGTTGGACTGGGCCACAATTATCGGCGGCGATATAGAGTGAGGCATCGTTGGCGGTGGTTCTAGAGAGGCGAGGCGGAGATGGAGGGTCCGAATAGTCGATCAACGCAGGAGAGAGAAGGGGAAAGCGGGCGGAAACGACGTGAGACGGTATAGACGCCCCGGGAGTGTTAGAGACTAGCGCACATGCGCAAGAGCCTCGAGGCGTTGGTATTGGAGGAGCGAAGCGGCCGTCTCCCGATTCTCTCGATTCTCTCGATGATTCGAATCTTTGCGACGGGGTAAACGGGAGGACCGGGGAAGAGAGAGAGAGGTATAAGGGAAGAAAGAGAAAGAAAAAGGGGAATGAAAGTGCCGGTGTACCGTCGCAGCCTGCGTGGTTAGGGGAACTCAGAAGGAAAAGGCCAACTGAACGGAAATGCTGGTTATCGGTTATCGGAAAGTCGACCCCTCCAATTTTTTTCTTATCGACATTTTTCACGCCGGACTTTTTCAGCTCCACCCAAAGACCCACCTGTCGTGTCAAGTCCGCTCCACGCTGAACTTTCCCCGTGCTAGAGCAGGTATAGATGGATATTGAACATGTATGAGATTCTACTTAGTTGTGTTCAAAGTCTTTTTGAAACATAAAAGACCCAAGATAGGTGTAGATGAGGAATGGTTGGTGCTGGTCAGGGGTGCTCTTCACAATCTAAACAATGATTTGCCGCCTAAATTTATAATTACTCATCAACTCGTTGAATCGTGCACTGCCCGCTTGGCTAAGTGGTATAGCGTGTCACTAGTACTTTCTAGATGCCATGACAAGATCAGCGGTTCGATTCCGCTAGTGGGCATATTTCTTTTGCCAATTCTTCAGTTTTATTTCTTTGCGCCTCAGGTTTCCTTTCTTTTGTTTAGCTGCCATGCTATTTATTAACTTACCTAATATACACGAACAAATAATAGTTGCCTTATTGAAAATAGACACCTGATACGCTTTGCTGAGGGAAGAAAATGCGTACATTAATTAATGTATATATATAACTAAGCTGGTCGTCACGGGCCAAGCGCCAGAGGTAATAGATACAAACAAGTGTGATAAAGACTTTTATTGTTATATTACAGTAGTACCATATAGTACCATATAGTGAGTGTAAATACGCATAGTCTCGACCTGATAATATCGTTCAATCTTTTGTATTGCGTAGCGTTTTAGCACTACACTCCTACCCCGTTCCGTGACATGCTGGTGAGGTCTAGGTGGAAAGTGGTGTTAGAAGGGTTGTATAAGGTATATAATATATATAGTAAGACTCTCATTGTGGCACAAGGTCTAAAAGACCAGAAGTCAGAAGGTATTCGGACCTTTGATTATATACAGTGTATGTCTTTGTTCCTCTGCTCTAACACCCCTGGTAAGTAAAGAGGGTGGTCTTTAAACTATACATCTCCAGCTGTTGTATCATACAAATATATGACACCAAAGGCAAAGAAACTATGTACATGTTTACTTACTATTTCTTAGAAGTATGTATTCGTCTGACATTTTATAATTTACAATTCAAGGAGAGGAGACAAGAAAAAGATCATGTTTATAATGGTGATTATTTCAAAACGCAGTTTTCTAACATACGTGGCATAATCATCGTTCCATTGTATAATTGAAAGAAAAAAGAGTATTGTAGTTTAGTGATAAAATCCGACTGTATCGCTGAGCTCTAATCCTCTTTCTACATCACGCTGACATTTAGCTATTGAGCTTCGATGGGAGACTTGATACTTGGGTTAACTAATTCATTCACTGCCTGCAATCACGCTTTACACAATTGCCTTCCAATGTTGATCGTGCCAAATTTACGAAGAACCAGTAGGAATAGTTGGACAAGTCTAAACTGCCATTTGCAGATGGCATCCCGATTCTCGGTCCTTTACTTTACTATCCTTATCAACTTTGGTATAGAGGCTAGCTTAGTATAGGATTACGAGTTTATTTATCATCCAAACGCTGCCGGCTCAGGTAAATGAGTATTACATTGCTGCTAGTTGGGGTTGTCAACGGAGATCTTCTTTCTATTGAGTTACAGCGCCTTGATAACTTCCGGCTGAAGAGGACAATCTCCGAGTAGGTGGTATACGAATATGGTGCTCTGCCATTGCATGAGCTGCGCCCCAGACTGCAACTGGTCTTTTTAGAGATAGCTCCGTTCATTGCGTAATGTAGTACAATAATCACTCTTTAAGCCGCAACGGCTACGGTCTGTGACCAGGGACCTGCATGCTGACCAACGTCTTACCCCCCTGACAATATGTAGAGAGCTCACCAGCCATGATCAGGCCCGTGTTCCGAGATCGACTCCAGCCAGTAAGAGGACAACAATACCAAAAGATCTTTGGGGAAGTGACAATTGACTAGTAGATAAGAGGCGGGTGTAACAACCGCGAGATCAACGGCTATGTCACTCTATTCTCTCCTTCATTCCCGTCTTTCTTCACTGAATTCTTCACTCAGTTAAGATCTGGAATGGACTTTTCACTCATCGTCATTAGTACAAGGATTAATCACTTGAGGTTTCTGGCCACTGTCTTAAGCCGACACTAAGTCGTGGCTCTTACCTACCCAGAAGTAGGGGAGACCGAATCACTTACGTGGACCGACGGGACTATTTTAGCGGTTAAGCTCAATTCAACACTTTTCCGCGACCAACACGATCATCACTCACCATATTTTAGCGTCAGATGTTTATCAGATCAAGGGAAACGTAACCATTGATTCTAAGGGCGGCCGGGGGTTCGTCACCAACACACACACTACTGCAGGGTACAAACCGCGAACATGGATGGCGGTATTTTGAACGACGCTAACCGCATAGGTGAACTGCCGCCCCGGCTGTTTGGTGGCTCAAGAGGGTTTATTCGCCAACCTGGCTGGGTCTGGCCAGGATCTGAAGGCCAGCTCGGTCAAGCAGACGTCAAGGGTAAGTCGTGCAAGTGCCTGGGTGAGCAATGGAATACTGCGGTGAATTCCGCGCGAGCCAGATATCCCAGACGCCAGATCAAGGCCAGATCAAGGCCAGATCAAGGTCAGATCAGAGCCAGATCTACGATTCTGCACGAAAGACTCACCGAGCGTCGTCGTCACTACCTACCAAACGACGCGATGCCCTTCTTCCGCAGGGTGGCATCATAGACGTCGATCAGCTGAAATCAGGGCGACAGACATCACACGCTCTGGCAGTATTGTTCTGGGCGGCAATCTATTTCAGGGTCTTGGCAACTTTATCAGCATGACAAGAGGCTGACATATCGACTTCTCCCTTCCTACAACCGCCTACAACACCGACAAGAGCAACGCCCACAGGGCTGCATGGGGTAGATCATCCGTGCGTTGTACCCATAAAGTTGCCGCATTAGGAAAACGAGATGCCATGGTTGGTGGACCCTATTGTACGGTACACTACATACCAAAGACTGAAGGACTTACAGCCAAGAACCTACAATACACTAACCAAGTAGTATGTAAAGTGCGTAGCGGGTTACCCAGCAGTGTATCGAGCAGGAGGGCTGGGGAAGGATTGCTTCATGACAGTACGTTTCGTTACGCACGATTCTACAGCACATAGCCTTATTTGAACGACATGACACGACAGGACTCCGCCACAGTCGTAATCAACTGTGTAGGAGCTGTCGTAATGGCAGGCTGGGTCGCTGTCGTAACTGATGTTCACGTTGGCTCGGTCAATGGCCTAGATCAAGCGCCAAGCAAAACCAGGACGGATTTTAGCGTCTGTACTGCTTATTCTCGCAGTTGAGCAGTCCACAGACCTTGCATAGTACTATGTAGTAGTACCAACAGTACCAGATACTAACACGGAGGAATGGATCACTTACATACCTAGTAGCATGGAGGGTCTTGGAATAGGTTAAGCAGCTAAGCTTACACGGGCAGTAGTGCCTTGGTCGCTTAGGTGATCAGTCTCCCACGTGTAATAGAGATAGGATTGCAGCATGAAGATGGTACCAAGCAACAGGCCCAGCAGGCCCGATGGCATGGAGAGTTGGACTACTATCTGGAGCCAAGATTTCCACCGGTAGAGATCTAACTAGCATAGAGGGGACGGCTTGTAAGGGGCACCGAGTGGACTGAGTTGGAGCTGGTGTGCCTCGGGGATTTACATGTACTACCAGGTTATCTTCCTAACTCATGAACCCGGGACTTCATGTTCCAAGGTGCTGTCTGCCGATCCAAACGACCAGGTTCCGTGCCGTGTAGTGCTGGCGTAGCGTCAATCCTCGTTAATTTGTCATCGGTAACTTCCTACAATCCTCCCGTCTAATTGGAAAATAATAAGAAACAGCTAACCTGCGTTCGTGCCTAGGTAAGCCAGGGGGTTGAGCCCAAACGGAGCTGCAGGGGCTAAGGTCCGTCAATATTCACACACCGGCAAACCCCGATTGAGATCTCGTCCGTTTCCAACCACATACCACTCCTCGAATTCATCCAACGTCACAATATCTCGAGTAGAACACGCATGTCGGAATGTTTCCCGTCCTTGTAATGGCTGGGATCGTTTTCTTTTAAAGGCGCCACAGACGAACGAGGGGCGGACGGGAAATGTGCACGCACTGGTACTAATATTGATTCATAAGTCGTCGATTCTACATACTCATCCACCATGGTTATACCAAAGACCACAAGTTTTCAATTCATCACCTCTATCAACACGGTCGCCCACGATGATGAGACACGCCGCAAGGTGCGCTCCCATGCGAGGCGGCAGAAGCTCTCGAACGAGAGTAGCCCCCCTCAATCGAGGAAGTCGTCCACACAGAAAGAACGTATCTCTAAGTTCAGACTAAAGCCATGTGTTCAACCCAGCGAGACCAGTCCCAAAGATGGTACCAGCGGCCGCAATGGCAACTGTGCAAAGTCTTCGTCCACAACCAAGCTCTACAACCCCACGCTCGGAGGCCCTGCCGAAGCCGGCAAGAACACCAACTTCACGCCCACAATGATATCGCGAGAGCTAGCTTTAGTAGTGGCGCGAGAACTCCCTAGCTTCCCTATGCTCAATATTGAGACGACCCCCTTAACAGAGACTCTTCTTAAATATTGCTTCACAGTGTGCTTATGCCCACACGAGGCCATGATAGAGAAATGGTTTGACCGCGCAGGAGCGCCTACATACATGATGACATGTGGGTGGCCTTAACCCCATTTCTGATTTGATGCCAACATTACAATTACCATGACTGATGTTCATAGATTACTCTGGCTTTCTTGCCAACGCTTTCGCCATGAACCCGGAAGGGAACTTCTTCGATGCTGTGAGTCTGGCTACCATAGAGGCAGCGTTCTGGGAGCCGGTAGGTGCTAACTTGAGTTCTAGTTACACGTTGATACGGCCATCACTCACGCCTTTATGGCGTTGGTAGCATCTATGCAGTACGTACGGGTTGTTATTCTTCGCCTACACTCCGGGACTCTGTAATTGGATCATTGTATGGCGCGGGGCCTAAAGCTATAGCCCTTTGCTAACAAACCATCCTCTGTACAGTAACTCCTTAGCTCAATGGAGCGATACGAGTACATTCGACTTCCACCGCCTTCAAGCTATAAAAGCCATCAACGAACGGTTGAACGTAGAAGGGAAAACGCCTAACGTGCCTATATCAGACGGTATAACGATGGCTGTTGCATTACTAGTCAATAACGAGGTGAATGAAGATGCCGTTGCCAGCAGATGATCGCCGAATACTGATGTGGGTGTGTAGACCTTCATTGGCTCTATCCAAGCGGCAGCAGCTCATATGTACGGCTTGAAGCGCATCGTCGACTTGCGAGGTGGTATACTGGAGGCCTTCAAATACATCAGTGTGATCCAGAGGGCATTAGTAGTAGGTTGTCTCCGTGCTTTCTTTCTCATTTGGCTGCTTTTACCAAGACAATGATGGCTGACTCCGATTGTTGCAGTGGTAAGAGCTATGGTCAAATAACCTGGCCCAAAGCTGTCCGTGTAGACTAAGTGAAGACAAACAGGGCAGACTTCTCCTACGCATACGCAGCCGGGCAACCGTTGATGTTCCCTTTCGTTCCACAACTAGCGTCCTCTCTCAGCCTCCATAACCGCTTCAAGGACAGAGTGATGGAGATCACTTCGAGGCCTCTTGGGCCCAAAGATCTCGTGATTCGCAACCGAGAGTTGATCGATATATTCGAGCTTCTATTTTCAGTGACCGAGTGTCTAAGCACTTTCGATTATAGCAATCTAGCTAACATGTCCACCGAGCGAGTACAGCTGAGCGACTCGATATACCTGGGAGAATGGCGACTTTTCCAGTTGGAACAGTCATACCGCAACCTCAGGACGTCGAAGCGGACGGGCTCATTCACACTCGACGACCATATCCAAATTACCACTGAAACTATATGTTCACCCGCTATTGACCTAAGCGAGAGTCTAATGTTTGCCGGCCACTTGTTCATGCACCTAGCCTTGCGTGGACAGCCCCCAGCCGCACCTAGGCATCGAGGAATCATGGGAGCACTCGTGATGTCGATACACGGCACACTACTCGCTCTTGACATAGTTTACAAATCCGAAGCCTACGGAAGTCCCAAGTCGCACCACAGCGCAGGCAGCCTCGGGAATAGTTCAGTGGAAAGTTGGTCCACGACAACTACTAATACTTCAATCCTTGATCTCCCTAGTGCTAAGCCTGAGGACGATTTCACTAAGAACGCCTTGCTCTGGATTCTCTTTATAGGCTCGTGTGTTCGCGTGCCTGCGACTCCTACCCGATTTCACTTTCCGCATCAAGAATTTCTTCTCGATGATCATCATCAGTTCTTTATCCATGCCCTCCAGAACTACTGCCTTATGAGACATATCACCGACAAAGAGACGCTAACTGCAAAGCTGAAGGATGTACTCTGGCTAAACAGCTGGTGCGAGAGCCAATTGAACATGGTTTGGGCTGAAATAAGAGACCATATAATGCCTTGATCTGCCAAACAGTTATTAGCGTTGACTTTTGGCGGAAGTGTTGCTTGTTACGTAGGGAACTCATGCGAACAACAAAGCATGAACGCTATCCGACCTTTGTTATTATCTCACCTCTACCACCATGCTTGGCTTTAACACTGCACCGCATTCGAATTATACGGACAAAGCACTATAGCTCCTTCTAAAGCCGAAGCGCCTGATTCCTTTTCGTCTCGTACCAGTTCCCTTCCGATCGTGACCGATCATGCAGCTCCAAAAGGTTTCTATCGGCAAATACATGGGACAAGAGATGAACGAGGCTCGACACTCGACAGTACCATCACCGGAGCCGTGTCCACACCCTTGCATACCACCAGAGGGTACGGTGGAATGACTCCGGTAGAACAAGCGCAGAACTCAGTGGTGCTACTCAGTAGGAGAACAGGCTGAAGTCGGGGATAAGGACCGATCAATCTTGCAAACAATCGTCACGATAAAAGGAAGCACCTCAACGTCTCCCGAATACCATTAAATATCGTAACCTTGTCAACTCGCCATTGACAATTAAGAAAGTGTCAAATCTGGACAACACACCCACGAAACTACTTACCTACCCTTCACGGAGATAATGCCGCAACCCTCGGGTTACCACTCCTGCTTTTCCAGCGTACCGAACCACTTTTTTCCTTTTTTTTTAATCTTTCGAAATCATATGGGGAATGATGCATATATAGGGTGTACGGAATAACGATAGGATGACGGGCGTTGGTATGATATGCAGCATGGGATGTAACTATATGTAGTCTTTAGGTACCGTACCTACTTACGGGGAAAGGGGGATTTTAGTAGCGAAAATGACAAATCGTCGTGCATGAAGTCTGATTATCTACGAAGACAAAAATACATGTAACAACAAGAAAATGGCATGGTTTTTGTTTCCCTCTCCGGAGCTGGGAATCTTCGTCTCCCCGCTATTCCCAGTCGAACGGACGGTATGACAATATCCTTGCTGACATGCCCATGTTTCCACGTAAGGCCGACCTAATCTATTTAGCTCCTAAGGTTAGCGTACTCGGATCCAACTTGATTGATCGCGTAATCCATGAAATGGGGGTTTCCGTAAATCGGTATTATCCTTTCGCCACGATAATCTTCATGTGTGTATATATTACACATCAGATAATCAGAGTAGACGCAGCCTATTGGATCCCGTGGCGCAAGTAGTGTCTTATGTCCATCAGCGACGCCAATAGGTGGTCGGAGCAACATTCCGCCCTGATGTGGTGAGCGCGCGGGCAGACTTTGGTCCGTGTCCGTCAGGTTCGGCGATTGACTTACTATTTGGGTAATTAAAGATGAGCTAGGGCAAAGACAGCGCAAGACTTCCTATATTTCTCAAGTCGCGTAAGAATAGTCACGATCGATAATCACCAGAGCAGTCAGTCTCTCTACTTGCTTCTTTTCTGGGTTGGCCTGTTAGCTCGAGATCTATTGACGACCACCTATTCTTGGTCGTGCTTGCAGCAGGGTAGCCAGCTTGTGGACCCTGTCTAAGTGAGGTGAGAAGAGAAAAAAAAAGATACATAATGGCCCCGACCCACGAGCATGTCATCCCGGGGACTATCTACGGAGCGGTACCCCGGTTTCCACCTGACCAGCCGTATATTCCGATCCCGGCTGCACCAACCGCCGGAGACACACAGCCCGCATCTGCGTCCGCACCCGTGCCGCCTATGGAATGGGATACCGGGCTTGTGAGCCATGGGTTCAACTGGACCCGAGTCGACAATGATCGACGGCATAGCGGATGGGAAGAGGTCGAGAAAAGGTGGATGAGACAACAACAACAACAACAGCAAGATATAGAACAGCAGCAGTCATCCCAGCAAGCAGCGTCGGCGCAGCCAAGAGGGGGGTAAGTTGATTTCCAAAAATTACTACCAAAAGAAAATAATCGATTCCGTGAAAAGAAAAAGGGAATTCCGTTTCAAGAGCTGCGTAATATAAAATAATACGACGTCAAGACACTCCGCATAAGATGCCAAAGTGAATGTTCGCTGAGCGACTGACTTGGCGCATGTGCACGCAGCAGCGGACCGCGACCGAAGAAAGACACCAACAGCAAGGCCGCGGCGCTCTTCCCATACCCGCACCTCGCGGTCCCCGTGCCGGGCCTCTCGGCCGAGCCCGACTTCCGCATGCGGGTCAAGCTGAACCCCCAATCGGCGTCGGTGGCCGTGGGCGACGGCTTCAAGAAGTGGACTACGTTCACCGAGGGCGAGTGGTCGGGCCGCTTAGGATGCGGCGCGGTCGTGGTAAGTCAGACCGGATCATCCCATTGATGTATTCCACCGTCAATTTTCTAGGCGCAATTTCTATCCCGGTAGTGATCAAAGGGAGGGCTAACGAGGTGATCACCACGGCTTTAGAGCGGTGGCCAAGACTGCCAGGACCTAGTCCACGGGACGACCATGGCGACACAAGTCGAGGCCACGCATCGTCTCAAGACAGCCGACGAGGTACCAGCATTGTAAGGAAACCGCACCCCACCCCACCCCTTATCCCCCCCCGCGACGAAAACTGACCACGCGCAGCATAGAGTGTAAGACCCGGGGATTCCGGACCGGGCCGGCAGAGGCGATGCGTGCGCTGCGCGACCCAGGGGAAGCAGCGACCATAGACCCGAGGCAGATCCAATACAGGGTATCCCTATCCATGAAGACGACGGACGAGCGGTACGCGGAAAAGGTCAATCTCGGCTTGTGGATAGGGAGTTGCTTGTGGAGAGGCTCGGAGGTGATTTACGAGTGAGTTTTCTGATAAAAGCCGTGAAATCTGAAGACAGACGGCCTCGTCGCTAACATGTTGGGTAGCGTATACAGGGTCACGTAGCGGAGGTTGGAAATGTGTTATGCATCGAACGCAGTGAACTACCTAGGTATGGTATGGTATGGTATAATGGAGACCAATATTGAGCAGCCATAAAAGCTGTGCTCGGCAGTTCAAACTGTGATGTTATCGACCAGTCAAGTTCCAAGAGAAAATAGGAAGAGCTTAAGTATAGCAGTTGAGCGATTGACGAGTCATGAATTCAAGACGAATGAGATGATTAATACATTGGACTAATAACGCTCTACTAAGCCTAGCTGTCAAGGGGAGAGAGCCTCCAGTCCTTGTTCACCTGCAAGATCCGTAACCATTTGTTACGTTTACCAGAGTAGGCATCTTGATAAATACCAGCAATAAGAGAATGAAGTATCATATTTAATGACTCCTAAAAAAAGAGGTGACGTATGCGCCTGTTCAGCTGATGGCCAGCAATCATGCCACAGCAGAGAATATCAATGCCTGCCTAAGTATATACCATTTCGCAGGGCCAAAGCCCCGCATCCCGACCTAAACGCCATTTCTATGATATCCATGCTCTGCCGAATATATACACATAAAAAAGCTTGAGCAGCGCGTCGTTATTGAACCAAGTCCCACCTCTAGCTATACACACCACCCGAATCCTTTTTTGGCGAGCCTCTTCATGCTGCGTTCGATGATGGGGTGCGTCATTCCCCGGTCCTCGCAATATGCAATGAGTAGAGTGGGCATGCGTCATTAGGGCTTCGAACTAGCGCAAGCATTCCTCTCACGTTCGGCGGTTCAGCGTTCATCTACCATACACCATCCCGCAGGCATTCGAGTGGAACGAGCTAGGATTACCGGATAGCGATCATTCTTTCGTTCCATCGGTCAATAATCTCCTCATCATGGAATAGGACGTTAGAACTAGGTGAGGCTTTGAGAGAAATATATCCTCATCTATACGACCCTAAACAGCACTGGGCTTCGCAAGATGTGGGTACATCTGGATGGTAAAAGCTGAGATCATAACCCAAATGGTGCAAAGAATTTCTATTGCTGAACTTCACCAATATGTCGTTCGCTCTCAGGTTTCCAGGTACCTAGGCAAGCTTAAGTAATGCACAGAAGTAAGAATGAGAAAGAGCTTACCTTCAAAATCATGTTTGACAAATGCCATGGGATCATCGTAATCTTTAGCACCCATTTGTTGCACACCAGGAGAGAAGCTCGTGATGGGCAATACTACCACATCGCCCACCTTCTTGGGGTTTTCCATGCCCGTAAAGTTTTGGTACGTAATTTCACCAGCACTGCGCTTCATGTTGAAGTATCGGGGGTCATTAAGATAATCGAAGATGGTATCGGTCCAGATAGCCGGACCTGTAAACTCGACGATGGATTTTTCCTTGGTTATGAAAGTACCTTCCTTCTTTCTTTTCAGGGTCTCGGCCGTAATGCGAGACACGATATCACGTAATACGGGGTGTCCCGGTTTCGCTTGAATGGTCCATTGGCAGAACTGGATTCTGCGGCTATACCAATCTTTCCAGTCTGGCCGATCTGGATCGGCCTCGATACCGATCACTAGTCCGATGCTCTTCTGGGGCACCGTGTCTGGAAGCCAGTCCGAGGCGCTTTTGAGGGCGTATGTATCAATATCCGAGTAGATGCCACCACGCGCAAGCAGGATGAGATAGCGGAAGAAATCAGCTTTAAGAACGGGCTCAGGCAAGGCATCGTAGGCTTCGAGGATTTCAGGGATAGGGGCATAAAGCAACCGAAGGAGGTGTACGGCAACTTGGTCTGTAATGACTTCATGAACAAAACCCGGATGGTAATAAGTCCAAGAACCTTCCTCATCGCGAAAGTCAAACTCATCGTCCTCAGGTGTGCTCCTCCACGTCTGCCATATGTAGGCCGGGAACTTGGTCTCGATGTCATAAGGGTACTGGTACGCCAGTTTGTCATATAAGGACAACTTGGAGAGGTTTACATTGACTTTCTGACCAGACACAGGTTTCTCTCGGTGGTCGCCTACATCGGCGCGATCAGAATCAGACGTGGACGGCGCATTATGTAGGGCCTTATCGCCGTCTCTGTTAGGAGTCGACGGCCTAGGCGGAGGTCTTCGAATGGGGTTGGGCGCATCGGTGGTATGTGCACGGCGGATGAGAATGAATGCCGTGATGAAAAACACAGCGAATATGATAGCTCTCCGGAAGGGCAGCATCTTGTCGATGGGGTTTGTCTTCTACTTCCACCAAGTCCAGAGAGATGGCACAGGGTAGATGGAGGGTCTAGGCGTGGCCAAGCACGCGCGCGCAGAGGTTGTCGGCGCTGCCGAACGAGGAAAACGCTCGACAATCGGTTGTGAATGTCAAAGCAACTTGGCTCGATGCATCGAAGCGGCGGGGGAATTGGGTGGCAGACGGACAGTTTCGTGGCAGGATAGCGATTGATGATACTCAACGAGGCTCAAATAAACGTGTAGTCTAGGTGCCGGCAGTCGAGAAGGAGGGAGAGGTCTGCAAGGTAATGTACCATACATACACTACAAGTGCAGGAGAGTGGGTAGAATCTAGGGACTGAACAGGCTAAGGAGATACCTAGACAGATGGAGATTGATAGGAGCAATGGGGAATTGAAGTCGATCGGCGTTCGAGCTTCTCAGTTGAGCAGATGTTGTCTCTCCCCCAATTGACGATAAATTAGGATAGGGACGAAAGAAAAATGGGAGCGAGACGAGGTGACGCAACTTGCCAAGAGCCAAGTGGGATATACCGTATTACCCATCAGTGTACTGTAAGTACAGGGCAGAAATGAGGCAGCGTAGCATTATTGCTAGTGCAGTAGTGGGTTCAAAAAATAACCACACACATGCCATTTAGGCCCTTTTCCCACCAAAACTCTACAGCTTTCAGCGCTAGCCACACAGCCAGATCATAAAAGATAATTCTAAAATTTGGAAATTGAATAGAATATATTCTGAAGAATAGCATATTTAAATATTGTATTTTTTCAACTTTTCTACGTAAAGGTATAAGGTAATAAGATGAATAGACAGCATATAGCTAATCATATATATAGTAACTATAAGCTATTAAACTTTAAAGGTGGATAAAATATTTATTTTAAGGGGAAACTTTATAAAATTTATATATAATATAATTTAAACATTTCTAAATAATTCTATTTACTTTATACATTTTTCCTATTTTTATTAGCTATTGTATACCTGTTTGAATATGTAGAGTTTTGGTGGGAAAAGGGCCCAAATGGCATGTGTGTGGTTATTTTTTGAACCCACTACTGCTAGTGGCTGACGGTTGGAAGCCAATACAGTGGCACCTACCTACATATGTACAGTAGGTAGCTGGGGGCCGCTATGTTTCAGCCATCTTATTAGATGCTACCTAACCCAGCTAGGTATTGAAGTAAGCTCGCAGACCCCTACTTAAAAACACGCCTTGGCTGCAGGGTACCTGCCGAGCCTGTCTCTTGGTATTTCACAGAGACACCTGTCATGCAAAATAAGTCTAATTATAAGAATTGCTCTTTATCAAATAAACATTGTTTCCCGATCGTGTTTATCTTGACCAAGATTGCTGCTGTGAAATAGCAGTGCTCCTCTCCTCTCCTCTCTGCTCGTTCAAGTGTATGCGGACCATCGCGCACCATGAATTGACGCAGCATCTGGACTGCCTAGACATACGCGTCGACGTACGTAAGCTTGCAGCAGCGAGGGTCAGCATCGGAGAAACAGCCATGCTAAAACGACTTCGACGGCTTCCGAATAATTTCGTGCAACATCTGATGCATTCCAATTGCATGTGTAACGGCAAGTGCAAAGTCGACTCCTTATCGATACAATTGCTTGATTGTTATTCATCGGGCAAGCAGTCAGGATACCTATCCGAATAGCAGCAGCCTCAGTTGAGGAGACTTCGTCCGCTTATGGACACAGCAAACTTGCCCTGAGGCATGGGCCTACCTAGTTACTTAAGTAGTAAAGTCGAAATACCAGATGAAAACAATGGAGGGCCAGACTTCGATGAGCAAATTCCTTGGCAAAGCACTTACCTAAGTATATGTTACACTACATGATCCTTCCGGCATCCTGCACTGCAATTTTAGCTCCGCCGCTGGCGCGAGTAGAAGGGTATCAAAGAATGCAGAAAGATACTATTATGGACGCCTGTGTCCTTGGCTTGATGCTTCAATTCCGAAATGTGAAAAAGAATCCAGTTTATAGTTGAAACAGATATATAGTACTGAGCAGGTGCCGTAGGTTCAGCGTGTAATCGTTTTCACCATGGTTTATCTTCACGACCTTTCATAACAGGAGCACGAGGCATGGTGCGTAATAGGAGATAATTAGTATACTATTATTTGATCACAGAACAGAACGCCTCGTTACTTCATAATAATACATGACGGCATAAACTCAGATAACGCAACGCTTCATGCCTCCTCCCTGATCCCATCCTCAACGAACAATGATCTCATGGCCCATGATACTAGAGACGTAACCGCCGCCCATTGTTTCCATCGCTGACTGATTGTCACCGCAGTCCGCATTACAGGTCATGTCCTATAGAAAACCGTCAGCACCAAGGGCTTACTATCAGGCAAAAAAAAAAAAAAAAAAAAAAAAAAAAAAAAAAAAAAAAGTAATAAAAGTGAGGGCACAAATAACATACGGCCGAGATGCTTCCCGCGCTTCGACACCTCCTTCGCATGGTACTGCTTGATCTTGGCCAGCCGGGCCTCCTCGGCGGCCTCGAGCTCGAGACGCTTGACCTCGTTCCTCGCCTCGCGGACCCTCAAGCGCGCGGCCTCCAGGGCGCGGTCGGCCTCTTTCTCGGCCGTCTCGGCGTTCATGACACGCTCCCGCGCCTGCACGATGGATGGGTCGAGTTCTATGTTCCGGCTGCTGCCGTGTCCGAAGGTGCGCGATAGCACACTGCGGTTACGGGAAGGGTTGGAGGAGGCATCTTTATTTTTCCCATCACAATCGGTGTTAGCAGGTGTTTTGTGACGCATTCGGCTTCTGCCTACTGTGTTATGCGTATGCGGATGGGGTGAAGGGAATGTTATTGACTTGAAGCGGGCACAGGAGGGAAGACGTGGTAAATGATGCCGTGGGATGTACCTGATCGTGAGCTGCTCGTGCTCGTCCGCGTCCGCGTCCGGGAAGTCGTCGTTGGGGACGGCGAGCGGTGGCGCGAGCCAAAGAGGCTGTGCTTCTTCTCGGGCATAGGGGCAGGCTCCTCGTGAACCTCCTCTTCGGGTCTACGGCTAGAGAAGAACGGCATTGCGAGTAGGCAGGTATTGTTACGTAGTGTTATGTATGATGTGGGCAGTTGATTGAACGGCGAGTTCTGATTCAGGGCAAATGGGGAGATGATGAACAAGGTGAGAGAGGGTGCCTCGTTGGTATTTCAGCACGTTGACTCCCCATACTTATCTGTCTATTCTACGTGCTATGGATTCCAGCGTCGATCCTCGCAAACCGGTTTTACCAAGCTCTGCTTGTGAGAAGACGTGAGGGATGGCGAGGGATGGAAATGGATGGGAGGACGATCTACCAAATGACGTATAATCACGGACTAGTAAGCCAATGAACATGAGCTGGAGTGGACGGTGCGGCAATACCAGCCAATGAGGCGTGGGTGAATGACGTGGGGATCGTAGGGGTTCTTGTCAGGGCTTTGGCACAGACTTTAGGGGTCTGTCTCTGGTCTGCTTTGTGATCGTGCCCAGCGATCAAATATGGGGGTAGGCTGCTACTGACCTGTAAGAGGTAGGTATCGTGATTTCTATTCATAGTAGGTAGGGACATATAGTTGCATATACCTACCGGTAGGTAGTCGCATACTTACGTGGATATGGCTATGAATGAACAAGAATCACAAAGCCAGTGATTTGCCGTAAAGCCTATGACTAGACCAGTTGTAGGCGATAGATCAAACGGGGCTATATTGTAAAATACGGTAGTCGGGCGAGGCGCTGTCACAAAAACTAGTCCGGTCCACCTACATTATAAAATAGCTTTAGAAATGCTGGTAGCAAGGTAATACACAACATAAAAAAACACCTTCTACACTTTTAATTAAGCGTATAACACACCTATCACAAACGTTAAAAATCTGGCAAGAATAGGTCAGAATAGGTTTGAATAACTTCAAAAACGGGTTAAAAAACCGCTGTTGAAGGTGTAGGTGGGTGGTGTTGGTGAACCGGACTAGTTTTTTTGACAGCGCCTCGGTCGGGTTCTATTGCCTAGGTTAGCTCGGTTAGTATGATGAAGCATGCGGAGGTTGCTTTATATGCGGGGGGCCGTCTTGTGGGTCACCACCGAACACCTACATAGGTAGGTATGTATAACGTGACAAGGCGTGAACAATGAAAGTAATGAGTAGTAAAGGATCGAAGGGATCTTCAAGTTGCATAGATAGGGGTCCTTTTACCTTGGGGTCTGATATCCAGCAGCGGGCATCGCCAATATATCCATCTCGCTTCATGCCGTGGGTAGGTAGAATACCTACCTCATCAGCTTTTGCGCCACAATCCAGACCCGCTTCAGCCACCCCATGCAAATGTCCAAGGAGCTGTCTGTCCCTCCGGGTTTTAACTTGTAGGTCGGGTTCTATAGTCTTACCACGATGCTCATTAGATATGGAACTATCTGTCGAGTCTCAACCTCCCTCTCTTCATCATGGAAATTGAGGCACACTGCCAGTTCGCTGGCCGCGCGGGGGTATAAGACGCAAAGGACAAGCTCTCCGGTTCTTTTATTTTCCCTAGATCGCAATATTAGGCCTCTCATCTCTGGATGCCCGCGCTTGTCGGCAGCGGCGGTGAAGCACCGAAGATGCAGTGTTGGATCTCAGCGGAGATGTGTCGCGACTGCGGGGATGAGCTATGTCGAAGGCCCCAGAGATGTGAGTGAACCCGTCTGCCCGTGATGGGAGGGAAATCATAGGGCAAGAAGAGTCTGCTCATGCAGTGGCTATATCTCACAGTCTCACGCATACAATGAAAACCACCTCAAGGGCGATTACCTATGTCAGGTGTCCGGTATAGCATGCTAATGATCACGTAGCCGCCTTTGCTCTCACATACAATTCCACAGCACTTCAAGACTATGATATCTAAATATGGAGATCGAGCCGCCGTGATAGCGAGGAGCCCCGTGATAGGCGGTGCTATAACCCCCCCAACAACAGCCATGCAGGGCTTGACGACTACCCTGACATATGCTCGGGTGGACTGCCTATCTAACATTGTCGCTAATTCTCTTCGATTGCTAGGTGTGAAGAAGGGTGACCGTGTAGCTGTGAGCCTTGGTAACGTAGCCGAGTCCGTGGTGATAACCTACGCCATCTTCAAGCTCGGCGCCATATGGGTACCTCTCAACCCAAGTTTCAACTCGGCCCAGCTAGGCGCCGCGCTTTCACACCTAGGTGTCGAGGTTCTCATCATAGGCGCCGTGACGGATCTCGCTTATAAGCCTGGCCGCGGCCGCAGCAATCTCGACCTGCTTTCCTCGCTGATTCCAGGCTTGACAGGCGAGAAGAAGAAAGGAAAGGGGGACAAGCTCGAGTCCGACGTCGTGCCGTCACTGAAGACCGTGGTTGTGGTGGACAACTCTGCCGAGCATCCGCAGTCGGGTTTCCCGCCCTTGAGTGAGCTGACTGTCCTTACGCCGTACACGAAGCTTCTGGAAGAGTCGTCGCAGCGGGTTATCCCGGACTCGCCTCTGTCACCAGACGAGACGATCAACATCCAATTCACCTCTGGTACGACGTCTGTGCCGAAAGCGGCCATGTTGAGCCACACAAACGTGCTGAACAACGGCCGCTTGATCGCGTCGCGTATGGGACTCGAGCCATCAGATCTGATTGTCTGTCCACCACCTCTATTTCACTGTTTCGGCTGCGTCCTCGGGCTCATGGCAACAGCCACCACAGGCGCAGCGATCCTCTTTCCGTCCCCGGCCTTTGACCCAGCGGCCACGTTGCACATGATCTCTGAACACCACGCCACCGGCCTATATGGCGTCGCCACTATGTTCGTCGCTGAGCTCGAGCTCCTCTCAGACCCAGCCTTCGCCTCCCAATTACGACCAGACGCCCTCAGAAATCTGCGCAAGGGTATCGCGGCGGGGTCCTCGGTCCCGGAGTCCCTCATGCGCCGTCTCTTTGACAACTTGGGATTGCGAGACCTCGTTATTTGTTACGGCATGACGGAGACGAGCCCGGTATCCTGCATGACGACGCCACATGATCCTTTCGAGAAGCGCACCCAGTCTATCGGACGTGTGATGCCGCACACGGCTGTCAAGATTGTTGCGCCGGGGGACCGTAGCCGGATTCTGCCGCGTGGCGAGAAGGGCGAGCTCGCTACCAGCGGATACCTTGTCATGAAAGGGTATTACGGCGACCCGGAGCGCACGGCTGAGGACCGCATTGTTGATGAGGAGGGGAGGGTGTGGATGTATAGTGGCGATGAAGCGTGCATAGACGATGATGGATATGTTGAGATCACCGGGCGAATCAAAGATCTCAGTGAGTAGAATTTATTTATTCTTCTTTTTAGGGTAAATAATTTTGAGTTAGGGGAGTTGCCCACGCTTTCGTGGCACATAATACGACCTTTGATATGTGAACTTTGCAGTGACTGACGCTCCATGCCCACAGTCATCCGCGGCGGCGAGAATATCCATCCCCTTGAGATCGAGAACTGCCTGTTTCAGCTCCAGGGCGTCCAAGAGGTCAGCGTCGTCGGGGTTCCTGACCAGCGCCACGGCGAGGCTGTTGCGGCTTTCGTCGTCCCGCATAAAGGCGTGCGGATGATGGATGCAGATGGCTTCGTGAAAGCCGGCAAAGCTGTGCGCACCACTCCCCCTGCTACTTCCCTCGACCACACCGCCGATGGAGCAGAAACGCTGGACAAGCAGGGGATACAAGAGTGGGTGAAGACGAAACTGTCCGGCCACCTCGCGCCTAAGTACGTCTTCTGGATCGACGAGTACCCCAAGACGGCCAGCGGGAAAATCCAGAAGTTCAAACTGAGGGATCTAGCTAAGGAGATGGTTTCGGCGCAGTCGTAATTGGCCATTATATTTTGTCTTTTTCTTGCATTGGTAGATGCGGTGGAGCGCGCATGAGATAAGCTGGATACCTATAGCTTTAGATTTGGACATTTGCGTGTGTTTTTGTGCTGTTGAAGACAGTTGTAGTGCAGTTGAATTATGATTATAAGGACTAGGCATCATAGGTAGGGAAATACTTATTAAAACATGGCAATTGTAATCGGCATGTAGAGAGGCGCTTCCTTCTCGAATTACTTATTGAACTGTCATCTCTTTCTCTCTTCAAAATAGAAGAATCCTGGGCTACTTATGCTTCTCGATTTTCATACAATCTAGGGCTTGCTTCCTTCGCCCGCTGCTTCTTTGCCTTAACTGTTGGTTTCAGTACATATAACAAGCATCGCTTCTAGCTTCATTTTTCGCTGAGGGCGTAGTGGCTAGGGTCTTTGGCAGTCTTGGTCGTATGACAAATTGACAATTCATGATCTAGTGCCCACTTGGCTGAGCCGGGACGAACGCAAAGTAAAAACTGGACTTCTGTTGTAAAAAGGATGACATTATTTGCGAGCGATCCTACAGCACTGAAAAAGCGGTGCTGTTTCGTACATGCATGACATGGGATGAGCATCACGTGGGATCTAATCGATCTCTGGAGGATTTCAAAGTAGTGTCTCGAAATGGGGGTGTATCCTTCTATGGCCTCCTCGATGTTACAAGAACAGTCAGGCTTGATCATGCTTTTGTGCTAGGAATCGCAAGATAATCGCGCAGCTACCTGTAATACCCCATAACAGCTGTTCACTTTATCCAGCGGGTGCATTATGAAGTGTATACCAGTCGTGCAGGTTTAAAGACCATTACCTAGTTATATCAGGGGCGGCATAAAGGCAGAACAGAAGTGCAAAAGGGCCAAATAAATGTATGCTATTCCGACAAATATTCCAGGCGAGGGAGAAACTGAAGGAACTAGACAGGAGAGCTGGGATCATTACCTTCCATGTGAACTGTGCAAACTGCTGGGCACATGCGCAGGTACTAGGCGGTTGATAAGGCCTTTGCATAATAACCTTGCTTACATGACGTGATGCAAGCGAAATGTAAAATGCGGACACTTGCATTCAAGGTGTACTCAGAAAAGACCGAAAGGAGTACGTATAGGTATACAGAGATATAGTATATTGAAAGAGTATCATGCCTTTACATATAACGACTAAATCAAACGGGGTATCAACTAATACTAACAACTCCCTCCGCTAAATTTCGCGAAGAGCGGGACGAACATAAGTAGGTAGATTGACCGTCGAAACTGTAGTCGTCGCTGATTTCGGCGGTATCAGCAGCCCTGGTTTCGTAGCTCCTTCGAAATGATCCATCCAGACATGCCACTTAAGGAGGAAAATGGCATCATGGCCGTGTTCAGAACCCAAGCATCATGGCTCTGTTCTCCCCGTCATCTTCACCGGCCTTTCCATCGCGTCGCGAGCCGGGCTATCGGGTTACGAGAATGTTCCGAAATGCATTGAGCAGGTAAATGAAAGGTAACCCTCCGCGCCGAGTCGTGTTTCCCGTTCGAGCACAGAAGGGTGGGCCGTTACCAGGAAATGGGTTCGGCAAGTTCCCTGATAGTGCAAAATGCCGAGGGGATATCCCAAAGCTTAGCTCTCCCGTCGCGCGGGAGCTAGCAGCTTGGCTTAATAAGCCCTTGCCTCATTTCTGTCTTCTTTTACTTACGTACTTGTAGCACGCATTTTTGATTCATACAAATTGCTCCGGTAAGTTTGCTACGTTATGAATATTTTTTCTTCTCATCGTCATCCACTTGCGGTGTTGTTTACTTGAGTAAGTCGGCAGATATGCTTGAAGTAAATTGCGCATATCTCGAGTGAACCACGCCCCGGTTCTGGAAATTTTCGTAGTAATACTCTGCGCCTGATCTGGCATTAATGGCGAGATGGACCTTATCTCGTGCCACTTCGGGTTGTACTCGCTTCCGCATCAGGTCTGGCGTCGTCGCCTGCCTATCGGCATACCGCAGTGTTCGACCTATAGGAGCCATGGCCAAATTGTAGATGCCGGTGCCTGGGGGTGTCTTTCTGCGTACACCAGATGCGCTTAGCATCACGCGACCTGGGAGTTCTTCGCTAAGCCGCTTATCAGCTGTACGGCCTCTTCAGTTCGCACAGATGTCGTTAATTCAGTTGCCGCGTGCTTCGCAGCCGAGAATGGTGGCAGTACACTGTCACTTAGCACGCCGCTCTCGAGGAAAATGTGCCAGCCGAACAATAGGATTCGATGCGTGTAGAGAATTGTGACGGTTGAGATGGCGGAAAATAAGAAGCAGAACAGCGTCCAGAACACCACCTTTTCCACGGGCGTGTAGACATATATGCCATATGTGACTTCGATTCGATATATCTTAAGACGTAGATACCGTATGAATTTGTCAAGCTGTGAAGACGTGGGTGTGGGTTTATAAGGCGACTGGTATGTATAGGTAATCGGAGAAGAAGACATGGTGAGCTTGTAAACAACTACTCGTCTAGTTTGTTTACAAGCCAAAATTGAAGATGATAGTCCTGATACATGCAAATGCCCTTGATGTGTGTATAATCAGAGTTTGAATGGCTTTAGTTACGATTTTCTAGTTGCGAATAGAACAAAGACAACACAATAAACCAGAGAGATAGTGCCGCCTGGAGGCAGGATGGTTATATGGTTATATATACTTATTCTATAGAGGCTCTTAGCCTCGCCGGTGGTGAGAGAAAGTCCAACATCCCCGGCTTGTATTACATATTCTCCGGCCATCTTTCTTCGGGCTTCGGCCAGTTGTCATATTGATACCTATTATGACGGCACTATCGGTTAAAGCGACATTCAGCAGGACCCGCTGCAACATGGTACCACATCTGATTAAGTCGACCTGATGAAGTGGATGCCTGGGTTCCGGAGTTCCGCTAGGCAGTAGAATTGAAAAGAACAAAATCTGTGTTGGTGTTTTCGGAAGCCTCGGAATGTGGGGTGTGATATTTTCAGTTACATGGTGGCTCACTAAGATAACCTCAGCCGTCCATGAGCTATCTGGATGGATGACTGAGAGTACTCACGCGCTTTAGCCTCTATTTCCGAGCTAGCGAGCACGTAGATTAAGCCCTTCTTGTACACTGAACGTCGTACAAGACTATAAGTAAAATGAACATAAAAGTTGACCTGGGATTACTCGGCGAACGAGGTGAATCAACGTGTTGTAAAAGTGTCACGCGGTCCTGTTAATAATGACAGGCTGCAGCTGTGCCGCAAGGGATGGCAGGCGGGATTGGGCAGCATGAACTCTGTCATTGTTGTTGGATCAGCCTTACATAGGAGATAAGCTAACGGCAATATTTGGTATTGCCGACCATCCGATAGCCCGGTAAGATTGAAATGAGTACGCTATCGCAGTCAGAACTTAGCCTGTGCAACAGCCTTGTTTAGGAGCCCCAAAGTCATGTGAAAGTCTGGGTGGTAGATAGGTTGTTGGGCAACTGATAATTCACCATGGTTGATCAGGTGGTCATGATCATCAACCGAATTGAAGAGAACAGCAGAAAGGCTAACTCCTGTAGTGGGCATGACAAGCAACCGCGGTAGACGACATCGAAGCCTCGGCGAGTGGGAGTCTGGTTATTTTAATTTTCAAGGCTACTTGCTTTTTCTGGCGGGAAGGCTCAAACCTGCCCTGGGGCCCCATCCATTTGACATGGCGCAGATAAATATCTATGCGTTCCACAATCTGCATTGATGCAGAGCTTAGCGATGTTTCAGATGCCTTATCGAAATTTAGGTAACAGGACGCTGCCAGGCGCACATTTCCCAGATTCTGTTGGCTTTGGTATACAATTCCAAGAACAGCCACGCCTTAAGAATGGTATTGCGTTCTCCTCTCTATTCATACTAAGGGGTTCTAGTGCCAATGTCTCTGGTGATTTACACTCTGCTTTCGAAATGTCCCACCACTCGATCCATTGGGCGGCTGGTGTTGTAATTTGTCGTCCACAGATGGAACATGGCAAGGTTCCAGAGTTACCATTCAAGGCGCTCTGCGTTGCAATCCGATTAATACTCCCCAGCACGCTTGTAGGTGCTTGTGCAGAGAAATAGGAAGTTAGATCCCACTGCGATATTCAGGTTAGTTGTCATAGTCCTAGATGCGCGGAAGATTTCAAAGAGTATGAGAAAGTCGAAACGCAATGCTTCGTATTCAACAAAGTGCGTATGCTTCGAGACAGAAAATCTGAGAGCGACATCTCGGGATAGAACTTACTATTTGCGCAGCGCGAGATGCCGACTTTGACGCCAATTCAAAGAGCGATAGCACATGGCTTGACTTTTGAAGCCCGTCAGTTGTTCGACTTTGAAAGGGAGGTGTAGAGAGCAGCGAAACGTCCTCAGTCTGGATAGTAACGTGTTGCGTCTCATCGCATGAATTTGACCGGGAATGATCATCTAATTCTACACGGGGCAATTGGAATTTAGAAAGCACTGAGCCACGGCTATCACTATATTGCACGACTGATCGTGCGAGGAGAACAAACTGCCATGCGGCCAAAAAGGTTGTGCTGGTTCCCTCTCCTTCACGATTATCTAATGAGGAAAACAATGGCGACTCTGGGCTCTCGAATATGGGTGTTTGCTTATTTGGAATCTGAATATTCCCATGCCTAGGTTTTTCGGAAGGCGGAAGAGTCTGTGGCCGGTGAAACGGATTTGGATGGACATGCAAAGATGACAATGCCGAGGGATATTCGAGAAGATCAAGTATCTCCCCAGGGAGATAGCGAAGACGATTGAGTGAAAGATTGAGTTCACGCAGATTTCGCAACTTGCCAATAGAGGGCGGCAATTCAGAGATTTTGTTATTCCGAAGGCTTAGATATGTTAGGTGTTCAAGATTAAATAAAGCACCCGGCGCACGTGCCAGCCTGTTGTTAGATAGGTAAAGACCCAGCTCGGGATTACTTTGCTCAAAGGGCACGTCTTTATCGACTGAGGGGATAAGAGCGAGCTCGGCAAGACGTGATATAGGTCCATTGGGAATACTAGTGACACCGAGGGAACTGCACAGCTATTAGTCAGTTTTCCAGCCTTTCCAAATAAACCTCAGATTTCAGTGTGTTTCCTGGTCGAAGGATGACGTACGATAGATCGATGTCTGGATTTCCCTCCTCAATAGCTGTGTCTATTATGTTGTGAATCGCTAGGTTCTCCTCGGGAGCTACGGATGGAACAGTGCGTGGACAATGTAACTGTGGGAGCTTGGATTGCGGCGGTTGTTCCACATCCATAGTGAATTCATCATCCATATCTACAGACCCATCACTCATCCACACACCAGAGTCCCATTGACGCTCAAACGTTCTTTTTGGCTTTGGCTGTGGTTCCGCAACCTCGCCGAATGTTGAGTCAGATGATGTCGGCATCTGCTGGAACCAAGAACCGACGTAACGCTTCTTGCGATGGCGTCCATTTATGTAGTTGTCGACGTGCGGGTCATCGTCGCTCGAGAAGACGGCAGGGTCACTGGAATTAGAGAAGATAGCCTGTGCAGAGGCGCCATCACGGTAACGCTTCCGGGTGTTGGTGAAAGTCTGGGTATGCGAGTCCCAGGACACCTTCGGAAGACTGGGGAGGGTTGGCTCTTCGGCCATGGCTGGTGCTTATTGGCAATTGCTCGTGGGCGAGCGACGAGACCAGGGACGGAGGAGGTCAGGGAGAAACGATCACGCGTCGACTTCCTTGATGAAGCGGACGCGCTCAAGCCGCTCGGCTGGAAGCTAAGAAAACCCCACACTGACGTACACGCTAGGGTTGGGGAATACCCCTATTTAGGTAGGTACTTGTACGTAGAACCCCACCTGTCGAATCCAACCAGCAGTATGCAGAGAATCCTGTTCTCCAAATTGGCCAAGTCGTGGATTGAAAAGGCTTCTTCTACACAATTGGTATCTGATGTGTTCGAATCCCAATGCGTCGCGTAGTTACATATGTAGATAGGTAGGCAAGGAGAAGGTCGATGGCTCAACGATTCACACGAGCACCAAGGAAGTCGGCGGGCGATGATGCAAGACTGTCGCTAACGAAGGCGGTTGTTGGCTGATGACAAGTTGTCTCAGCTCGGCCATCTCAACCCTCCCTAATCCCAGTCATCATCATCGTCCTCCACCGTTGCATGTCTAACATTTCCATTCTTTATACCCTTGTTCGTCCGTTTCTCCTCTTTAGCATCTTCTGCATCCCTCCTCCGTTTGATCACTCTCATGTCTTTTGCGTCAACTGCGCCAACTTCTACGAGAAGATCGTCGATCTGCATCATGCTTGTCCGCACGCCGCCAATAGTCATGAGGGTAACAATCTGTTTGACAATGTCGCCATTTTTATACACAAGAATGGTGGGGCAGTTTCGGTCGGGGTAATTCTCAATCGCCTTGTCTGCTCGAATTTCACAAAACTTGATGTCTCCATACTCTTTTGCAGCTTGACGCCAGAGCTCCGAAAGGACTCTTGACTCAATGTTGGTTCCCAGTGGAGATGTAAGATTGACAAACACAGGGCCATTGTTTGAAGCTTCGGTAACCTCTCGGGCATAGTCAGGCTTTGATATCGGATACACCGTTCCGTGTATCGACTTTTTTGTGAGATTGTTTAACTCTTGCATGCGTTTTTGTCGATATTGCTCTAGAAATGCTTCATCTTCCTCATCTTCAAGGGCATCAAGTTCGTCGAGTTCTTTTCCTTCCAGTCTGTTCTCATGCGCTAATCGGCGGCCTTCGAGAATCGCCTCTTCAATCATGGGGGTAGGTGAGGGTGGTTTCTCCGGTATGATGCCGTGCTTCCGTAGGATGTCGTTCCTAGAATTCGGGTACACGTCAATAATTGATATACATAATGAGGGCTTGATTGTCACACCATTCTGTGTCAGCGTTTGGATCGTCGATAGGAACGGCTATTCTTTGGTCTGTTGGGGCAGCCATGGTGTTTGCGGTCAATGTTCAATGATGGGACTCGATTTATGATTACAAGGGAGAGAAGCAGCAACGAGGAAGAGAGACAACTAGAGGATCACAGCAGTGATCCTATAAAGAATACCCAATGTTGCTGCCTTGAAGATAGGCGCGCCACAACGCTTGCGTATTTGGTTTGATAGTGTACCTAGTGGTATGCTGGTAATCTATGTCGACAGGGTAGGTAGGTAGGTAAATATCTGCAACACTTCCTAGGTATCTCCTCATGTATGAATGTATCCCGTCATCTTGTTGTCCAGCACAGCAGGTAGCTACATACCTCCCTAGCACCCCTCACTTGACCACTGGCAGCTTCCTTCCTCTCGGGAAAACCCCGCTGCTCCAGCTGGCGTCATGGATGGCAGCTGGTTCTACAAAAGCCCCCAGCCCCAGTCCAAGCCACTCCGAAAAAGTGGGCAAGAAAAGCCCTAGCCCTCTTGTCGCTAAGCCTATTCGGTCTACACCAGAATGGCCTGTAGTTGTTCTTTCGCCTCTGTGGATCGCCCAGGCGAAGCCCGCCAACCAAAATCCTCGGTTGCCAGTCTTTCGCAAGACGAACTTTCTTCACACACAGACCTGTCCCCCCTCATTGTCAACCATCCATTGCAAGCCCAAAATCTGCAATCAATCCCATCAGATTTTCGTCCGCCAACTTTTTGCTTGCCAATCGATCGATCAAAGACATATTTTTGACAATCAGACAAGATGGTAAGTTGAAAGCAGTCGTTCTCATCATTGTTGGCTTTCCGGCTTTCCCGTCAAATGCACGAATTCTATCACGACCATGTTCCAAAACATCGCGATCGGCCTCCCAACGACACGCAAGAAAACCTCCAACCAAGCGGCAACATTGCCATGACCTGCCAGCTGGTGCTACTTTGATACGACCTTGATCTTTTGGATGAAATCTCGGACGGTGGATGGACTTGGTGCGACTTTTTTTTTGTGCACAGGACCCAAGTGCTGACAAAATATTTTCTGCAGGTTCTCGCCGTTGACCTTCTCAACCCTACCCCGGCTGCTGAGGCCAAGAAGCACAAGCTGAAGGTGAATTTGAAATCTTTTATCCTTGACGCAACAGTACACCTAACAAGCTGGATAGACTCTAGTACCTGCTCCCCGGTCCTTCTTCATGGATGTCAAGTGCCCTGGCTGCTTCACCATCACCACCGTCTTCTCGCACGCCCAGACCGTCGTCATCTGCCAGGGCTGCACCACTGTTCTGTGCCAGCCTACCGGTGGTAAAGCCAGGTTAACCGAGGGCTGCTCTTTCCGCAGAAAGTAGAGGCATCATGTTGTTCTATTTTCATTCTTGGGGCATTGGTCACGACTTGATGGTACAGTTCGGATATCTGCAAAGCTTTTTCTCGGTGGTATGGGGCGCATAGAAAATTGGGCATCAACCTTCCGAATACTCGCACTTCTCTCGACATCTGACGATCCACATCTACGTCATTGCAGATAGACGACGGATACCAAAAAAGTACTCCAATACAAAAGGGGCGTTTGGGGTCCTGATATCTTGCATCGTCTTTTTTCCTGCAACTGGTCTTTTCTCTTGTTGTGTATCATGAGACCATCATCTACATCGAGCTAGCTGGTGGTAGTTCTGTATGGGTGGATAGCTGGAAACGGCTTTCCATATGAGCATTCGTGGGCTCTGTCTGTTGGGCAGGTGGTCCTCGACATGTGAGGACGTGGAACGCTGATTGAGGATTGCTATGCCCATGTGCAGTGGTTCTTGTGTTAATTTCACTGCTCTAAGCAAATTCATGAAGTTCCACGGACATCTTTACACTTGCTTTTCGTCGTGCTATGGTCTCTCGTCCGAGTCTGCAAGCGGCTCTCTAGTATGCTGTAGGTTGAATATAGGTATGTTTATGATGTAGTAAATCTCTACTTGGATTGCCATGCTCTCTTTTAAGTATGTCACATGTGGCAACACGGAAATTCTGTGACCCCCTTACTGGGTTTGAAACATTATCTACTCTGCTACATCATTATTGAATATGTATAAATTTTAATAGTATAGGCTCAATAGTATAAGCAGTGACATTCGTCTATGAGCACAGCCTGAACTGCAGCACGTGTTGGACTTCTATAGGCTTTCTACATAAGTGTTGATAAGGATCTAGTCTTGACACTGACTACTCATCTCTGCTACGAGTCAACGAAAAAGAGTGAATATGTGCATGATGCTAGGGGATTTTTTTTTTTTTTTTTTTTTTTTTTTCAAGAATTGAAGTCTCAATTTTTCCTTGGCCTCCTATGGCAGACTCCATTACAATTCCAGCCTTAGTGGAGGCCGATGTAATGATTTGCTAGACGCTCGAGTGGTGCTGCCTGTACACCTACATACCTACATAGCTCGATAGTACCGGTATGTGAACCTTATGGACGACGACAATGGTTCTCCTATTCCCCTCTTTATCCGCTTCACTTATGCAGCGCTATCTTAGCTGGTGACTAATATCTAGCCTGAAGAGTAAACTACTATGTAGGTAGGTAAACCTTCAGCACGAGCCACATTGCACCATCTACGATGGTCTATACTCTTTTACTGAACAGGTATAGCCTCGGCTTGTAGTCATCTATCGCGTAAAAACGCGTCAAGGACGACTCCAACGCGTGTGTGTAAGTACGTACTAGCCGCATTCAATCCATTTAGCCATCGATCCCCATCGATCCCCATCCATCTCCCCACATGATTACTTGCTGCATTTCGGGCTGCATCAGCAGGGCATTTCACAACCAAGCCCAGCCCCCCTTCTCTACCCTTCCTTGCTTCACCTTCATTTCACTTCATTTCATCCCTCCCTCTCAACTGGATTGGTTTGACTTGCCCCTCTTGCATCCAGCGTACCTGGACAGGTATTGGCAGAACACGACCCTGGACGGGGAGATTCAAGTGGCAGCGCCCCCCGTCAACTTGGAACCGACACAGTCCCAAGGCCAAGCCCCATCTCAGCAGCGCCATTTGCGTCACCCTGCCAAGGACCAATACAACACAGCCTTGTTACAGCTGGGGCTTTCCCCATCAATTGCTTGAATCTATTCGCACATGATCACTATTTCCGAAACACATCCCTCGTCTCTTTCCTCCCTATTATAATACCTACCGCCTAATAACCAATGTCGACCCCCCGAACAAAGCGACAGTTTGCTGGCGCAGCCAGCGACCCCGCGCAACGACATATCACCTCTTTCTTTCACACAGCGAGTTCTGCGTCTACCAACAGCAACTCCGTTAATCAGACATCATCATCGGCAACAACACAGCGACCCGATAACGCATCAAACCTACCTGCGACAGTGCAAGCAAATCTGCTCTCCGTGGGCATGCGCATACGCAAATCCGTGCCCGAAGGATACAAGACAGGAAGCTACAACGCCTTTGCTTTGTGGGACGAGACCGACGCAGATTCTATCACAGTAACCATGGGCGAAGGCCAGCGATCGCGTGCAAACGCCTTCTCATCGCCGCGGGAGTTGCTCCCGTTCTGCGGCATTCACAGGGTCGGAGGCTTGGACTCGCAGCCCGAAGCCCAGCGTTCCACACCATCAATACCCAATATGCGTGCAGAAGTCCCGACGATAGTAGCATACCAGCCAAATTTCAGCACGGAAATGAGTGACGATGAGGTGCCAGGACTGACAAGCAGTCAAGAATCCGTAGGGTCAAACACCTCGGACAGCGCATTATCAGGGGCACGGACGCGGAAGCGATTCTTCGTCGAGGACGAGGAGGAAACTCCCGGACAGCTCAACTTGTGGCGGCACAACCATGATATATGTAGCCTGACGCCCGTGGGCTGTAATAACGGCCGCGTAATGGCAGTGCCGCGTAAAGGAAGGCTGCGAGCCAAGTTTTCGGGTACAGCGAGCGCAATGCCCGGCGTCGGACAAGAAAACGTCATGGTCGTTGACAGCGATTTCGAGGAGGCTGGATTTTTGGACCGAGGAACTTGGGAAGTGAACATGAGCGACGCTTAATGCGGCCCCCTCTCAGCGATTCGCACAGATGAATTGCAAGGATCGCTTTATATGACATGGGCTTGGGAGTTGGGGATCGGGATGGCGCAGCGCCGAAGGCTCAGGATACCCGGCATGTTGGATGGATGGCATTAAGGGGGAGTTTGTACAATTTTCAACGCATGGTCGGACGGATTTTGATGATAGCATTGTGATTCAAGAACTTGTATGTAATATGGGCGTTCTAGGTGTTGGAAACATCGCGGTGGGCAGACATCTTGGTCAGAATGCTTGCTTCTACTGTGTCCTGGCTGAGTTTCATCCAGAGGTGGACTTCAGAGCAATAGTTGCGTTTCCGCAAGCTTGGGTCTAACTACATCGCATAACAAATAAACGATAATTCATGCACAACAATAGTAGCAAAAGTGATATTATAAAATTGTCGATGGTTGCAGGAGTCCACGAACGAACGAAGTCAAGACTCGAGTCTATGCATTATTTTCTATGAATATGTAGATCCTACCTAGGTCCCTCGAAACATTACGCAAAGGGCGGTATAGTAAGCGTGACGCATGCGGTGAGAGAGGCTGTTACCAGGACATTTAAACGTAATACTCACCCAGACATATCCAGGTCGGCGAGGTTGATATCAAATTGAGCACAACAGCGAAAAACTGGGGTCGCACACCTACTCGCTTACTCAAAATGGAGGCCGCCGAAGGGGTCTCGAAATTCGAGGAGATCTCGCTGCCCGTAGAACTCGCCGGCCACGGTCAGGATCATGTTGAGCGTGGCGCGCTCGTTGATCTTGTCGCGGTCTAATGCTTGATAGCGCTCGTCCTCTTCGCTCTCGTCTATCCTAGAGTCGGGCGTAGTCTGAGCCGCCTCAGCATCAAGCCGGGTCGGTTTGGCGGAAGGTGGTACAGGGGAAGAGAGATCGAGGTCTTTAACTCCATCATCCTCGACGGCGTCGCTGAGGCGCGCCAAAAGTTGGGCCTTTGCCGTCTCGATGTCAGCTACAGAATCTGCACGTGGTGGAGGGGGTTCGTCTGCTACTTCTCCGTCCTCCATGTCGGAATCTAGCTGCATCTCTACGTCTGAAGTATCGCCGGGGCTCGGTTCTTGCAGGTACGTAGTTTCAGCTTCATGCTTCGTATCCGTAGCGGTATCGGGTTTCTGATTGGCGCCATTACCCGGCGTTGATGCGCGGGGGCCGATGGTTTGTTCGACGTGCTCCCTCGTGTCTTCCGGAGTGGGAGCATTGGCAATATCAACGGGACTGTCTTGGCTGAGAGCATCGTCGTAGCACTCATCGACATCTACGTCAACCTCGTATTCGTCCTGGTCGCCCGGGCTACTACCAGCGACGTCGTAATGTTCCCGGAGCACTTCGAGCTCGGCCAAAGAGACCATCATCAGGACAGCTCTCTTCCCGAGCTCACGAACATAGCCGACCTCCATGTAATCGAGTTCACCCGCATCGGGTAAACGTGCGAGCAGCGCCCAAATCCAACGACTAGTGCGCTCACGCAGTTGTGCTCTCTTACGAAGGAACTTGCAAGTAAGAATAACACGTATCAAGCGAAAGACACTATCCTTGTGCATGGCAGCGATCTGGGCCGGAAGAGGATCTGTGGTTCTCAGACGCCCCTCCCACTTCTGGAAGGTATCCGCACCGCGCTTCCATTCGCCAACCTCGGAAGGGTTCGTTGCGGGAAGAACACGCAGTGCGGTATCCGGGGGTTCGGTCTGTAGGAGTTTACGGAGCGTGATGTATCGATTTGTGATAGAGGTGAAATAAGCATCTCGAATCTCATCAGCGCTGCTATTGCGTGGGCGATCGTCATCCGACTCCGAAGCATCAGGGTCATTGTCATTCTCCGATTTAGTCTGTTCACGATCGTCTCCGTCATAGTCCCCTTCGTAGAGCTCTTCGTTTTCATCGCAATCACCCCAACGACCATCTGGGCACGCTACGTATGCACCATCCTGGTAATATCCTCGAAAGTCACCGATGCCGTTCTCGTATATCGTCCGGTCGGCCGGTTGTTCTTCGTCATCCTCGCCAGCCCTTGTAGGAGCCTGGGGTGGGGGAGGAGGTCCAGCCTTCGTCGCAACGAGCACATGTGGTATTGTAGACGCTTGGGTTCTGTACTCACTATATCAGCAAACTGATTGTCTCCTTCTATCTGCCGCAACTGAGGAAATGTATTTAGCCTCCAGCGTCAATGCGAAGTGCTGACTAGGCGCGCGGGAATATCTTACCTGACAGATCTCAGATATGCCAAAGCTTCAGAGTCATCTTCACAATCTAAGTCGCTGTCACCAGCAGGCGCTGTTGTTGCACCGCCCAAGTCCCCAAACGCGCCGCGTTGGCCTGACATCGGGTCTGTTCGAGTGGGCTTGTGGCGCTTATTCTTTGGAACTTTTGACTCGGTCTCATCCTCGGCCGATCGTTTCGAGACCATGGTTAGACCAAACTGGGTAAAATGGAATGTCTATTGATGTTGAAAGGAACAGAAGCGTGACCGAATTCAATTGTAGAATAGGTGTTTGGTTGGTTCCAACCAGAACAGGCTGCAATGTTAGGCGCCGTCTTATCTAGACAGTATCGCATGATTACATAATATGCAGGTAGTAGCAATATTCTAGAAAGCCAAGGTATAAGGTACCACTGGGCAGAGCAGTCGGGATTTCAATCAAATATAGGTACTGACTATTGAAAAAATGATTTGGCGTTATCAGGCTGTTGAGAAATTGTTTACCTATTTTAACATATTCCGTACCAGTGAACATCTAATCAGGACTTTCAGAAACTTGCCGTTCCACCCAGTTTTCTATCGGCAGATTCTGCATGGGCGATACTTTATTGTTGCAAGAGTTTCAACATGATGGTGATACTAGCTTGTAACTACCCACCTTAAAGCAGGCTACATACTAATCCGTGATATGAAACATAAGTCCCAGAAACCGACGTGGTCCAATGGCATCGCTTCGGCAGCAATATGTTGAGAGGGGGTTGAGGTTGAACCGACATCATACCCACACATGGTGTCTAGCCCCCAGAACACTAGGTAAGCCCGTTTCAGCAATAGTGAAGAGTCTAGAGGCCTGATAGACTATGTAGCATCCTACTGCAGACGCAATTTTGTCTAGCTTGTAACGGGGGGGCCTAACTCGACCCAATTTGTTAAACAGTATTGGGTTGGAGTCCCCTCCGAGGTTAAACCATAGAAAAGGAAGATGAAGAGGCGCGATTGTGGGATATGTGAGAGCTTTAATACCACGGTGTATGGAGAACTGGAATCCTTGATCATATAGTATAGAGCTGTCAGGGGCCGGCCTCTCGGTTGGCGAAACGGCGCCGCCGGTGTCCAGTATGTTATCCACCGATGTCCGATCTTAGACTCCTGCTGTCCTGTTGTTGTGGCATTGGCCACCCTTTTCCGCTGGCCTGGAGGAACCCTCTTCTGCTCCTATGCCCTACGTAACCTGCACCAAGCATAACGACAGCCTCGCAAATCCTAGGACCCTTAGTTGACATACTAACGACAAAGGCATTTCACTCCCTATGCACCATTACAATATTGTTGATCTATGGCCAGCTTCACACAAGAGATTGGTTCTTACCACGAGGGTAGGAGCGAAGCAGGAGGCTTAACGCGGCGTTCAAACATACTACAAAGTGAGCAGAGTCTATGGAATGTTGCCACTGTATAACTTTGTAGAATTTAGAAGCAGCAACCAATGATATTTCCATGTCCGAGTAACCGTGTAGTCTGTTCCCGCCCAACAGTCTGACTGTAGCCCAATTATTATACAGCCTCTATCGGGGAGTAATATATTACATACAGCCATCTGGTAATGCCAATCTTGGCCGACCTGGGCACAACTCGGACTGTCGAGTCTTGTGTATCGCTGTTTTACCCATTTTTCTACCCTCGTTAGCTCATTTAGCTGACATGATTCTATAAATCCCCCTCTAATGCTCCTCGTTACGGGATGAAGTAAGATCCGATCCTAATGTAACTTTAGTACAAAAATCATACCAGTGGTGATAAACTGCGTGTAGTGAACTTACCCTGTAATTACATAGCAGGCACAAAGTAATGTGCCCTCAAGATAGTTGGTCCTCCCGTTAGCCATTAGGACATTTACCATGATCGCGGCGCCAACCAGCGCTGCCGTCTCGAACACACCCAGGTACAATGTCATGTTCTTGTTCATAATCCAGCCGCCGATGACAGTCAATGGGCTGACGAACAGCGCGATCTGGATGGAAGAGCCAAAAGAAACTCCGATGGCCAAGTCCAACTTGCCTCGTGCTGCGACCCTGACTCCCGTTATGTACTCGGCTGCATTTCCAACGACGGACAGTATGATCAGACCAATGAAAGATTGCGTCAGTCCACTAGACTTGATCACAAACTCGATCGTGTCGACAAGCAGCTCTGCACAGATGGCCGTGAAGAAAGTCGAAGCAATAAGCATGGCTATAGCGGCCGAACGGTCGACTTTGGCATGCTGTTCCATCATGGTGACTTCACTATTTGGCTCGATAATCTGGAATGACGAGTACGGCCTGGCACCAGACACAGACCCGCCACCATCGCTGTATCTCTCCACAATGTCATTCGCTCGCGGCGGTCTGGTTGTGCCAAATGAGCTCTGGCTCAAACTCGGCGCATGTCGTGATTGGGGACGAGATCTTGAGGCACCAGCAGTCCCCTTCATCCAGCGCTGCACGTTATCGTGACCAAGCGGCTGAGAGTCGGACCTCGCGCGGCTCCCGTGGGAGGCGGGTTCCTCTGAATACTCCCAAATGCTCCCCTCAACGTTGTCTTGACGTCTTGATCTTGAGGGTGGTAGGCCAGAGCGCGCATCCGTAAATTTCACTATGTGAGACAACGGCTGTGGCCGTGACTCATCTTGCTGTTGTACATGGCGCTGTGGAGATGATTAGCTCCAGGTTAAACACTCCCACGTCCCGCGATTCAGTATCTTGTAGACGTTTATCGTGTGAGGCAATACTTACTTCCTCGTCTTTGAGTATTGTTGTTCGCCGTCGCGGCACAAGAAGGAAAACGAGGTAAACAAAGTATACAATAAGTAAGATTAGGGCAGAAGCTCTGCTTAGGGTTCGAACAGCATTGTCGCGTTGCTCTTTATCCTTAAATGTGAAATGAAAGGCCATCTAGACCAGACAGTAATGTTAGTCATGTTAATCGTGAGACCAGATAGCCGTATGCTAGCTATCGCACAAAATGCAGGTGTCGTATAACCGCTTACGGGAACAAGAATGGAAAATACCGACAAGGATAGCAGACACGCTAAAGCTTGGGCATTGTTCATGTCATATACAAGATCAGCCGGGTGAAACTCGGCAGCAATGATTGAAGTCCCTAAGATAAGTAGGAGATTGACTAGGACTGAGCCTACGAGCGCGCTTTTTACTACGCGTAGATGGTTATCTACTCTCGTGTTAGTATGTACCAGCGTAGAGAGTTCAAACCAAGTCTGAGGAGAGAATCTCATCAGGGGTTGGCGGGCGGGGTTGAAAGAGAGCGAAAACGGAGTCTATGCTTACGCCGCAAAGCCGCAAAAAACATTATGATTTCGACGAGATTGCCAAAGCTGATGTTCATCAGCGCGCCCACCGCATCACCGAGATCCGCGGCGATGCATTCTGTCGCGTACGCTAATAAATTGGACAACGGCACGATGGCGATAGCGTTGGTGGCGAAGACGACTGACCGCGGCGACTCAAAATAGTGGCTTGCGATCCCGAACGGTACAAATATCATAAGATAATTGATATACGATGAGAAAAACATGAAATGCAACGACTGCTTGAATGAGAGAGTGCCGGCGTCGTTCCGCCGCAGCGTGTGTGAGGGTTCATGTGCCTCATCTCGCCCAAGGCCACGAGACATGAGTCGTACACACGCTCGTCCTACATGGCATGTCATTAACAATATCAAGGATGTAGAAAACCGCCAAAAAGAGACGATTCGCTCACTTACTGATGAAGCTCAAAAAACTATTCCGGTAGCGTGTGGCGTCCCCTGCGGCCCTTCGCAGTCGTTGGGATTGAACAAGAGGATGGTAGTCGCGCTCATCAGCCAGGGTACGTTCAGTATTCTGCGTGGAGGCCGCGTCGTCATCAGTGTCACTCATATCAATCGCGAAATTGCTAGGCCGAGCAGCAGTGGCGGTAGTTCCGGTGTCCCAGTCCCGGTCCATGCGTGTACTGTAAGTCGGTTCCCTGAGGAGGATGGGAGGCCCCGAGCGAGTAGGTGGTCAAATGTAGATCTTGGTAGTTGCTCTGGCCAGCACACACCACCTTACCTCTCTACCAGCAAGGAAGAAAAGTAGGTAATGCAATGCTTGCTGAATCTGAGGCAGAGACAAGACCCTTGAGGTGGCCCCTGATTTTATTTTCCTTGTTATGCACTAAAGGCGCGATGCCAAGCGAGCGATCTCGTTTTGGTCCGTCGCCCCATAGAACTGGCAATAGTAGCCCCTTTAGTCGATATGCTTACACTTAGGTAGAGATATACGGAGTAGATAGGCCCAGAATAGGGCTTATCCAGTATACTTGTAACAACCAGGGCCCTCCTGTCATGCCAATTTAACATTGAGATAGATCCCCATGAATCCGATAACATCGCACCGTATGAGTAGCTGACCAGTACGCATACTTGAATATTCACACGTAATTCTGAAGCAACCTGTACATTTCGTCTGTTCTATGAAGGTGACAACTCCCAACGTACAATGCTGCTGTCGAGTCTTTTAGGCAGCAGTACCTACGCGGCAGTAATGTACCGAGCATAGATGCCTTGGTAGCATCGCCATCTTGTCCATCAGTGATCTGAACGTTGTCCGTTGTTCTTCTGCTAGAAGGAAACTTGTATTTGAATGTGCTATTTCTCTAGATACCTCCCAAGACCACCTGTTTGTTCTCGTGTGGATCATGTTCAGATTTTAGCTGCGACATGTATGCATTCGTGTATGCATGGATAACTGAAACTCAAGCTAGGGATGCTGAGTGTACTCGATGTCCAGAGCGCACATACATATCGCCTCCACGACGACAAATAATACGAATCACGAGAGTATGAGAGCGTGAAAATGGCAATGAGAAAGCTTACTATTGGGCTGGTATTTGATCTGCTCTGAGGCGGCCGGAATAGGTATGTCCAATTTCTTCAGGTGTCGCTAGGCTTGGCGATGATCTCCTACTGGGTAGGCCTGTTAGTACAGGAGATGCAGACGACTTCACTCGCTAATCCTCCTATGGGTCTGTAATGATTGCATCAAATCATAGCGCAGTTGTTATGGCGAAAATCCTGTCAGCGTCTCTCGAATCCTCATAATCGTTGACGTTTCTTGCCCACTTCAAACTAAAAGCGATGATAACACGTTGCCTCAGATTCATACTAAGTGACACAGTATAATATCGCTAGAGAGCTATAGTGACAAGTTTGCTTAGTTGGGTGTACGTGAATAATGAGGGGAGGGTTTATCACTTGGATCCAGAATTACCAACTCTTTAACAGGTTGCTAATTTATTTGGCATGCTTCTTTCTTCAAACTTGTTAATCTACCTTGATAATAATTAAATGATAGAACGTAGAAATCGCCCTTGTCATTCGCGTTAAGTTAACCCGAGCCCTCCGGTGCATGTAAATAAATTCTAGAAGATGATGGCGTCACGTCACGGAGAGCCGGAGACAGATTTTATGATAAGAAAGCGGGAATCGCCAGACCAAACGTCGACCCATTACCAGGAGGCCCGAAATCACCCCGGCATTCCAAATTGCCTAACTCCAGCGATTTCACCTGCGCCGCATGGGCCCGGGTGAAGTACTTGGTGCTCTGGTATTTTCCCGTCTACGGTCGGGACCCGGAGCGCGACCGTTTCAGTAAGACCAGGATACTGGGTCCGATGTCCTTTCACACTCACGTCTTCGGTATCAGCTGCGAATACTAGGCCAAATTGACCACCGGAGATGTATGCGCCAGCGGTGTCGTCATCGGGGAGCGTTATATAAGCCAACCCGGCAATAAACGCGACCCATCTGATGAAAAGTCAGATCAATGTCATGCAAAACACAATCAAGCCATCCATCTCTAGATCAACATACTGGTTTGCCGGCGCGTGATGCACGCCACCGTCAAAGTTTGGTGGGAGGACGGAGAAAGCCAGGCTGGATGCGTCGCCAAGTGCCACCTGAGCAGTGCCTGATATCCCAGGCTCGGTGGAGATGTCAAAGGGCTGGGCCATCTGCCAACACTCGATGATTGACGATCCGTCTCGGGCACTTATGGCGGTAACATTGAGATATAATGGGGCCACTTCCCGGAATAGCCACGGAAGGGCAAACAAAGACGCGGCCTGGCTTACACGCCGTGGTCAGTAATTACCAGAAGAGTAGAAGCTCAGCACGGTGTCAACGGCATCCGAAGCCTGCCTAAAGGGGGCTGAGAGAAGGACTCTAGGAACTAACGTGTAAGGCCTGCATGGTTTATCACGATGTTCAACTCTACGTGCCGTCAATCACGACGTGCTCGCCAAAATCAGTATGATATGCCAGGAAACAGATAGGAAAAATGAAAAAACAATCACGTCTCGAATTTGACCAATGATAGACGAACCAAAGGAGAACAGACAACCCCTCTCATCTGACAGCGAACCGCTTCGGTTAGCTGCACGCTGATTGTTGTTACGTCACTCTGCACACCGCTCTTCACCCGTCTCATTCGCACGCAAAATATACTCGATAATGACGATAAAGGCCGTACGGACAGCCTCGGGAGGGTCGGAAGATTGAAAATGTAGATTGTGTATTTCCGTGTTATTGCTGCAAGCACTCGGGATACCGATACAGCTACGTGCTACGGCTCCAGTTGGAATAAATATGTTTCTGCATATTGAGCCCCGATAGACCACTACAGGCGATCATGGATAAATCGCTTCCTCGTGAAAAGGTATCGTTCTACTCTTAACCGACGTCTACGAAACCCGTAAATTGTAAATGTTATATAGGGTTAACCGTACTCTAGCGATATGTCTGCTCTGAGTAGTATGGAACCGCTCTAGATCCTACCAAATCTACCGAATTTTATAGCCTGACCTGAGCGCATCAACACAGCAACTAGGTAGATTCGTGTGGTCTAAGACTGGATATTCCTCTATGGCAACCTAAACGCCCAGGTTCTTGAGCAAGTTTGTCTTGACCTCTTCAAGCCATTGCTTGACAAACGCCGCTTCGTAGAATGATTCATTATAGCATGCGCTGATGTGCAATCGCCCATTCCAACTCCAAGTATGGACCACGAGCTGTGGTGTGACCGCCTGTACGCCTAGCCAGACATTTTCTACGTTGACATCTCCATATTTCATGCTCACATAGTCATCCAGCACCCCGAGATTGCTCAGCCATGGCTCCGTTGTAGGCGTGGCTAGTAGGCTTGCCATTCGCTCAATGAGCGGAATGCGCACAAACATCATGTCCTTTTTTCCAGGTTCGAAGGTTTCCCTATACACAGAATGCAGATGTTTTGCTAGATAATTCCAGTTATCGGTTGCATCAACCGCGATGGGCAGAGCGGTTGCACGCAGCGCAGCTGCATGTAGTGGCCCATCAAAAGGCTTCGGGCAATGCTTTCGCAAGTCAAAGACTGCAATAGACCTGTACTTTGGTTCATCGGCTGCATCAGCTTGGCAATACCGAGCTGTTGTTGCAATGATTGATGCATGCAATGCAGCAGAAAGGCGGATACCACGAGCTCGACACGCCGCTCGTAATGTAGATGCGATGTTTGGTATCGACGTTTCGAGTCGCACTGTGTTTCCTGGCACTTTTCCACTGGCTACAGGCAAGCCAATGGATGAACCCCCTTTCATGCAATCTGACAAGATGGCATCGGCGCGCCTTGAATTCTCAGGCAAGACCGAGTGCGGAACACGCATGATCGCATCAAAGGAGGGCACCAAGTTGGCAGTTTCACTTCCCAGGTCACGGATGGTTGCGCCGATATGAGGCCTTGCCAACAGTGTCAAGAATTCATGAAGCAGCATGAACAAGCCGCGCCCGTCGCATCGCCAGTGTGAAGTACCGATGGCGAGTTCGCTGGACGCTGGCAACCAATGGCAACTCGCGCTATTTTTGAGATGCGGGAACTTAAGATGCTGGGAAAAGAGGTCATCAACGGACGCGGCGACGGTTTCAACGTAGAACGATGACGCCACCCAAGCTTTCAAACCATCACCAGTCGTGGTGGGCTGGTAGCACTTTTCGCCGTCGCGCAGGGCTGTTGCGATGCCCGGGTGGCAAAGTCTGAGATTGGCCCAAATAGAGCGAAGCCTTTGCTCTAAATGAACGTCGTTAGATGGAGATGAAACCTTAATTCGAACAGCTGCCATAACAAAGAGGTTCTCTTTGTTGGGAGACATGCCACTAGCAGCTATGGCTAAGAACGCTGATTCTTCAACCCCTAGGGGGCAACGCCACTCTGAGTCGTGCTGAGTCCAGGACATATTTCGATAATAAAAGATCTTATCTGAGTGATCAGGATATGGAATCAGGAGAGAAAGTTAATATTTAAGATCTGAGTAGTACCGAAACAAGCTGCTTATAGCTTTGGCAATATCTATGGCAAATAAGGCCGGCTTCATGCGTCCAGTATGCAAGTCTTGGCGGTATATCAAGACAGTCTCGGTGTCACTGAACTGAGACTATTCAGCCCTCGCTGATGAGATGCCTTGGTGAACCTCGGAGGTCAGGAAGACCTGTTCATCAACGACGAATGCCAATCATTGGCAAGTGACCCACCGGGAAGCAACGCGTGAACAGCGCCATATTCTTTGTGATAGAGCCGTAGATAGAAGCAAATAGAAGGGCACTCGATTCGAGCTCTAAGCTCGATCCACCATATACTACGACCGGCTTTTCGATACCACTACAATTGCTGAAGTCAGTAATCACTCTTTCAGGCAAAAGTTTCGGTAGTTCTGCATACTCCCGAGACACACATGTGCCTCTAATAAGCAATCATGGCCCCGGAGAGTAACTAGAACAGGAAGGAAACGACTCCAGTGGTTACATACGAGGTACAATAATAAAAGTGCGACAGGGTCCTTCTCCTTTAGTAATGATTGGAAGCAGCCCTTTACGCTGCGTGTAAATAGGTGAGTATGACCTGTTGAAACCTGGCTATCTGGAAGGCCGTATATATGAGAAACTGCATGGGAGGTTTCGAAGTACGGATTGTTATCTATCGTTGACGAGTCGTCAAGATGACATACATCGGCCAAAGCATTTGGTATATGAGCAATGCCTTTGTCAGGGAAAGGAGAATGCATATGAGCGTATGTCGGCGCCATCACACGAAACAAGCTGTCTACTCGCAGTGGATTAACTATACGCCACAGTGACATTTTGCCTTTGATCATACGCAGCCATTCCAGATCGGCCGGACTGGAGGGCTTCAGCGGCCATGATTCTTGTGCTGCACATGCATTAGGAGAGGAGAAGGACAACATCGCTAGAGCGGCGGCAGTGCCCCAGATGGGGTCTTTGTCTTTCGTTTCAATGGACTCTCTCAGTCTGCTGTGGAAGAGAACCGTGCTTCGAGAGCAGTGGTAGCACTCTTCCAGCGTAATGACCGACGATCCGTTTTGGTAGCGGTCATATGCAAGCGCCACAGCTAGAGAGGCATGCATCAGGAAAGGATGCTGCGGGTAGTGTATCAGTATTCCGGCGATGTCGGATACATTCAAGCCAGGCTTCAGCGTGAATATCACTCTGGTAAGACATACCGTAAATGCTAGCCTTAGGAGCTTGCGATTAACCTCTGCCATATTGGGGTCATCTGGAGTAACGAGGCTTCGCCCAAGATACCGTGTGACGAAATCTTGACATTTTGCGTCCAACTGGTAGAATGCCGATGCGTCAGATGTCCATACTGTACCAGCAAGAGAAGGCTGGAGTTCTGCTTCTCTGTGCACGACCACTGATCTGACCGCGTCATCGGCGACGGGCTGCAGATCTGGAACATCAGGCATGAAATTGCATACTAACCCAAATGAGATGCATCTCCTACATTGTGGTTTACCTTCATCGCACTATATGATTTGAAAACCATGTTCAGCTAGTCATCATGATGAGGAAGACCACAAGCATTCACTCACTTTGAGCTTCCTCAGCTTGCAATTTCGGCACCCAAATCTCGACCTTCGCGGGATCTTGCGACGTCGTTCCTCTCGCAGACTGACCGAGGCCATGCTTCATTTGTATCCTTCTATGTAGGCAACTCGAGTAGTTGAATTGACCCAGACTTGAAGGGACCTGAAACTGAAGAATCGCCTCTGGGTTTACTGTCCGACATGGTCTCGGCAACGGTCCTGATTAGTAGCTTGCCAACTCCCTGGCGAATCCCTTTCCCATGCGGCGCGCACACCCGCGATCTCTGTTTTCATGCGCTAACCACCTTTCGGCCATTGAAGCCTCACACTTGCCATGAAGAAGTGGGGTGTAATCCTGAGCTAGACGGGCATAACCCATACTCTAACCCATAATTACACTGACCGATTGCACTAACTGCTCCTCGGATGTGCAAGATCCTGATTGGCTTGTCTTCCAACCTGCCTAAGAGCCTCTATATACATAGTAGATAGGTAGATGGACACGCTTGATGCATCTCGTGACGAACGAACGGCGAAATCAACTTGACTTTGTGGGAACTGCTCAAGCCATGTACTCTCGCAGTCATTACCAAATGAGTGGGCAGGTGAATATGTATTTAAGGTAAGCTAATTCTCCTGGAATGTGCAGCAAGCCTCCTCCAGTCTCTCGTTCCTTCACCAGAATACCTTCATATCCTACATCTCAATTTCTTCCTAAACTAAGTCAACTTCAAAATAAATCAACTACCACACGAGGACCATGAGAGTCTTTGTCACCGGTGCCAGCGGCACCATCGGGAAGGCAGTCGTAAAAGAGTTGCTATCTCATGGTCATCAGGTTCTCGGGCTCGCCCGTAGCGACGCCGCCGCCAAGCAGCTCAAGGACCTCGGCGCAGAGGTTCAACACGGGACTCTAACTGATCTGGATATCCTTAAGAAAGCCGCGTCCGAATGTGATGGCGTCGCGCACCTCGCTTTCGTTCATAATATGCAAGACTACATTGGAAGCTGCGCTGTTGATCGAGCCGCTATCGCAGCTATAGGCTCTGCGTTGGAATCGGCAGGCGGAAACCGGGCTTTTGTGATCAGCTCCGGAACCTCGCTTGTTGCTAATGGCCAGCTCGCAACAGAGGATCGAGGGTTTGACGAGAGCGACCCATTTCGTTCAATCCGTGGCCCTGCTGAGTCGACCGCATTGGCATTTGCAGAAAAGGGGGTGCGTGTCTCAATAATGCGGCTCCCAAGCGTGTATGGCGAAGGCGGACTTGGCTTTGTAGCGCTTATGCTCGCGGTCGCGAAGTCTAAGGGAACGATTGCATACTTGGGTGCTGGAGAGAATCGCTGGCCTGCCGCACACACTCTCGATGTCGCGCGGGCCTATCGACTTGCACTGGAGATTGGTAGAACGGGATCCGTGTTTCATCTGGTAGCTGATGAGGGAGTACGAACTAAGGACATCGCCGAAGTTCTTGCGAGAAAACTCGACGTCCCTGTTGTTTCCATATCCCAAGAAGAGGCATTGGGCACTCTTGGGCTGATGGCGGCTGCGATGGAAATAGACAACCCATCCTCGAGTGCGAAAACGAGAGAAGATCTTGGGTGGGCTGCAGTACAACCGTCGCTACTTGATTTTCTGGAATCGGGGGCCTTCTTAGAGCAGCAGGAAACTCTTCCATCTTGGTCTCAACGCCAAAACGAATAAGTTTTCAAGTGCCCCCTGTTGGACTCTACGCAGTGAATTGTGGACAGATAACTTAGAGCTACAACCTCAGCAGGTGCTCATACGGGGAACAATCGCAAGTTAAAGATGTATGGTGATAACCCCTTCGCACAAACTATTTCCAAAGGCATGGCAGAAATACATGACCTGGAGCTAGATAATATATCGCGCGGAAGTAGTACACATATTATCAAACAAAGCTACACGGAATGCTCGTAAATCGTCCATCCATCCTGAGCGTTCTAACAGTGCTCTTCCCCTAATCACATCTTTGACTCGTGTCATTCGTTCTTAGAGCATACCTGCGCAAGACACGATCGTGTACCTTTCCCTCCAAGTCAGTTATTTTGACAGAGGTTTGCGTAGGTGCAGTCCCATTCTCAACCCACGCGCGAAGTTGTGAGAACAGCTGGTTTGGTTGTCCACTCCGTCCGCCGCTGCAGTGACCCAGCCCTGGAATCTCAAAGTGCCGATAAAAGTCATCGATTTCTGGTATAGCCGAAGCAACCTGCTGGTAATAGTGCTCCGTGCCCTTCGAAGGTATAGTTTGGTCGTACTACCGTGGCACGAAAGATTTAGTAAGATAGCTAACTGCTACCACCAGCCTCAATTAAGGGGTTGAACATGACTTACTAATCCGTGGAAGCTCACTAACTTGCCACCAGCGCTTCGAAACTCCGAGAGATCAGGGTCTTCTGTCCCTATGAAGGATCGGTACTCTTGCTGACCGCGGTGTATCAAAATGTCGAATTGGGCATGGGTAATATTGAACAAGCTGAGATTTGGATCCTTGGCTACGAAAAGCCGAAACCATGGGTTACTCAGAAAATGTGGGATACCAACGCAAGCTCTTGGGGTGCAATTGGTTCTCGCAATTCCAATTCTCTGATTCGGGGGTTGGCCGTTGCCAGTGATATCAGCCCCGGGATTGTAGCCGTACCACAATTGCTTCCCGCTCGCTGTGCGTGGGCCACTCCAAGTTGCATTGATGACAGCCGCCGCAGTGCTGCTGATTGAAATTGTCTCGCCAGTCTCGGTACAGTTGATAGTTGTCCCAACAAGACTGAAAGGGTCAAATGTGGTTAAGCAAGTGTCGAATTCCGTTATGACACCGTCGGCGATGCCATCAAGTCCGTCACAAGCAGAGACAGCAGCAGCATTGATTGAGTCAAGCTCGCAGTTATATGGATAGCTACGCAAAAGGTTCATGATCTGCTCTGGCCACTGTATAGAGGACAAGAGGTCGTTCCAATGGATCGCTGGAGCACCAGCCGCGATTCCGTCGTACAGCGTGGGATAGCGTTGTGCCAGCATCATGCCTTGGCGGCCACCTTGTGAACAACCGTTCCAGTAAGAATAGTCAGGGCCTTTACCGTAAAAGCTCTTGACAAGCGATTTCCCAATGAGTCCCTAAGGGTTGATCATCAGTGATGCCAAAGTAGAAATAGTATTTTTCATCGAGTACACGCGAGACCAGGTCCTTGGATTAGACTTACCCCATCAGCCAATGATACAGATCCAATATTCTGAACATTATATAAGTCAACGTTGCCTGGACTAAGCAATGCCCATGGAGACGGGTCTTGAGTATTCCCTACTCCTGCATCGGTCGTTATGGTGGCGTACCCATCCGCTATAGCCCCTTCCATATTAGCATATGAGGCAGCATAACGACCGGCTATATAACCACCGCCCCCAACAGCCTGGAATCGGCTATTCCAGTTTGTTGCCGGTAACCAAGCTTCCGCGTGAACTGTGTCGTTCTGTCCAGGGTGAGTGTACGACACTGTGACATTGCAGAATGTGGCATTCAACAATTCCACAGACGGTTGAGTGAATAGAAACACCTCCGAGACGGAAGCGCTGTAGTTGTTTACTAGAGTGGCATCGATGTGAAGAACCTCTAGACCAGTGATACCGGAAAGGTCAAACGTAGCGGGGACGCAAGGGCTAGAAAGTAGAAGAGACATCATGCCCAATATCAAATGGTGAGTTCACTGGTCTAACAGACAATCCGATTCACAAACTGGATATGACGCTTCTCTTTTATAAGTCGCTTCACTGTAGCCACCACGGCTTCGGCCTGGAGAGAAGCGAGCTCCGTGTGCATTCCGGCGGGTCATGATTCACCGCGGTCCTCCAATCCCGCAGGGAACACGGCCACCGGAGACAAGAGCGTGATCATTGATTACGTGAGTTGGAAGGCAATTCTAAAATCCTCGTCGGTAATACTGCCGACCCGGTCTTACAATTCGTCATTGTCTATACATGCGACGGAAATAGGAGACATGGGTCTACAACAATTCAGACATCATTGAGCTGTTCCTATAGACAATAATTAACATAAATGGTGAACTTATAGGGTAAGCTGCATATGAAATTAACTGCTTGAGTTAAGCATGCTCCCTGATAAACCTGATTTTCTGGTTTTAAATAGCTAAGAGGTAATTCTGGTAACAGTGGAAACATGCCCCGGAGCTGCGGTATGCCTATGTAGAGTACAATATAGTATAGCTTCAGAAGCTAATTTCTAGCCTCAATGGAGCGTCATGTTATGATTCCATATCTACTCCGATTAGGGCTTCCCTATTTTACGTGTTTATTATTGTACTTCTTCTCTTTAGCTTCGTATGTTTCTTATGAACCACCCGCACTTACGCTGGTAGAATCTTGTAAGGAAAACCCGTTGGCAACCTAAACGGGTAATTACCAGTGAAGCCATTAGCCATTAGCGATGGAAGACGTATAGGAAGTAGTTTCGCGGACGTATTCGCTGCTGTTTTTAAGTTTCGTATTCGCTTGCGTATTCGTTTGCGTATCATTTCCGACTTTAATGATGTTCTTATCCCGCAACGCCTTATGCCCTGTGTTACTTGTAATACATGAACGGCGCGTAAAGCTTATAATTGTATTCCCAAGATTCGGAATATAGCTTATTGTCAACTGTGCCAATGCTGGAACTCTTTTGGGACTCCTATTTCTATTGGTGTTACTGTGCGTATTAAATCCTTTATACCAATTGTATAGCTGTTGTCAGAGGCAAAGAAGCACTAGGGCAGGAGTTACCCCGAATGAGTGGAGAAAGTTCAGATAGCCAAGTATATTATATATGAGAAGACGAAGGCCCCCCCTTCTAGTATAGGAGAAGGCAGGAATAAGTATTATTGAGCCCCTACCCCTATGTTCGACCTACCTACTACCTAGGTGCTATCTACTTACGACCCAGCTTCACGCCGAGGACACCCACCTCTGACAGCCGTCTACTTTTCGTACTAACACTAGGTGCCAAGAAATATATTGGGAGGAGGGAGATTGTACCGGGCCCGTCCGCATCACCTTTGCTGACTACGTAGGTAGGCAATTCATGTTCCCATATCTGTAGAGAGATACGCGAGTGAATTTTTGAGCTCCCTGAGATCGGTATTTTCCTTGAAGATAGATACCTCTGATCCTAGGTAGCTTCTGGGCTCCTTAAGCTTTCTCGGGGGCTATTTGTATAAGTCCACGGAATGTACTATGGGGTTTTCAATTCACTTAAGGTAGCTTGTTCAAAAGCTATAGTGCATCGGAATAAGGATTGAAAGAGCCCTAAGCGCTTTGCTATATTCAATCACAAGGGTCTACTTAGCCTACAATCTTCAAAATATACAATTGAATCTCTTAAATAGGAAAATGTTTTCCAACGAACCAAGCTGTAGAGATCAAAGCGGTGGGACTGGATTTACAGCCGATGCTATGCTATTGAGCTCACCGTGCTACATCTTAGCCTTTATACCATTGGATTATCGAATAAAAATAACGAAATATTAAGAATCTTCGCCATATTCAAGTTATAGACTCATATCATATTGTCAAGTACTTGTGCCGGAAGATGCGTACTATCCGGACCCTACGGTACGTCGTTGTTGCGATAGTCCTCGTATGGAACAGAGTTCATAAAGGTGCGCTTTCCGCGAGACACGTATGCCATCTTGCCCAGCGCCAAAAGCTATAATTAAAATATCTAGAGAATTATACCCTTGAAAAGCCTGGCGGGAGGAAAGGTCAATACAGCCCGTAGCATTTGCTCAAACAGCAGATCCTAAAGCCGGAGTATGACTGCTTTTACTGTTTCTCAAGCGAAATGATAATCACAGAACTCCAATGCTAGAGCTTTAAACAAATATCTTGTGGCTGTTGAGTATTATCCCATAGATGGAAGTATCTGATTTCAGGCTTCGTTGAGAAGATGAATATTGAGAAGAGCTTCTAAATCAGGTACGGTCTGGGGGTGGAAGCTTTGGAAACTTATCTGTTGGGCATTTTCAAGTGCCTGACAACATTTTTATAGGCATATAGTAATATTATAATTTCTTGAGAAATAATGTCAACAAAACGGCGTGACACTCGCAAGAAATGATTTAAGTTCAATCAAGAGCATGTAAATCTTGGTTTTATAGCTGAAGCACAGCTCGATCACGAACCCTAGTCTGTATCAATCTATATCTACCCAAAAATGTAACTTTTAATGCGCCAAGATATAAGGTGAGAAGAAAAGTGAACAGCGTATATGTTTCACCCCTGCAACACGCCAAAAAAGCCTAGCAACCACCATTGACAGGACCTTCTCGTTCTCTGGGCTCCTCATCTCCGTTTGGCATCCCGATCTTTTCGGACTATGTGCTTATCGGCGCTCCACGGCGGCGACCGTAGTCTTGGGAAATACTGCAAGGACCTGGGAGCAGCTGTCGGTGCACTCGATCTGCTGCTGCACCAACTTAGACGTACTGTTGTTAGCCCAGAACTCTTCTTCGGTATGACTGTCGCCGCCTGAGAACATGAAATTGTCAGAGAGTAGTGAGTGAATATGGCCAAGGCCTAGATGGGGCTCCCCCAACTCATCAACGAAAGATGGTTCTAGGCTCCAGACATTAACCTTGGCAGTCTCCGCCAGGTTTTGCACGATATTAATGCTCGGCATCGTGTCGACTGGTCCCAGTATGCAGTGCAAGCTGTAGAGAACAGGAACGACGATGTTCATGATGATACCGGCACCCTAATTTGCTAAGGTTAGCTAAGAATTCTAGCAACTTGTTTTAGTTTCTCATTGGCATGATAATATACGCACATGGCTCACTGGGAATGGGGAGTATATCTTATCTCCTTCTTTCCAATCCGAGGTCCATGGAAGCAAGTTGCCATCGGCCTGGGCACTTGACAACAAACGCACTGCATCAATGGCACTTATCAAACCGTGAGACCACGGGATTGGCTTGAGATTTCCCGTGGGATCAGACGTGAGGATATAGCAGAATGGGTCATCAATGACTTCATCAAAAGTCTTAGTGAGCGGATAAGGTTTAACGGCCGAGTCATCCAGGAGATGATCGAGAAGAGGAAGCTGCAGAACCGTCATGGAGCGTGATTGCAAGACCTCGCCTGCGACTGGGAATGGAGGCACGTCGCCTGCGGTGACTAATATATCGCACTTCGTTGCCTCAAGCACAGCCAGCGTATCTTCCGTGCTGTCCTCAGGCGAGATGAACAACACCTGCCAAAAAGACATGTTAGAGTGTTACCGACTTTCAGAGAGCGCTGTAAACGAATTGGCAACTTACAGCGTACCCAACCTTCATACACGCATATGTTAGTAGAACTTGCCGTAGATCATCTGCAAATGTTAAAGCGTTAGCGTCGCACGATCTTAGTCTTTAATAATCGGATGTAGGCATATTGCAACTTACGCGGTCCAATATAGCTGATAGGCTGGATTGAGTTAGATCTACCAGCCTTTCTCCGAAGCCACCAACAAAGCTTGTTAATGGCCTGAGCGAAGACACGGGCGGAGATTTCTCTGAAGCTGGGTGAATTTTCGGCGGATCTCGCTAACGAGAATACTGTGCGTAATGGCTCCTCCGCAGCCAGATCATCTACAATCTGAGGTAAGAGCCTTCGCCCGTATAGCGTCGAGGAAGTTTCATCGGCTGCCCCTGACAAGGAAACGTTGCTAATCTTCCGTTCCACAATGCTTCCAGGGATGCTTGGGGCTGTATTTGGGGAAGACTGCCCTTCTGATGTTGCAGCTTCGTCGGTTTCGGCGGATGAGGAAAGGGAGTCGCTAATTTGCGAAGAGATACCGCAAGGGGTTGCGGTTGGATGAATCGCTTTGCTCATATATTCACTAGCGGTGAGAGGTTTAGCTATTTTCACCAACTCAAATGCACCTCCGCTGTTGTTCTTGTCTAGCTTCTCTATAAAGTGGCTAGGTAGGCCGTCAACTTGTACTAGTTCTAGTCTGGGGTTTTTAATAAATTCGCCCATGGGGGCGCTGACCCACTCGCCATCAGCAAGTTGCGCCACGCTGCAGTGCCATGGAGTTGTGAACCCAGTCTTGGTGTTCAGCAAGGATATTGAAATCTTCGCAACTGCGCCAATGGATTCATGAATAGAAAGTCGTAAATGATTAGGATACGCGTCCTTAACAGCCCCAGCGAACGCCTATCAACGGTTAGAGAATTCAAAATCAACTAGATTTGCGTATCATATCAGCTTACATAGCCTCTTATTAGCATTTGCTTGGCAATATATTTGCAATCTCTCGTGTATGCATGACCGCTTCGCTTGGCTCCTCGAGGAAAGATATGCTTCAAATCTGACTCCAAGAATCTCTTATATCCGAGGTAGGTTAGTTTTGTATCAGGGTTTGTTGCAATTTCACGGTCAATGTCAATATCGTCGTTGCCGTATTTGTTTAGAAGATAACGGCGGAAATTCGCACAGTTGGCGACATAGATGATTTCTCTCATCTCCTCTCGCAGGCCGAAGTTAAGCAGGTCCTTCTCCGTCGAGAAGCCTATGCAATCAAACTTCTTTTCTGCAGCCATTACACGCAAGGCCTCTCCATAGAGCCATGTATCCTGGTCAGAGATGCTTAACAGGTCTAACAACATCAGCAACGAGGATCTAGTTAGTCTTGGTAGTTCATATTGAACAGACAGGTGAGCAAGATGAAGATCATGTACATACCACTATACACAATGCCATCGGAGACGATTGTGATTCGAGCACCTGGGGGATAGATGGCTTGAATACGTTTACAGATAGTATTCAATCGTTCGAGTGATAATTCTTCGGCCTTATCCGGAAGCTTTCCCAGTACTTTGTATATCTTGTTTGCGGATTTGAATGGGAACGCGGGCAGACATGCCTCAACTCTTTTCTCCTCAGCAACGAATCGACTAACAACCGGAAGGAAGTTATCGCAACCGCGCTCGAAGCCAGACTCTGAGTGGTCAATTTTATTGAGGGCATAGTCGAAAATGATTTTCAAAATTGACCGGGAGAGGTCGATGATCTCCTGTTCAGTTCTCGCAGCATTACGAGAAAGCCTATCACCCTTGGTGGTGGCGCCACCCATGACGCCACCATCGACTCGTGCTGGCGCCATAGCTCAGACAAAGTTCCTATTTTCATATGGATTCTAAGCTCCACTGGATACAAGAAGAGGAGCCCAATTGTGTACTTACTGGTAATCAAAATTTGGTAAAGCACTGGCGGAGCTGAGAACAAGAGAAATATTGTTCTCGATTTAGGGAAGATACTTGCTGCTACCACAATGAGGATCGTTGGGGCGGACTTGATTTATACTCTCTGGAGAAGGGCCCGAGTCGACCCTTTTTTCTAATTGTTGCTTATGCATACCCAGAAATGCCTCTCCATCATTTGCCTCTGACAAATTCCGGCTCGTATACCCTGAACTCTACCATCAGCTCACGATGAGAAATAGCTTAGTTACTAAGTCTCTGTCCGATGCTTCTTGTAATGAGGCTCATAACTGACCAATCTAATCTCGGAGGAGGCGCATGGTACGAAATGCGGCAATAGCTGACCAATCCAATTTCGTTGGAGGCACTTGATACTAAGCTCGGCGATAGCCCAATGTCCATAATCAGCCCCTTGCGTCACAACTGGACTACATTCAGGCTTCTCATGCGGATGTGATCATCGGAATTTAGAATTTCAAGTGCATTGATGATTTATGAGTTTCTATTACTATACCAGAACCCAGTGTCTGAGCTAGGTCTAATCACGAACGACGCTAGCTATTGCCTGTGGTCACCTAACCCCGTACTTGGCACTTTTTGACCATGCCAAATCGAAAATTTCCGGAGAGCGTACATAAGAAAATTTCTCCTCTTTCCTGTGAGACACCCGAAGCTTCAACGGCGATCACAGTTTCGTCTAGCGCAGGTAACACGAAACAATGGAAACAACATAATTAGTCTGATAGACATGTTTACTCTGCGTGATGTGACCACAAAAAATGTCCCCATGTGACTTTGGGGAGGTTGTACAGCCCTATGAGAGCCCCCTGTGCACACTTCAGAAACAATTAAGTGCTCTTGGATAGGTTAGTACATTCCTCGGCTTTTCTACACTTTCTAAGATATTAACTTAGGCAGGTGTCATAGTGGAGAAGCTTGGGTACAGGCTGACTTCTGGGCTTACATAGGATATCTGACAATCCGATTTCCGACCCCGGAGTCCGGTGCTTGGCGATCTAGCTCCGGTCTGTCCATAGCTTGGCTATTCGGCAGCACATTTTAGTGCTGACCCAGCATCAAGACATCTTCAAGATATTCTAGCCCTGGGTATCCGCAAGGATCCTGACCTGGGCAACGTATCAAAGCGGAACATATAGTCTCGAAGAGAAAACTATCAGAAACTGTGTCGAAGGACTTCATAACGATAGGTTAAGCAAATAAATTCTGCAAGTCTAGGAGTGGCAAGGTAGCAGCCTATTATGTCACTATTCCCAACAACGGCGATTTACCCGAAGACGTGTTAGCGAGCGCAATTGGAAACGGCACGGAAACGCCACAAAGGTCGTATGAGCAATTGATAGGATACCTTGACCAAGCTGGCATTTCCACAGCTGAGCCATCTCCTTAGTAGAGGGGAAGGCTAGAAGACCTCAATTGCAATCCAAGGCGAATAAGGTTGGGTAGGTGCTATACGTATCGAACTTATAATTATTGCAGGGTTATTCATCCTCACGGCCCGATGTGACTAGGGTTCTCTCCACAGCGGCTGAAGTGGCGTAGCTCTATGTGAATTGCCGCCAACACACCTACCCAAATGGGTAATTCTTCTTAGAGACACTGGAATAACGAGACGGCACTTGAACATTTGACAATGTACCTCCCCAGGCACACCCGTAACTAGGCGCTACCTAACATGTCAGTTTCGTGGCAACTCCATGGGCCTCTCCATGTGCCTTACTTGCATAGTAATTATATCCAAGCCGACGTTCACGAATATACGGCAACTTGGAAATTACTGCCAACTGAGTGAGATGTCCGCAGCCGATTCATTGCTACGCTTAAGGTTTGGTCTCTCTTCTCTGTATACATTGGTATAGCCCTACCGGTAGTTGGCTCGCGGGGTCTTCGGAGAGTTAGGTAGGTAGCTGCAGATGAGGCTGTGAATCACACTTACTACATTGGTTAGGCTTACCTGGATGTAAGTAAGTCTGGCACTTCGGTGAGCGTCCGTTTTCTGGCGACTTGGACCTTGTGACATGGATTAAGTGGCGGGTACACGGGAAAAAAGGCCAAAATGATGCCGTTACATCGTACTTAGTAAGTGCGCTAGTTTGGGTGGGAAAACAGCCTTCAGGTAGCTCCACACGTGCTTCATGGGGATTTAAGCATGAATGTAGCCGCATATGCGTGTCACTCGATGTAGAAGTATGCCATGGGGCGCTGAACACGGCATTGCGGAGTCTTTCCTTACTTCAATCTAAGCCCATAGATGGCCATTGAGCAACTCAGAGCAGAAAACCAGCGCCCTCGATTTCTTGTCGTATGGTTTTGGGCGCCCTTCATTCTTTACTGACAAATGCTTCAGACGAAGGCAAAGTTGCTGTTAGACGGCGCTGCGTCTACTCCTGGGGTCCTCATCATATTTCAAGCTTTCTACAGTTTTATCCTCGTAGATTTCCATTGCTTGTTCACACCACATCTGGGTCTGCTGAAGCTGTTTCTGTCTCCCATGTTCATCCGCAATCAGAACGAACCTTGCTCGCCCATCCTCACTTACCTTATTTCTATTACTTAATATAATAATTAGTCAGCGTCAGATTTCTTCCTCATCCTTCGAGCATCGGAGCATTCTCAAGATTGTATTTCTATTCAATTCCTACTAATATAACACATATTGAAAGCATATATACTCTGTATATGTGCCGAGTGTTCTAGTGATTCAAGAAAGCCGAGTCAATATTTGCAGGCTGTGGCGTCGTGGAGCTGGCTGTCATGAAGTAAAGGCAGCAAACAAACCCTTCCTGTATACATGTAGTTTAAAGCTAAAAAATGTAGTTGAACCGGTACTAAGTACTTTGATATGTTCAATATTTCTGCTGATCTAAAGAGGGGCACGATTGGGGGGTATCACGGAAGCATCGAGATAGGCACGCAGATAGATTTTGCATTCTCTCACTAAATGATAAAGAGCCATAGGGGGCGACGACCCTGAAGATTTAACGGATGAAAAAGCGACATAAATTTATTACGATATCGTTATTTCTATTCCTCCTAATTTTGATGTCTAGGCTTCGTGGTCGCTACCTCCAAGAATCCGCTAAATTACTTGAATGAATGTATCTCACTGCACTCTGACAGGATTTAAGCCTCCTTCGTTCTAACAAGCCTCGGAAATGCCTGCATAACGGGATGGTTAAAGAACTCAATCACTGGAGCGACAGCTGGCTGCATCCCTGCCTCCATCGCGACCTTAGTCCACTGCTCCATTGGCAACACTCTATACGGTCCGCCAATCTTTTCAAGTCCGATATTTGCAATCTCCCTCACAGGTATAACGATATCGCCGACGCTATGGATGTACCTGACTTTGCCCGTGCCATGCACATTCCGTAACAGTTCCGTGATAACGTCATCACAGAACGTCCCAAGTGAGACAAAATCTAGCTGAAAGGTTTTGGAATCAAATCGCGGAACTGCCTGTGTCTTGTGTGCATAACGCACTAGTGCGCCAAAGCTAAACTCGTTGTCGTCGGCATCTACACCAACGCCTTCGTCGTAGATTGGTGACGCACGGTTGATGACCACGTGGAGCCCATGTTGCTTTTGGGCACGCTCCAGCATGCTCTCACATACCCATTTTGCGGCCACGTAGCCTTGCTCAGCCGACGGTCGCATCATTGACTGGGTACATGATGTTGGAGAAAAGGCATCAACACCTGCTAGGAGCCCTATCATCACAGATGACATGTAATGTATGGGGACCATGCGCTGCAGACATACACCAAGAAGCTGTCTTGTTGACTCAACATTGACTGCCCGTTCAGCTGCGTAAGGGCTCGTAAGTCGTACGGAAAAGCCACAATGAACGACGGCATCAGCTTGGCAAAAAATATCGGCCCAAATGTCCTCAGAGAGGCCAAATCGGGGCAATGATAGATCACCTTCATGATAGACTAAGCGACGACTTGGTGGGAGTAGCTTATTATCTTTGACGCGCTCCGAGAGCCGCCGGACTGCGATGCAAATAATCTTGCGAATGGTTGGGCAGGCCATAAGCGTTTTGAGTATATGGCGCCCAACAAAGCCAGTACATCCCGTGAGAACGATAACTTCAGGCGTTGTTCTGATTGGAGGAGCGGGAACAAGTTCTAGGATTCTTTCGGGGCGGGGTAGGCTTGCCTCGGCTTCCCAGTTGATAGCCTCATTAGTGCTGTCACTGTTTTCTAACTCTCCATCAAATTTTAGCTCGAACTCCGAATTCCCATCATCCGGCGTTATGGGACTCATAGGTGTGCATGGCTCGAGCTCGGTATCTAAGTCGCTCATTTCCTCGCTGCTCCCCATTGTGGGATCGTCTCCCAAAGCACCAGGGATCAAATCGGCCGGGATATTTTGAACAGCCATCTCGACCAGGCTGGACATGCGGGTTTGACACGCCACTAGGGGCACATGTGTTAGCTCGCTCCCTATAAAGTATTGCTTTACCAACGATATGCTCGCACCAAGGTCTTTTCATAGCTGGCACCACAGCTTGAGACTGGGAACCCCCCCCCCCCCCCAAAAGTAAGGGTCTTAATGAGAGTTACTTACTGATCTTTCGACTTGTAATGCTGACCTGGAGATTCTTTATAAACCAATTTTGTAGGTCCACCGAAACTAGCGAATCAAGACCCAACTCAGCGCTCTGCATCTTCATCAGATCGTCATCAGCTGTGGATATGTGTAGAGATCTAGTACATCTGGATTAGTATATATCTTATTGGGGGTGGAGGAATCGAGTCAACAACTCCGGGATTAACCGAAGTAGGAATGCCATAATCATGGCAGTAACTCCTAAGATTTATGGGAGTGGGCTATTATGGAGACCTCTTGTTACTGACCTGCGCAGCTGGGCACTAAACTCAGCTCTAATAATGTGGAAAACGTCTGGTATGGAATTGCAACCTTGGAGCTTTTCCAGGATAGAATATGCGTTCTTCTTGACGTCGCTGATGCTGCCGTTGGCCGAGATTTGGGAGACTCGGAGGTGCGTGAACTTAGGATCTGAGTACAGTCCGTGGAGAATTTGTGTGTTGGAGGAACTGAGGAGGCCAGTACAAATCTCTGGACCAGTTGAACTTTCGAGGCGACCAGCTGCTATTGACTCGGCAAATATATAGTGGAAATCATGCTCCGATATGGGCGTCGCATCCTCAACTGCCCGATTTAACTTTTGGTCGGCTTGTGTGACGTACCCAACGCCAATGACCTTCCCAAGATTAACGATCGAAGCCTGGAGGCCTCGTTTCCTCCGCCGTACGGCGACACTACTCATGATCTCAGAATTAGCGACACTTGTAGAATAAAATTACAAACGCCAGAGAGTACGGAACTCATATACTCAAAAGCTGAGGTGCAAATTCAGAAAAGGGGCCCGAAAAGACGTACCTGTTCAGACCCATGCTAGCAGCTGAATAATTGGCTTGCCCAGGGTTTCCGATGACGCCTGCCATTGATGATATCATAACAAAGAAGTCTAGATTAATGCTATGAAATATGCTGTCGAGGTTGACGGCCCCGTCCATCTTGGGTTGAAGAACATCTATTATGTCATCAAATCCCATGTTGATTATGCTTGTGTCCTTCAGGACCATTGCGCCATTGACAAGCCCCGCGATAGGGGGTTTTGTGTTGACAATAGTTTGATACACGGCACGGATAGCCTGTTCATCTGTGACGTCACTATATGATTCACGTTAATAAAATCTTAAATCTCGCTCATGAATCATAGGGAGATGCCCCTACCCTGGCAAAATGTGAACAGAAGCTCCTTTGAGGCGGTGGACTTCAATCCACTGCGAATCAATCTTGGGGTCTCTGCTGGTGAAGACTATATGGCGTGCGCCATGTACGATCATCCAGTCGCACAATGAGATGCCTAATGTTCCAGACAATCCAACTATCCAGTAGGTTTTGTCACCCTTAAAAAGTTGCTCCCCGTCAATCCGAGTTATGCGCACGGGGAGTGTAGCGGGTCGAGATTCCCAGTCCATGACGGTAAGTGGATAACTCGGAGGCTCACCATTGAGAATATTGTCTATACCCACTGGCTGCGTAGTGGGTATTGAGTCCCAGTCTACATGACGATGTGTTGCACTACGCAGCAGTTGCCCCAATGCACTAAGAGGAAAGCCGTTGTAACCTCCAGAGACAGAAAAGAGCGTATGAATGCTTTCTTTGCGGCAAAAGGAGGGAAGGCAGGATAAGATCATACGGCTGGTGCCTGTGTTCTTCTTGGCTGAAAAATCTATGAAACACGCAACATTTGACGGCAGCACATGGGCTAGTTCTGATGCAGTTGTATATGTCGAAACGGAGATATGGGGAATTTGACAGGATAGAGCCTTGTTTTCAGACGAGTCGCAAGTGGCTATGATGTTGATGGTCTTGTGGGAAGCCTGGGCAATTATATGCTCCCCCACTGCGTTGGAAGCATTATGGAGGAGCAAACTTTGGCCAGCATGTAAGAGGTTTGTCACAGCTATAGCTATCATATCAGCAGCAACGTGCGCAAGAAAACCAGCTCCTGAGCCACTAGGGATGTCACACTGAACAGTTGTTTCCAGTGGGACCATCAGTATGGACATGAGGGAAGATACCAATGCGAGGCGCTGACCACCAGATTTATCCTTCCCTATAACGAGGAATTGATAACCGGCAACCGTCGATAGAGCAGACATCGTCGAATGAGTCACATCTAGCTGAATGAATTCACCCCTACTGGTTGTAACAAATTAGTCAGAGTCAACGACTAGGGAAAGGATTAAGGCATTCCCTACTCGGAGTTTTGCATAAGCATGTGATCTGCTGAAATTCTGGGCCCTGAAAACTTCTGCAAAAAGAAGTTATTTTGTGTCGGGTCTAGACATAGTTCGACGGTCGTCTCTCTAGTATCTAGGTACTCATGCACAGGCGTATTAACAGAGTTATAACGATTATTAGCCTCTCTGAGCGCTACTAGGCGTGGTACCAACTCCCGCCCATGAACATCGATGGCGAGCTCTGGTTCTTTGGTATACAGTATGCTGTCATCTTCGAGCTGCATGGAGGCGAATCAAAGGAGGTACTGAACCACAGCCTTGGGGTTAATCCTTCCGGCCTCTGGAAAGTCAATGTATTGAATCCGAAGACCTGGTGTTTCGTGGACGGCGGCCCGTCCAAACCCTACGGTCGCATTGCTGTAAGGATCCCCATCTAGTCGGCCACTAGTGAGCCAGAGAATACTTAATTCTGTCGTAAATATATTGCGCAACTTTTTCCACTTCTTTGTTGTCAATTCTTGGAAGACAGGACTTTCCAGGTCAACGAGGCTGACGACGATAGATCCAGTGTCGACGACAGTGTGATCCAGTTTCTCTAGAGATTCATATGTGAGAACCCGGTCTGTGAATGGCGCCAGCGCGCCTCGTATGTTGTGCACCAACTTCCCAATGGGCTCAGTTTGACCTCCAAGAACTATCACTTTGTCAAAACGTGTAGCTGGTGCTCTCAGTTCAGGATTCCTTATTTTCTCGACACGTTCATCTAATGCCGTTGAGACAAACAGAGTCATACCAAAAGCATCAGAGAAGGAAGGTGGCGACACTAAGATTGTGCGAATTAGTAATTGATATTCAGCGAGTACTTTAAAAGATTCAAAGTAATGTATTAAAGGATAAATCTTGGCAGAAATTAAGCTGCAAAATACTGGATTGAAATGGGCGGGAAGTAGAGGGTGATAAACGATTACTTACTGGTATCGATACCCGAGAAGCCAGCACCCTTGAGAATACTTTCCCACTTCGCAGGGCTCACCAACGGCGAGATTCTGCGGCCCTCCTTGACGCCACACCACCAGCCGGCAAGCCCTCCGAATGCAAAACCAAGACTAACTAGGAGCGGGCCATCGTCGGGCGCCTCTCCAAGAATCAATAAACCACCAGGTTTGAGTAGTTTACGGAGGTTTGCTGTGGCTACATGCAGATTTTCACATGCGTGAACGACCATATAAGCGATGACGACGTCATAGGAACCAACCTCGATGCCCTGTTTATTTATTTGTTAGCGATTATAATCTGAGATGGAAGCGGTCTACTAGAATCATAGGGGACTTACTTGATTGGCTGGATCTATCTCACCGTTATACACCTTGAAGTCCATACGATCTTTCCACGCCGAGAACTTCTCAGCGGCATTCTCGAAGAAACCCGCTGATATGTCTGTAAAAGTGTACTGTTGAAAATTATGGCCGATGGCATCTAAGATGTCCTTGGTAGCGCCACCAGTACCGGCTCCTGTGGGAATAACATCGTAAGACTCTGATCATTGACAATAAAGCAGAAGATGGGCCTGGATAAGGAGAAGAGGAGAGGACGCACCGATCTCAAAAAGTCTGAGATGAGGATTCCGCGTCGTCAACTGTGTCAGCAAATTACCTATCCAAGTTGTTGTTTGTTTCATCCCACAACCATTAACATAGTATTCGTCCAGAAGGTTTGATGTGCGGAAATGTTCCAGCATAGTCGTTTCTCCCCTAAAGACGGCTGGCATAGTTCGTCCAACGAGCAGCAGTATTTTAACGTCCACATTTTCGAAAGCGCTATCAAACGAATTAGCTGGTCGTGTGGGGATGTAGCCTGGTTAATTACTCAGCACCAACCTCTTAGCATGAATGAGATTCATGATATCCTCCTCGGTGTCGTTGAGCCACTCAGTCTGCAATAAGTCATTACCACCTTGAGTGACAAGAGAAGTGACATGTCTAGCAAAATTAAGGTAGTGACAAAGCAGACCGTCAGTTCTTGCTGGACTATTTTCTGCAACCATCTCATTGAATTTCCGTAGATAGAACACGGCGATGCGCCTAATCATAGACATGAAGTCATGATCTTGCTCGGTAATGGGGATGTTGGCAGCAGAAGTCAAGCCGTCCGGCTGGCTCTGCACCCAGTCCATCTTAAAAAATAGGTTCCGCGCATTACCTTCATTGGCAGTGGTGCCTAAGGGCGTGCATGCGGCTTCGTATATCCGAATAGCTTCGTGTGTAAGGCTGGGAGTATACACACTAACGTTACCAGCAAAGCCTTCGCTAGGCTTGCGGTTCGCGTTAAAGCATGACGAATAAACAAGATTTGTATCTTCGTCCAGATATTCTTTGGATGTGAGTACAGCAGCATTCACTCTCAACATTTTAATGCCGCTCAAAACATGTGGTGCATTCAACTGACCATCAGTTGGATGGCTATGGGCCAGGAGAATGGACTATTTATTATACCAACGCGGTCAGAAATACTCATAAGTAAAAGTGGCGTCTTTGGAGTAGAATAGTAAGAGAAGCTCGAGCAAATGTGACCCAGCGCCCAGTAACAAGAGATGGGGATGGGAAAGGTTGTGATAACTGACCTGGAGCGCATTATCGAAATCTACTGGATGAACTAGGAGAGCGTCGGCATCTGAGATTGATGTCCTCGCCTTCTTGCCGACGCAAACAGCTCTGTCTAGCGTTCTTTCGAGCTTGACCATGGAGCGGAAGGGACCAGAAAACTGGAACCCCCGGCCCTTAAGGAAGTCGTACCATCCATTGGTATCGATAGGTTTCAAATATGGTGGTGTAAGGGCACGGTCAGGGAGGACGGTGAGATAGGACTCATCATCTTGTAATATAACCTTAAGCTTACCGCTGGCAGCAAGTACGAGGTCATCCGAATCGCCCCCGAGCGCGGCCGAATATGTAAAGGTAGCTGTGATAAATTCCGGCTTCGCCTGAATCTGGCTTAACTCTATGTGGACCTCTATACCTTTGTCACCCCCCTCGTTGAATGTGGCCAGATGAGGAAATTGTAAGTCAGTTAGGTCAATGAGTTGTATGCTCTTTTCAGCGGCAAGCGATCTGGCTGCTTCGATAGCACTTGAAACGTACAAGGCACCAGGAACCACGGCCATGTTCTGCACTGTATGTGCCTCAAGCCAAGGCAGCTCACTAACTTTCAAAACATTCTTCCACCGTAGCATGTGAGAGGCACTATCTGGAGACATACTACCGAGAAGCTGATGGTAGGGGTCCCGCAGGTGCATGCGGCGAGACCACCTAGACTCGGCCGAGTAGGCTACTTCGTGATTCCACTGATAGGTTGGCAAGTTCCCGAGGACGTTGTATCGTCGATGGTGTGACCGATTATCTCCGGATAAGGCACCTTCGCACCTTTCCAGACTCATTGAGCGGCTGTCTAGGTGTTCCCAAAGAAATCCAAAGCAAGAAGAAAAGGCCAAAACGGCATCATTTCCACGACTGAGAGTCCCATGGTAGGGAATCTTGGTGCCGATGGCTTCCTCGATGGTCTGCATAGCCGGGGTAGCGAGAGCGGGATGGGCTCCAACTTCAAGCACAACAGCAGGAGTGTCCTCATCTACAGACGGAATAGCTAGGCAGGCCGCTCGAACAGCCTGCGAAAACTGTACCGGATTGGTCATATTTTCTGTCCAATATGTGTTTCTTAGCTGATCGGTTGACTGACCCATCGCCCTGCCACCATAGACACTTGAAAACCATGTGCAATGGCTGTGACCTGGTAGATATTCGACACCAACTTGTCGTAGTGATTCAAGGTAGGGATCGACACAAGGAAGCATATGTGTCGAATGGGATGCTAAATTAACCTTAAGCCGCCGATTAAACTTGTGCTCATCATCAAGGATGGTGCTCAGCTCATCGATAGCATCCTCATCTCCAGAGATGGTCAAGCTAGACGAAGAATTGATAGCAGCTACAGTAATACGACCGGAGAATTCTTCATTCTCGCAAAGTTCCATCGCATCTTGTAATGAGGTGCCCACCGCAACCATGGCCCCTTTGATGTTGCCATTTGGGCACGCGGCGTGTTGGCACGCTAATCCGCGGTAATCTGTCATATAAACACGTATTAGTCCAGTTCCTTATTACATACTTTCTGGAATTACGCAGATGATTGTGGTCATGTTTCAGGATCAGAAGTTCACGCACTGCGGCAACAGTCAGCGCTGGAAGACAACAGATCATTCTACCAAGTCTAGGTCTCAGAACTGGCACGGTAGGTTTTGATACATACCATGCGATGATTAAAGCGTCCCGGGAACTCAGAAAGCCAGCAGCGCTGTGAGAGTTAGAGTTAGCTTCTCAACAGGTAGCAGGGATTTTGCGCAATCTCGATAAAGGGTAGGACCGCCTGCTGTGCTGGGTATGGTGATCGCCAAACTGAGAGATGAACGGATAGTAGATACGTACTAGGCAGCAGCCATTTCACCGGCTGAATGGCCAACAACGGCACCAAAGCGTATATTGGCAGAGTGAAGAATATCAACGATCATTATCTGGACCGCTGTGCATATGGGTAGCGAGATGGCGCTTTCATTAATGCGGGAAACGGAAGGATCGGCCATTATTTCGGAGTAGAGCGACCATTTTGGACGATCCTTCTCGGGAAGCACAGCTAGGTAATTTTCAAGTGTCTGGATGGTGCTCCGAGCAAGTGGCGACTTTTCAATGAGCTCGCAGCCCATGCGAGCATATTGCGCTCCCTGTCCAGTAAACACGCCTAGTATCATCTGCCTGCCACCTGTTGATATGCGTGCCTTAACACCAAGAGTTGGGTTACCGGAAACAGCCAGGATGGCCTGTAAGCCAGACTTAAGACTGGCAATGTTTGTTGCGGGAATTGAGATACGATGTCGCAAAACCGACCGGCGCTCCCTAAGTGTATAAGCTAAATCGTGAATATCTGTTTCAGGATGCTCGTCGAGATATGCAACATAGGCTTCCAGATTCGCGCGAAGCGACTCTGATGATGCAGCTGAGAAAACGAATGGCGTTACAAGCTCCGAAATAGGTCCCTCATCACAATGCTTAGCCCTTGGGGCCTCATAACTTTCTAGAATCAAGTGGGCATTGGTTCCACCAAACCCGAAGTTATTGAGACAAGCTCGTTTTGGCTGCTTCTCCTTAACAGCTGGCCATGGAACAGCTTCGGTTGGAACCAGCATATTGACATAGAAAGGCGCAATAGCAGGGTTGAGCTGGTCGAACAACAAGTTGGGGGGGATCGTGGAATTCTGCATTGCCTGGACTATCTTAAGGAGTCCTGAGATACCCGAAGTGGCTTCAGAATGCCCTAAGACGGTCTTGACGGTCCCCATGTAAATAGGAACATTCTGGGGCATGCTAACCTGGTTGAAAAAAGCAGTGCTTATGCCTTCCGCCTCTAATGGGTCTATGAGAGCAACGGTGGTTAGCAGATGGCCCGTGGGGGGGAGATGGTTGGAGGAAGCAAAATTAAAGAAAAAATAAAAGGGGGAAGAGAAAGGCGAGAGGAATAGGCCTTACCGCCGGTTGGCGTTCCGGTGCCGTGCAGTTCAACATACTGAGGCTGGTGAGCTGGGTTGTCTGGGTTAAGACCCGCCTTTCTGTAGACACTGCGGACCAAGGCACGCTGTGCGTCAGGATTTGGTATGGATATCCCTGCCGACGTTCCGTCATGGTTGACTCCTATACCTCGAATAACGGCTTCAATTCTGTCACCATCAGCTAGCGCTTGCCTGAGTGTCTTGAGAATAACAGCCGCCACACCGTCGGCACGCGCGTAACCGTTAGCTGCCTTATCCCACATTCTGGAACGGGAATCGGGTGATACTAGTTGCATCTTGCTAGACACTACATAAAGCTCTGGACTGAGGATTAGATTACTGCCACAGGCCACGACCATATGGGAGTTTCCTGATCGAAGTGCATGGACTCCTTGATCAACAGCAACCAGGCTAGAAGAACACGCAGTGTTCATCGTTACACTGGAACCTGTCCAGCCCCAGAAGTAGCTTATACGGTTTGAAAGCAACGAGTGATTTGTTCCACTGCCATATTAAAATATATTAGTCCAGTTCATTATTATATACTTCCTAGGAGTTCATACATGCTAGTGGCTGTTAGATTATGAGTATACATACTGTAGCAGTAGTTAGCGTTGGAAGATAAGCTATCTTGCTACCAAGTCCAGGTCTTAGACCAGCATGAAAAGGCTTTAATACGTACCCCCTGAAAATGCTTTGGGAGCTGATCAATATCACGAAGAAGCATACCCTCATAATCCGAACGCTGCAGCAGTAAATAGTCAGGACTCAATGTTGGTGTGTTCGAGTTTTGCGTTTGGTTGTTGTTAAGGTGTATCGAAAGTCACGATAGAATATAAGTGAGAAAGGGAATATATTTTCACGGAGGTGGATATTAATGAAAATGCTGGTCTTATCTTACCATAGCACCGACAAAAACACCAGTGTCACTTCCCCTCAATTTCTCGATGCTCAATCCTGCCGATTCCATTGCTTCATAAACGACCTCCAAAAGAAGCCGTTGCTGTGGGTCCATAGCTGCTGCTTCAACTGCGTTGATGTTGAAGAAATTGGCATCGAAACAGTACGGATCTTCTGTCAGTAGATACGAGTGTTTGACATTTGTGTGTCCATGGTGCATCGCGTTCTCGTGGTAAAACCCCTTGGCATTGAATCGGCTGATAGGAATCTCAACGCGGACGTCTCGAGGGTTGCGAATGAGCTCCCACATCTTTGATGGCGAGTTTGCTCCACCAGCAAACCTGCAACCAGTGCCGATAATGGCAATAGGCTCAGGCTGAGACGTGTTGGGAGACATATTGTATTCGACTCAATACAGGTTATCAATTTAGATGTTAATTGTATGGGCGACTCAATAGAAGATGATAATGAAAGCGATATTTTTGATTCTTTTTTTTTTCGGTGTATTCTTGTTCGTATTTTCAAGATACCAAGCAAGTTATGGTAAACAAATAAGCGCCAATGATTTCAAGGTAGCGGAGTGCGTAAGGGTGTATACAGCAGAAATACAACTGTAGAATGTCGAGTCGCAATGCCTTTGACAAGAGCGGTTGGAAGAAGACGGGCCCCAGCTCCATTCTTATACTTGTAGAGACTCATTCATGTAATTCGTACATCATAGAAGAGAATATTGTCATATTAACATCATGAGGTACTTAGATGCTTAGTACCAAGGTAGTGCTTTCACATATCACAATATTGTGATACTTAAAGGGAGCACCGTCAAAGTAAAGATAGACACCCGGAAATTTCTGTACTGTCTCCCAACAAATTCACGAATACTAACCATAAATACCACACAGTGTGTTTGAATAGGAACATTACAATCAACCACAACATGAGAGAAGCCTTAAGAGGTGTTGCTAGTAATCGACATTCTGGCCAAGTAATTTCAGGAATAAGATACATTGCATGCGATGATCAGATCCCCAAGAATTGTCTTTAGGGGGCTTCAGAGAGCATTATTGGTGATTTAATATGGAGATCTACTTTGTAGTGGCTCTCCCGAACCACTTTCGCAGCTTGACTCAAGTAAATGCAATTCCGAAATCTCCGTGCTAGAGGGATGCAATTGTACAAATCGGAGATCTCGAGGAGTAATTTGCAGAGACATAAGGCAAACCTCAATGGCTTCAGTGAGACAGCTCCAGTCGGCGTCCATTCGCCGGTGTGGCATGCATGTAGCACTTCAAGGATGCTAGTACATATATCTAGCTTGATCGGAGATTTCTATAAGAATCGACGTTGGCCGCCCTGTTTGTTCAGAAAATGGAACTTAGGATGCTTGTGACAAGATAGGTCGATCGGACAATATCATGAGCATCGAAGCTGACTACCATGATACCCCCAACATTTGAGACTCGAATCTCTTTCGGCCGAATGGCTTGATAAATGGGTCTGGATATCGCATGGCACTGCGTTGTATCCAAAACAAAAATCAGATGAATGAATACCATTCAATATGATGCTAATGATGATCGATTTTCAAAAAAAAAAAAAAAAAAAAAAAAAAAAAAAACCGAGTACGAAGTAAGGATGACCTTGACTGATTGTATGTTTCTCCACACAAAGTTAGACACAAGATGCAACAAAGTGGAGGGAACCGTATGCCATAAAATCTTCTGGTGTTTGAAAGGTACCCAACGCCGCCGGTGGCAAACGCATGGAGATGACCACCGGTGGACATTATTACTAACAAACCCAGTCGCGAGATTATCTAATCAGACTTGAATACGGACCATAAATCATGAAAATGATCAGAACCAGCTTGGTAGAGATGTAAGAATAAACGCGTGTACATTTGATTATGGTAAACTCAGAAAAGGACCTCAAATGGTTTTGACAGGCTGGAGACTCATAGCCATTACATCATTTTAACAAGGATAAGTCTTCGGGTCTCAGTCAATCACAGGGAGTTTCTATAAACACAACCAACGACGTAAAATTCAGGCTAATTATAAGAGGCTTCTGCCGTCTATAGTGAGTATGTTGTAATAGGTCTCGCAGTCGGTGACTCATGATTAGTTTGGAGAGAATAATAAATTGTCAAAATGATAAAATCTATCCTAGGACGTTCCTATCTACTAACACCAGAAGATCTCTTCTGCCTCCCTCTTATATCGAAACGCCCCCAGCAAATTAGTTAGGGCGAGATGGTCACAACCACTCTATACTTATCAAGTTCACCATCCTTCATCAACTCTAATGCCGTTATAATGCCTTCAAAACGTCCTGGTATCTCCCAAGTTGGCTTTGTCACGATCTTCTCACAATCTAGGAGATTTTGCATCTCCCGTGTCCATCGGGCTAGTATCTCAGACAGAAGCGGACTATATTTGCGTGACCATGCGGGATCTCTCATTTCGATGTCATAACCTTGGACCCCATAGCACATAACGACCTTATACTTAACGGCGCGACGAGTGATCCAGCAATCTGGAAAGGGTTCAAGACAAGCATAGCGACTACCCACGCGATCTAAGCAATCCATGCAAGTTGCGAATGACTCAGCACTAGTGATGCAATCGAGAGCGTACTTTATGGATCTACCACCTGCGAGTTTCTTGATATTTTCAGAACAGGTTGGAGATGTATATGAGACCGTGCCAACGGCCCCGAGTCTTATGGCTCGCGACGCCGACTTATCGGAGCAGACTACAAGAGGAGCATATCCTGAGCTATGACATAGAAATGGTATTAATGAACCCGCCGGAAAAATCACGTACAAAAGTATGGGTGAACCAGAAAACTCACAGTTTCAGCACCTGGATAGCCATAACTCCCGAAGAGGTGCCACCGCCGTAAACTAAAACAATATTGGGTTGCTCGGATGGCTTTGACGGTAAAGCCGGAAGGTTTAGTGCGTCTGGATCAGACATGGCCAGAACAGGAGCCCACCAACTAGCACTGAGGGCAGCAGCTTGTACACTTCCCATAGAGTCTGGAACACCAAGTATGAAGCGAGAATTGGCCACCATGTACTCAGCAAAAGCACCTGTGACACGGTTGACCTGGCAGTACGGCAGATTACCTGATCCGGTGACTCGGGTGCCTACAGCGTGTATCGATTGGGAGCCAGCTTCTTGAACGATGCCACAGAATTCGTAACCAACCCCATTGCCTTCGATATAGTCATGTTTTTGGAAAAGGTAATCGGCAGGATTGAGAGCCACAGTTAGAACCCGCACAAGAACTTCAAAAGGTTCGCTCAACTGTGGTAGAGGCCGGTCATGAGTCACGATAAATGGTAAACCGGAGTCCCTAGGGGGTTCTCTGGACTGGATGATAGCGGTTTGGTTGTCAGGGTACGTCATCCTGAGCTCTGGACGGTTCGAATTTCCTAGACGAAGCGACGGGAACAAATATAATTGATAGTCTGAGAAGCTAGTAGTTGCTCAGACCAGGTGAAAAATGAGGGAATCAGTCTCCGGTATCGGCTTAACGAGTCCTCGTATACGGCAATGTCGAGCTCGAGCTTTACCACCTGCTTTGTAGTAAATTGTTACTAGATTTCTGGTGCTACTAGATCCTCATACATGGAATATGAAGAGGAAAGTTTTCAAGAACTCGTATAGGTATCATGCATCCCATCAAATCCGGGTTTGCATGTGTCCTGTCTCGGGATTATTGACTAAGTGCTTCTATTGTCCTAAACCACTGCATTTCTTAACTTGTATAGCTTCGTAGGTAAGACTAGGAACCACTCCTCAATTCAGTAGACGTGCTAGAGCCAAGGTCAGAATTAAGTTACGAAACAACTGAGACATGCTTCAAGCTAGAGTTTAGGGCTCAACCAATCACGGAAGTAAGCGTTACCTGAAAGGCTAATAACGGAATCCCGCATTCTGTCTCGGAAGAAACTGAGCCATAATTACAATAGCTCGGCTACTTGAACGAGGTTCTACGTACAAGGGAATATTGCTAAGGAATCTCTGAGACCCGCAGCCACACTCCTACGTAGTGCGCAGCTTCGGTCATCACCAGGACTGCATCCAGACGCCTCTATATGTTGATCTTAGATTCGTCTCAGGGAAACATATCATATCATAATTAAATTTTTCTCCACGTCTCACTTTGGTACTGAGCCCATGGAACGGAAGTGATAAACTATTGGGTAAATGTGTCTCATGTCACACATTCTACGGGGCAATTATCTTGAGCATGATGCATAGGTGTGGAAGCATGGGCTGAGGCCGCTGTTCATCAAGGGTGCATACTATTTCCGGGTGAGTTTCTTCTTATCACTTGACTCATATATGCAGATGATATGATCTGATTCAGCGCTCATTCCAGTCGGTAAGTCCAGTGAAGCTATTTGGATGGAGCACCCAAAGTTCTCATTTTTAACCTAGAAGTGGCTGGGATGACTGAAGTACCGGTTAGGAGTTTTGATCTCCCAATCATGCGTTGGAGAAAAGCATGTTACTAGCCAGATACCAATACTCTGATCGGCGATATTGCAAGACATGCATGAAATAATTAGGTAGCATGTTTGAGTCAAGCCATGTTATGGTCGGCGATCTAGAGATATGTATGGTTCCACACTTGCGCTTATGCAGAACGAGAAAGCCCCTAGCATGGGAGATAGTTCTCTGCCAATCAGACCAGAAGTCGACCTATGCTCTTTCTCTTTCTTAAACCCACGGGATTTAATTTACTATGAATTGAAGCTTACTCGAAAGATACGGGAGTAACCTTTTCACCGGCTTCATTACTCTTCTAAAAGCCCATCTGTTTCTACAGTCGAAACCATGGCGCCAGAAAAGACTGTCAATGCCAACCATTTGTCTTCCAACGTAAAAGAGCCTTCGGTGGCTAGCGGTGCCGCAGTACAGCTGTGCACTGAAGAGAATTCTCCAACTGAGAGTCAGTCAAACGCTCACGGAGAGGAACAGACTCATGAATATATTTCCGGTATCAAACTCGTGATAGTCGCCACTGGAATAGCACTGGCATTATTCCTCGTGTTGATTGACACGATAATCATAAGTACTGTATGTTGTTACCTTTTCCCGACACCCTGATACCTGTTAATTGTTCATCACTAAGGCTATTCCGAGAATCACCGATGAGTTCAAGTCGCTGGAGGATGTTGGTTGGTACGCCAGTGCCTACCAATTTGGAGGGTAAGCGGAAACCCTGCGGCTATCGAAAATTGTCTACCTCCAGAAGTTCTAATAAGGCTCTGGACTAGTGCTATACCTCTTCCGTTAGCAGGCAATATATACACTAGGTTCAAATTGAAGGTGAGTTTGAATTGTCCATAACCAAACACCAATCTCAGTATCTGCGTCTGACTATCTCCATAATGACAGTGGTCATTTTTGATGTTCTTCCTTGTTTTCGAATTTGGCTCCGTTTTGTGTGGTGCTGCTAGATCTTCGACTATGCTCACAGTGGGACGAGCTATAGCCGGTGTTGGATGTTCAGGTATTTTGAGCGGAGCCATAACTATCCTTTCTGCTTGTGTCCCTCTTGAGAAGCGCGCCAGTAAGTTGTTACCTTGAATGTGACGCCCTTGTCGATATATAATCATTGATCTATTGTCACAGGCCTGCTCGGCTTCACGGTTGGTTGTAAGTTCCTGCACCTTGACTACCTAGAATGATTGACACTGATGACTGGGGCAATAGCCGGTCAAATTGGCCTCGCTGTTGGGCCGCTCATCGGAGGTGCATTTACCACGTATGCAACATGGCGATGGTGTGAGATTCTCCGGTCTTAGCATTCCTGCGTACTCTATCAAAACGCCTAATTTCACTGTTTCTTGAACTGACATATTTTTGAAGGTTTCTATATCAACCTCCCTGTCGGCGTGCTGGTAGCCATAGCGGTCTCTTTCATCCACATACCAGAACAGCTTCCCAAAGAAAGAGCTTTGCATGTGTTTGCGAAGTTGCACCATTACCTTGATTTAATAGGATTTATCCTATTTGCTCCAGCCGTTCTCCAATTACTTCTTGCCTTGCAGTACGGGGGGGATAAATATGCTTGGAATTCTTCCCAAGTTATCGGCCTTTTTGTTGGCTCCGCGGCCACTTTCCTCGTTTGGTTTCTATGGAACTACTACAAAGGAGATGACGCTTTGATTCCTCAATCAATGCTCCACTCCCGAATTGTGTTGGTCTCTGGCATGTTTCAGGGGCTCTGGTGTTCTACTATCTACATCGTATTATACTACCTTCCTATATATTTTCAGGCCGTCAATAACGCATCTGCGTTCCAAAGTGGCGTTTATTATCTGCCAACAGTTGTGCTTCAATTATTTGGATCTGCATTGGCTGGAGCAATAAGTAAGTTCGTACTACCTCAATAGCTAGGGCCCCTGTGCGTGCCATCAAATAATTAGCAGCAGCTGACCAAGAACTCAGTAACAAAAACAGGCTATCTAGTACCAGTTGGCTTAGTTGCCACGGTTCTCGGAGCGACCGGATGTGGACTATATTCACTCCTACGGCCAGGTACCCATGCTGGGTGGTGGGTTGGCTTCCAGTTAATCTCTGGTACAGGCTTTGGTCTTGGATTATACCTGGTTAGTTAACAATTCTAGCTGGCTATGCCGTGTGTAGTCGTTATAACTAATCTTCTGCTTGATAAAGACACTTTTAGCTGTCCCAGCAGAGCAGCTCCCCTCCGCGATAGCTTTTGTGATTTTTTTACAATCACTCGGACCCTCTATCTTCCTAACCTTAAGCAATATCATTTTCCTTCAGAGTCTCCGGTCCCAGATCAGTCAAAATCTTTCCAGCGCCGACGCTGCAGCTATCATTAATTCAGGTGCAACGCAGTTTCGCGCCATCACCGCCCCACATGATCTCGCTGCTGTCCTGACCGCATATGCAGTTAGTATAGGCCGCGTGTGTTATTTGGCTGCGGCTATTGCCTCTATCTGCGCAATACTCTGTTGGGGATTAGGATGGTCAAATTTTGGGGCTTCAAAGAAATCTACGACAGGAAGCAATACTATTTCAGTGGAGGGCAAAGTATAAGGTGATATATTATCATGGAACAGATTATAAATCTGTGTCCATTAACTACACGCCCAAAGACAGATTGTCACCCGGTTGAGCATCAAACCTGCTACGTTTATTTCCTACGGCAATACAACATGCGCGCTGATGCATTTGCTTTTTATTATTTATCTCCCATCTAAGCCAATTCTTGTCCTGTCTGTCTGCATTCTCCATCTCTGCTCTTCTCCTTTTTCTGGAGAATGGTTTGTTTACAAGTCGTCTCAGAAAGCATACACAAGGCAATACCTAGGCAAATCAAATGTTGAAAACTGGTGCACATGCTGTTTACCACTGAAACTTCTCCCTGACTAGCTCCTCAGACAGCTTCCAGAGCTTCTCGGCTGCAGAGCTCGATACTGAACCAGGTCGAGCTTTGTCCGAGATTTGACAGTCATCCAAATATACACCGTAATTCTCTTTGCAATCTACTGTTTCTCCTGGCCCTAGTTTTGGGTCTAGCGCTGCAACTAAACTAGTTGACGCTCCAGCACCCAATGATTTGACAGCGTAGGCGCCTGAGTCCAGCAAAGCCGTAATAGCCGCAAGAATCTCTGGCGGGAAGTTGCGGGCTAGCTCTGTGTTTATAACACCTGGGTGGACGGCTAAGGTGAGAATGCCGTATTTATCGTACAAGCGCCCGTTTGCCGCAACGCTGGACAGCACATTTGCGACCTTGCTTACGTTGTAGCCTTCAAGGCCGATGTACGACTTAGTTGGCACATCTTTGTAGCCCCACAGGTCCATCATTTCGTAGTTTGGTTGCTCTTCTTCAGGTAGGTCCTTGTTCAGCTTTTCGAAGTTCATGTCGCTCCAACGCATGGTGCATAGCTGAGGCGATGCGGATGAGACGTTGACTACTCGCGTGGCTCCCTTGGGGTTCTTCTCGGCAGCCTTGATGAGCTTGGGCATGAGGGAACACGTGAGTAGCCAGTGTCCGATGTGATTCGTAGCAAAATGCATTTCAATGCCGTCCTCACTAAGAGTGCGTTCCGCGATTCCCATGACGCCAGCACTGTTGACAATGATGTTAATAGTAGGAACATCATTCCAAGACAGAAGATTAGCGGCAGCAGCTCGGACGGACTTCTGGCTAGACAGATTAACGATGAGAGGGCGGTAGTCTACAGTAGGGTATTGCGCCTTGAGCCGGTCAATGCATTCGTCAATCTTGGAAGGCGTACGGCCAGCGATGATAAGGTGAGATGGATCTTGTGATGCCTGGTATCAAAAGTCAGTAGTCCCATAATTATCTCTCATTTAGCCGTTGGAGCCTGTAATGAATGACTCACGAATGCCTGGCATGTGGTATACCCAATACCGCCTGGGTTACAGCCTGTTACGAGAACCGTCTTTCCACGAATACCCTCACTGAAAGCCTTTGCAACTTCGAGGCCTTCAGTGCTGGTGTTGAATTCGGGGTGAGTTATGGCCGGCATAGTGCAGCTAAGCAAGTGGTGTATGCTATATAATATAAAGCAACAGTGAATTCAATGACAATTTGATGACAGATGTAATACAAGGAAGTAGGGGTCTAATCACTCTTGCTAGACCACTCTCTTTTATATTTACTCGTTTGACTTCGTGCCACGTCCACTCTTCCCTTTTCTGCGCAGACTGTGCCAGTGGCATCGCGGATTTACCGGACTTGACATCTACATTCCATAGGATGGAGCGAATCTACTGGCCAATCATCTTACACGGAAAACTGCACGAGATCCATTTCGAGAGACTAGCCAATCAGGAATTGGATTCCCTTTACGGAACAGTTAACTTCTAACAGATAAAAGCATCTCGGAAACTTGGCCAATCAGACACTGACTTCTCTTTCGGGAAAAGTTGGATGTATAAAGCCACCGGAGCCACGGAGATAGAACACAATAGCCCGTTTGCTGGACAGTCGTACGGGGCCGTCCGCATGCGGATGTGGCTAGGGAGCCTCATAAAATAAGATCAGAATTGATGAATTGCTGCCGAAACCTGAATTTTGTTACCACGTGACCACCTCCCAAATAGTACCCCAACAGGCCAAAATACGAAGTTGCCTCCGTAAGTGTCTCCACCGCCCAACTGTTCGCAGCCCTACCCGTCAGTGTGATGACTTGTGTACAACAAGCCTAAATGCCTTTGATACACTAGCTGCACGACGAGAAACTCTTGAGGACCTTGCGCCGTTCTTTATACACGTCACTATGCACCATTCTCCTGCAGCTTGACCTGTACATGCTCAGCCAACTCTCGCAGCGATTTGTGGGGGCTCATTATATCCAAGTACGGCACGTCAACACGGAACTTGGCCCAAAACCAGGAGCGAAATTCCGAGGCGGTCATACTATCCACACCAAAGCTGAGCAATGCCTTGCTGTGGTCAACTTCATTGATGGGCATCGATAGTAGATTGGAAAACTGCTTTTTACATAGTTGCATCACGGCTTCTTGTAGGCTTCCGGCGCTGGCTACGGGCGAGAACGAGGTAGCTAAGCTTGTAGGGATATCCTTGAACCATGGTGCTATGGTTGCGGGCCCTGTGATTGAATCCCCGCCAAGTTGGGAAGATGCTGTATTCGCCGCCTCCTGTGCTGCTTGTATCGACGCCAGTTGTAGCAAGGACCTTGTGTCGACAACTGCACCCTGATGAGTAATGTCGATACCCCGGGCACTGAGTTCAAGAGCCGAAGCCGTCTCTAGACCGGTCAGCATATGCGATTTATTTATACTCCCATCCGCCTCACTCGCCAGTGCTAAGTCAACAATCTGTAAAAAGTCGTCCTCATTCAGCGGCTTGGTGCCTTTGCGTAAGACCAACCTTCCAATCTCGGGGTGTTCGTGGAGGTATCCCACTTCTGAAATCATTCCTAGGCCCACGGACACGCAAGGAAGGCCACGAGACCGTCTCCAGCGTGCAAAGGCATCCAAAAAGGAATTGGCAGAACAATAGTTGCTCTCCGTTGCCACGCCTACGGTACCCAAAAGAGATGATGTAAGCATGAAGAAGTCCAGTTTGTGACCCTCTAAACTGTTGTGCAGATTCCACGTTCCTTGATACTTAGGGTCGATGCCTGTATGCCACGCCTGGGTGGACATGGAGGTAAAGAGAGCCTCATGAAGTCCCATGGCGGCTTGCACTACGCCACCCAGCCTCCGACCGGTTGAGACGCAATGGGTCACTGCAGCTTCAACATCGGTAACCTGGCAGACATCGCCACGGATTACGCAAGTAGTAGCCCCGGCTTGTTCTAATTTGTTGACCAGTTGTTTTGCACTTGGTTTATCGGCACCTGAACGACCCAGGAACACAAAGTGACGGGCTCCGCGAGACATCATCCAACGGCTCAAGCTACGGCCCAGTCCACCAAGGCATCCGATCAGGAGGTATATCTTTTCTGGGTCGAAGGTGCTTGAATAGAGAGCCGGCGAAACTGGTACGGCAGATTGCGGGTTTTCCATAGAGATAACAACCTTCCCCACACGGTCCTTGTGGTTGAAGTATCGATACGCCTGCGCAACTTCAGTGATATCAAAGACCTTTATAGGTGGCGGAGAAATGTCTCCTGCGCGGTACAGACCTATGGTATCAACCATGAGTCTCCTACAAGTAGCGCGATTATATGGATCCTCAGAGCTCAATAGCGTTGATAAGTCAAAGGCTGTGAAAGTGGCATTTCTCAGGAACATGCGCATGTTCAGCCTGCCAGCGTTGACGAGCTCACGCTTTCCAATCTCGACGAATCGCCCAAATTCAGCTAAGCAGCTCTCCCAGCTATCGTGCATCAGGTCACCTACAAGCGAATTGATAATGACATCCACGCCGCGGCCACTGGTTAACTCGGCGATGCCCCGGACGAAGGACGAGTCGCGAGAGCTGAAGATGTGCGATGCTGGCACGCCTAGCTCTTTAACCAAATATTCGCGCTTACCCTGCGACCCGCACGTTGTGTATACAGTCGCGCCCATCTTCCGAGCTAGAGTGATAACGGCGATGCCGACGCCACCAGAGCCGCAATGCACAAGGATCGACTCGCCCTTGCGTAAATGCGCCCGATTTTCGAGCGCGTAGAGAGCTGTACCATATGTGATTGTCAAAGTGGGCATGACTGTGAAGTCTTCATTGTCAAGCAGCGGAAGAACACAGTCGGTTCGTACGCGCGCTGTTGTACCGATTTGAAACGCAGCACAGGCGACGACGCGATCGCCCACCTTCAGCCCGCTAGTTCCGGGGCCGACTGCAGAGACAATACCCGCGAAGTCAAAAGCAGTCGTCTTGCCGGGAGTCTCAACACGGCCAGCCATGACATACACGTCTTTAGCGTTTAAACTGACAGTTTTGACTTCGACATCCACGTAACCTGAAGCAAGCCCCTCGGTCCAACCAGGCTCGCGAAGCTCTTCGAAGTGTATGGTGTCTAGGGCACCAGGGCGGCTGATTGTGAGACGGACAGGTTTAGCCTCGGCCAGCCTCCTTTCCTCTAGCTCGGCAGTCTGGGGGTTCATTCGTTGCCGGAAGAGCGAATTGACCTGGAAGTCGGGGCTGTATCTGCTCACGAAGAGTAGGCTGTCCATCAAGATGTATTCACAATCATCCATTTCCTGCTTGGCATCGAGAGCCTTCACAATACTCACGAGCACGTTGACGGCATTTGGGGGGTCAGTCAACTGTTTACCAACATCCAGAATACTCCATCGTAATGATGGCTGTTCCAGCATAACAGCCCGGGACAGGCCATTAGCTAATGTCAGGTTAGGATTTGGTTCATCCCCAAGCATGTTAGCCCCAGTGATCCAAAGTAGGCTATTTGTATTATCTGTTACACGACGTAGGCGGTTCATGGCTTTGGAGTCTATAACTGGGAGGAACTCGCGTTCAGCCTCAAGCAGTGAAATGCAAAGATCAGTTTCAGCAATCTCTACAGTATCGAGGTGACTTAAACTGATAACACTCGCATCACTTATTCCAACATGTTCCTCCAGGTAGGTTGATAGCATGGTTGCAAACTCGCTCATACTAATTGAGGGAGACTCGTTCTGCTATATATCATATTAAACGAGTCAGTTGATAATTTCAAGCTTAGTTTCAAGACATCTTGAAAGATCGAAAACTTACAATTATGAAAGCTCTGCGACCTCTTCGTATCGTTTCCTGTGCTGTTCGTACAGCGAGAATGACGTGGTTTCTAAGATCCAACACCTCGAACCCCGCCTCCCGGAGAAAAGAGACAGCAGCGTCTGATCTTCGAGTAATAACAACACCATTTCCAGAGACTAACGAGGCAATGCAGCCTTCACGGTTCTTCCAGAGGAAATGATTGTTCGAAGTTGTGTGCTATGGACAAAAGAAAGAAGGTCAGACGGTTGCCCACGAATTCCTTGCTAGGCAGTTGAGAACGCTGGATTATTAACATACCTTAGGTACTAGCACAACACCAAAAGGGCCTTCGATGCTGTCTTCTACCAAAATCTGTCCGTTGTTCCCCAATAATGCTGCGTGCCATGATCGAAATCTCGGGAAAGCTGTCTGCTTACCAAGCATCCTCTGCCATATCTTCGCCTTGTAGCCCTCAGCATCGCCACCGACCTCCAGGATACGTATGCGAGGGTTCTTATGGCCAGCAAGTTCTAGAAGTCCACCGATAATGGCAAGACTTTCGTCATCGCGTACATCTAAATCTTGGCGCTCCAAGTACTCGATTAGGTACCGTGATAGTTGAAGAGATGATTTAGAGTCTATCCTTAGTATGTCAGGTTTCCACTGTACCCTGAGTGTCGGTTGACGCTGCAGAAAGACGCTGGCAGGCTTTACTTTGCCCGGATAAGCAGTCTCACTGGCTTCAGTCTGCTGAGCGATGGAGAGGTCACCCTTCCCATTGTAGAGCGCCAGCCGAGAATCAACATATTCAACGACTAGTGCTCCGCTAGCGTCTCGAAGAGTCTGGAAAAAAGCGTATGACAATTAGCGAGCTCACTATCACCTGTTGCGTGAATTAAGAAAAAGGACCTACAACGTCTATACGTCTACTCGAGAATCCCATCTCTTCAGATTTTGCGTAAATCTCACCCTCGGCTTCGTTCTCAGAGTGTATTGATGGTTGGATGTGAGCTTCGGCAATAAAAACAGGGAGCCAAGCCCCGACCGCGGCTATGTTTCCCGAAGCGCCGCTTAGGACAGCAGCCTGAAGTCCGGCGTCGATAGCAATTGGGTGAACTGGATAGTATTCATAGGTGCTGCCAACTGAAGCGGGCGTGATCCTCGTGGTCGCAATAACTTCGGGTCGCTTTCGTGCCGAATCGGCCCTCATAGTTGTGAGTGACTGAAAATTTGGGCCGAAACAAAGGCCTGCTTCACGCGTCGCGTGATACCATTTGGCCATTGAGGGCCAGAAGTCGAAGCCTTCTGCTTCTTGTACTGTGGCGGAAGGCTTGTAGATCTGCTTACGGCCTTTGGTGATTCGGATGCTTCCCGTGCAGTGAACAATGGACAGATTCGAAGTAGAATAAGAAGACACAATAGAGAAATCGTGCCAGTCAACCGATGTGCTGACCCCCGAGATCTTGCGCGGAGACATAGTAGTGTGTAGCTCGAGTTCTTTGCTGGTATTTTCACTCTCATCTGGGACAGTGAGAGCGGCATTGAATCTAACATTGCGTAATTCGAATCCTAAATTCCTGTCATGGTTGTCTTCAAGCTGCTTTTTAATACCTGCGATTTGCATCACCGCTTCAATGGCCATCGCAACATACCCTGCCGCTGGGAACAGTACACGTTCCCCAAGCTTGTGGTCCTTGATCCATGGCATTTCGTTTGGTTTTAAAATATTGTGCCAGGTAAAGTCAAACCCAGTGTCTATAAGAGCGGCCGTTCCTAGCAATTCGTGGCGAACATGCTTTCTATTGCGCATCGCAGTACTCGTGCGGGGCTCGCTCCATAACAAGCCACCCGAATAATCCCATGGATAGGGTGGCAGTTGGTGCAGGATTTTTGGCTTTCTCGTGAGATATGCTAAATCTCCAAAGCCATTCACTTTTTCAAGCGCTAAAGGGTAGCCTTGGCTAAACAGTTTACCAGCAAGTGCCATGAGGCAATGGTTGGAATTCTCATTTCTCACCAGAGTGGAGAGGTAAGGTAGTGACACCTCATCTACACCAAGAGATTTGCGAATCTGTTGAATAGGGCTTTTCAACGTGGAATGTGGTCCTATTTCGATCAAACACGCCTTCCCTGCGTCTGTAACCAGGTTCGCCAGTGCTGCGCAGAATTGAACAGGCTGCTCAAGGTTGTGACGCCAATACGTTGTACCCATAGTCCGCGAGTTCATAGTCCGAAGGGCGCCGGGGCTGTGACCGACTGATGAGTACATTCGAACCTGCCCGACACCCGAAGGAGCCACTTTCTCTTCATCTCCCATCATTAATTTTTCATTGAAGAGAGGCTTTAGGAGCTGTTCCAGCAACTCGGAGGTCTCTTCCATGAAGTGGCTGTGGTATGCATGCCCTCCCGTCACAAGCTTTCGGACAAGCTTCTGTTGTGTCTGTAAATGGCTCTGTAAAGTTTCGATTGCGTCTATAGAGCCACTAAGTGTCACGCTTGTTGGTGCATTGATACAGGCGACCCGAGCCTGTTCCTGAAGACCCTTTTCCTGAATGAAAGATACAGCTTCTTCAGGGCTCAAAGCAGCCACCATCATTGCCCCCTGAGAGCGCAACTGGCTTACTGCATAGCCACGGAAGTAAGCAGCTAATATGGCTTGCTTCGGGTCGAGAAAATCAGCTGCATAAGCAGCGGCAATTTCCCCAGATGAGTGACCAACTACATATTTGGGCTGAACATTCCAGCTACGTAAGAGGTCGATGAGTCCAATCTGGATCGCAGTACAAACTGGTTGACTGCGACTGGCTTCATTGATGCGGCTGACTTGGGGGTCATCGAGGATCGTCTGCTCAAGCGTCCAGGAGGGCCTGTACAGAGCGGGTATTGTCTTCAGAATCTGATCGAGTTTGCGAATAGACTCGCGGAAAGGAGCGTTGTGAAGCAAGAGATCTTTGGCCATCCCAGGGTACTGAGATCCCTGGCCCCCGAAGACAAAAGCAAAGGGAAGGCCCTTGGTCTCTTCAACTGTGGTTTTCTCATCGGCAGACACAGCGTATCTAGTAATATTTTCATTCCAGGTGGCGAGCAGATAGCCGCGGTGTTGCAGAGTATCGCGGCCCTTAGAGAGTGTGTATGCTAAATCCTTCATAAAGTTCACGCCATCGCCGGATTCTGCTACTATTTGCATAGTCTGTTCAATGAGTGACTTTAGTGAACTGGCCGATGCAGCGGATATAGGCAAAACAAGACACTCTTTACTAATATCCACCAATGCCGCCGAGAAACCATTTATATGATTACCATTGGACACCGCGTCAACAGTGCAAGAATCATCTCCATGAGCTCCGTTCAGCTGAACACCCTTCTGGCTAACAGTCTCGTTACTGAGGTAACTTTCAGTCGACTCCAGAATGACATGGCTGTTCGCACCACCGTAACCAAATGAGTTGATACTAGCGCGTCGTAGAGCCCGGGGCCATTCCTCCAGCTTAGTGGCAATTCTAATGTTTCGCTCGTCTGAAATCACTACACGATTATATCGTTAGCTTTTTTCCTCACTAAAAACAATTCGTTTGGCAAAACCGTCACCCGCTATTGACATTATGCACATACAATTTGGGTTCACCCTCTGAATTCCATAGCTAGGAGCTATTTTACCGGCCTCAAAAGACTTGACAACCTTGATGATAGAGGCAAGCCCACTAGCTGCTTCACTGTGGCCAAGATTCGTCTTGACCTAGGAAGTAACGTTAACAGTTAATTCAAAGCTCTACACATTATGGTATAGTGTTCTCACCGATCCGATAAAAAGAGGAGGAAGTCCCTTTGGCCTGCCGAAACATGTACCCACGGTATTCACCTCAAGAGGGTCGCCTACAGGCGTGCCAGTACCATGACACTCAATATAATCGGTACCTCCAAATTCGAGACCGGCATTTTGATATGCTTTACGTATGACTGCCTCTTGCATCTTTTCGCTAGGCATTGATATTCCTGGTGTCCTTCCACACCTGCAGCCCGGTCATTAGAAAGAAGGGCATAAGATGACGCTTTTGCTCAACTTACGCATTCACGGCAGTACCGCGGATGACTGCTCTAATGGGATTTCCATCCCTAAGCGCATGACTCATGCGCTTCACCTGCCATATCAAAACGTGTTAGTCTGGTTCCTTGATAAATCCTTCCTAGAGTTGCACAGATCGTGATGGTCATGATTTGGTGTTCGAAGTTCACATACTGCGGCAATGGTTAGCCCCGGAAGACAATACATTTAATATCTGCTACGCCCATGTCACAGCTGACACGGCAGGTTTTGGTACGCACCGTAAATTGCGCTAGCAGCTTCAGCACGGCCATATCCGTCAGCCGCCGCATCAAAGGTGTGGCATGTTCCCGTTGGTGAAAGGAGACCAGCCTTGGCAAGTAAAAGATGATACTCAACCGACATGATCAAGTTCGCGCTAGCCACAATGGCACCATCGCAGTCGCCCGCCTTCATCGCATTTAAGGCTTGATGGAGAGCATAGAGAGATGAGGAGCAAGCGGTATCTATCGAGAAGCTGTTGGTGTATAAGTTTAGTTTATTGTGAGTTTCTATGCGAAATACCTGTGAATTCTTACCTAGGTCCGTTAAGGTTGAATACGTGACTAATTCTATTAGACATGATTGTAGTCCCCAGTCCCGCTAGCGAGTATCTATGTAGATAGTCCACGTCTCGTGTTTGGCTTAGTAAATGTTCCGAACAAAAGCTGGCTACAAAGACGCCCGTTTCTGAGCCTGAAACACTCTCCATAGTAGTTCCTGAGCTCCGAAGACATTCTGCCGAGACTTCGAGCAGCTTGCGCTGATGGGGATCCATGAAAGTTGCCTCCAGGTTGCTAATACCGAAGAACTTGTTATCGAACTGGCGTATATCTTTGTTTATGAAATAGCCCCCGGGTACATGTGTACTGCCGCTTCTCATATTGCCTTGTGAGTGGTAAAATCCATCGATGTTATACCTTGCCGGGGGTACTGGACCTTGAGCCGATTTCTGGTCAACAAGAAACTGCCAGAGATCCGAAGGGGATGAAATATCTCCAGGCATTTGGCAAGCTAGATATATCATCACAAAATATCATCAGCAAGTTCTCTATGTAAACAATTCATAACAATTGAATAGTACAAGAAAAATTCGTACCAATTCCTACAATTACTGGCGGGTCATCCTCCCAAGTCGTGGCATTGCCAACGGCCTGAACCAAGCTTTCCGTTTTATTGTCATTTCCGGCTACTGTGCTAGAGGTATCGCTGCTGGTGGCCATGATCAATAAAGTGGCCACAACGGGTTTCGATTTGGGCGTTGATATTGTGGTCTAATGGTGTTTGACGTGGCGTGCTGCATCTGTGTTCTGGGCTCTTGGTCAGGAGTATCTGTGATCGAGGAAATATATGCTGCAGTGGTAAATATATGAGCGTCAGATTCAACTAAATTACTCTGTGAATACAGTAAGGTAAGAGGATATCCTTGCATTTGAATCAACAAGGCCGCCGCGTCTCTCATGCCCCCCTGCCAGCATAGAACTGAAGTGGCATCTTGGTCCTACACAATCCAAAGACCCTGTTTCAGCCTGACCTTGATTTGAATTCGTATGGGCTGCGGTGACGACACTAAAATAGTCTCTAATATTATATAGCCTCACTAATATGAAACATATTGACTGAAGAGGCTAGGAACGGCGACCAAGGTTGGCTAACTAGACGGGATGGATACCAACGGGAATACTCTTTAGACCTTTGGTAGTCATAACATATAATTGTCTCTTGAATAGCTTCAATCTCAGGTGACTTTCATAATCTTGGTCGATGTGCGGGGACCCAATCCCTACGAGCAGAAACCGTCTTCCTCTCGCCATTCCGACAGTTACTGAGAATGAGCTCCATAGAGCTGCGCGCCCGTCCCAACAAGGCCACAGGAATCCCATTGGATATCATTTCACCGCCATATGCAACCGCGTAAGGTTGTATCATCAATACTTAAATCCGATTTCGGCGACTCTGTGATTCACATAGGTCGTGGGGTTCAGTGTCTTTCCTTCGCCTGGTGGCCTCAAGTGCTTCATCTCAGACACTTGCAAATATGACTGAGTTGGTTGAGCACGATTGGAACGGCTGGCGAGTGTGATGTTAGCACCCCTCACAACCAGCATAATAGATAATAGTATTCGGGTGTGGCGCTCAGGTTTAACACAGTGTTTCTGTGCCAGCGGTACGCTCGTATGGTGAAGCCACTCGTGCGATTGTCAATCGTGACTTTGGTCCTGGTTGACGACCACGACAGGGTTGGTACGGCACTCAAGCACGGCAACATTTGGCTTGGCAATAGACTACGGCGATTCTGGGCATCTGTTGTGTTAGGTTTAATACGTGCTAGCTCGCCATTATCCGAAACTTGCAGTTCTAGACAGTCCGCCATCCCAGAAGAAATTATATCAGATCAGGTGAGAATATGATGTGACATAGTGATTGAGATCAGCGTCCCAATGAGCTTGAGTGGGAGAGACATCGAAGGCACCTGCGAATATGAGACATCTACCTTACATCGCCCACTCCAGAGTTGAATAGTCGCTCGTCTTGGGCTTCACGGTTGCTGCTACACTTTCTAGTCCTGATCTGCGCTACTGTATTCTGCAAACCACATGTTACACGCGTACAAGCCGAAAATGCAGTACGCCTTGCACTTTGGCTGTCCGAAAGGCCACTGCAGGCTGTTCATGATCTTCAGAGACATGCAGGCAATATTAGAAAATGAGGTTAAGGCTTCTCTTCATGAAACAAGCCAATGAGACCTGGCCGTCAAGGCTGGCAGACTAGTTGTATAGAGTCGAGTCAAGCCATCAAGGCCAAGAAGGAATTGATTAGTCAAGGCCTCCTGCCGCCCTAGTGGATCATTGTAACATGAATAGCTTCAATTCCAAGTCAGGTCACCACCTACCCTTGTTCTACGCCACGTGCTGAAAGCTGAAGTCGCATGGCACGTCGACATGGCCGTAACTTGGTCGGTTCACCTCATGCCGAGTGTTAGAGGAAATACTTATTAACTGCGGTATTCGGGCCAGAACTCGACCTATAGGAATAAGATGTTTCCGAATAAGAGACTTGTATATGTAGATGCACTTGACCGTAATAATGGCTCCTCGAGTCCAACAATCCACTACATATGTCGCCAAGAACACGCAAGGGCGCGCCCTTAGATCACGACGCTGTAGGTAGGGTAACAGACATGAATTTATATCAGACCTATGCTTAAACCAAGAATGCAATCACAATTCCTTTTGATCCATGACTAAGTGGTAAGCCTTTTATGCGTCAGTTGATTTTGAATGCCTCTCCAACTCTTTAGACACTCGCACTCACTGTCCTGTGCCGTACTCGTACGTTATTGTTATTCCCGTACTCGTAGGCACTGCATATTCCTACCTCGTACCTAAAGCAATCCATTAAAGGGCACGAGGACATCGAGAAATTCTTACTTTGCTGCGTCATTCTCTCATCATGGCATCCGGACCGATCGTTCGGTTCGCAGATTTCCAAGGCAAGCTCATACCTCGACTAAACGGCCTCCGCTAATGTTGAATAGACGTCCCAACCATATTATCCTTCATCAAAGCCGGGGCCGTGGAACAGCATCCTGGCGCCTGCGTGGAGGCCACCGAAGCTGCGCTTGTTAAGGCGCTACACCTCAACCGAGCCCCATCTGATGCGAGAGCTGGTTCTGACATAGATCATCACCCGCAATTCGCGTGGGCTCTCCTAATAGTCGCACCAAATGGAGAAATCGCGGGACTAGCCATTTACTTTTACAATTACTCGACTTGGAGGGCAGCTCCAGGAGTCTGCCTGGAAGAGCTCTATGTGGAGCCGCAATACCGATCCAAGGGCTATGCTCAACTGTTGATCAAAGTCATGGCTAGAGAAGCGGCGAAGATGGGCTGTGTGAAAATGGAGTGGGTGTGTCTCAAAAGCAACGAGCGCGCATTGCGCTTCTATCAAAAGATTGGCGCGAGAGTCATGGGAGATTGGGTTGTGCTGAGGGTTGACGAGAGTGGGATTCAAGATCTACAAGAACAGTTGTGATCGATTATTGAGCTATATAAAGTAGTGACAATAGGCCAATTCGCCGCCGCTATACCCAGTCTGCTTTTTTTCTGATCACGAACAAGTCACCATAGTCTTAGATGAACTAAGTGGACAGATAGAGTCAGCCAAAACTCAGAAAGCAGCCATCGTATACGTACAGGCGGGTATGAGAGCCATGGGGGAGAGTCCATGGCTATGGAGCTAGCGTTGCTCGCAAGCCGGTATGCTATCCTGAGCTGCAGGCGCAGCAACGCATATTGCTGGTACCATCTCGTGACCCTGACCATGATCCTGATCTAGGGTGATTCCAGACAGCGTGCGCAGAATGGACACACGCAGCCACTAGTTCATTCGTATGTCCATATCGTTTACTAAACGATCAGCCGATCCTAGCACGGGCTTGTGATTTCCGTTAGTGGTTTACCGCCGTATTAGCGAGTCCTGTTCAGAATTCATATTTCGGAGAGATGTATCTTCTACATGGTAGTCCATGAACGGCCTCTCGCCCATGCCGAGATCAATCGAATGAACAATACTGGGTGTCCTAGTGCTAGACAAGGGATGAGATCTCGCCTGACGGTTCACATTGGGAATCAAAGACTGCGATTCGAAGCCGTAGATAGGGAAAGCCTCTGCATTCTGCTTTCTAGCTGGAACATTTTCCCGGTGGGCGATCTGAGCCTCACCTGGCTCACGGAGCAACGAGACTCCGCTTTGAGATCCGAAAGGAGTTGCTGACGATTCGTTGACCGCCGTCTGAGATCTCGATGTGAAATATCCGCTCGAGCTAACCGTGGCATAAGGTGGATTGTCATTCTGCAAATGTGAGGTTCCGTTATTATTCAGTAGAGCATTAGTCACCTCGCTCTGTTCTTCCCCAACAACCTCGATACCCCATCTCATTGCCCCATTCTTGTCGTTAAACCAACCTAGCCGCACCTTCGTCCCCGAGTCGAGCTTGAACCTGTCGATAGTCTTCTCTCGGGCTAATTCTAGAAGCCGATGGCTTCCTGCCATAAGCACGGCTACGTCAGCGATGCTATTGATCCGTCTGAGGAGCACAGTGCGATATTTTTGGGACGCGATTGTTAATGTGACCCCTACGACAATCAGATAAGCCAATATCAATAGGCAGATCCATGCTGCAGGTTTAGAGATCTTCAAGAGCTCAACTGAACGAGAGATATGCATCGTGACTGTTTCACTAACAGGCACCTCATCGGCTCTTGGGCTCTTAGTCGTCGGTCCATCGAGATCATCAGGAAGCCTTTCTCCGGGCGGTTGGAATACATAACCACCAGTGGCAGTTGAGACATTATTGCTAGCGAAGTGTTGAAACAGAGCGGTGAACGTTTGCTGGGCTGTGTACTTCAGCGTGTCCAAGTCAAGCAGCGCTTCGTGGTCGTAGTTCACGAGCGATAGCATCGAGTACGTCATCAAGTCGACGTTTAGACCGGGCTGGCGAATGTTAAAAGTTTGATCATCGATGCTTTCGGATTCTGTGTAGAGGTAATTCAGGTTGGTTCCTTGAATCTCATCCAGATCCGCTGCTCCAAGAAGCGCAGTGACAAAGAGGACTCCATGAGACGTTGTGATATTAATTTCAAAGCCAGATAGTGAATTGTTGTATTTGTGCTGTTTGAAATCGTCCGACCATGCATAGAGATCAGGTTGTGGTTCCGCATGAAGCGAAAACTCGACCACATTCCCACCTGCCCCATCGACTGTAACTGTAGCATCTGCTGTCTCAATGATAGGCATGCAGTTCAGAACAGCCATCCGAGGTTTTTCAGCCCACATCAGTCGAGGAAAGCATCCCCCGTCTCTTTGGATGCCACAATAGCCCTCTACAGGTAGACCATGAATCCACTTGATCGTGAAGTTTGTCGGCCATGCTCCGGCGAAGTCGGGGTAGGACGACCCATTCCGCAAATTGGGTGACCAATACCCCACCGAGCCCGGGGTTATCTGCTCATTGTCGGTCTTGTTTTGGCAGCATTGGAATCTCTTGTTGTTAGCAAAGAATGTTGAGTAGTTCCCCTCGACGTTGGGTTGTTGGTCTAAGTAGAGCAAGACGTTTTCAACGCCAGTACCGTTGTACCCATCCCCGGACAATCCGAGTTCAAAGCCACGAGACAGGGCTTTTGCGTCCTTATCTCTAACCCATTGCGTACTGTTAGTTAAATCCCATTCAGTGAGCCAGGTCTTGCTCTCTTCCAGATTCAGGTGCTCGTATGGAGAGCACTCAAGCCGTGCACGGATCGCCGAAGTCTCTATAGTAGCATTTGTTGGATATTTGGGTGCCGCCGTTTGATTTCCCGTGTTCTGAAGCTTTGTGGAGGGTACCATAGACAAATCATACGGAACGAAACTCCAACCTCCCGAACTCCATGGCGGTTCCGATCCGTTAAGCGATGTCTGTACTGCGGCACCGTATATCCACGATGTCCTCATGTTCTCAAATAGTTCTGCAAGAATAGTTTTCTTATAATTACCTGCGTGGGATGTGAACTGCTGGGTCCCGGCTGATAGTTGTGGAACTTGCCGTAACTCGAGTTGTCGCTGTACGTCTACTTGAAGCGGTAGCGTCCCAGCCTCTCTAGACCAGAGTGATGACATCGCAATGGTAACTGGTGGGGTCAGAAAAAGGGAAAGACGAATATGTAAAAGATGCAATTGAACGTACGTATCTCCGATAGAAAGGCGCCAGTGCATACCAGAGCTAACACCCAGTGGCTACGCTTCAACGCCCTCCAAGCTGCCCACAGTAGATATGAAGAAATATATGAGATCGAGACTCCTTCTGAGCTAGACCTGGTGATCGGCTTATTCGCAAGAACTAGGTATGGTTGGATTCTCCGAAGTGCTGTGTCAAGCGAGCCCCACCAGAGGCCAATACTGACTGCGACCAGAGTTGTGATAAGCGAAGCTGGGTTCACATCCCCCAGATCAAGGCCGCCAACAGAAACATCAAAGGCATATACGAAGGCAGTTTGATAGAGCCCTACAGCATCGGAGTACCAGAAAAGATAAGCTACTGCGGTTAACACAGCCGAAAGTAAGAAGATAAGTATGACAAACATCCACATCGAGAAGGTGTGCGATTGCTTTTCAGTGTGGGCAGAATTCAGAAATGTAGGCTGATGTGACCCTTTTTCTTGTGAAGTGGACTTGTTGGCGGTATCCTGAGGATATTCACCAGTAACGAGACGAATTCGGCCTTGGCTCAACAAATATCTTTTATCCGACAACGAACATTCCAGTTCTTTTGAAGAAGCACTATGTAAGCTGTCGAGTGACTGTAATGTGTTCGCTTCATTCGAGATTAATTTTGCTACGCGGATAGGCGGCGCGGGGTCCCCAAAGAGCCCCAGTGGTCGCCTGGATAGCCGTGTGGTAACGAAAACAGTAGACAAAAGGATTAGTTGCAGCAATAGGGATGTTTCCAATATTATAGCCACAGCAGATACGGCTACCACTCGTCGTTTCGTGTCTGCGATAGTCCCGGTCGTCTTGACTGCGTCGCTTATGGATGTAGTGTCAAAGACATCACGCAGTAACTCGCCAAAAAAGCGCTGTTTCACACGCCCGGCATTTTGTGTAAAAGACGAGTCGGCCGCCATTTTCTCCGGGGAGAAGTCGTATAGTGCTGATAACATAATCGCCGGACCTGAAGCAAAAGCACGCCGGCTTCCCAGAGGCTTTCTTAGATGCACGTTCCAGTTCGTGTTATTCAGAAAAACGCGCTGGAATGATGGCAGGTCGGCAACGTTATTAGGAATAAGCTCGCGAACAGACAAATATTCGAGCTCATCTACTTCTACCAAGGAAGCGCTTTTGGAAAGTGTGACGGTGACGCTAGGATTCCCCGTGAAATAACTCGTTGTACAAGCTTGGCCTATCACCGTAGCATTTGCGAAAGTAGCCTGGTAAAGAGATGTGGAAAGGAAGATAATTTCGTCCTGCATACACCCACTGATATTCAACGGGCTGTCAAAGCCCGAACCAAAGGTAGTAGTACTATTGATCTCCCGCAAGTTAGACCATACTGCCCCACCAATACCAGCGAGGTCTCCCCCATCAAGGAGAGTCAAGTTAAGAGCACATCCTGATGGAGATAAAAGCCTAACTCTATGCGATGGGATTGTGGTGTTCAATTCAGGTGTAAACCAATCCACAGAAACAAACTCGACAAGGTTCATTTGCTCACAGTTAACCTCGACGTCAAATACCGTAGTCTTTGCTGACCACGTCTGTACCGAATCAGAGAGTATTGGCCCCAACGGTGCGCTGCCCATCGTTGATGGCCAAAAAGGTAGCACAGCATAGCTGTCGGTGATCCATGCCGAGGTTGTGACATTCTGAAGAAGACTGCTCACGGTGCGGAAGTACGTAGTACCTATTGGGTTACTTTGAAGTGGTAGAGCTGAAGATATGTCAAGTTGAGAAAATGGTACTTCCTCGGCGAAAAGGACGTCCTGGGAAACGAACAATGTCGAGGAGAAAGGGGACATGACCAGGAAGCTGAACATGAAAGCGACAGTGGCGCATAACATGGCCCAATCGGTCTTCTTCACATGGCGCTTTGGCAGGCTCGATAGGAGGCACTCCCACCAGGCATCAGCTATCCAAGTAAGAGACTGTGCGGCCGAGGCACCAGATGGTGAAGCGAGATTGGCGAATGGCTGTGTGCGCCGGACATCGTTGAGCAGTATCGACAGAAGTATGCCTTGAGAGACAGCGAGTAGTGTCGGGACCAATTTCGAAAAGATGACGATGCTTCCTGACCCATCGTCGGCGACAAGACCCTTTCGGTGGGCTGATATCGCGTGAGCGATTACCACCAGGATCTCCAACACAGCGGTGAAGGCAAGGATGGATGTCAGACAAAGCCAACGTAGTGTATACGGGAGCCAAGTCGGTGTCGCCCCAGAGCAACTCGAGTCGGGGCTTGCGTTCGTTTTATCAAAGGCGGTATGGTCAACTTGCGCGGGCCATGACGGTGTCGGGATATGGGGGACATCTGCAAGATAGCGAATGGTACCGCTTGCCGACGACTGATAGTCCGCTAAAGGATAGTATTCAGCATTAGCATCTTCTTGGGCATGCGGCAAGGCGCGGTATGAGGGGTGTGGACGCTGAGTGAAGGACGCAGGCATACTGGAATGGCCTCGTCAATGAGGTGTTCAAGGCGAGGCCAGGTTCCGCATATTATTGATCAGATTGGGGGGATCCAGGGCCCAGAGTCCTTGCCAGGTGGTTTCTTACTTTCTATTAAGTTTTTCAAAGAGTAGGTATGAGTGGCGCGACACAGCAAGGATGGGATGTCAGTGAGATCAATGCGCGGGGCGTCGCGCAGGATAGGGTTAGTCAGTAGAGACGCCAAGATACAGGCATCAACATGTTTCAAGAGAGCAGGGAAAAGGTGACAGACTTATGTATAGTCTAGTCTAGATCTATTTATATATGTATATATATAGTTCAGAATTACGAAAGCGCTGATCGTCAATATCTCGTTCATCTCAAATTACTGAAGTGAGCCGTGTCACTCCTTAACGAATCGACGTGGAGATACGCATTGGTGTTACGTATTGTCCAGATCGTGCCTTTCCAACAGCTCGAGACTCGTACTCTTTAATCCGGCTATAGTCTACTGTTGATGGTTCAGATATTGCTATCTTTAGCGAATTTGAACATCATATCAAACGAAAGTCAAAATGTCAATATCGAAAAGCAAGCTTAGGGTTTGATTATGCAGATAAAAAAATGGAAGATGAATGTTACTCAGATATTAAGTAACAAGAAATCAAAAGGAATCCTAATTTGAATAGCTTGATTATTTCACTATTGAACATCTTCACCGCGGGTGTCTTTCCAATGGGTATATTCATCTCATTTCACACATTCATTGCTTGGCCCTACAATACGTGTCCCACGCCTTAAAGGCGAGTCTCACCATCTCAGTATACCGAGTCACGTCGCCTTTTTCTTTTTCAAGTCCCGCGGCCACCATGTCGAGCGTACCGTAGATGAAGAACTCGAAATACTCGGGGCAGAAACTGGCGCTCTCCCAGTCGATTATACTTATCAAACCGTCGCTGCGCAGTATGATGTTCTGCGCCTGGAGGTCGCCGTGAGTGAAGACAGACGCGCTGTGTTCGGCGCTCAACACGAGAAATTCGGATTTCAGACCTTCGATGGCGCGCCGAGTTGGCAGATTTGCGCCCGAGAATTGAGCGGCAAAGTACGCTGAGAGAAACTCGTCGGCTGAGGCGAACGGTCCCGCTGGCCGCTTAAAGGTCCATGTGTGCGCTAAGTATGGACGACCACCTGGTAGTCCGTAGAAGCCCGGAGAGGGGATTTTGGTGCGGAGTTCGCTCAAGTGTTGTCTCAGCTGGGCTGCGATGAATGCCCTTTGCTCAGAGTCGAGCTTTCCATAGCAGTTACTCAGAACCTCTCCTGCGACGTACTCCATGATGATGACTTTGTCGCCGCTAGGTTCGTGCTGGTACATGGCGTATAGTATCGGAACGGGTATGCTGGTGTAGTGCCGGACGATCAGCATGTTTTCGCCTTCCATGAAATCAATGTGCTTACCATATTTTACTATGAACTGCTCACCGATTTGGAGGACGTCACGTGCTCGTCGTCGTTGAGATGGCGTTTTGGAAGATGCGTGGGCGACTATCTCGTGGTATGTTGGCAGTGGAGCAGGAGCCGGTGCGAAGTACGGAAGTTCAAGGGGGGTGTATGAGGCCATTTTGTGGAATGTATTGCTGCTCAGAGATGAAATAGCATGAATGTATGTTTTAACATCGATGAAGTGATGAGTATACCAGTAGCCGATGTCTGGAGCTCCAAGTACAACATGGTGTGCTCATTCTTAGAGGTTTGGGGGGACTACATAGTCTTTAAGAACACTTCAGCTGAACAGCCACAGCCACTATTCTCTAGATATACTGAGAAACCCAAGCAGATGTTCAAGACACTGTAAAAATGGTGATTACTCCTCACACTGGGAGCCATCTATCTCCGTAAAGGGTTGCTAGGCCGCTGTGCTAACGCAAAATGCGTTGGCATGCATGTCTCGGTGACCAATCAGAAAAGGGGGAATCAAAGTGAGGCTATTCAGCTCTTCGCTGATACGAGAGGCATGATGGAGGGCGTCACGGAAGTTACCTAGGTAGGAATCCCGATATAGACTTGTCTCAATCGACCTACACTGGCTCTGCAGCCGGAAGTTCTCCAACTGGAGGGTATCGTGACCCATAGTAGGACGTCCAAGTTGTAGCACAATTCACTTTTGCATCTTTTCACCCATGCAACTTTTAGACTAAACAAGAAGTAATGAACACTACAATAGAACAGAGCAGGTAACACGCCACAATTTAATCGACCGACCTCACATGGTTAAGGAATCGCTCATTAGCAAGGCTGCCCTTCTTACCCCTCTTTTCTCCATCTGTCTCACATGGGCCACTCCACAAACAAAGAAAATCAAGCCACTTAGGCAGCAAGATGTATTGCTATCTCATAGAAGTCAAGTTTCACAGTCATAACAAGATAGTATAAACCAAAGCCGTGAGAGAAGGCAAGGTCTAATTTGTTACACGCGTTACGTTACATATGCTGAACAACTTCGTCTTCGTGTAGCATGCAGGTTCAGGGTAATATAAGTTGTTAGACAACCTCGGTGTATAGCGAACCGAGGCTATTTGGACCGTTTAGATCACGGTCATCCATCTCTTACACAACCTAAAGGTAATCGTTACACGCGTGCACGGCCGACGACGTAGTTTGTCCGCCGGTACGGGCGTAACAGTGCCCTTTATGAGACATGAGGTTAACATATAGATAAAGCGAGGTGATACGGGCCATACTAGTATGAGCCATAGTGACGGGCGCTAAAGGTTAGCGATTCCATGCCCTGTCACCCGCCCTCCATAGCAACGCACCATTACACCGCGAATAACTCTAACTCAAAGCCTACTACTACGTATACCCATCACCTACAATTTCATGCCAAGGTTGAGCTTAGAGTTCATCAATATAGACTTATCAGGCTTACATCCATGAGATCACGAAGCTTCTGGTTGCGCGGAGTTTCTTTTGATATGGCTAGTCACGTATTAAAGAATCTACTGTCAGACAGCTGCCTGATCTATGTTCCCCGATGTCCGCTCTACCAACACACCTTGTACCTCCTACTGATGCTAAAACAGTGACGATCTCAGCTGAGATTACCCTAGTCCACATACATGTATAGTCAGCTTCACATCCTATTCCAATCCCACGAACGTTATTTCGATGTCCTTTCTATTCCCATCACTGCTATCCCTAATTCCTTTTGGAACCCGATGTTTAACACTACGTCACTCGCTTCAGAGACAATTTTCGCTAGCTCGAGTTCACAGAGAGAGAAAATCGAGACATGATTGATCATTTACCATTACTCGCCTCATCCATGAAGAAATACATACCCTAACCATTCTCAACGCCCAGAATGACCCTTTTTGCATTTTCCCTGTCTCGTCACGAGACATGACCGACAAGAACCCTGATCACTGCAGGAGTTATCCCATTTCCCTCTAAAACCCACCTACATCGTATAACTCGCATTCGCCTTTCTATTGGGTAAAGAAACAATTCTCGCTGAACTTTTTTTTACTTTTTATTTTTGCACCTTACGTGACAGTGTACCCACCGTCGACACGCAGATCCGCACCCGTGACGTACTGACTGGCGTCCGAAAGCAGGAAGGTGACGGGTCCCATAAGGTCGACGGGTTGTCCCATCTTGCCTTGTGGGATCAGTGATGTCCATTGCTTCTTCAGATCCGGGTTGTCGTCAAGAATCTTCTCGGTCCTGTTTGTTTCAGGGTCAGAAACATGCCACAATGAAAAACAAGGTGTAAATTGAATGGAGAAAAGAGGCGGGGTTATCCAAATAGGGCGGACGGGTTAACTTACAGGGCTGTCAACATGTAACCTGGAGAGATGCAGTTCACCCTGATACCGGCGTGCGCCCACTCAACAGCTAGCGAAGCGGCCATGTGTCGCACGGCGGCCTTGGCGCTGTTGTAAGGACTGAAATAGGGGTCTCATTAGCTCTTGATCCTCCAAGATTGGCCGATATATTTCGACACATCCAACAATATTTGTAGAAAGTGGATACCGAGGGTAATGCTTACGCTTGAGGTTGTGGCACGTTGACGATGCTACCACTCATGCTGCCGATGAACACCATGCTACCATTGGCCTTGCGCTCCATCAGGTGCTTGGCGATAGTCACGGCGAACAGATAGGTGCCATCGACGTTGACGGCCCACAGTTTACGCATGCGGTCAATGGGATAGTCGACGGCGTTGTAGTTTTCGGTGAAGCCGGCGCTGGTCACAAGGTTGTCGATCTGACCGTGCTCCTTAATAATTTCGTCGATGCACGCCTGCACCGAGTCGGCGTCAGACACGTCCGCGTAGTGAGCTGTCACCTTGGGGACGCGCGCTGAGCCTGGATTCTCCCTACGAAACAAGTCGATGAGCTCGACGGCCTGCCTGTCTGCTTCTTCCTCTGTTTATTTTTGTCGTTTAGCCAAACCATACTGATATCTAAACTTGACGCTGGTAGGAGAAGTACGGGAAATCACGCCGAGGTAGCCGGTGTATGGAGGCGGAAAGAGAATGACGGCACTCACTGTTCATGTCAACGATGGCCAGATTGGCGCCGCTGATAACCATGCCTTGGCCCATGACAAGACCAAGGCCTCGAGCGCCACCGGTCACGACGCCAACCTTGCCCTCGAGCGAGAAGGAAGCGAGCGTGCGCTTCATGTGCATACCACCGCGGCCGGTGACGGGGGTCGAGGGAGGCAGCTCGCCCTCCTCGGGATACTCGACAGTGATGGAATCGTCGGTACGGGCGAAAGCACCGGGTGCGGGCACCCGCTTATCTTTGTTGGGCGGCGTGGCCATGGGCGGCTGTGTGTGTAGGAATGCCGTGGCCATGGCGGGAGATGCTGTCTGGCGGGGCAGCGCAGCGCCCGCTGAGCGCAGGGCTCGTGTGGATGTGCGCAAAAATTGTCGGGATAGCATCTTGCAAGTATTTCTGGGGTGTCAATGGCCAATTGACCGACTCTGATGTTACGTGGTGACGGGAGGACAATGAGAGTGTGAAAGGTAGGTAGGTAAGCTGGAGGATGATCTCTCGTCTCCGGATAGATAGTAGAGACAATGACTTGCTTGCAGCAGAAAAGTAGGGAGGAAGTAATTAACAGACGAATATGAGCTCAATTGAAATATGTATTACGGTGTGTCGCTTGCGACGTGGTTCTGGGGTAAGACGCAAGTTTCTTCGAGGTCTGACAGCTCGAGATGGGAGGGTCGCGATGACGTAGTGCGGCGATTATCAATGCCCTCAGAAGTATAGCTGTGAAAACACGGTGCAGCAATGGCTATGCCAATCTCGCCGAAGATCAGGGACGGGACGAAGAGAGACGAGCAGGACGGCAGTAGAAAATGAGAAATAAGAAAGAAAGAAAGGAGATCCGACAGAGGGGATGATTGATGGGTTGACTGGGCGGCTGCTGGAATTTTAAGAGGCAGGCAGTCGGTAAAGAACGAGCTGTGAATGACCCAGTCAGGGCATCGTCCCCTATCCCATATTCTATCTACTTACGTATGTATATACTTCAGTATCGACTTACCGCTTGCTAGCTGACTGTGACGAGGTTGGTACTTGCTGACTACTACTATCGACTACCTATTGAGAAGTACATGGTTGCTGTGTCAGGTACGAGAGAAAAAAAACTCACGATCCTTTTTTTTTCTTGGTCATGCCTCAGAGTACATAAGTAATGTGAATAACAAATTTTGGGTCCTCATGTGAACATTCCTGCAGATCCAACTGTGGACCATCCCTGTACACCGTCCCCTACTGCAGTAATAGGTAGGTATCTGCACTGCCGCAAGAGCTCTCAGAGCTAGCTCTCTCCCTGTCTGCCCTGCCTATCCGGAGAAGACGAGAGCTAGTGCCGAGCGTGGAGGCGGCGGGCGCGCAAGTCTAGACTCAGTCGAGTAAATGGAGGGGCAGAGGGGCGTCGTAATCACGAACGCACACACAGAGACTAGACGAGACGAGACGAGAGCATGGATGGTCCTGACTGAGATGGCAAAAAGAGGCTTCTGCGGCAGAGGAGAGAGAATGGATGCATGTGGGCAGTCTCTGGGCAGTCTCTGGGCAGTGTGGGCAGACGCAGAGAGATGTGCACGATAGAATGGGCAAGATGAGCAACAAGATGGGGACCTCTGGTGGGGGCAGTGGGCTGAAGGTGCACAAAGGTGGGTGAGACGACGGATCTTGGCGACACACTTGCTGCATTCCCCATATCTGCCCATATTCTAGACAAGTCGGAAGACCAGGGATAAGACCAGGAACCTCGTTAAAACAGTTACTACATAGTATGTAAAGCACAAAGACAGACCTGGTAGACGGGAAAAGAAGACGGCAACGAGAGGGGAGGGGAAGAGAATGAATCGAGTAAGGAGAGCCATGATAATTCATTTACTGACTTACTTCCCAGGTCATAGCTCTCACACCATATTGTAAATGCCAACAAAGGCAAGAAAAGAGACGATGATCACCACCTTACCCTCTGATCTTGAGCATGGGTAGGTAGCTCACTAGACCTCAACTCCAGAGAAAAAAAACTACAAAATACTTTTAGTTTCTAGATCCGAGCAGTACATACACAACACACTAGAAACAGAGGGTCTTCTAAGTATTCCACACCCTCGGCACACACCGAGATGTGAAATGCTAGGGAGCTAGCATAGCATGGCATTTAGAAAATAGTCCTTGCGACGTCTAAGTACGGTATAATACCCAGGTTCCCCATCAATCCCGCAGCTATAGCCTCAAGCTAAACGCAAATCCTCGAATCCGGATAACACTACCCTCTCTCATATAGTAATTCCTGCCACCGCGGATTACTTACTTACCTACCTACTGTGTGATGAGCCCATGCATGGTTACTTACGACCCCACGGCACACCGCATCTCGGCGCCGCGCAATCGCAGCGCACTGCGCTGTTATGGGACCGTATTCGTTTCGTTTCTCGTCACCACGTCTACCGACTACTTGCTCGGTATCTATCTATCTACCTACCTAGGTACCATAGCATCTATCTAGGCGTCAATCATGCGGACACGTAATTATATGTAGACACTTATTTCCCTCTGTTTCGTTCACATTTCATGCGTGTAAAGTGGGAAGCTACATTTCTGCAGTGGCATCCCTTGCCCCCACGTCCAAGTGTAGGTAAGTAGGTAGGTAATACCTAATACCGATCAGATAGTCGGCACGAGTTTCAATCCAGGGGTTCACTCCGCTCCGCATCTCGGAGCTCTACTTAGACATCACATCACCCGATTACTATCGCTACTTTACATGATACACCATGTGTATCCCGTTGTTTCCAGGATACCGGATCATCATTCGTCTCGGCCTTCATCAGGTAGGAGTAAAAGAAACGTCATGGTTCGCTGGCCTTTCCCCATAGGTCGAAAATGAATATACATTGATTCAACACATAGCCTAGGGCGCGTTCATCCTCATTCAACACACCAAAAACCTTGGAATTTTTTAATCCTCGCCAAAGAAAGAGAAAAGTAATAAAAGAAGAGGGAATGGAAGAGACTCCTTACCCCGCTAGTTTGCAAGGTAAAATAATGAGGTATCATGGACAATATGGACAGTATGAAAAAATTGAAAAGAATTCGAGTCGAGTTCCCTTCCCCTTGCCCTTTCGAAAAGCCATGCCGACGACCTTAGCCCGACGTGTATCCAATGTGTGCCTACATGAATTCTCGTAGCTCTGGGATAAAAACGTAACCGATTTTGGACCCCATCAATTACTTTCGTAAGTTTCCAGCACTTGTTATTAACCCCTGCGAGGTCAACGAATATCCAAACGCCCTCCTCCTTTTGACTAAAACCCTGCGCTTCTTCTTCTTGCTCGCTGCTGACGTGCCCTACTCGTCTAGCTTGAACATGCGACGCAGCGCCCCGAACTTCTTCTTCTTGACCTGCACGCCAGAGCTATCGACACTAGCACTCTCGAATTCGTGGCTCTCCTGGTTGAGGTTGGGGTTGGGAGTGGTCCCAAGATTGAGGCTGAGGCTTCGTTTGCCATCCAGATTTGGGCGCTCGACGGTGCTGGTTGTAGCTCGACCAAGTAGATCCCCGGCAGATGTCGGCCGCTGCAAAGTCTTACCCTCGTGACGGCTTATGAACGTCCTTTTGTGCAGTTTTGGGCTCGACGGCTGGTCACTACGCAAGCCCTTCAGTTGTCCTTGGTCTCGTTCGAGTCTTGTGTCACGACGTGCCGCGCTATCCACGAGTTCCGCCCGCTGGATTTTGCCACCCTGATCCGCTCTTTTGTTGAGCCTCAGTCTCCCTAGTAGTGATCCGCGTTTGGCTGGGGGTGCAGGGGATGTCAACGAAGGGGTAAATCCGCCTCGACCAGATCTAGACCGGCTCAGAGTCGAAGTGCCTATAGCTCCTGAGTCTCGTCGTTCTCCCATGTGGTTAGCAACATGACTGGCTGCTACTCTACTCTGCGGGCTGCGTAGTGGACTCGGCATGTCATCATCACTATCGGGCAACTCGGGCGAGTCTTCCTCTAGTTCTGGTACAGGAGCTGGCCTCGAGAAACTAGGTGCCGTAGCAGAACTGCGTAGTGTACCTTTCCCCAGAGCCTTGGACTCTTTTGTGGATGGAGGATGATCTTTCTCGTCGTCGCTCGAATCATCTATGCGGCTTCGAAAGCCGGTAAATGTTCCCTCGTCTTCATCGCTAGAGTCTTCAAAGCGGCTTGTGTATTTTGAGCTCTTGGAAGCTGACTTTCCGGATCGCGTGAATAAAGGAAAATGCACAGACGACCTTTTGCTTTCATGGCTGGATTCACTATTGGACCGTAATGTGCGCTTCAGGACACCCGGAGAAGAAGTAGTAAAGCTGGCGTTTGATCCAGGCCGAGTGGCCGACCCGGTTGGGGATAGAGACCGCAAACTGAAACGTCCTGATCCCCCGGTGGGCTCGTGGCGCGGCTGAGCAGGTGAGGATTGGCGCATCGTCTTGCGAAACGCGAAACCACCACCAGGCGAAGGACGGTTACGTTTGAAACTGCTATCGCTAGCATCAGATCCTCGTCGCTGTAGGGTGGGCTTGATTTGTGTACTAATTCCACTGTTCGAGGTTGGCTGGGTTGACGAGCGCGCTCGAGCTTTTGTAGCTTCATGTCGACTCGAAGTTGATGACTTGGGTAGTATATTTGGACCTGCTTCCCGAGGCGATGGTTTTGCAATAGTTTGAGTTCCTCCATTGGACCGTAACGATTTACGCATACTTGGTCGAGGCTCTGTGCTCGCGGTCTTGGTGGCTTGGCCTTTCCTAAGGGACATTCGCATGCGAGACTCTGGCTGTATGGGGTTCACTTGGGCCGGGAAAGTTTTAATTGGCGATTGTGTGACCTCTGAAGACTTCCTTCTGCTACTATTTCTCCGAATGGGTTGGGAGGCTTCTTCTCGGTCACCATCTACGCCTGCTTCTTCCGCTGCCTCGAGTTCAAGCTGACGCCTTTTCTCAGCGGTTAAGCTACGCCAAAACGCTTTTGCTTGCTCCCAGTCATCTGCACCTCCGGGTGGTGTTGGCTCAGTTTGGCTAGCCAAACTGGCTTCTGTGACAGCATCGCGCTCAGGTTTGCCCACAGCGACGGGCACTAGAGAACTCCGTGAAATTGGTGAGCTGCTATTCTTCGACTCAGCAGTATGATGACTTTCAACAATTGCATCCAAGGACATGAATCCGCCGGAATCAAGATCTGGAATGTCTTCATAAGCGTCACTATAGACGCTCTCGTCCGACTCATCTTCATTGTCAAAAGTTGCCACAGGTCTAGCCGTCTCGAGTGCAGTCTGAGGTAAATGCCTAGCCCGGTCGGACGGTACAGTTGTAGCCGTAGGCTCCATTATAGCCACACGGGCCGTTTCCCTGGAGGCTTCGATCTGACTGCCCGCACTCGCATCAGACCCATAATCAGGAAAGCCACCGGGAACATCAAAAAACGGAGTTGATGAGTCGTTTGCAAGAGAACCATGGTCAACGGACATAGGGCTTGGTTGAATGACTGAAATCTCCGGAATATCCTTTTGTTGTGTAGTCGGCGTCTCAGGGGGTTGCTCATCTTTAGTATGAATATTGCTAGTGGTTTGTGTGTGTCGATTACTGTTGTCTTTGTCTGACTGTTTTAGGGGTGGATCTGACGAGGTTGAGTTTATGCTTGAGATGCCATGTCCAGTTGTGCTGTCGGGATGATCTTCGTTATCCGAGCCCTGCATGCTATCTGAACTGTATCCAGACCCCTCTATAGAGGTAACCACTGGAGGCAACGGTTCCCTAAATCGTGAGATATTTGCTGCGTTACGCGAAGTCTGATCATGAGCCAACAGGGAACCAAGAGCATTATCACTGGACTGGCCCAAAACAGAATCTTCCGTAAATTCCGAATCGTTCAGTGTGCTAGAACTCTGAGGTCGAAGCTCAGGTGAGGGCGATCTAGCGGGTGAATGAGCAGGTTCAAGCGGCCGGACAAGGGGCCGTTCTCCAAGCTCTCGGTTCTTCTTCTCTCGAATACTGCCAAAGCTTGGTAGGGCCGGTCGTGGTTTCATAATTTCATCGTCATCTAAAGCGATATCCTTCTTCTTACTGCGCCCTATATTACTGAACCAAGCTCTCTTGCTTCCTGACGGGCTCTGGGTAATCAGAGTATCTTCTTCCGCCGCCGCGGCCGAATCTCCGACAACAACGGGTCCCTGATCATCAAAACTCACACGCACTGATTTCTTCCTCGATACGACGGGCTCCTCATTCCTATCTAGTGAAACAGTTCCGGCCCGCGAGGGATCGGACGTGTTATCCGATGGCGAAACCCCTCGCAGTACTGGACTGGTTTGCTTCATGGCAGATTTTATTGGAGACGCCGAGCGAGGCAGAGGAGCGTGTCTAACTGCAAGCTGTTCAGAAGGCCTGGGGGCAAATCGAGCTTGTCGTGCAGGACTATTAGAGCTCGAACGTGTCAAGTGACTCGTTTCTATGGAAAGTTCGACAACAGGCCTATTCTCCGCAACTATCATCTTCTGCTCGCTGTTGACTTCTGGCAGTTTGGGCTCCACGATCGTCGTTAAAGGACGAGGTTCTGGAATTGATTCCTGGCGGTCTACCTTCTCACTAGATTGCAAGGGTGAAAGTGCCTCCAATGATAACTGTTGTGTCGGCATAGAGTCCAATGCATCACGTACAGTTTGCGACGGCTGTACTTGGTGTTCCTCCACTGCAGGCCTTTTATCACTTATTGGAGATTTATCTTGTGCGGTCGATATAGGAATCTGCTTTGAATGACCAGTGAGAGAAACATCTTGCAGCTGCTGGTCAGCCTTTTGCGTTGATAGAGACAAGTGTTGAGGGGTTGAGCCGCTTGACTCTGGTGGTGGGCTTGAACCCTTGTGATCGGTGCTTTCCACTCCCGTCGATTTAATATCAGAATGCTGCGCTTCAAAGTGCTTCTCTGTAGTCGGTAATGCTCTGGCCGTTAGTTCCTCTTGCTTTTCTTCTTGCTTCGACATTTCGCGCAAGCTCTTGTTTTCGTCCACCATACTCCCCCTAGCTCGTGTAACGGTCCCTTTAGCCAGCTGGCTTCCTTCTCTTCGCAAAGGACCGTCTCGCCTCCTTTTCTGAGGCTTCTCTGCAATCTGCTTCACTTGATACGCACTACCGTCTCCGGCCGGGGCCTGTGGAACCATTCTCCTCGAATTCGGATCATACACCAGCTGCTGGCCAGTTTCCGGGCGGGTTTTTGGTAATGGTCCTTTACTCGGGTTTGAGGCTGAGCCCGATGGATGAAGTGGTACCAGCTTGAGGTCTGGCACAGAGGGTTGAGTGGGAGAGGCCGGGGGTGATTGCGGACGGAAAGTTGTAGGGTAGGAGAAATTGACTGAGCTTCTACTATCCGACCTGATAGGTTGAGAATTGGCTGTACTTGAGTTACGAGGCGGCGTAGAATTAGCAATTGCCATCGCAGAATCCGAGGTTCGCACGTTGCTGATATCGCCTGTTGGTCGAAGATACCAGGAAGGTGGCTCATCTGCCATCTTCTGGGAAGCCGTGCGGAAGTTTTGCATGGCGACGCCCATGTTTTTCACGTTCGGTGCAGAGGTTCTATGAGTGTCTGGAATGCGAGGAACAGGCGGCTGTTGCTCATGGGTGGATGTTGACAACGCTCGATGGGGAGAAGGGGATCGAAATGTGCGTTCCGTCATGCTTGATGTGCTACCTCGTCTTTCGAGCTGACCATGTCCATTAGCTAACCTGGCGCTTCCCGAGGAAGACACTGAGGCGCTCCGGCGAGCGGTACGTTTCGTCTGTACTTGGGCAACATTTGTAGGAGTATGGGGTCGGGCGCGGAGGGCGGCGGCGGCGGCGGCAGAGGACAGTGTCTTGTTCGGGTTTTGGTTGACAGCAGACATGAAGGCGGATGTTGCCGCCGTTGTCGCATTTGGATCCGCGGTAGATGAGTTCAGAGGCTAGCCAGCCATGGTGGTCAGTAGATCCAGTGTAGCGCAAGGTAGCAATCATCATAATGTAGAGAAGAGTTGATGGATGGATAAGCAGAGCTACTATGACTGCACGACATGACCACAGAGGGGATACAGATACGGGTCGCTTACAGCAACGGGAGGCCGGCGCCTCCGTGATCCACCAAACATTGTGTAGTTGTGACGTTGATGCGCGTAGGGTTCAGACCCTACCTAGCAGAGGAGGTAAGGAACAACGCGGCTTAAGTAGATGTATGCAGGCGATGTACGCGAAACCTGCATGGATGGGAAAGGTACCCAAGTATGTGATGAAACCTGGAGGTTACGGATGCAGTTGATAATAACTCGGGAGCATTAAAACATATAAGGTAAGTATGTATGTAAGTGTCTCAGCTGCGACTGAATGGACCCGTCCAATACCAGATATAGCACAGGATAAAATGAATTAACTGTATGTACACACATATGTATGTATATATATATATATATATATATGTGACAAGAAAGAAGAGAACCAAGAGAGTGAGGTGATAATGGCGAGTAATGTCAGGTTGGTTTGGGATTGGGAGTTATTACTTATGTGTTGGCGCAATAAAATGAAAGTAAAGTAAAGTAGGTAATGCAAAACGACGTGATGCGATGCGATGGTCATGAAGCCACCCAGACGGAACTTGGGTCCATCTAGGTGATAGGTACCTATGCAGATTACTGCCATCAGGTAGACAGTACTGCCCCGAACTGGCATTCTCGGTGAGGCTGAAGGTACAGGCTACGCATTTCACGTCTCCTCGCGTTGTATCGATGTCGATCTTAGTGCGAGACCAGAAATCTCCCCCTTGGACACCGCTGGACTTTTCTGATGGCGTGTTGCTGCTACTGTGCTACCTAGTTCTGTAGTTCTGTAATGCAGTGGTCCCTGATCGGAATTGATGACGCAGTAGGGGCCTACCAGGTCCGGTAGAGCAACTACAGCCTAGCCGATTTGGGAGATGTGCTTCCTCCGCTTTTAGCTAGCTCAGAGCGGCGCCGTGGGGCTGCTTCGCCTAATGTGTTTTTTATCTTTTTTCCTTTCTGTAGGTAGCGTCCCGCGGTCCATCAGCACTGCCTCTCTATTCAATACCTATTCGAGTTGCCTATTCCAACCCAGTGCCTGCACTAACATCTCGGGTATTCATTAATGCTGTTACTTACTTACCGAGCTTACTATGTATGTAGACAGCAATTATATTATATGGACTTTAGTATTACATGTGGGCGCGCTTGCGTTGCTTAGTCCTGTTGGATAAGGGTAGAGGGGATGCAATCTGCTGCTTATCGTGGCATCGGGGCACGGCTTCACAGACTATGACGTCACGCATTTCTCTCCACGCAAATTGGGCATCACTGGCCCTGGGGTTTTAGTTGACCTGGCTGGCAATGGACACGTTGCTATAGATAACCCTCTGAATTATTCAATCTAACCTAGATTCGTGTTCAAGAAGAAGGACACAACAACGACTAATAGCACCCACCTAACCACGGCCTATGGATGGTATGATGAGGGGCATTTGATGATTCTACCTGCAATATACTACAGACAGCTAGTTATGCCAAGCATCGGCTTCCTCAAGTCGCGGATTGCTATCATCTACCGCCATTGAGAGAGTTCGGTATGATATGCTGACATCTCTATCCTCTAACGTGATCCTCCTGCCTGCTTTCAGACTACATAAAGCTACACCCGTCTAACCATGTCGTTGGCATCTGAGCTGCCTGCCGTTAATAACGGCATCTTCCCAACAACGGCTTTATGTATCTACAACAATGAACCAACAGCCCAATGAGGGGGTTTACACGAGTGAACCCCAGGAGCAGGGAGGTCCCCTCTCTAATAGATATGCCGATGAATTTTTGGGTGATACACGTTAACTATCTGCGCCTTGTAGGCGGCCCGCCTCCGGCATCTGGGGCGCCTGCCGGAGCAGGGTACGTGGGTTGTACATATCGCTCATCAGGTACTAGCGTCGGCATTTCATCCTCGTGCGAGAGATGATCGTCGTAATTATCATCTGAATCAAATGCTTCACTCCGGATTTCATCGCCTTCGTCTTGATCGTGCCGGTGAGCTATGGGAGGTTGATGCTGCGCATCGTTGGCTGCCACAGAAGTGCGATCCGAGGTGCGGTCCGAGATACTACCTTTGGCAGCCACCCCCTTGCTGGTGCTCGCCTTTTTGCCCTTCCGTGATTTCATCTTCGCCTTCTCCAAAAGACGGCGTCGTTCTGCCTCTTCTCGGCGCCGACGACGGTCTTTTATCTCATACTGACGAATTAAAGCTTCGGGTGCGTGGCCGAAGATGAGCTCATATTCACAGAACTCGCAAAGGTAATAATCTTCCGGCGCCGGCGGGTGATGCATATTCTGGTATTCTGTATCCCTGCGGCGCTGTCGGGCGGCTCGTAGAAGCGAATTGCCTCGTCTCTTGGACTTCTTGGGCGGGTCAGCCGCATTTGGCGCCCCTTTCCCAAAATTATCATCGGTTGGGTGAGTGTTGCTAAGTCCGGATAGATTAGGCGATGTACCGGACCGTGTCTGAGTACTTCTAGCAGTGGTGCCATGATACTCAGTTGTGGAACTCGGATGATGTGCACGATGAGAACCGGATATGCCGTGCGGAGCAGGGTCCGACCCCGGCCAGGAAGCTAGATTTTGAGCACCAAACGTGAAGGTAAACTGCGTTGATGTGCGGGAGCTTGGCTTCGTAGGTATTTGTTGCTGGAGAAGGCTGACATTCTCCTGCCCTGCCGCCATTGGAAACTTTTCAGCGCTGGCAATGGCCGTTGATATGATACCTAGGCTCTCTGACAATAGTAAAAAGTAAGTATGGAATAATGAGAAGAACACAGAGGGGTAATCAGGAAATATAAACCCCAGTGTTTCAGAGGAAACTTGCGAACCCGTACTTACCAGCAGGAGGGGAGGGATATTGACCCGCTGAGCGCAACTTCATGTTGCGTCCAGTCCAGTTGGCATTCGAATCGGATAGGGCACGCAAAGGGCTCCTACCATTTCGTATCCTACCATATCTTCCCCTTCCAGGACCAGAAATCCCCTGCCCACTACTGAGAGCGCCCCCAGAGTAGTATGAAGTACTTGTTGTAACATGGTCCACGCCATCATCCTCCACAGTTGTCGGCGGTGAGGGGATCCCGAATGATGCCGGCTCATTCAGCACATGTGTCCCGTTCAATATCGTTTCTCCCGCAATTGGTATTTTTCTTTTCTTCTTGTTGTTTGTATTCTCGAACGAATCGTACCCATCTGCGGAAGAGGCTGTAGATGGAGGTGGTTGTGGCTTTGGTTGTCTTTGGAGCCCAGATCTTTGGGCCACGCGTACCCCATGTTCCTCTCCTGGTTCGTGAAAACTCTTGGAGCCCAACGCCCGTCTGGCCTGGTTCACAGGGGGGTCATCTTCACGACTACCCACAAGGCCATTCCTACGAAAACCAGCATCCGCCGCGGGTTTGAGCCCATTATCTCGATGGATGGTGCCTATCAAGTCTGTACTTCCTGTGGCGGGCTCTTCTCGTGAGTGGTATGGGTAGAGGAACAATGGTGTCGTAGTCTGTGGTGCCGGGGGATATTTGATGCTCTGGGCAACATCAGGAGAAAGCCGCTCTCGAAGTCGACGTTTCGGTAACGGACGGATCGGTCGATCAGGTAATAACGATGACGAAGATTCAGGTGACATATTCTCATAGGTGCCTATAAGGTCGTATCGTGATAGTATTAGCCATAAAGACTTGACAACATTCATCTTTACGATACCAGTCATGGAATCGAGTGGTGGTGCAGCAATTACAGAGAGTAAGCACGCATTGTTGACAACGAAACAATAGATACCACTCTGGCTGGCTGAGTTCTGATGCTGGGGAAGAGCTCACTAGAACCGGTGGGGGCATTACGAAATAGGCAATAAGATCGATGATGCTGAGAGTGCTATTCTGTATAGGTCGTCCCGTTCCAGGGCAACTGAAAGTCTTGATGACCACCTACCCATCACATATCGCTCGTCGATGCGGGCACGAACACAGACACGCTGTTTTCAACGGAAAGCCCAGCTGACCCAAAATGGTACTGCAATATCGACACGGATAAAACACACACTGCGTGGAAAGAACAGCCGGTGCAAGTGCAAACGCGTGGAGCAATAGAGCGGGAGGAACGAGAGTTCGACTTCTAGAGCTGTGATATCGTCCCCAAGATTTGGTTTTACTTTCTGTTTCTCTCACTTCCGATGCTCGGTTCCCGGACTTCTCCTAGTCTACATATAGCATTCAAATTAACACTCTGGCCCAAGCATGGGGGACACAGCCAGGATCGGGTTGTGTGTGGGGGGGGTTGACTATCATGTGGCATCCGCGGGAAGGTAATACACAGGAGCTCCCGACACGTGCCAGAAGATGTGATTGGGAAAGAAGGATGTGTCTCCAGACGTACTGGTAATGACGGGCCAGCGAAATGGCAGCGAAGTGCAAGCAGAGGCAAGACGGACGATGGGATCGAAGTCGTCGAGTGATGGGAGCCAGATGGGACCAGGCAAGATGCACGAGTTGAGCAAGAAGCTAGTGTAAACAGGCAGGCGGACGTAAGGGTCTGGAGCAAAGACGGTGGAACTACGATACTCAGTAAACTAGAAGATACGATTGTCGAGGTTTGAAGCTGGGGAAGCTGATGGAGCTGGGAGTTGAAGCTTGAGCTGAGAGGGAGGCGTGCTAGGAGGTGGCAAGGTGAGGTGAGATGAGGTAGGTAGGGCAAGGTACCTAGGGCAGGGTAGGGAGATTGGCTTTGAAGTGTGTGTTGTTGTTGTTGTTGGAGGGGGTCTGGCATAGTGGTCTGGCAGGGTCTGTACCTTTGCGTTCCAAGGTTGCGTTGTCTCAAAGTGACAGGCTATGATGTACTAGGTATGGAGATGGCAACAAGGAATAATGACTGACTGGAGCAATAGGTATTTCAAAGCAGTTACATGTGCTCTATGCGTACTTGATTCTCTCGATGTTAGTTTATTATAGGTATTGTGAGGGCGTGGTGGTGGGTGAGTCTGTGATGGAAGAAGTGTGGCCACTACTAGGGGAAGAGGGGGGTATGAGCGATGGGGCATTGGGGCTTGGGGCATACCTAGGCGGGTACCTACCTATCCAGATAAGATTTATAATGGCCCAATATCCTCTGTGTTGGTGGGGGTTAGGTACTTACGCTGGCTTGAGTGGGGTCAAGGGGTCACCATTCACTGAGGTTTCCCTCTATGCAGCGGATAGAGATGTCTCAAAGGGTTTTGTGCCCATGATATGAAAGCAAGAACCTGAAAACATACATTAGTAGGTAGTATGTACACCCAGCAATTCAGGGTGCAAACTAAGATAGATTTTAGATACCTATATTTTAGACATCTGTATGCAGATAGTGAGTCCATTGGAAGATAAGAAATACCGGTAGGCTGGAGGCATGGGTGTGATGATGATTATTAACCCATAGGTCCCCGGGGCTACCGGAGTGGCTTCGTAATGCCCCTCTCATCGTTGTCTTTTTATTAATACCAAACAAACAACAAATATTGAAGTTCACCATAGCAAAGGCAGGTCGTTCAGCTCTTCATTTCACCACTGAAACCTCCCTATATGACATCAAATCACTTGTGGAAAGGTAAGCAGTAGTATAGCTACTGCCACAACCACACCTACTTACGGTAAGTATTATCGTGATGTTAGCGTAAATAGGTAAGTATTAGGTATACCTCTACGTACATAAGTATACGACCTCGACCTCCGTATATACCTAACCTAGGTACCAGTACCTATTCATGTAAGTTGTGCTTTACCTGCACTACAAAGCCAACTGTACTATGTATTTCCAGTCGAGTCTGGCCTGCAGCGCTAATCCTGAAACAGCAATAGCAGTGATGACAGACCCATCCGCCATCGTCATCCGTCATCCGTTGGTCCCAGTGCTTGCTCAACTTGAACACGCAGCCTCGAATACTTCACCCAGTCCTTATGTGTAAACTGGACTGTCCATAACTACATGTGTTTTGGCTCCAATTACATTTCACCCGCTTCCTTGCCTGATTAATTGTATTAGCAAGTTGGTTTCTGGATCCTAACCTACAACAAAGGACACTCCTATCCTTGGCCAGAAATCAACCCTTTTGGCCAATTCCGTGAACCCGCTTCCCGCTTCCTCCTCTTTCGCACAGGTATATAAGCAATATAAAGTGTTATTCATGGACCGTTGATTTTGTCAGAATCCGAGCGGAACTTGTCGGTGCTTAATTTCCCCCGGTCCAGACCCGGCAGTCATGGCGAGCGGTGCGGGTGTCGATATAAGCCATCTCTCTGCAGATCAGCGGGCAGCGCTGGAGCAGTACACTCAGGTTACCGCGCAGGACACAAAAGATGCCGTGCCCCTTCTGGAGAGATCCCAATGGAACGTGCAGATTGCTATAGCTAAATTCTTCGATGGCGAAGGTCCTGATCCAGTGGCCGAGGCTATCGCAGCGGGCAACCAAGCTCCCCAACAGCAATCACGACATGAGAACCTACAAGAGAGCCTTCTAGCTTCGTCGAGTCCTTATGGACGTCCCCGGCCGCGAGAGAGGCCCGATCCCGCCCCCAGAATAGTGCCTCAGCCAACTACCACACGGCGCACGCCGTTCCTCCTCGCCATTATCTTTGCGCCATTCAACTTCGGGTACCGCGCAGTGTCGGCCTTCTTCCGCACATTCGTTTACATATTCGCCTTCCTCCCTCCTTCTCTACGCCCACGAGCATTAACAACGAGCATGACAACCGGTTTTAGGGGCAGTAAGGGCCGTCGCATGTTGATGCCGCCGGATACAGCCGCACGGCTTCGGCGGGAGTTTGAGGAGGAGTATGGGACCAACGCGCTTCCCTTTCACGAGGGGGGATTTGCACAAGCTTTGGACCTGGCGAAACGAGATCTCAAGTTCTTGCTGATTGTGCTTATGTCACCAGAACACGACGATACGGAATCCTTCACGAGAGATACGCTTCTCGCGCCTGAAGTGACCAACTTTATCAATGACCCAGCGAATAACATCATCTTATGGGGTGGCAATGTACTCGATTCAGAAGCCTATCAAGTTGCCGCAGAATATAATTGTACAAAGTTCCCATTTTCGTGTCTTGTCTGTCTTACGCCGAAAGAAGGCAGCACGCGCATGAGTATCGTCAAGAGGCTAGCGGGTCCTCTCTCCCCTTCCACGTATCTGGCGGAGATCCAGACGGCCATCAACAAGTATGCGCCCGACCTAGCGGGGGTCCGTGCCGAACGGACAGCACAGCAAGTCTCACGCAACCTGCGTACAGAACAAGATGATGCCTACGAGCGGTCATTAGCCCGCGATCGTGAACGTGCGAGGCAGAGAAAAGAAGCCGAAGCAGCGGCAGCAGAAACAGAGCGGAAGGCCCAAGAAGAAGCCGAAGCAGCCGAGCGACGCGAGCGCCAGAGGCAGCAATGGCGCAGATGGCGCGCGACAACCATCAAGCCGGAGCCAGGCTCGAATGCGGATCCCAAGGATGTCGTACGCCTTGCGCTAATGCTGCCAGTCGCGGGGCGTATTGTCCGCCGGTTCGCTGCGGCGACGACCGTAGAGGAGTTGTATGCATTTGTCGAGTGTTACGACATGTTAACTACGAACCCGGAACTAAATGGCGAGGACGAGAAGAGAGAAGGCGAGGATGGACAAGACGATGACGAGATAGATCTCCCGGCGGAAAAGCCAGAGGGTTATGTCCATGAATACGGCTTCCGCATTGCATCGCCCATGCCTCGGGTCGTATATGAACCGGACGCGAAGGCCACGCTTAGTGAGCGGATCGGGAGGTCAGGCAACTTGATTGTCGAACTAGGCACTGACCAGTCTGATGGCGAGTCTGACCCTGAGGAGTCTTGAAGCTGGACGGTTTTACGACGTTACTCTTAGAGATTCATACTAGGCAACTACTAGGTAGCGAGGCAGGCAATTGTCACCTTGCTTGTAATATGCAAAAGAAGTTTTACAATACTACTACCAAGGTCGCGAATCCTGCCAAAAAAAAAAAAAAAAAAAATTAATCACAGCATAGATATCCCCGCCTTTACCAATATTTCGGAGTATCCAGATTCTCATCATAGCCAACTTCAACGTATCACGTGGGCCAGTATAAGATAGGAAGCTTGAAGTTAAGAGCCAGTCTTGATCGAAAGCGACAAATTTGTAACTCACTGGTTCAAATGCCTACTAGAATGAAGTAGGCAGGTAGGTAGGTACAGCGCCTATTTGATACATATTTCCATTGCCCTCCCATCATGCGTCCATATCCGCTGGTGAAATGATAATACATGGTATGGTGCCTGTGATGTGCAGCAATTTCAATCCCGTCATCCAACGTAGAGACTTTGTTTCCGCCACGCGAGTGAGATAGTAGCTAGCTGATATGACCCATGAGCTTCCATGATAAGACAAGATCATATCGTGGGTAATTACCTGTAGCGTCGGGACGCGTACGTTGACGGTTCGTCGTCTCAAGTTTCGTTACCCCCTTTAATAATACAGCGCCGTCATGTACATTGCTTGAGCACCTCAAACCATCGTTGTCCTGATGTGCAGCTGTCGTGACATGATCTATTTGCGTTTGTCATGCTCTGCCCCCTGCTTTGGTAGGCTGGTCAGGCGAGACTATTTATCCTTTGCGAATTTTTGATGGATACGAGCGATTTGCTCGTCGACGTTGACATTTTGCATGTGGTTGATGTGAGCCTGGCTTCGTCCTTCGAGGTTTCCGTCAAAGGAGTTCATCGCTGCCCGTTTCCGACGCGCCATTTCCTCTTCAGAGACAGCTTGCCCCGTAACGGGATCGAAAATATCGGCTCGCGCACTAGCTAGTCGTTTTAGGTTATTGGCCACGTCGATGCTTGATAAATTCGTCGTTGCGTATCGCGACTCGGCCTTGGCCTTCTGCTCTTTCCATTGAGGGTCTAGTAGTTCGATTCGCATGTGCGCGTCAAGCTCATTCATGGGTATTTGCTCTTTACAGTTAGGACACAGGGCCATCTGCGTTCCTTGCTTGTTCGCAGCGCGCGCCGCAGCGCGGGGAACGTAATTTTCCTTAATCTTCATCGGAGCACCTCCTTTAGCCTCGGCCTGTGCCTGTTGCATACGAGCGCGCGCCTCCTCCCTCTCCCGAATTCTCTGTGTTTCTTCATCTTCCATAGCTCCATTAGGCCTTGGTGGTGGTGCCATTCCGTGAGGGACCTGGGCCTGGGCCGGTGGGCTTGGTTGGTAAGGTTGTGCAGGGGGTGGCTGTTGAGCTGGGTAGGCGGGGTGATGTGGAATGGTGTAATTCTGTTGAGTTGCATATCCACCGTATGCATTCATATCGTCAGTCGGCATCGCTTCCTCGATTCGCAGATTCGAACTAATGGAAATCTTGGCCTTCTGCTCAAGAGAGGCATATTGAAGCTCAGAAAGTGACGTTGGGGGAGGTAGATTTGCTTGATCATCAGCGTCAGTAAATACGACAGTCTCAACAATGACGAAGTCATGCCAGTCAATTTGTGCATATGATAGACGCTCCTTCTCCTCGTCCTCTTCCTTCTTCTGCTTTTCGGTCTCTTGATATTTCAACCATTCCGCGCGGTGTTTAGCGCGGTTGAGAATGTGAAATTTGTCGTCGACATTTCGTTGCAGTTCAGCTGTTCGCTCTTGCTGGACACGTCCACCCTCTCCATCAATTCCCCCGGCCCGCAATAACAGGGAATATTGATCGATAAGGTGCTGAAAGAAGTTGTGTAAGCTGTGGTTTGGTCGGAGAAAGTCGAACTGGTAGTTGCCGGCTTCGCGCTGTGATAGAGCCGTCATAAACTGTCGACCGTTCTTCGCGACAAACAGCGCAGTCAGCCTCACAACCTCGAGATCCTGGGCGCTGATGTTTGGCATACGCGCAGAGAACTGAAAACTTGGAGGTTCCGGAGGGCCCTTCGGCTTCTCCTCAACCGGAGCAGGTTCACCTGTCCGCCCCGCGGCGACTGTCGTGCCACGGCCCTCCTTAATCTCACTAAATCTCCATAGGTAAAAGGGATTGTACGGGTCGCTGGGGTTCAGGAAGCTAAACTTGGGGTTGTTCTTTTCCTTTTCTCGGAGGCGATCTTCAAAGGGAAGGCCATTTCGCGCGACAAATCCGGCCGTCTTCTCGAGGATTACTATACGTCCATGTCAGTTAGCTGTGACATGCGAGGGAACGGGAGTCCAAGGCTGGCAATGAAACCCGCACCTCTGAATTCTTTGGGTGGCAAGATAACACCCTGGGGAGGCTTGATGTCGTCTAAAGCCGCCGCTGCATCGCCGTTAGTAGCTGCAGCCATTATGTTCGGCGATCTCAGACCCTCCTTTGCGCTGTAACGAGAGCAGATAGTGAGGCGATCGTCCCGTAATCGTTCGCAGTGATTGTGGTCGTAATTGCAGTCGCGCGATCTGAGCTTAACATTGACCGTAGCAAAAGATTATGTACCTATGTAGTCCAGCTAGGTAGCGCGTTTGGCCTTGGCATCCAGTAGGTAGCTACAGTACGAGGTAAAGTACCAATCAGCCAGTCAGTCATCCACACTTGGCTGGCATCATTAGTATGGAAGCGGAACAACACTTCCTCCGCGGAGGGAGCCGTACTGCAAACGCTTAGACCACCAAGATCAACTCACGCAATTTATCTAAACTTGTGTCGTGGCCGGTGGTATGTATGAAATGTACTGTAAGGTACGTAGTATTGGTTTATGGTTCATTCATTCCAGATGCCTGGCTACATAGGTACTGGCCAATTCTTTCTCTGTATACCTACAGTGCATAAGTATAGTACACTACAGGTAGTACCTATCTAATGTAGGTAATAGGTACCTAACTGTCCTAGAGCTACACGTCATCTTTGTTAAACCCCCTACTTAGGTACATATCACATAGCATATCCTCCACGTGCTTTATCTAGAAAAGATACATATACATATTTGCAAATTAATTTCCACCAAGACCTAACAGAAACCCCAAACTTGTATATCTGATTTGGTATTTTTAAGTGCGAGGAAAAGGTTTGAATATGTACCAATGTACTTGCCTACTTAACCAGGTATCCGTATGTACATAGGTAGGTGCTTACGTATATTCTAGACTAGGTAAGTAGTTAGGTAGTTACCTGTAGGTATGTACCTAGAGGGGCAGACTGCCCCCTAATCCAGTGAGAACTCCCCTGCCATGATGTGCTAACCCAAGAACTTGGATAAGGCCACTGTAGTATCATCTCATCCGAACCAGAATAGCAGCTTGGCCCCAGTCCCTCAAGCCCATTCACAGGCCACGCCCCTTATCCCATATAATTGGATTAAGCACGATATACTTTTCTAGCCTACAACTTACATACCTTTCAGCCCTGGCCGGAAGTCCTTCCACCACGCCTCGTTTCCAGCTAGCTTCTCTTTATTCCAAGTTATCTTCGTTGTTCTTCTTGCCTGGGATATCTGTCCATCCTATGGTTCTTTTCTAATGCCTGTTTTATTTTCTCGACTCTCGTTAATTAATCGTCAATCTCCTTTCCTTCCGTGTCCGTGTCGCGACTCTGTGATACCTATGGTTTCTGGTGTGGCCTTGTAATCACCCGCCAGCCGAGTTCCACAGGCCACGACGACATCTTCTCATCTCCTCTTGTCGTCCTCGTCCTCGTCCTCGTCCCTCAACTCTTCCACGGTCTCCAGATTTTGACGCACCATGGCCAAGTCCAACGCGGCAAAGCCGCTCACACCCACAGGTGTACCCCCCGCAGGTTCCAAGTCCCTCGCACCGATACAAACCAAAAAGTCCCACGATGACTATACGTCTGATGGCGTCGAGGACAACGATGTCTTCTTGCTCCCTATATCTGACTACCAAGTCATGATACTGGTCACCATCATAGGAGCCGTTGTACGGCTCTTCCGTATCTATCAACCTACCAGCGTAGTGTTTGACGAAGTCCAGTAAGCAGACTGCGCGATGCCCGCCCCAACGGCTCTTGAGCATGAACTAACCTGATATCTTTGCCGATAGCTTCGGTGGTTTTGCTACTAAATATATTAAAGGCAAATTCTTTATGGACGTCCATCCTCCCTTGGCCAAGATGTTGATTGCGCTCTCTGGTTGGCTTGCGGGTTTCGATGGCAGTTTCGACTTCAAGGAGATTGGCAAGGATTATCTCGAGCCCAATGTCCCATACGTAGCCATGCGACTATTCCCAGCCATCTGTGGAATCCTCTTGGTCCCGATTACCTTTCTGACACTGAAAGCTGTTGGATGTCGGACAGCTACTGCAGCTCTTGGTTCGTCTCTAATCGTCTTCGGTAAGTTTATGTCCCCCTGATGCATTCTTCAAGGCCAATTGCTGATATCGCGCTATATCGCAGAGAATGGTCTTTTAACCCAAGCCCGTCTAATCTTGCTCGATTCGCCTCTCGTCGTCGCAACAGCCTTCACCGCATTGGCCTTCACATCATTCACGAACCAACACGAACAAGGCCCAACGAAGGCATTCGATATCAGTTGGTGGTTTTGGCTTGTTATGACCGGCCTTGGTCTCGGTATTACCGTTAGTATCAAATGGGTTGGCCTCTTTACTATTGCTTGGGTAGGATCCCTCACTCTAGTGCAACTATGGGTTCTCTTAGGAGATACCAAGACGGTTACCATGCGCATCTTGGCCAAGCACTTTCTCGCGCGTGCATTCTGTCTGATCATCATCCCGGTATCTTTCTACATGGCCATGTTCGCCATACATTTCGTATGCCTATCGAACCCTGGCGATGGCGATGGATTCATGAGCTCCGAGTTCCAGGCTACACTAAACAACAAGGGTATGCAAGATGTTCCAGCCGATGTTGCTTTCGGCAGTCGTGTATCTATCCGCCACGTGAATACACAGGGAGGCTATCTCCACTCTCATCCCCTAATGTATCCAGGTGGCAGCCAGCAGCAACAGATTACTCTATATCCTCACAAGGATGAGAACAATATCTGGCTGATGGAGAATCAGACCCAACCCCTTGATGCCAATGGTGTTGAAATCAACGGAACTCATGTATGGGACAATGTTCAAAACATTACCGAAAACTATATCAAAAACGGCGACGTCATTCGACTCTATCACTTCCCCACCCACCGTCGACTTCACTCTCACGATGTACGCCCGCCTGTCAGTGAGCAGGACTGGCAAAACGAGGTTTCGGCCTATGGATACGAAGGATTTCCCGGTGATGCGAATGATTTGTTCCGTGTTGAGATTGTTAAGAAGCAATCTGCAACAGGCGCAGCTCGCGAAAGACTACGCACTCTTCAGACCAAGTTCAGGCTCGTTCACATCATGACTGGCTGTGTACTCTTCTCTCATAAGGTTAAGCTTCCTGAATGGGCATCCGAACAACAAGAGGTTACATGCGCGAAGGGCGGTACAATTCCAAATAGTCTTTGGTATATCGAGTCTAATATGCATCCTGCTCTGCCCAGCGACGCTGAGAAGGTCAATTATGTTGACCCCGGCTTCTTTGGTAAATTTTGGGAGCTTCAAAAGGTTATGTGGAAGACCAATGCCGGCTTAGTCGAGTCACACGCATGGGATTCGCGCCCTGAATCTTGGCCCATCCTTCGTCGTGGTATCAACTTCTGGGGCAAGAATAATCGCCAGATCTACCTCATCGGTAACCCAATCATCTGGTGGTCCTCTACCCTGGCCATTGTCACGTATCTCCTTATCAAGGGTATTGCCGTCCTTCGGTGGCAACGGAGCTACGATGATTATTCAAACACCACATTCAAGCGTTTTGACTTCGAAGTTGGAACATGGGTACTTGGTTGGGCTTTCCACTATTTCCCGTTTTTCCTAATGGGCCGCCAACTCTTCTTGCACCATTACTTCCCTGCCTTGTTCTTTGCCGTCTTAGCATTTTGCCAGGTCTTCGATTTCATTACAGCGCGATTTGCGATCCCCGGCGTCCGCGAGAATCCGATTGTCAACAAGGTGGGCGTAGTAGCTATACTGGCTGTCACTGCCGTCGTTTTTGCCCTTTACGCCCCGCTAGCTTATGGCAATGCCTGGACCAAGTCGGAATGTCAACGCGTCAAGCTATTTGACACTTGGGACTGGGATTGCAATACCTTCTTAGAAAGCGTGAGTATTCCTTCCCAAGGCATGCCATCGAGACAAAGGGGCTAGATAGTCTGCTGTATGGAACCCTTGATAGGTTTCGCTTGGTCACCGTCACTTGAGATCTATGTTAACGTATTGATTTGTGTAGTACGATGCATACACTGCAATCAACACAAATCCCATACCTAGCTCACAGCCTGCTGCCGCAAACAAGGACAAGGGTGCGCCTGCAGCGGCCAATGACAAGGACAATGGGGTCATCTCAGGGGCACCCAAGTTTGAGCCCCAGGGACAAAAGGTAGTGGCGCGTGAGGAGAAGGTCGAGTACCGAGACCAAGACGGCAACCTTCTGAATGAAGAGCAGGTGAAGGCGCTCGAGGGAAAAGTGGAGTTCAAAACAAAATACGAAACAAGGACACGAGTAATTGACGCTGATGGCAACGAAGTGTTGATGTCCCCAGACGAGCTAGCTAACGTCGGAGTCGCACCTCCGCATCCAGACGTTGAAGGGGCCAATCAGGAAACCAAGAAGGGCCCCGTTGTTGATGATGCTCCAAAAGAGGCGTCATCAAGCAAGGATGGCGAGAAGGAGGCAGAAAGAAAAGCTCCTAAGCCCGCCAGTGAAGGCAATGAGGCTACTTTTTGATCTGCTTCTCTCATAAATGAGACTCGAGGTTCCCAGAAAATATGGCGTATGGTTGAGACCACTAACTTTTCATCCGGTGTCTGACATGGCATGAATATGTCTCTGTATATTATCTACATTAATGAGGAGTCAAGGAACAAATCTCAGGAACGGGGAATTGTGAGGTTTGAAGAAAAACAGTGGAATTAACGGGGGACACAATCAAACAATTTGTCCCATAGCTTCGTTGCTTACTAGCTAATCTACTATGTGGTCGACAATGGTCTATTATAACTCTGTAAATCAAATGGATGTAAGAACTTGAAGTCTGATTTCAGCGTGGCCAAACAGAGAACCCGAGAAGAGATCCAGTTAATAGTATAAGTTGACTGATTGACTACGGACGTGTCGATTAAATGGTATTAGTGAATGTGTGAATACTGCTTGCCATGGAATCAAACCCTCCTTTGCATTTGTACATGCAACAGAATAGGTGAATGATTTACGACATGAGCTCCCAAGCATGAGGAATTGACGGCATCAAGCTTGTATGTCTAGGAGCCATCTTACGCCCCTCCTTCTGATGCTCTTTGTCGCGGGGATTGAATCCGTGGACGACTAGAAACTTTCTTTCTAAGCCAAATGCCACCCTTATACATATCTAGCATGTGTCGGACTCGTCATACTGCAATGTTGCCTTACGTGCATGGGATTTCCAACGTTCACGCTCCTGTCGTTCCCAGATAAGTAAGTGTTGATATTCGCGCAAAAGCTCGTCATATGAAGTATATTGAAGTTCTATCGCCAGTCCAGTGGAGGGGTCGCATTGTTGAGGCCAAAAATTTAGGGCTTTGTTCCCGAGAGGCCGTAAACAGGCAATGATATTGCGTTGGCAATCGAGAATATAACCGGTCTCTTTCTCCGCATTAGCACCTGCGCCGATATCTTCCGTGTTCCCTATACTGTTGAATCCAAGATCGGGTACATGTAAGACATCCGTCAACATGACAGTGAAAAATGCGTTGTCTCCCTTGACGAACGATGCCTCGATTGTGCCAATACCCACGACGCGGACGTTGCGTGATTCTTTGAACACCCAGGTACTGATGCCTTCGGAGGCATATTCAGTGTACTCGGTAAACAAATTTATGTCTGCAACCGCACTGTCATAACGAGAAACTATTAAATCTGGCGGAGGTGACGGTATATCGTTGGGCACTTACTGTACATCCGATTCAGGGGACCAAACCCAAAGTAATTTGGTTTGAGCATCTTGATGGGTTGAAGCCATAGTATTTTCTTTGAAAAACGGTGGCTTTCCCATGTCTTGTGCTGATGGAATAGAAATGTCTGTTGACGGTACAGTGTGAGAAATGTGAGGGCATTGAGGAGAAAAGGAGACCGAAATGAAAGACGGCCGGCTTGGGATATACAGGTAGACTACTGGAAAGAATATCTAAAGGAGGGAGGGAAGATTGTGGCCCCTATTACAGTGAAGATTTTTTATGAGTAGAATTGCAATATGCAAGTCGAAATATGAACTTATTCACGACAGGTGCCTTCAACCACAGTTTCTAGTACCAACACAACACCTCATGCAGTTTCCTCCGCGCGTTCCTCCCATAATCCCCATCCTCGCAGGCCAGTTTCCAATCCATTGATCAAGCAACTGGCGTGATCAGCCATCTCTCCCGTCCGACCGTTTCCAGCATCTTCAGAGAAGCTGACTCTCGCAGTCCACCAGTCTAGCCAAGTTTCAGCCCTGGTGCCTTCTTCGGCATCCAACAGCCCAGCGCTGACATCTAGGAGCTCTGGTCGCCATCGATCTCTCCAGAAGACAGTCGCGCCACATCTGGAGCAGAAGTCGCGTCGCACGCCTGGACTGCTTACGTAGCTTCTCAGAATACCTGCTGGTAGGGAATCGAAGTCTAGCGGAACTATGCCATAGGCATCTTTGCTAGTGCCGGATTGAGGGCCCGGTAAGTTCGCTTGTTCCTTGCGAATGTGGAAAAAGATGTTGGCCCTCGGGATAAATGCCCACGATTGTATTTCGAAGCCCAAGGTAAGCCGGCAGGAACGACACGCACATGTACCAGCAAGATATCGCCTCAATTTACCATTTCGTGCTGACTGACTTTCGAGCTCCGCAGAATTGAGACTAATGTCGGGGCGTAGCCACCACTTTATGTCTTTGGGGTTTCGAATCTCGGGTGAGCCAGTATGATAGGGCACCATGAGGTCTGGGAAGTTGGACCGCGGAAGTTTACTCTTATCATTAGGGCGTGTGATATGAAATCGTACTGACTTGCAGTGACAGAAGGCGTTCATGGTCGCTTCTCCTTCGCTCCCTTGATTCTTGTCTCCCAAGGGTGCATTTACTGTCACATGATCAGCTGACCCTTCAAGTTGCTCTATAGTATGTGTATGGCGGTGTCTCGGCGATGCAGGTTTGATTTCAGCCACTTCCACCTCCTGCGAACTCCCAACACATTGTATAAACGGACTCAAGCCGCCGTCCTTCGTACTAGCAGTGTTTATATGCCCCACGTATCTTATCAACCTCTCATCGATTCCCTGGCGCGACTCTCTGCTGTTATCCTCAAGACCAATGATCACACCGGTAGCGACAGCCCACAACTTGTCATTTCCAGGAAGTGCCCTGTCCCCGTCATTGTCGAAGGGGCTTCCAAGCCTGCGGAAGATATGACAGCCGCAGGTCCCGCAGAAAAATCGAGTGAATATCGTGGTCTCAGAATGGTACTTCACGAGGCCCTCGATCAAGTCCGGCTTCTTAATCTCGACGTAGGAGACGCACAGAGAACCAGTGTTGTGTCGACATGCATTGCAGTGGCAGATACTAATCTCCTGAGGAGCATTGGGAGACTGGCCACGAAGACGTACAGTCTGCCTTGCGAAGCCACAGTGGCAAGATATAGATGGCATTAGTGCAATGTCTGGAGTATGTTGGAGTGTGCTCAGGCACCTTTTATTAAAAGGGTTGGGCCTCAACTTATTCAAATCACCCGTGCGGGGAAACAGCCCCCGTCGATTCCGACCCCCTGGTACGATTTAACAACTAAAGTCGAGTCAGAGCTGTTGTATTGGACTTGAGCATGAGCTATTAAAGCTAGGTGTGTACGAATGAAAATGTGAATTCGATGCTTTCAACTTGGCGAAATAGACTATGTGGATAGTCAATATTTCAGGGGCATCCCCAGTTTCCCGGATTAGAACTGTACAGCAACTTCCGATTCATCCCACGTGCATCGCACACTATACAGCACTATCTTCTTTTCCCCCGACAGACGTATCCTGTACATCTCCGACCTTGTCAGACTTCTTGACGGACTTCCACTCCATACCCAGCGCAGCAAGGAACCCTAGAAGGGCTACAGCTACACAGGCCCAGAACGTCCTTGTTACCGCCCAGTTATATGCGCCGAGCACTCTCTCCTTTTGCGATGGAGGTACAAGCTTCAACAAATCCGTCGCACCATGAGAGATGATTCCCTCAACGTCTACGCCCGGTATACGCGCTAGGCCATCTCGAAGAAGGTTCGAGAAGATATTCTGCGAGATGGAAATAATAAGTGCAGCACCGATGCTAATAGCGAAAGAGATAGCCGACAACCCCGCAGGGATATCTTCGGGAGGAAGCGCAACCTGAATCGCTGTCCATGGCTGGGAGATTGCAAATCCAATTCCGACTCCAAACAAAACTTGCCATCCTATCCAAGCAGAGGACCCCGTACTCGGGGTGAAAGCTGTGAGAAATCCGAATCCGATGGTCATCATAATCGATCCAAGCACCATCAGTGGTGTATAGTATCCGAAGAACGAGACAATGAAGCCAGAGGTTATAGCGGCAACAGCAAGGCCGATGATCGATGGAAGAAGCATTGCTCCCGAGCTAGCAGCCGACGCCCCTTTGATAGCCTGGAACCATATAGGCAACTATGAACGACTGTGGTCAATAATTTCAGTGGTTCGTAGCGTATCAGAGCTAGATTCGAATTAACTCACGAAATAATCAACGACATTAAAAGCCGCCGAAGTACAAAAGGCATATAGAACGCATAATCCTGCCGTTCTATTAAGTAAGACAGAGCTAGGAATAGTAGCACGATCATTCCGTAACACCTCCCATGTCATAAAGACGCCAAAGGAAACCACAGCGACGACCAAAAGCACAATAATTCTAGCACTATCCCAGTCATATGTGGTACCGCCCCATTCTAATGCTAGCAAAAGGGAAACGATGCTCCCCGTGAATATGAAAAGGGCGAGGATGTTAAGTTGCTTGAGCTTGGAGACAAATGAATCGTTCGAGACTTTCTGGTTTTTCGAGTCCTTGAAGAGTACGGCCAAGATAGCAATGGTTACGCCGCCAACTGGTAAATTAAGCCAGAAGCTAAGACACGCAGGACTGAATTAGAAAAGGGGCTGGTTTGAGGCTGCATCAGAACAATCAAACTCACTTCCACCTCCAAGTAACGTATGTCGTTAGAGCACCTCCAATTATAGGTGCAACGATCATGGCAATGCACTCGAGGCCGCCGATGGTGCTATTACATATGGGTCTCCAGCGCGGTGGAACGGAATGGGTTATCGCGCTGCACGATGTATAAGTCGGAATGGAGAGAGACCAAATGGACGAGACGACTCACATGAACACGCCAATCAGAATTCCAGCAGAGCCAGAACCGGCGATGGCCCTCCCAACAATGAAGGCTGGCGAGCTGCTGGCCGAGGCGGACACGACCGACCCGATTTCCAAGATGACTACAGCTATGATCAAAACCCATTTCACACGCCACTGCTCATATATCTTGCTGAATAGAAACTGGCTGGAACACGTCGAGAGTCGGTCTACATGTATCAAAAGTCAGATATAAGGGAGGGATCGTGATGAGGTCATTAAATATATAACATTTGGGTAAGACTTACACGCCGACCCGTACCACCCGAAATCCGTCAGCGAGTGGAATTCATTGGTGATGGTGGGAGTAGCCGTGCCTACAATTGTGTTATCCTGGAGATGGATTAACAGTTAAAAGAAAATCACACAAAAAAAATTGAAGAGGAAAGAAAGGAAGAAGGGATCATCTAGATGTAGGATTATGACTTGCGAGACCTAAAATGAAAATGGCGAGTGCCATTGCCGTGAAAACAGGAATCAATTCCCATGGCCGAAGGTAATCTGGGCTATCATCATCGTCATGTCTGGGCGTTGTTGGCCCATCGGTCGCAGTCCTAGCTACCACTTTCAATCCGGGCGGTTTTTCGGGATGCTCCGGAACACTCGAACTGTTCTCCTCGTTTTTATCAATCCTCGCCGATGCATCCATTATTTCAATCGCCTCTATTTTGATGGAATATGTTGAGATGTGATGAAGATTTGCCAGGTTTTATTGAAATAGCACTGTCGTGTAAGTGATAGCGGTATGTGAGTGCCTAGCTTAGTGTGCGATGCACTGCGGACATTGCGCTATCTACGACCCCATACCCCTAGCTAGCTAGCTTGTATCTGTGCCAGCGTGTATATAATAGAAACCGAAGGATATCATGCATGGCGCGAGAGTAACTGTTAATAGCTCTGATGTAGAGTAGGTCAGATCATTTGTGTTCTAGTCAATACGAAAACTAGCTGCTTTATAGCCGAGGAAAAGAGTTGCTCGCTGTCAGAGATCGAATGAGCATCCTACCATAAGCTATCAGAGTACCTAGGTAGGCATAGGCAGGCTTTCGTCGTGTGCTCCAGATTGTCGATATCCACACCCTCGCCGACTCTTTCATTAGTTGGCATAGCACTTTTTCGCTGCCTTGCTTGTTATTGCGCATTCCATATCGCATGAAGATTACGCTGTGGCATGATACACACTGCGTTTTTGTGGTGATGACATAGGTAGTTAGTAGCAGTCTACACTCACTACGCCAGTTCACACCCTCCTCTCTGGATCGGCACCTTTGAACAATCAGATCAGAGCTGAGTATACTTGTCATTGCGGCTCAGATCATTTTATTAGAGCTACCGATATATGGTCAGCCATCGGCATGTTTCTTCTTAGCTTGCAGCTTACCTAGTCTTCGGCAAGCCGTGACTTGGTTGTGTGTGTCGTCCTGGTTTTCTGGTGCCTTGATGTACCCATCGGGACCAGCATCATGACCCGTCTCAACACCCATATCCCCTCTCGTATTATGGGAAGTCTTGTATCGACTTCTCGATTGCGCAATAGGCGTGCGCTCAACCATCCTCGCACACTCCATATCTCATTCGCGGCGCAGTGAAGATGATGGGACAGTTCCTGCATCTTGGAAGAGTCCTGTGAGGACACTCGGCATTGTTGGGATTCGAATAGTCCGACCCGCTGCTATGATAGCGACAGTGACAGCAGACGATGCCAATAGGCTGACGCAGTCCGGCTGATGGTGAGCTGCCTCTCCTCCGTTTTGATACCTGTGATGTTCTTTCAGAAGACAAGGGATGGCCGGGTATAGTCCATATTGAATAGAGCGAATAGGTCTGTATTCCGAGGCAGATCGCGCACGATGAATGTGAGGTGTATGACGTGGCTCCTGGATTGTCAAGGCTTGATGAGCATGATCGCCGCGGGACTTCACTGGCATCGGGGCCGCTCTCATACCTCCTATCTTTCCGTACTGTTAATGTCATTGCGTGCGGGTAATCGTAGAGTCGTCGAGCAGCTCTCAGATTTGCGTCAAGCTTATGTAGTAGCTTGAACTTCTTGCAAACAAGATGGAGCGAGAGAAGTGGTGAGTTTCTGATTTCAAGGACCGGAGGTATTGAATTGCCTTTTCTTCTTGGAGTACCTGGCTGTCTGAAACATCAAAGTACCGTTGCCTTCGATAAAGATTCTAGCTGTGATGCAGAGATAAGAAGATGAAGGTCAAACATAATCATCGTGAATCACATAGCTAATCATTATTGTCAGTCATTATTTATCTGTCTTTGTTCTACAAGTGATACACCGCTTCGCTGAGGTTCATCACTTTGGTCAGAATACTGATGACTATTCTCATATCTGCAACATAAAACGTTTTGCATTAAGCCGGCTAGCATCTTCTTAAGTGATCCATGGGCTTTTACACTAATACCTGTTTGCAACCCCTTTATATCAAGTAACCAAAATTACGGCCGGCGGTGTGCAATGAAATACTTTGTCACATCATTTCTACTCAAACGTATTCCTTAGTCCTCTGTCTCAAAACAAATGTCCAGATGGTACTGTATTTGGGATTTAACTCATATTTAACATTTTAATTGGAACAACATTAGCATGCTGTGTCGACGGTTGCGCGCCTGATATCTCTACCCTCAAATGAAGTCTGTCTGCTGCCCGGTAACATAATTGTAATGGGCTAGAGACACTCAATCTGAGGGCGCGTAGGGCGTGGAGGTCACGATCTACGCAAAATAGGATCTAAATAGGACTAATCTAGTAACATAAACTAACTAACTCCTAAGCCCTTCGGGCTACCTAAAAAACTACGGTTTAAATATATAGTAGGGTAGGCCCCGGTTAGTCTATTATATAACTTTGTTACGTAATAACCCCCCCTTCCATTAATAAAACCGTATTCTTATAATTATTATAATAACCGTTAAATAGGAAAAGTAAATTAAGGAATTATAAAATAAAACTTTTATTATATAATTATTATAGTAACCATTAAATAGGAAAAGTAAATTAAGGAATTATAAAACGAAACTTTTATTATATATTTATTATATTAATATAATTTAAGTTAAATTGATTAAAATGGTTAAAATAATAAATATAATTAAATTAGTTAAAATAATTAAATTAATAGGTATAATTAAAGGAATTGTTAAATATATAAGCTATTATTATTTATTAGAAGTATTTTTTTTTAATATTTTCCTAATTTAGAAAAGTTAAATCCTTTGGGCGTTAAGCTTAATTTATATTAATAAGTTTTCATTTGTTATTTTTAAATTTATTATTATTTATTATTATTTATTTAGGGAATTTATTAAAAAAAGTAATATTTTTTTTATTAATATTCTAATTATAATTTTTAATTTAACTATTAATTTAAAATTCCATAAAAAACTTTATAAAATTATAATTAATCCGCTATATATTATATTAGTTTTTTATTATTATATATTTAGCTTATATTAGGTATAAAATACCTTTAATATATACTTTTTATAGGCTTATAATTAGTTAAATAAAATCTTACTTTTATATTTTAAATATAAGGATTAAACTTATATTTATATTAATAAAGGTAATATATTATTTATATAGTATAATATATATAACCTATTTATTAAAAAAAGTAATTTTTTAAATTATAATTAGTTAATTTAAAATATTAATAATATAATTAATAATATTTTATTTAATAAAAATTAATATATTACTTAAAAGTTCTTTAATTATAAATTTTATTTAAAGTAGAAGAATAGTTTCCTTTATAAAAGTATTATTTATTTAATTATTTTTAATATTATAAATAAGGCTTAAAAGCGGATTTAGCTTATTTATATATTTTAATCCAGCCTTTTTTATTTATAATTTAATACGTTAGTTATATTCTTTTTTATTATTATTTTATATTTTAAATTTATTAGCCTATTATTAAATTGCTTTAGGATTTAAAGCTACGTTAACTTATAGGTTAATTATAATATTTATTATAATGCCTTTAATTTTTTACATGGTTTATTATATATGTATAATTGAAGGTTTTATTAACTTAGGGGGGTTAATATTTAAGCTAATAATTGGGTATATTTTAAATATATTAATTTAAGCTATTATAGCTATTATAGGTTAATTATAATTTTTAATATAATATTATCTATTATAATTGAAGCATTTTATTGCTTTATAGCTTTATTATCCCTTATTATAGGTTTAATAATAATTTAAACATTATTTTCCTTATATTATTAATTTAAATATCTTTATTATATTTCTTTTTTTATAGTAGTTTTTAAGCTTTTGGAGCTTTATTATTAATTTATCTTTAAAACCAGCTTTTCCCTAAATAGATTTAGCTAGAAGCTGTAGTAATTAGGGATACTTTAATTATTTTAAGTTTATATTACGGCTACATTTTATAAAATATTTTATTAATAATAGAAGTAGCGTTGTTTAACTATATATTTATTTAGTTAATATATATTATAATAATATATTTATTGTTTTTAATAGTGGGTTTTGCATTTTTTTAATTGTTTATTACATTTTAAATTGTTGACTAATTTATTACTACATCTTAATTATTGGTTTAATCGCTTTAGTTATCTTAATTGCCCTAATTGTTTTGCATACCCTAATTATTAATTTGGTTATTTTAATTATTTTAATTACCTTAATCGTTTTATATACTTTAATCATTAGTTTAGTTATTTTAGTTATTTTAATTGTTTTAATTGTTTTATATACCTTAATTGTTAGCTTAATTATTTTAATTATTTTAATTGCCCTAATCGTTTTAAGTATTAATTATTATATTTTAAGGTTAACCTTTTATTATATTTATTTTATTAGTTACTTTATTCTTCCCCTTATTTATATTTCCTTATTTTTTTTTTTTTTCCTTTTTAACTACATTTCCCTATTTATTATTCTTATTTCCTTCCGTATTAACCGGCCCCTTTATAATTATTTCCTTTATTGGATACTATATTATAAATGTCACGGGTAGGTTAAATCTTAAAGGTTAGGTACAATGTCATAAGTCTCTTCAGTCTTATAGTAGGTATTTAATAAGACTAAAGCTTAAAGAAGGTAAGAATTTCCTTCGAAGCGTATACGGGAAGGGTACGTAATATATGCGAAGTATATATATTTTAAGGGCTTTAGGATACTATAATATAATAACTATTCCTTTTTCCTTAATTAGGTTATCCTTAACCTAATGTATAACTAATTTATTAATTAAGTGTAAAATAAAAAGTCCAATTATATAAATGTGCAATGTAAAGTATTATAATAAATATATTAATATAGTTTATTTATATAGGGCGTTATTATTATAAAGGTATATAGGTATAAAGCTTATATTTAAAGTATATAAATATAAAGCTTATATTTGTTTTATGAATTATATATATTATATATTGCTTTTACGGCAAAATTTATATATATATTTCTATTAATTGTTTATTAACTTTTTTTTTTTTTTTTTTTTTTTTTTTTTTTTTTTTTTCTTTAACCGCTATTAATTTTAAAAATTAGTTTTAATTAATAACTATTATATTACTTCCATCTTTACTTTATCTTCCTTTCTTTTTTTATTATATTTATATTATTATTATTATCGTTTAAATTATACCTTTTAAAGGCAAGAAGGGTAAAGGTAAGGCTTAAGCTTTAAAAAGTAACTATATTACTTATAGTAATAAGGGTAAAGCATTATTACTATTACCGCTATTTAAATATAATAAAGATATAGATGAAGAATATATTAATAATGAAATATTTATACTGCTATTGTTAATATTACTAATACTACTTGCTCCTTTAATATTATTAATATTATTATTAGGCGGCAATAATAACGACGATAATTACGGAAAGAGCAATTTAGGCTAAAACTATAGCAGATTTATTAACCTTCCGCTTAATAATTATTCGAGCTATAAGGGTAATTTAAATGTTAAAGGTAGAAACCCTTAAAAGAAACGTAAGTAGTTTATAAAAACGAAGAATTAGCATTATAGTAAGCGTATAAATCCTATAGCTATACTATTAACGTTAATATATTATAGGTATATTAAATATATTAAGTATATATATTAATTTAACTTTAGTTTACCTTTAGAATTTAATTATTTATTTAATAAATCTAGCTTTACCAATTATTATAGGTGTATTAAAGTGTACCAAATATACGAACCTATTAGTATTTTTATACCTATATTATATATAAATTGTTATTTATTTAAATTTAACTTCCACCTATAGTAGCTTTTAAAATTATTTGCCTTATTAAATTCCTTAAATGGAATTAGTAGGCTTTTATACCTAAAATAATTGCTAATAATACTTAAGCTATTAACGATAATAGAATGGAACTTTAATTTAACCTATTTAAATTTTATATTAATATTATAGCTATTTAATATTACTTTATTAAATTATATTTATACCTTTTTTTAATTTATTAGAATTATTTTAATATAATTAATAATTAAACTAATAAAAAGGTATAAAGCTATTTTATACCTATTTCGAACTTGTTATATATTATAATAATATTATATTAATATTTAAATAAAAGTATTTACCTAATTATAATTGTATTATTGTTAAATAATAATCCGCTATTTATAATATAATTGCACCTATTTTAGTTAATGCTATAAATAACTTTGCTTTATACTCTTTTTATGTGTATTTTTAACTTGAGTAAAATGCAGCTTAATATTAAGGCTACTTCCGAGTAATTTTTCTATATATATATCTATAGGATTTTAGTTTAATTATATAATGCACCTTTATTTTATTATTTATAGCAAAAGTGAAAACTTTTATAATTAAGTAATATAATAATGCTTAATAAAGTAAGGTTTATAATTGGATAAAGCTTTATAATATTATTAATTTTAATAATTATTAAATTTAACCCTATTTTATATATAGCTTAATAGTAAAGCGTAATAGTTTTTTAACTTTAAGAGTAAAGGTTTAATTCCTTTTATATTAAAATAGTTAGTTTTTATTTTTTTATAATTAGTTTAGGATTTTTAAAATCCTATTAGATTTGCTTTATATCCTATATTAATAGTATTAGATATAGTTTTAATTTATACTTAATTTATTATTTTTAATTTTCTTCTTTTATTTTTAACTTTATTGTTTTTTAAAATCTTTAACTGCCTTTAACGTTGAGATGTTAGATTATAATACCCATTGATTATATTTAGAAGGCCAGCCTTTCCACTTAACCTTATAGTACTGATCTCCGTTATATATTATTTTATTTACTATATTTTTAACCTTCCATTCTTTTAAATTATC